AGGAGCAGGAAATAAACCAAAAGAGCAACGCAAAGTAATTAGGTCGCATATATAAAGTTTCTTTATTTAATAAAAAAAATTTGTTTACTAAATAAAGCTGTATTTGCGATCAAATTATACTTTGCGTAGCTGTTTTGATCTGTCTTTTGCTCCTTATTTATTTCTCAACTATAAAAGCAAATTACATATTACATTTATATTTATATTAATAATATTATATATTATTATTTATATTACAGTCTTTAATTTTATTCATTTTTATAGCCTTTATACAATACTTTGCCTATATGGCGAGTTACTTTTGGTTAATTATAATGAGCTTTGATATGTGGTGCACATTCAGGTAAGTTGGAAAATATTCTTCTATATTATTACTACTTATTTTTAACACTTGCCTTTCATTTATTTTTATAAAATTCTTTCTTTTTGATTTTACATATATCGGTTTAAAAATAAAGATAGATAATATATAATATGAAAATTCTGTATTAATCGAATTTTCTTACATATTGTGTTAGTACGTGTAAAAACAACTATATATTTAAAAATAATATTTGATAATAAAACAATTATATTTAGGGCATTATAAGTTAGCGTATAAAGATAATAAGTTCAAATTATAATTTGGAATAAATAGTTTTCTTGGATATTTTTATTAATTGATTACACATTTTCGAATGGTTAATTTTTTAAAAGTAAAAATTGCGTATTAGACATAATAAGCATATTATATATTTTATTTAAATATATATAAAACATTATAACAAAATCTAATAATTCGATATAATGCAATAATATTTTGATATTAAACTTCTTTTTCTTTTAATTTATATTAATTTATAAAATAAAGCAATACACGATATGTTTTCACAAAATAAAAGTAGATTTTTTAATTAAAAATTTGTCTTTTAAAAGTAAATAAAAATTTTAATACAATTGTCGTGTCTGCATAATAGCTATGTAAATAAACACTTTTACAATAATTAAGGCATAAAAAAAGATAATAAAAGACAATTGTCCAAGAATAGGCAAACTTTAAATAGATATAACTTTGTTTCGAATAATAAGAATTTGAACTTTAAAAAAGAGTTTTAAAACGTTAAATCTCTACTGTCAGTAGTTTACATCTTTTTTATTTTCTTAAAATCTGATATTTTTTATATACATTTTTTATATACAAGAAACGAAAAACATAACAAAATGGAAAATTTCTTCTCACTTTGTAGACGTGTTGCATGCACAAAAAATTTGAAAAATTTCATGACATTTCCATGTTACTTTCTGAAGTTTTACGTGCAAAATTGTTTTTTAAAACGTAAATCCTCATCTTATTTTATCAAATATTATCGTAAATTAAAGAGAAAATGTCATTTTCACTATAATCGTTCAAACATCTTGTTAAAAATCATTCTACAGCAATTTAAAAATGGATTCTTCAAGCTGAAACTTTGCTCTATAGTATGATATAGTGACTTCATCAAAGACACATTATTTTAACGTTTTTACATTCTGATTTCTTTTATGTGTTGTTTGTTAAATATGTTTGTAAATTGCAGAGGATTCTGTTCGTTACAAAAAAACGTCAGACAACAAGAAAAAAAAAGTTGATATATTATACGATCTTTGCGTGGGGATGTCCCTTTATGCTTGCTATTTTATGTGTCAGCATGGATATTCTTTCTAAGTACCAGCATGTACCACCAATTTTGCGACCGGACTTTTATGAAGGAGAATGTTTTTTTTTAGTAAGTGAAGATAATGCTATAGCATTTTAGTATGGTGAGAAAGAGCATAAAAACTCATGATGTTTTATACTTACAGAGACTGGTCCGTATATGTTGTATTATTATGGGCTCAATAGTATGTGCGTCACCAGTAGCATTTGTTTATCTATCTATACGGCATTAAAAATTGAACGTTTAAAAAAGGAATCGGGTTCTTTTCTGAAAGATTCGGAGAATAAATGCTTTAACGATAAAAAAAATGGTATGTATTCAGATATTGTTGTATTGAGATATGATAATCTATTTTATTAATAAAATTTATGCTACTTATATTAACATTTATGCAAACAGCATCGCATAATTGATTCGCATTTTTTTTTTTATAACAGCGAGAAATTAACCGGTATTAATAACTAATCGTCTGATCGTATATTTAATTTAAAATCCGAGCTTCATTGGTTGAATAGAATTTTATGTCAAAATCAGATTTAAAACAATATTTAATATAAAATCAGATTATGATCACTGGTTATAGATTGTCGTTTGCAGATGACATTTTTTCTATTCGCCGATTTACTTTTTTTATTTTGTAATATTTTCAAGAATATATCATTTTACGTGTTTCTTCGAAAATCTATGCAATTCTAAACAAAATGACAATTAATAACGAATAATAAATGAAAATTAAGTTAATGATTGCACCTGTATTTTACAAAAATACAAATTTTAAACACTTTCAAAAATTTCTTAAGATTTATAAATCAATTAAATTTTATTCATCATATATATTCACAAGAACTATGAAAATTATATATTTGTTTGCAGGTTTAATCTATATCTGCAGCTATTTATCGTGCTGTTTATCTTAATGGGCATAGAATTGCTCGTGATAGCAGCTTATGAAATATTTAAAACTGTACCAACTACTACATTGTACACCATTTACTACATTGTATTGTATGTTGTTAATTCGCTGGACATTATGCAGAGTCTGTGCGTCTTTATCGTATTTGTGTGTAAAAAAGGATCAAGCGCATGTTATTCAAGCGATTCGGCTTCGGTTTGTCGCCAAATGCTTGACACAGATCGAATGCAACATTGTCGAGCATTTACACTGTCAAAAGAAATAGTCATGCAGGAGAAAATGAGTTTTTTTTCGGACGAGCAAGAAATCACACTGATAGGATCGACTTTTAATTTTTATTTGAAAATGGAAATCATGTTTTTTTATGTTGTTCTTTATAGTTAAAATTAATAATTATAATTCATACATATTTTCGGATTTTGTAGCAAGAACATATTATTTTGTCTTGTTTGTTTTTTAAATTTAAGTGAGATTATGATATATTCCTTGACATAAATATTTATAATATTGTTAATTGTAGGCTGATATTATTTTATATTTTGAATATTAGTAGAAATTCAGAAAACTACTACAAAATTTGCATGAAATTACTATAAGTTGTTATTATCCATATATCAAATAAAAATGTTCATTTATTAATATCATAAATTGTAATAAAAATTTATAATATTATTATAATTTTTATAATTTAATTAAATATTTTATTGTGAGATTATTGTAACATTAATACTTAAATAATTGAAACTTTAGATTTTTTATGATCTCAATAATTCGGTATAGCTTACTATTTTTTTAATATAATTTACATTTTAGTAATTATTAGTTTCAATTATTGATTTTGAAGAAACCAATGTAATTTTTGTGAAATATTTTTTTCCTCTGTAAAAGTTAAGAGTGAAAAATTAAATAGCATCAGCGCCTCCTGATCTACCGCTATTCTTAATTTTTAATCAAATAAATAATCATGATATAACTCTCAAAGTCATGCAGGTCGAATATAAACCGGTTTCAGAATAGGTTTTGTCTTTACTTTATATGTGCAAGCATTATCTCTAATTTGATGATATATAAGAGTTAGCGAATAACGATAAACATATATTCAACATAATATTTTTTTGTAATAATTATTTTGTAGTCTAAAGATAACAAATGAGATTAATAAATTTGTGAAATAAATATAATTTTGCTAACGCATGCGTTATCGATTAATTATTTAAAACAAATTTTAATATACAAGTATTTAAACAAATAAATTAATTCCAATTTAATATACATTTCAAAAATAATTAATAACAAAATTTTTATTATTTGACTTTTGCTACGTATCAATTTATTTCTTATTTGCGGTATTCTTAGAAATATGAAGACTCTTCATTTGAGCATTCAATATTTAAAAAACAATCAAGAGTATTTTTCCTTTTGCTGCTGGATTAGTCGAGCTATCGTCAGTAGTAGTTTCAATGATTTTTTTTTATTTTTTTTGTATATAGTATGTAAAAGCTATATGTGTATAGTCTTATATAGTATAGTTACTTACGAGGTACTATACCTCGTCAGTGATACCAGCAATACGCACCAACTTCGAAATATGATCTTGAGTTTTTTGATATATACTCGGAAACATAATCCACAACAATTTGCTTTTATATAATGATTTTATTCAATTTTATTTAATTAAAATGAAAAAATAAAGTAAATAAAAACTCGGGAATTAAAATTATGTGCATAATATAAATTTGACGAAAGAAATTATGTACACAATATAAGTTATTAATTCTTGCGCAAAGCCCGGAAGGAATCGTTCTATCTAATTATTAAAGTTTTCATACGATTGACAAAATGGAACGATTTCGAAACGCTGTGCAATAATAATTTTAATTCTAGGAAACACACACAAACAGTCATAAACACACCCACTCATACACATACACACACACACACACTTACACACACACACACACACACACACACACACACACACACTGTCAGTATACTGTTATCAAATTATACATTAAGAACTAGACTTCCAATTATATGCAAATTGCATAATTGTTACTTTTTGCACATTCTATGACAGCATTGATAATGTGAAAAAATAATAGTTTTAACTCATTAATGTTTATTAATTAAAAAAATTATAATTTATTCACATTATTAATCTTCTTGTAGAATATGCAAAAATAAAAAATATGCAATTTGCATATAATCCGAAGCCTACTAATAACTATATACATATTATATGATGATTATTTTAATTTTATTTAATTAAAAAAATAAAAAAATAGAAAAGAAATAAAATACGGAAATTAAAATTATGTGCATACATAATAAAAATTTGACAAACAAAATTTTTGTACACAAAAGAAGTTATTATATCTTACGCAAAGCCCGGAAGCAATCTTTCCGAATTATTAAAGTGCTTCATATGCATTGACAAAATAGAACGATTTCGAAACGCTGTGCAATAATAATTTTAATTCGCCGAATTTTATTATGTATTTATTATAATTCTTAATTTAAATAATTTTTATCTTTCTTTTAAAAAACATTTGTCAATCTGAATTCGACATGCAAAGAGATATTCGATTGAAATAAAGGTAGTAATTGCGTTAAATAGACTATGCATATTTTATTAATTCATTTTCAACATGCATATGAGAAAATTACATGAGAAGCACAAATACGATCATTAAAACAAGAATGTATCGTGAATAACAAATTGTTGATAATGTTGGAAGGCAATTTATTTATCGCGAAATCATGTATACAAGGTGTAAGAAAAAATATTAATAAACTTCTGTTCATGATAGATGAATTAATTGATGTTATCCAACACGTTTAATCGCTTAAAACATTAATCTTTAATCAATAAAACTATTATACATATATTTTCAAAAAATTTAAGTATTTAAAACAACGATGAAGTCAATGAGTAAATAATGAAAAGTTTTTCATCTACATTATATATTTATATTGGTGTAAATGTATGATGTAATCAAAGATCTATCTCAGAAAATAATTATTCAGTACGGACATCAGGAAAATTTTTTATGCTTCATTCTTTAACTGCGCTTTATACAACATAATATGTTTATTAAGATGGAAACTGTGTAATTTTACGCAATTTAGTTTGCACTTCTACGTATTTCACAGTATGCAATTATTGATTTGATTCAATAATATGTAAATTAAGATAAATTTTCTATATAAGATTTTAAACTAAATCTTTTAAAGAAACGTTAACATCAAAATATGAAACGGTAAAGTTATTTCTGTTTTAATATAATTATATTAAATTGCTGATTGTTCGTTGGTGCCTGATTTGCGATAAAACTTTTTTTTAACATAACTGCATTATTAGAATTTAATCTCATCAAACGAAACTTTCGTGTGACAATTTTCTTCTCTGCAAGAATTCGACCTTTTCTGCAGCTTTGACATGGTAGTCAAGTCCACGATTCATTCATCCGCATTCTGAGTCGTTTTAATATCATCAACTTAATCTTCTTTTTCCATACAAATACGATAAAAGCGCAGAAATTCTGCACAGTAAACAACAAAGAAATAAAATAACTAGAGTATTTTAGTGGAGAATTAAGTATCCGTGATATTGTATACACGATTCAATTTATGGCCATTATGATAAATAACGCGATAAAAAACTTCATATATAGATCAAATCTGCAAACAAATATATATTAATATTTAGTCATCTTTCAATAAAAATAATAACTTCTATATATCAAATTATAGAATTAAAAAATAAAGAAATAAATTATATACAATCTTTAAAAAAAGAGAAAAAAGAAACAATAGTTTAAATAAATTTTTTAAAAATGTAATTTTCTTTATATACTAAATGCATATTCATTAACTTTATTTTCACTATGTATTGCGACATTTCGAAAATTACAGACTATTTTGAAAAGATACGATTCACGCTAAAGCAATAAATGTTTTTCTTTTCTTATAGATTATATAATTATACATAACAAAATAAAAAAAACAATAAGCACAGTGAAAATGCCTGCTTTCTTCAACTGGAATGCGAATCAAGCAAGTATGAGATATTGTCGGCAGAGACATTGACATAAATATGTCTGCTTAAATCTCATTAAGATAATAAAAGATTTTTACTAAGTGTTACAAAAATGTCAGAATACTCACCAATTTTTATTGTCATTATATCGCTTGCTTTCCAAATCTGATAGACGCAGGTTTGTATTCTTTTCGTTGCGTTTGATGTTCAATGCCGCAGAGATGGATAAGCAAATGATAATAATTAGACAGACAGTTCTGATCCCGTAAAAATACAACAGATACGGCACTGTTTTTGTAAGAATGATATAACATAAAATTACATACTGTTTCAGACATATTTAAAATGCGTAGCATTAATAAAGTTACCTGAAACGTAACAGTATCTCGTCAGTGGTATAGTAGACGGACAGTTTCTTGCAAAGCTATCGACGACTCGTCGTGCTCGGTAGTCTCAGCTTCTCTCCCGCGCAGAAACATGTATCTTGTGCATTCTTCTAACGAGAAAAAGCCGAATACAGTAATATAGTACTGACTTTATCTAATGAGATAATTAAAATTCAAGGCGTGCAATCACCAATATTAATAGTAATGGTGCTAAAATCTAATCGACATTTCGAGATTTTGCTGAGAAACAAAATAAGATAATTTAATTATATTATATTTTGCACTTGACACATTTTATTGCAATTAATACAAAAGCAAAGGTGCGCATAAATTTAATGTGACATTTTTTAATTATTGAGAATTTAAAACTTATATGAAAAATGATGAACACTAAATTTGATTATCTAATTATTCGAATGTTTATTATTACATAAAATAATGAGTGAAAAGATATTTGCATTTCTGTGTTCCGTGCTTCTCCTCGTCATTTCGTCATCAAAATCGCAGCAAAATTCCATCAACGAGGATGATAATTTGACGATACGATACGAGATAAATACGGATTCTACAAAAATTATAACGACGAAATAATAACACTGCGACATGATTTGCATAAAAAATTTATAAATAATACACAAAATGACAAAGAATTTCATACGAACGGCAATCGCGAGGATGATGATTTGATTCAACATAAACGTTCCGAGCATTTAATGCAGAATAAAGATGATAAGCAAAAATCGATGAAATCTAACACGAATTCGACAAATATCAATCATAAAAGGAATTTCACGGCTCAGGAAGGGTATGAAAATGTAATTAAAAAGAATGATTCCAAATCACTTGAAGTCTTCAAAAATTCCAGCAAAAATGCTAATGAAACTATCATCGTCCCAAACGAAATGTGTCATAATGATACTTGCATTCGCCTCTGCTGTTTTCTTGGCTATCGTCTGGTTGATGACAACTGCATTCCTGAAGGAATTGAATACATTTTTCCAAAGGTATACACGAACGATTCGACGCAGAGCAAAAAGAAAGTAAACGAATTGTTTCAGCTGTCCATTTATGATTTGTGCAAAAAAAAGGATTACAATCTGCTTTTCAAAGATTTTCAGTATGAGTACGATTATAAAATTTTTACCAACGGTTCTATATATTTAATTGATTCTGAAATAATGATTTCGAATAACAGTTTTATATATTTAACTGATTCTAAAATGTTTGTTGATTCGATATTATATTGTTTCGACGTCGTCGAAGGGAGTAAATTCCAAGTGATCTTCTGTTCCGAAACCACTGACAAGATCAAGGAGGTAACTGATAAAAAGCCCTTGATTTTTGACACACAAATTATAAGAGTTAGTGCTTATATAGTATCTATATTACTTTTGGGGTCAGTATTTCTGGTGTATTCCATATTGCCAGAACTCCGAAATAGACACGGCTTTATGTTGTGCAATCACAGCGGTGCCTCGTTTTTTGCATACGGAATTGACATTGTGTATTTTTTAACAAATCGGATGATGTACAGTATCCCGTCTGCGTTACAATAGGTAGAGTATATATCTAAATCATAAAACAATGCAATCAGTATAGCGTATATATATTTGTCAAATATTTAATGTATATTAAATATTAGGTATTAAATGTGCATCTTAAATCTGCACATTAAATGTTAATTAATAATTTTAAATGTTATTTGACATATTATTTGTTAAAATGTTAAAAATGCAAAACAGTAAATAATATTTAAATGCATTTTAATAATATATAATAAATATAAATTATTCGTCTCAAATAGATATATGTCTTTATGTTTTTGAATTTTGCAAAATTACATATTGAATCAAACATGTTTAATTTGATATTAGCTGTATTTATTACGTTGCTATTACTATAAAATTTAGGGTAGGAAGTTAAAGTAAATCTATTTTAATCAAGAAACAGATGTGATAACTTTGAGATCCTGCAATTTTAACGTGTAACGATAAATAATATATTATTATTTATTAATATTAATATTTATTATATATATTTTATTATATAATATATATTATTATTAATTAATAATATAATAGATAAGTAGCAGGAAATAGATCTAATAACACAAAGTTCCTTTATTTAATAAAAAATGATTTTTTTATTAAATAAAGTTGTATTTGCGACCAAATTATACTTCGCGTTGCTCTTTTGGCCTATTTCCTGCTTCTTATTCATTTCTCAACTATAAGAGCAAATTACATATTACATTTATATTTATATTAATAATATTATATATTATTATTTATTATTAATTATTACAGCCTTTAATTTTATTCATTTTTACAGCCTTTTTAAAATACTTTGGTTATATGGCGGGTTTCTCTTGGCTAAATATAATAAGCTTTGATATGTGGTGCACATTCAGGTAAATTGGAAAATATTTTATATTATTACTATTTATTTTTAACACTTGCCTTTCATTTATCTTTATAAAATTCTTTTTTTTTTTATTTTACATATAACGGTTTAAAGATAAAAATAGAGAATATATAATATGCAAAATACTGTATTATTCGAATTTTCTTATATATTGTGTTGGTACATGCAAAAACAACTATATTTGATTTAGGACATTATAAGTTAGAGTATAAAGATAATAGGTTCAAATTATAATTTTAAATAAATAGTTTTCTTCGAGATTTTATTAATTAATTACAGATTTTCAAACGATTTATTTTTTAAAAGTAAAAATGGCGTTTTAGATATAATAAGCATATTATATATTTAATTTAAATTTGTATAAAATATTATAACGAAATCTAATCATTCGATATAATGCAATAATATTTTGATATGACCTTTTTTTCTTTTAATTTATAAAATAAAGCAATACACGATAAGTTTTTACAAAATAAAAAATAGATTAATATTATAAGACTCCCAACAATAAATACAGTTGATAAAGTAATGAGCTGTTGAGCCAAGCGCTGTTGTTCGAGAGTTTTTTAACATTGAAATTTATTTAATAAAATTCGTAAAACGTTTCAACTCTGATTGGGTCCTCTTTAGTTACATATATTAAATTCAAAAATTGATCTTACTCCTCAAAAAACGTGTACATTTCATTATATAATTTGATTAGAAGTCAATTTCAATCGAGACACGGCAGACACAGGATAGGTGGAAGCGTTATTAACAAACAGCATTTTAAATTATATATATGTCAATAATATAATATGGACGCAATTTTAAGTGAGACATTAAATTATGTAATGAAATATACACGTTTTTAAAAAAGTCAGATCAATTTTTAAATTTAATATATGTAACTGAAGAGGATTCAATCAGAGTCGAAACGTTTTACGAATTTTATTGAATAAATTTCAATGTTAAAAAAACGCTCGAACAACAGCGCTTGGCTCAACAGCTCATTTACTTCGTCGAAAAATAAATTTTTTATCAAAAATTTGTCTCTCAAAATAAATAAAAATTTAAAGTACCATTAATTGTCGTGTTTGCATAATAGTTATGTAAATATACACTTCTTAAAATAATTAAGACATAAAAAAATAACAATTGTTCAAAAATAGGCAAACTTTAAATAGCTGTAACTTTGTTTTGAATAATGAAAATTTAAATTTTCAAAAAGAGTTTTAAAGCTTTAAATCTCTACTTTCAATGGTTTACAGCTTTTCATTTTCTTCAATTTTAATATTTTTTATATACAAAAAACAAAAAACGTGACAAAATAGATAATTTTTTCTTAAAAAGTAAACGTGTCGCACGCACAAAAAAATTTTTAAATTTCTTGACATTTCCATATAACACTCTGAAGTTTTCCTTGTAAAATCGTTTTTTAAAATGTAAACGTCGATCTTTCCTTATCAAGTTATTGCAAATGCAAGAGAATATGTCATTTTCACCTTAATCGTTCATAACACCGTTAAAAATTATCGTACAGCAATTTTAAGAATGGATTCTTCAAGCTGAATCTTTGCTTTACAGTATGATATAGTGACTTGATCAAAGACACATTATTTTAACGTTTTTACATTCTGATTTCTTTTATCTATTGTTTGTTAAATATGTTGTGTAAATTGCAGAGGATTCAGTTCGTTACGAAGAAATGTCAGACAACGAGAAAAAAGAAAGTTGATATATTATACGATCTTTGCGTGGGGATGTCCGTTTATGTTTGCTATTTTATGTGTCAGCATGGATATTCTTTCTGCGTATGTACCATTGATTTTGCGACCGGAATTTCATTTACAAGATTATTGCTGGTTCAATGGTAAGTGAAGATAACTTTATTAATACTATAGCATTTTACTATTGTGAGAAACTGTATAAAAACTCATAATATTTTATACTTACAGAGATTGGTCCGTATTTGTTGTATTATTATGTGCTCAAAAGTATATTCATCATCAGTAGCATTTGTTTCTCTATTTTTACGGCATTAAAAATTAAGCATTTCGAAAAGGATACGGGTTCTTGTCTGAAAGATTCGGAGAACAATTGCTTTAACGATAATAAAAATTGGTATGTATTCAGATATCGTTGCATTGAGATATGATAATCTATTTTATTAATAAAATATATGCTACTTATATTAACATTTATGCAAACAGCATCGCATAAATGATTGCTTAGCATTTTTTTTATAAAAAAGAGAAATAGGACGGTATTAATAATTAATAGTCCCATCGCGTATTTAATTTTCCGACCTTGATTGGTTGTATGGAATTTTAGCTCAAGATCAAATTTAAAACGATATTAAATATAAATTTAGATTATGAATACTGGCCATAGATTGTCATTTGCAGACGACATGTTTTCTATTCGCCGATTTACTTTTTTTATTTGGTAATATTTTCAGAAATATATCATTTTACGTGTTTCTTCGAGAATCTATGCAACTCTAAACTAAGTGACAATTAATAACGAAAATCAAATTAATGACTGCACCTGTATTTCACAAAAATAATAATTTCAAACACTTTTAAAAATTTCTTGAGGTTTATACATGAATTAAATTTCATTCATCATATATATTCACAAGAACTATGAAAATTATATATTTGTTTGCAGGTTTAATCTATATCTGAAGCTATTTATCGTACTGTTTATCTTAATAGGCATAAAATGGCTTATGTTAACAGCGGAAGTATTATCTGAAAACGTATCAATTTTCAACTCGTATGTTTTTGATTTGCTAAACATTATGCAGAATCTATGCACCTTTATCATATTTGTGTGGAGAAAAAAGATCAAGCGCATGTTATTCAAGCGATTCGGCTGCGGTTTGTTGTCAAAAGCTCGATCCGAATCGAATGCAACATTGTCGAGCATTATTTCCACGTAAAAAGATATATATATATATAGTCATACAGAAGAAGATGAGTTCTTCCGGACAAGCATAAAGTCACATTGATATGACCAACCTTTAATTTTTATTTGAAAATTAAAATCATGTTTATTTATGCTGATCTTTATGTTTAAGATTAATAATTATAATTCATCCATATTTTTGGATTTCGTAGCAAAAGCATATTTATTATCTCGTTTCTTTTTCAAATTTAAATGAGATTTTGTTACATTCATTGACATAAATATTTATATTGTTAATTGTGGACTAATATTATTTTCAATTTTCAATATTTGTAAAACTTTAGAAAACTGCTACACAATTTGCATGATATTACTATAAGTTGTTATATTTATATCAAATAAAAATATGTTTATTTCTTAATATTATATGACTTATAATAAAAATTTATAATATTAGTATATTTTTTATAACTTAGTGGAATTTTCAAAAACTTTATTCGACACGAAATCATTCTTTTCAAGCAGATTTTTATAAATTTTTGTGATGTAGAGTTTTCTTCATAATTGACATTTGTTAAATTGATGTGAGAGTTTATCGGAATTTCGTCTTCATCCTCATGATTGTCAACAGAACGCTTGCTTAGTTTATATAGTATAGAATCAACGCGGTCGTTATTCATGGAAATATTGGTAAATTTATTTTACATTCCATATCGCGTTTTGCTAATTAATTTTGTATGCAAATCATATTGCAGTGTTTTTATCTTGTTCTTAGAAAATGTTGTAGAATTCATATCTATCTCGTATCGTACTGTCAAATTATGACCTTCCTCTTCATTGTTGGTGCAATTTTGCTGAGATTTCGATAACGTGATGAAAAAAAAAGTCTACAATACAAAAACGCGAAATTTTTATGACACAATATTTCATATTAGTATATACTTTGTAATAATTAAATAATTAAATCAGTCAAATTCTTCAATATTTATCAGTTCTCACATATGGATTTCTAATTGTCAAAAATTAAATAATTCTGTATTAAATTTTTGCTTTAGATATTATATTAAGTTTATGAAATTCAGGTGTTAAATGCAGAATATATACTTGTAATAAAATCAAAATATTCTTTTGCTTTTGTGTTTCTTAACAAAATCTCAAAAGATTGATCCGATTATTCTGCTATTAATTTAAACGATTGCACGATTGATTTTTAATTATCTCGCTAGACTCGTTATAACATATACTATATATCAATATATCTGATATTATCTTGTATTTCTAAAAGAAGAGCAGAATGCACAAGGAAACGTTTCTACAAGATACAACGTGTTTCTACAAGAGAGGAAATGAAACTATCGAGAGCGACGAGTCGTCGATAGTTTTGAGAGAAATCACGCACACATGCTGTCTATCCACTATTATAAAATTATACACATTTACGTATGCTTGACAACACTTTTATTATTTCATTAATTAAAATACAATTAAATTTAATTATTATATAAATATAGACAATAGCGCACTGCGCGGACGCCATTGTTTGATTTTATATAATAATTTTATTCAATTTTACTTAATTAAAATAAAACATTTTTTTAAAACTAAAAACTCGCGAATTAAAATTATGTGACAAATAATATGGCTAGAACGCTCTTATCGTAAATAAAAAGGATAGAGAATGTACCGCTGCAAGAGAAAAGAGCAGTCGCCAAATTAGCGGAAGGTCTCGAGTTCGTTTCCCGATTCAGCCGACTTTTTCGGACCGATATATTTGTCTCGTCTACATCCGTTTTAGGAGAGTAAAAAAAGAAGAGAAAGTTAAATCTCAATTTAGAGATTATTCCTCTCTTCTCTTAGCGAATTGCTAAGTATTATATTTGGCTCTTTGCAGCGCTACATTCTCTACTTGCAAAATTATGTGCATAATAGAAAATTGACGAAAAAAATTTTATACACAATAGAAGTTATTAATTCTTGCTCACAGCCCGGAAGCAATTGTTCCTAATTATTACATATTAAAGTGCTTCATACGATTGAAATGGAACTATTTCGAAACGTTGTGCAATAATATTTTTAACTCTAGGAAACACACACACACACAAACAGACACAAACACACCCACTTATACACACACACACACACACACACACACACACACACACACTGTCTGTAAACTGTTATCAAATTATACACTAAGAACTAGATTTCGAATTATATGCAAATTGCATAATTGTTACTTTTTGCACATTCTATGACAGCATTAATAATGTGAAATAATTGTAATAGTTTTAACTAATTATTGTTTATTAATTAAAAAATTATAATTTTATCACATTATTAATCTTCTTATAGAATATGCAAAAATAAAAAATATGCAATTTGCATATAATCCGAAATCTATTAATAACTATGTTATATACATATTATATGATGATTATTTTAATTTTATTTAATTAAATAAATAAAAAAATAAAAAAGAAATAAAAATACGAGAATTAAAATTATGTGCATACATAATAGAAATTTGACGAACAAAAAGTTTGTACACAAAAGAAGTTATTAATTCTTACGCAAAGCCCGGAAGCAATCGTTCCGAATTATTCATGTGCTTCATATGCATTGACAAAATAGAACGATTTCGAAACGCTGTGCAATAATAATTTTAATTCGCCGAATGTTATTATGTATATTATTATAATTCTTAATTTAAAAGGCAATTATTTCTCAGAACAATTTTGATTATTCGATTGAAATAAAGGTAGTAATTGCGTTAAATATACTATGCATATTTTATTAATTCATTTTCAACATGCATATGAGAAAATTACATAAGAAGCACAAATACGATCATTAAAACAAGAATGTATCGTGAATAACAAATTGTTGATAATGTTGGAAGGCAATTTATTTATCGCGAAATCATCTATACAAAGTGTAAGAAAAAATGTTAATAAACTTCTATTCATGATAGATGGATTAATTGATGTTATCCAACACGTTTAATCGCTTAAAACATTAATTTTTAATAAAAAAAATCATTACATATATTTTCAAAGATATAAAACTATTTAAAAACAACGATGAAGTCAATGAGTAAATAATGAAGAGATTTTCACCTACATTATATATTTATATTGATGTAAATGTATGATGTAATCAAAAAATCTATCTCAGAAAATAATTATTCAAGTACGGACATCAGGAAAAATATTTTATGCATCATTCTTTAACTGCGATTTACACAACATAATATGTTTATTAAGATGGAAACTGTGTAATTTTACGCAAATCCAGTTTGCACTTCTACGTATTTTTCACAGTATTGCAATCATTGATTTGATTCAATTATATGTAAAGTAATATAAATTTTCTATATGAGTTTTTAAACTAAATTTTTTATAAAGAAACGTTAACATCGACATATAAAACTGTAAAATTAATTATTTCAATTTTAATAAAATTATATTAAATTGCTGATTGCTCGTTGGAGCCTAATCTGTGATAAAACTTTTTTTATATAATTATATATATAGTTTGAACCTGCAAACAAATATTAATATTAAGTCATCTTTCAATAAAAAATAATAAATTTTTATATATCAAATTATAGAATTGAAAAATAAAGAAATAAATTACAATCTTCAAAAAAAGAAAAAAAGAAACAGTAGTTTAAATAACTTCTTAAAAATGTAATTTTCTTTATAAAATAAATGCGTATTCGTTAACTTTATTCTCACTAATTTATTGCGACATTTCAAAAATTACAGACTATGTTGAAAACATACGATTCAAGTTAAAGCAATAAATGTTTTTCTTTTCTTATAGATTATATAATTATACATAACAGAAAAAAAAAAAACAATGAGCACAGTGAAAATGCTTTCTTCATCTGAAATGCGAATCAAGCGAGTATGAAATATTGTCGCCAGAGACATTGAAATAAATAATTCTGCATAAATCTCATTAAAAAAATAAAAGATTTTCACTAATTGTAAGTGTTACAAAAATGTCAAAATTCTCACCATTCCTTGTTGTTATTATATCGCTTGCTTTCTGAATCTGTAAGACGAAAATCTGTACCCTGTCCGTAGCGTTAGAAGTTCAGTGCAGCAGAGATGGATAAGCAAACGCTATTAATATTACAGACAGATTTGATCCCGTAAAAATACAATAGATACGGCACTGTTTTTCTAAGAAAATTACATAAAATTACATACTATTTCAAACAATTTTAAAATGCGTAGCATTAATAGTGTTACCTGAAACGTACCTTTACTATGATACCAGCACTGACGTAACAATACCTCGTCAGTGGTATAATAGACGGACAGCTTCTTGCTAAGCTATCGACGACTCGTCGTGCTCGGTAGTCTCAGCTTCTCTCCCGCGCAGAAACATGTATCTTGTGCATTCTACTAACGAAAAAAAGTCGAATACAGTGATATAGTACTGACTTTATCTAATGAGATAATTGAAATTCAAGACGTGCAATCACCAATATTAATAGTAATGGTGCTAAAATCAAATCGACATTTCGAGATTTTGTTGAGAAACAAAATAAGATAATTTTATTTTATTATATTTTGCACTTGACACATTTTATTGAAATTAATAGAAAAATAAAAGTGTGCAAAAATTTAATGTGACATGTTTTAATTATTGCGAATTTAAAACTTACATGAAAAATTATATGAACACTAAATTTGATTATCTAATTATTCGAATGTTTATTATTACAGGAAATAATGAGTGGAAAGATATTTGCATTTGTGTGTTCCATGCTTCTCCTCGTTATTTCGTTATCAAAATCGCAGCAAAGTTTTACCAACCAGGATAATAATTTAACGATACGATACGAGATAAATACGGATTCTACAACAAATTATAACGACGAAATAATAACACTGCGACATGATTTGCATACAAAGATTATAAATAATACACAAAATGACAATAAAGATGATGAGCAAAAATCGATGAAATCTAACACGAATTCGACAAATGTCAATCATAAAAGGAATTTTACGCTGCAGGAAGTTTATGAAAATGTAATTGAAAAGAATGATTCTATGTCACTTGAAGTCCTCAAAAATTCCAACAAAGATGCTGATGAAACTATCATCGTCCCAAACGAAATGTGTCATAATGATACTTGTATTCGGTTCTGCTGTTCTCTTGGCGATCGTTTGGTTGTAAGCAACTGCACTCATGAAGAAATTGAATACATTTTTCCGAAAGTATACATGAACGATTTGACGCAGAGTGAAAAGAAAGTAAACGAATTGTTTCAACTGACTATTTATGATTCGTGCAAGGGTAGTCACTCTTTGTCTCCCAGAGGTTTTCAGTACGATTATAAGATTTTTACCAACGGTTCTATATATTTACCTTATGATAAAATATTTGTTGAATCGACATCGTATTGTCTCGCCGTCGTCGACGGAAATGAGTTCGAAGTAACCATCTGTTCCAAAACTTTCGACAAGATCAAAGAGATAACTCATACTATTACAAACAAAGATATTATGGAAATGAGTGTCGATATAGCATCTATATTACTTTTGGGGTCAGCATTTCTCGTGTATTCCATATTGCCGGAACTCCGAAATAGATACGGCTTCATGTTGCGCAATTACAACGGTGCCCTGACTATTGTATACGGAATTCGTTTTGTGCATTTTTTGATCAAATCGGATGATATACAGTATTCCGTTTGCGTTACAATAGGTAGAGTATATATCTAAATCTTAAAACTATGCAATCAATATATTTATATATGTCAGATATTTAATGTATATTTGCATATTAAATTCTAATTAATAATTTTAATAATTATTTGTATATATTATTCGTTAAAATCTATTAAAAGAGCAAAACAGTGAATGACATTTAAATTTTATTTAAATGCATTTAAATATATCATTATTATATGTTATTCGTCTCAAATGGATTTATTTCTTTGGGTTTTGAATTTTGTAGAATTACATATTGAATCAAACATGTTTAATTTGATATTAGCAGTTTTATTACGTAAATATTATTATAAAATTTAGTATTAAAAATTAAAGTAAATCTGTTTTAATAGAGAAACATATAAATGTGATAACTTTGAAATCCTGCAATTTTAACGAGTAATGATAAATAATATATTATTTATTATATATATTTTATTATCATAGTTTATCATAATATTTTATATAATATATTATTATTTATTCATAATATAGAAATATATAACGAGCAAGAAATAGACCAAAAGAGCAACGCAAAGTAATTAGGTCGCATATATAAAGTTTCTTTATTTAATGGAAAAAATTTGTTTACTAAATAAAGCTGTATTTGCGATCAAATTATACTTCGCGTAGCTGTTATCACCTCTTTCCTGCTCCTTATTTATTTCTCAACTATAAAAGCAAATTACATATTACATTTATATTTATATTAATAATATTATATATTATTATTTATTATTTATTATTACAATCTTTAATTTTATTCATTTTTATAGCCTTTATACAATACTTTGCCTATATGGCGAGTTACTTTTGGTTAATTATAATGAGCTTTGATATGTGGTGCACATTCAGGTAGGTTGGAAAATATTCTATATTATTACTACTTATTTTTAACTTTTTATTTATCTTATAAAATTTTTCCTTTTTGATTTTACATATATCGGTTTAAAGATAAAGATAGATAATATATAATATGAAAATTCTGTATTAATCAAATTTTCTTACATATTGTGTTAGTACGTGTAAAAGCAACTATATATTTGAAACTAATATGTAATAATAAAACAATTATATTTAGAACATTATAAGTTAGAATATAAAGATAATAGGTTCAAATTATAATTTGGAATAAATAGTTTTCTTGGATATTTTTATTAATTGATTACAGACTTTTAAACGGTTAATTTTTAAAAGTAAAAATAGCGTATTAGATATAATAAGCATATTATATATTTAATTTAAATATATATAAAACATTATAACAAAATCTAATAATTCGATATAATGCAATATTATTTTGATATTTAACTTTTTTCTCCTTTAATTTATATTAATTTATAAAATAAAGCAATACACGATATGTTTTCACAAAATAAAAGTAGATTTTTTAATTAAAAATTTGTCTTTTAAAAATAAATAAAAATTATAATACCATTGTCGTGTCTGCATAATAACTATGTAAATAAACACTTTTAAAATAATTAAGGCATAAAAAAAATAATAAAAGACAATTGTCCAACAATAGGCAAACTTTAAATAGATATAACTTTGTTTCGAATAATGAGAATTTAAACTTTAAAAAAGAGTTTTAAAACGTGAAATCTCTAATTTCAGTGGTTTACATCTTTTTTTATTAGCTTAAGTTCTGATATTTTTTATATATAAAAAACGAAAAACATAACAAAATAAAAAATTTCTTCTCACTTTGTAGACGTGTCGCATGCACAAAAAAATTTGAAAAATTTCTTGACATTTACATGTTACAGTCTGAAGTTTTATGTGCAAAATTGTTTTTTAAAACGTAAATCCTCATCTTTTTTTATCAAAAGTTATCGCAAATTAAAGAGAAAATGTCATTTTCACTATAATCGTTCATAACACCGTTAAAAATCATTCTACAGCAATTTAAAAATGGATTCTTCAAGCTGAAACTTTGCTCTATAGTATGATATAGTGACTTCATCAAAGACACATTATTTTAACGTTTTTACATTCTGATTTCTTTTATGTGTTGTTTGTTAAATATGTTTGTAAATTGCAGAGAATTCTGTTCGTTACAAAGAAACGTCAGACAACAAGAAAAAAAAAAGTTGATATATTATACGATCTTTGCATGGGGATGTCCCTTTATGTTTGCTATTTTATCTGTCAGCATGGATATTCTTTCTAAGTACCATCATGTACCACCAATTTTGCAACCGGAATTTTATTTAGGAGATTGCTGGTTTTTTGGTAAGTGAAGATAAAACTATATAGCATTCTAGTATGGTGAGAAAGAGCATAAAAACTCATGATGTTTTATACTTACAGAGACTGGTCCGTATATGTTGTATTATTATGGGCTCATGAGTATGTGCGTCACCAGTAGCATTTGTTTATCTATTTATACGGCATTAAAAATTGAGCGTTTCACAAAGGAATCGGGTTCTTTTCTAAAAGATTTGGAGAACAAATGCTTTAACGATAATAAAAAATGGTATGTACTCAGATTTCATTGTATTGATATATGATAATTTATTTTATTAATAAAATTTATGCTACTTATATTAACATTTATGCAAACAGCATCGCATAATTGATTGTTTCGCATTTTTTTTTTATAACAGAGAGAAATTAGCCGATATTAATAACTAATCGTCTAATCGTATATTTAATTTAAAATCCGAGCTTGATTGGTTGAATGGAATTTTATGTCAAAATCAGATTTAAAACAATATTAAATATAAAGTCAGATTATGATCACTGGTCATAGATTGTCGTTTGCAGATGACATTTTTTCTATTCGCCGATTTACTTTTTTTATTTTGTAATATTTTCTTGAATATATTATTTTACGTGTTTCTTCGAAAATCTATGCAATTCTAAACAAAATGACAATTAATAACAAATAATAAATAAAAATTAAGTTAATGACTGCACCTGTATTTCACAAAAATACAAATTTTAAACACTTTCAAAAATTTCTTAAGGTTTATAAATCAATTCAATTTTATTCATCATATATTCACAAGAACTATGAAAATTATATATTTGTTTGCAGGTTTAATCTATATCTGCAGCTATTTATCGTAATGTTTATCCTAATGGGCATAGAATTGATCGTGATAGCAGCGTACGAAATATTTAAAACTGAACCAATTTACAACATTGCATTGTATGTTGTTGATTCGCTGGACATTATGCAGAGTCTGTGCGTCTTTATCGTATTTGTGTGTAACAAAAAAATCAAGCGCATGTTATTCAAGCGATTCGGCTTCGGTTTATCGCCAAATGCTGGACACGGATCGAATGCAACATTGTCGAGCATTTTTACCACGTCACAAGAAATAGTCATGCAGGAGAAAATGAGTTCTTCCGGACGAGCAAGAAGTCACACTGATAGGATCGACTTTTAATTTTTATTTGAAAATTAAAATCATGTTTTTTTATGTCGTTCTTTATAGTTAAGATTAAAAATTATAATTCACACATATTTTCGGATTTTGTAGCAAAAGCATATTATTTTGTCTCGTTTCTTTTTCAAATTTAAGTAAAATTATGATATATTCCTTGACATAAATATATATAATATTGTTAATTGTAGGCTGATATTATTTTCATATTGTGAATATTAGTAGATATTCAGAAAGCTGCTACAAAATTTGCATGAAATTACTATAAGTTGTTATTATCCACGTATCAAATAAAAATATGTTTATTTATTAATATTCTGGGTAGGGTAGAAATGCGAAAAAAGGCGTAATAGGCGGCGAAGCGGAGCGGCGTGGCGTTTCATGTATAATTGTATGTATTTATTAAATTTAAGTTATAAGTTTAAGTTATAGGTTAAGGATTGAATGTAAATGGACGCATAAAGGTTTGGGATCGCTCCTTTAAACAAAAAAAAGCGCCTTGTAATCTCCAATTGGGGCAACAATAAACGTATCTAATCTATTAATATTATAAATTGTAATAAAAATTTATAATATTATTATAATTTTTATAACTTAATTAAATATTTTATCATAAAATTATTGTAACATTAATACTTGAATAATTAAAATCTTAAATTTTTTATGATCTCAATAATCCGGTATAGCTTCCTATTGTTTTTAATATAATTTACATTTTAGTAATTATTAGTTTCAATTATTGATTTTGAAGAAATCAATGTAATTTTTGTGAAATATTTTTTTCCTTTGTAAAAGTTGAAAGTAAAATATTAAATAGCATCAGCGCTATCGGACCTACCGCTTTAATTCGTAATCAAATAAATGATCATGTTATAACTTTCAAAGTCATGCACGTCGAATATAAACTGGTTTTGAAATAGATTTTGTCTTTACTTTATATGTGCAGGCATTATCTCTAATTTAATGATATATAAGAGTTGGCGAATAACGATAAACATATATTCAACATAATTTTCTTTTTTAATAATTATTTTGTAGTCTAAAGATAACAAATGAGATTAATAAATTTGTGAAATAAATATAATTTTACTAACGCATGCGTTATCGATTAATTATTTAAAACAAATTTTTATATACAAGTATTTAAACGAATAAAATAATTACAATTTAATATACATTTCAAAAATAATTAATAACTACAAAATTTTTATTATTTGATTTTTACTGCGTATCAATTTATTTCTTATTTGCGGTATTCTTAGAAATATGAAGACTCTTTATTTAAGCATTTAATATTTAAAAAACAATCAAGAGTATTTTTCATTTTGCTGCTCTGGATTGGTCGAGCTATCGTTAGTAGTAGTTTCAATGATTTTTTTTATTTTCTATGTATATAGTATGTATAAGCTATATGTGTATAGTCTTATATAGTATATAGTTACTTACGAGGTACTATACCTCGTCAGTAATACCAACAATATGCACCAACTTCGAAATATGATTTTAAGTTTTTTGGTATATACTCGGAAACATAATCCACGACGATTTGCTTTTATATAATGATTTTATTCAATTGTATTTAATTAAAATACAAAAATAAAAAAATAAGAAGGTAATAAAAACTCGGGAGTTAAAATTATGTGCATAATAAAAATTTGACGAAAGAAATTATGTACACAATAGAAGTTATTCATTCTTGCGCAAAACCTGGAAGGAATCGTTCTATCTAATTATTAAAGTCTTCATACGATTGACAAAATGGAACGATTTAGAAACGCTGTGCAATAATAATTTTAATTCGCGAATTTTATTATGTATATTATTTCAATTTGTATTTTAAATTAATTTAATCTATTTTTTAAAAAACGTTTGACAATCTGAATTCGACGTGTGAAAATGCAATTGTTTCTCAGAGCAATTTTGATAATTTAATTGAAATAAAGGTAGTAATTGCGTTAAATGTACATATTTTATTAATTTATTTTCAACATTGCGTCTTATTATATGATTGTATAAGATAATTGTATAAAATGTAATCGATAAATATAATTGTGTAAAAACATTAAAATCGCTATTTTTATAATGAAGATAGAGATTGCAAGAAGTAGGCAAAAGTTCTTAACATTATTAATTCATCTGCTCAAACAATTAGTAAACAATAAAAATTCATAAACAATAATTCATAAACAATAGTAGAAGATAACGCACTAGTTACATAACACATACTGGAAAACACAAGCTGGCGCACGACATTGTCTGCTTTTATATAATAATTTTCTTTAATTTTATTTTAATCAATTGTCAAACTCTTAACGTACTGAATTCTTCGTACATCTTCCAGCGCACAAATTTAAATTTGTTAAAAATTACAAATGCTTATACAATTTTCATTGCATACATTTGACAAAAAGATCGTGAATCATTATTTTCTATTTACAAACAAATATTAATATTTACAAACAAATCTATTTACAAACAAATCTTAATATGTAGTCATTTTTCAATAAAAATAATAAATTCTTATATACCAAATTATAAAATTGAAAAATAAAGGAATTAATTACAATTTTTAAAAAAGGAAAACGAAAAACAGTAGTTTAAAAAAATTCTTCAAAAATATAATTTTCTTTATAAAATAAATGCCTATTCGTTGACTTTATTTTCACTATTTATTGCGACATTTCGAAAATTACAAACTATTTTGAAAAGACACGATTCAAGTTAATGCACAATACATGCTTTTTTTCTTATAGATTATATACTTCTACATAACAAAAAAAAGAAAACAATAAGCACAGTAAAAATGCTTGCTTTCTTCATCTGGAATGCGAATCAAGCGAGTATGGGATATTGTCGGCAAAGACATGGACATAAATATGTCCGCATAAATATCATTAAGATAATAAAAGATTTTCACTAAGTGTTACAAAAATGTCAGAATACTCACTATTTCTTATTGTCATTATATCGCTTGCTTTACAAATCTGATAATAATGTAAATATATAGAACCGTTGGTAAATATCTTATAATCGTACTGACAACCTTCGGAAAGCAGAACGTGATTATCTTAGCACGAATCATAAATGGTCAGCTGAAACGATTTGTTCACTTTCTTTTCGCTCTGCGTCGAATCGTTCGTGTATACTTTTGGAAAAATGTGTTCAATTTTTTTTCATATTACAAGTCTATATATTTTACATGTATGATAAATTCTGTCTTTCCAAATTATTTAATTTATTGACATGTTAGCACAGCGATATTTGTATTGATAAAGACTGTCGTACAGTTAAAACATTTACTAATTATCATTTGTATTATTTTCATGACGTAAAATAAAAAAAAAAATTTTTTTAACATCTAATTAATTAGCTCGTTAAGTTGGCCTTTTAATTTATTACTTATTTGTATTCAATTTCTTCAGGAATGCAGTTCTCATCAACCAGACAATCGCCAAGAAAACAGCAGAGCCGAATGCAAGTATCATTATGACACATTTCGTTTGGGACGATGTTAGTTTCATTAGAATCTTTGTTGAAATTTTTGAAGACTTTAAGTGAGATGGAATCATTCTTTTCAATTACAGTTTCATAAACTTCCTGTGGCGTGAAATTCTTTTTATGATTGACATATGTCGAATTCGTGTTAGATTTCATCGATTTTTGCTCATCACCGTTATTCTGCATTGAATGCTTGTTCAGTTTAAGTTGAATCAAATCATTATCCTCGCGTTTAGTATTCATATGAAATTCATGCTGCATTTTTTCATTTTGTGTATTATTCATCAAATTTTTATGCAAATCATAACGCAGTGTTATTATTTTGTCGTTATAATTTGTTGTAGAATCCGTATTTATCTCGTATCGTATCGTCAAAATATCATCTCTGTTGGTGGAATTTTTTTTTATTTTGATGACGAAATGACAAGAAGAAGCACGGAACACACAATTGCAAACATTTTGCCACTCATTATTTGACATAGGAATATAGTTTAGAATAATTAGATAATCAAATTTAGTGTTCATATAATTTTTCATGTAAGTTTTAAATTCGCAATAATTAAAACATGTTACATTAAATTTATGCACACCTTTGCTTTTCTATTAATTTCAATAAAATATGTAAAGTACAAAGTATAATAAAATTATATTATCTCATTTTGTTTCTCAGCAAAATCTCGAAATGTCGATTTGATTTTAGCACTATATGACTATTAATATTGATAATTGCACGTCTTGAATTTCAATTATCTCATTAGATAAAGTCAGTATTTATTATATCACTGTATCCGGTTTTTTCTCGTTAGAAGAATGCACAAGATACATGTTTCTGCGCGGGAGAGAAGCTGAGACTACCGAGCACGACGAGTCGTCGATAGCTTTGCAAGAAGCTGTCCGTCTATTATACCACTGACGAGGTATTGTTACGTCAGTGCTGGTATCATAGTAAAGGTACGTTTCAGGTAACACTATTAATGCTACGCATTTTAAAATTGTTTGAAATAGTATGTAATTTTATGTAATTTTCTTAGAAAAACAGTGCCGTATCTATTGTATTTTTACGGGATCAAATCTGTCTGTAATAGTAATAGCGTTTGCTTATCCATCTCTGCTGCACTGAACTTCTAACGCTACGGACAGGGTACAGATTTTCGTCTTACAGATTCAGAAAGCAAGCGATATAATAACAACAAGGAATGGTGAGAATTCTGACATTTTTGTAACACATTTAGTAAAAATCTTTTATTTTCTTAATGAGATTTATGCAGACTTATTTATTTTATTGTCTCTGCCGACAATATTTCATACTCGCTTGATTCGCATTTCAGATGAAGAAAGCATTTTCACTGTGCTCATTGTTTTTTTTTTATTTCTGTTATGTATAATTATATAATCTATAAGAAAAGAAAAACATTTATTGCTTTAACTTGAATCGTATGTTTTCAACATAGTCTGTAATTTTTGAAATGTCGCAATAAATTAGTGAGAATAAAGTTAACGAATACGCATTTATTTTATAAAAAAAATTACATTTTTAAGAAGTTATTTAAACTACTGTTTCTTTTTTTCTTTTTTTGAAGATTGTTATTTATTCCTTTATTTTTCAATTCTATAATTTGATATATAAAAATTTATTATTTTTTATTGAAAGATGACTTAATATTAATATTTGTTTGCAGGTTCTAACTATATATATAATTATATAAAAAGAGTTTTATTACAGATTAGGCTCCAACGAGCAATCAGCAATTTAATATAATTTTATTAAAATTGAAATAATAAATTTTACAGTTTTATATGTCGATGTTAACGTTTCTTTAAAAATTTAGTTTAAAAACTCATATAGAAAATTTATATTACTTTACATATAATTGAATCAAATCAATGATTGAAACTGTCCGTCTACTATACTATATAGGACTATACACATATAGCTTTCACATACTATATACAAGGAAAATATAAAAAAATATTAAAACTTTTACTGACGATAGCTCCACCAATCCAGCAGCAAAAGAATAAATACTCTTGACTGTTTTTTAGATATTTAATGCTTAAATAAAGAGTCTTCATATTTCTATAAATACCGCAAATAAGAAATAAATTGATGCAGCAAAAGTCAAATAATAAAAATTATGTAGTTATTAATTATTGTTTAAATATATTTTAAATTGTAATTATTTTATACAATTATATATTTGTATATAAAAATTTGTTTTGAATAATTTATCGATAACGCATGCGTTAGAAAAATTTTATTTATTTCACAAATTTATTAATTTCATTTGTTGTCTTTAAACAACAAAAAAATTATTAAAGGAGAAAATTATGTTGAATATCGTTATTTGCCAAATCTTATACATTATTATATTAAATATAATACCTGCACATATAAAGTAAATACAAAATCTATTCCAAAACCGGTTTATATTCGACATGCATAACAATGAGAGTTATATCATGATCATTTATTTGATTAGGAATTAAAAATAGCGGTAGATCCGATGGCATTGACGCTATTTAATTTTTCACTCTTAATTTTTACCGAGGAAAAAAATATTTCACAAAAATTCATTGAATTTTTCAAAATCAATAATTCAAACTAATAATTACTAAAATGTAAATTATATTAGAAAAAATAGTAAGCTACACCAAATTATTGAGATCATAAAAAATTTAACATTTCAATTATTTAAGTATTAATGTTACAATAATGATAAAATATTTAATTAAGTTATAAATATTATATTAATATTATAAATTTTTATTATAATTCATAATATTAATAAATGAACATATATTTGTTTGACATATGTATAATAACAACTTATAGTAATTTCATGCAAATTTTGTAGCAGTTTTCTGAATTTCTATTAATATTCAAAATATAAAAATAATATTAGTCTACAATTGACAATATTATATATATTTATGTAAAAAAATGTAACACAATTTTATTTGAATATGAAAAAGAAATGAGACAAAATAATATGCTTTTGCTACAAAATCCGAAAATATGTATGAATTATAATTATTAATTTTAACTATAAAAAACAACATAAAAAACATGATTTCCATTTTCAAATAAAAATTAAAAGTCGATTCTATCAGTGTGACTTCTTGCTCGTCCGAAAAAACTCATCTTCTCCTGTATGACTATTTTTTTTGACGTAGTAATAATGCTTGAAAATGTTGCATTCGATCCGTGTCAAGTATTTGGCGACAAACCGCAGCCGAATCGCTTGAATAACATACGCTTGATCCTTTTTTTACACACAAATATGATAAAGACGCACAGACTCTGCATAATGTCCATCAAACTCATACCATACCAGTAGTAAATTTCATATACATTGTCAGCTAATGACGCTGTTATCATTAGCCATTGTATGCCTATTAAGATAAATAGCACGATAAATAGCTGCAGATATAAATTAAACCTGCAAACAAATATTGTATATAATTTTCATAGTTTTTGTGAATATACAGGGTGAGGCAATAACTATTAGGACCTTAAATATCTTCGAATCTATGAGGCCCAGAAGAAGATTTGTGTAACAAAAATTGCACGGTACGAAGAGAGCTATCATATGGCGATAATAATTTTTGTTTAGGTGGAGGCGCTTCGGAGATACCAAAGTCATCTTCATTTTTTTAAATGGATTCAATATGTTTTTTTTCTATAATATGATAGAGGAACTCGAAACAAGTTCAGAACTCACGACACAAGATCATTGAACAAGATTTAAAGTAAAGAAAAATCGATAGAATTTTATTATTAAATAAAATTCACGTTTACAAAAGATATTCGAACAATACATCGTGCATAATTGACTGACTTTTATTTTCATTTTATTTTAATCTTATTTCAACCCATTTTCATGTCTAGTTTATCCTGAAAACTTGCTCAGATACCTTTTTCTGAACTTGTTTCGAGTTCCTCTATCATATTATAGAAAAAAAACATATTGAATCCATTGAAAAAAATGAAGATGACTTTGGTATCTCCGAACCGCCTCCACCTAAACAAAATTATTATCGCCATATGATAGCCCCCTTCGTACCGTGCAATTTTTGTTACACAAATCTTCCTCTGGGCCTCATAGATTCGAAGATATTTAAGGTCCTAATAGTTATTACCTCACCCTGTATGTGATGAATAAAATATAATTGATGTATAAACCTTAAGAAATTTTTGAAAGTGTTTAAAATTTGTGTTTTTATGAAATAAAAGTGCATTTTTTAATTTGATTTTTGTTATTAATTGTCATGTTATTTAGAATTGTGTAGATTTTCGAAAGAACACGTAAAATAATATATTCTCGAAAATATTACAAAATAAAAAAATTAATCGGCAAATAGAAAAAATATCATCTGCAAATGACAATCTATGACCAGTATTCATAATCTGATAATTAAATCTGATCTTGACTTAAAATTCCATTCAACCAATGAAGCTCGAACTTAAAATTAAATACACGATCGGACTATATTAATTTTATTAATAAAATAGATTATCATATCTCAATACAACGATATCTGAGTACATACCATTTTTTATTATCGTTAAAGCATTTATTCTCCGAATCTTTCAGACAAGGACCCGATTCCTTTTTGAAACGCGCAATTTTTAATGCCGTATAAATAGATAAACAATTGCTACTGATGACGCACATACTACTGAGCCCATAAAAATACAACACATACGGACCAGTCTCTGTAAGTATAAAACATCATGAGTTTTTATGCTCCTTCTCACCATACTAAAATGCTATAGCATTAATAAAGTCTTCACTTACCATTAAACCAGCAATTTGCTAAATAAAATTCCGGTCGCAAAATCGGTGGTACTTTTACGTACGCGGAAAGAATTTCCATGCTGACAGATAAAATAGCAAGCACAAAGGGACATCCCCACGCAAAGATCGTATAATATATCAACTTTCTTTTTTCTCGTATGATGTTTCTTTGTAACGAACAAAATCCTCTGCAATTTAGACAACATATTTAACAAACAATAGATAAAAGAAATCAGAATGTAGAAACGTTTAAATAATGTGTTTTCAGTCACTTTATGTCACTTTATCATACTATAGAGCAAAGATTCAGCTTGAAGAATCCATTCTTAAAATTACTGTACGATGATTTTTAACGGTGTTATGAACGATTAAATTGAAAATGACATTTTCTCTTCAATTTGCGATAACTTGATAAGGAAAGATCGACATTTACATTTTAAAAAACAATTTTGCAAGGAAAACTTCAGGCTATAACATGGAAATGTCAAAAAATTTTTCAAATTTTTTTGTGAGACACGTTTACAAGTAAAAAAAAATTTTTATTTATGTTATTTGTTTTTTATATATAAAAAATATCACAAAATTGAAGAAAATAAAAAAAATTGTAAACCATTGAAAGCAGAAATTTCAAGCTTTAAAACTTTTTTAAAATTTAAATTTTCATTATTCGAAACAAAGTTAAATTATTTAAAGCCCATTTTTGGACAATTGTTTTTTTCATGCCATAATTATTTTAAAAAGGGTATGTTTACATAATTATTATGCAGATACGACACTGGTACTTTAAATTTTTATTTACTTTTGAGAGACAAACTTTTCATAAAAAATCTATTTTTATTTTGTAAAAAGTTATCGTGTATTGTTTTATTTTATAAATAAAAAGAGAAAAACGTCAAATCCAAATATTATTGCTTTATACCGAATTATTGGATTTTGTTATAATATTTTATACATATTTAAATTAAATATATAATATGCTTATTACATCTAATAGGTCATTTTTACTTTTAAAAAATTAACCGTTTAAAAGTCTGTAATCAATTAATAAAAATATCCAAGAGAACTATTTATTCCAAATTATAATTTGAACCTATTATCTTTATACTCTGACTTATAATGTCCTAAGTATAATTGTTTTATTATTAAATATTATTTTCAAATATTATATATAATTGTTTTTGAACGTACCAACACAATATATAAGAAAATTCGATTAATCCAGAATTTTGCATATTATGTATTCTCTCTCTTTATCTTTAAATCAATATATGTAAAATCAAGAAAAAAGAATTTTTTAAACATAAATAAAAGATTAAAAATAAGTAGTAATAATAATATAGAATATTTTCCAACTTACCTGAATGTGCACCACATATCAAAACTCATTATAGTTAACCATAAGTAACTCGATATGATGCTCAAGAAGTATAAAAAGGCTGTAAAAATTAATAAAATTAAAGACTTGTAATAATAAATAATAAATAATAAATAATTATATATATAATATTATTAATATAAATATAAATGTAATATGTAATTTGCCCTTATAGTTAAGAAATAAATAAAGAGCAGGAAAGAGGTCAAAACAGCTACGCGAAGAATACAAAGAAATATAACTATTTGTGTAAGACAAACTTATATTAATTATATATTAAAATGCATTTAAATAAAATTTCATTTTTTTAAATAAAACGTCATTTACTGTGTTGCATTCTTAAGATTTTAACAAATAATATATTCAAGTAATAATTAAAATTATTAATTAAAATATTTAATATGCAAATTTAATATGCAAATTTAATACCTATGCAATATTTAATATATATTACATTAGATATCTGACAAATATATATACCCTATACTTATTACATAGTTTTATGATTTAGATATATACTCTACCTATTGTAACGCAGACGGGATACTGTATATCCGATTTGATAAAAATATACACCAGATCAATTCCGTATGCAACAAACACGGCACCGCTATAATTGCGCAACATAAAGCCGTGTTTATTTTGGAGTTCTGGCAATATGGAATACACCAAAAATACTGACCCCAAAAGTAATATAGTCACTATATCGGCACTTATTTGCAAAATATCTTCGTCAAAATTCAAGGGCTCATTATCAGTTATCTCCTCGGTCTTGTCATAAGTTTCGGAACAGTAGATCACTTGGAATTCACTCCCGTCGACGACGGCGAGACAATATGATGACGATTCAACAAATATATCATAATAAGGTAAATATATAGAACCGTTGGTAAAAATCTTAAAATCGTACTGAAAACCTTCAGGAAGCAGATAGTAATCTTCCTGGCACGAATCATAAATGGCCAAGTAAAACAATTCGTTTACTCTCTTTTCGCTCTGCGTCGAATCGTTCGTGTATACCTTTGGAAAAATGTATTCAAATTCGTCAGGACTGCAGTTGTCATCAACGATACGCTCGTCAAGAAAACAGCAGAACCGAATGCAAGTATCATTATGACACATTTCGTTTAGGACGATGATAGTTTCATTAGCATCTTTGCTGGAATTTTTGAGGACTTCAAGTGACATGGAATCATTCTTTTCAATTACATTTTCATAAATTTCCGGCGTAAAATTTCCTTTATGATTGACATTTGTCGAATTCGTGTTAGATTTCATCGATTTTTGCTCATCATCTTTATTGTCATTTTGTGTATTATTCATAATCTTTTTATGCAAATCATATCGCAGGGTTATTATTTCGTCGTTATAATTTGTTGTAGAATCCGTATTTATCTCGTATCGTATCGTCAAATTATCATCTTCGTTAGTGGAATTTTGCTGCGATTTTGATGACGAAAGGACGAGGAGAAGCACGGAACACAGAAATGCAAATATCTTTCCACTCATTATTTCCTGTAATAATAAACATTCGAATAATTAGATAATCAAATTTAGTGTTCATCTCATATAAGTTTTAAATTATCAATAATTAAAAAATGTCACATTAAATTTTTGCACACCTTTCCTTTTCTATTAAATTCAATAAAATATGTAAAGTAGAAAGTATAATAAAATTATATTATCTCATTTTGTTTCTCAGCAGAATCTCGAAATGTCGATTTGATTTTAGCACCATTACTATTAATATTGGTGATTGCACGTCTTGAATTTTAATTATCTCATTAGATAAAGTCAGTACTATATCACTGTATTCGGCTTTTTCTCGTTAGAAGAATGCACAAGATACATGTTTATGCGCGGGAGAGAAGCTGAGACTACCGAGCACGACGAGTCGTCGATAGCTTTGCAAAAAACTGTCCGTCTACTATACCACTGACGAGGTACTGTTACGTCAGTGCTGGTAAAAGTACGTTTTAGGTAGTTAATGCTACGCATTTTAAATATGTCTGAAACAATATGTAATTTTATATTATATCATTCTTACAAAAACAGTGCCGTATCTGTTGTATTTTCACGGGATCAGAACTGTCTGTCTAATTATTACCATTTGCTTATCCATCTCTGCGGCACTGAACATCAAACGCAACGAAAAGGATACAAACCTTCGTCTATCAGATTTGGAAAGCAAGCGATATAATGACAATAAAGAATGGTGAGTATTCTGACATTTTTGTAACATTTATTGTTAGTGAAAATCTTTTATTATCTTAATGAGATTTATGCAGACATATTTATGTCAATGTGTCTGTCGTCTCTATCTCATACTTGCTTGATTCGCATTCCAGTTGAAGAAAACAGGCATTTTCACTGTGCTTATTCTTTTTTTTCTTTCTGTTATGTATAATTATATAATCTATAAGAAAAGAAAACATTTATATGCTATTCTAAACAAAATGTCAATTAATAACCAAAATCTAATTAATGACTGCATCTGTATTTCACAAAAATAAAAATTTTAAACGCTTTCAAAAATTTTTAACGTTTATACATCAATTAAATTTTATTCGTCATATATATTCACAAGAACTATGAAAATTATGTATTTGTTTCCTGGTTTAATCTAAATCTGAAGCTACTTGTCGTGCTATTTATTTTATTAGGCATAAAATGGTTCATAATAACAATGCAAAATAACTACGAAATACTTTTGGCCATAGATTGTCATTTGCAGACGACATGTTTTCTATTCGCCGATTTACTTTTTTTATTTGGTAATATTTTCAGAAATATATCATTTACGTGTTTCTTCGAGAATCTATGCAACTCTAAACTAAGTGACAATTAATAACGAAAATTAATGACTGCACCTGTATTTCACAAAAATAATAATTTCAAACACTTTTAAAAATTTCTTGAGGTTTATACATGAATTAAATTTCATTCATCTATATATTCACAAGAACTTTATATATTTGTTTGCAGGTTTAATCTATATCTGAAGCTATTTATCGTACTGTTTATCTTAATAGGCATAAAATGGCTTATGTTAACAGCGGAAGTATTATCTGAAAACGTATCAATTTACAACTCGTATGTTTTTATTTGCTGGACGTTATGCAGAATTTGTGCACCTTTATCATATTTGTGTGGAAGAAAAGATCAAGCGCATGTTGTTCAAGCTATTCGGCTGCGATTTGTTGCCAAAAGCTTGAGACGGATCTAATGCAACATTGTCGAGCATTATTATTACGTAAAAAGAAATAGTCATACAAGTGAAAATGATTTCTTCCGGACGAACATGAAGTTACACTGATATGACCGATCTTTAATTTTATTTGAAAATTAAAGTTCTGTTTATTTATGCTGATCTTTTATGTTTAAGATTAATAATTATAATTACTCCATATTTTGGATTTCGTAGCAAAAGCATATTATATTATCTCGTTTCTTTTTCAAATTTAAATGAGATTTTGTTACATTTATTGACATAAATATTTATAATATTGTTAATTGTCGGCTGATATTATTTTCAATTTTCAATATATGTAAAACTTTAGAAAGCTGTTACAAAATTTATGAAATTATTATAAATTGTTAATATATGTATATATCAAATAAAAATATGTTTATTTATTAATATTGTAAATTGTAATAAGAATTCACAATATTAGTTTAATATTTATAACCTAATTATATAATTATATCATCATAAAATTATTGTAACATTAATACTTAAATAATTGAAATCTTAGATTTTTATGATCACAATAATTCGATTTTGATTATTTTCTCTAATATGATTTACATTTTAGTAATTATTAGTTTCAATTATTGATTTTGAAGAAATCAATGAAATTTCTGTGAAAGATATTTTTTCCTCGACAAAAGTTGGGAGTAAAAAATTAAATAGCATCAGCGCCATCGGAGCTACTTTTAATTAAATAATTAAATTTAATTAATTAAATAATTAAATCATTCAAACTTATCAGTATTCATCCGTTCTCACATACGGATTTCGAATTTCCAAGAATTTAATAAATTCTGTATAAAATTTATGCATAACTTAGCTTTTATATTATTTGTATTAAAGAAAAATGTTGAATACAATAATGAAATCAAATTATCTTTTGTTTTTTTATGTTTATTAACAAAATCTCGAAAGATTGATCTGATTTTATTCTACTATTAATGTAGACGATTACGCGATTGATTTTTAATTATCTCGCTAGGTGCAGTAAAACATATACTACATCACTATAACCGATATTATCTTCTTTTTCTAAAAGGAGAGCAGAATGTACAAGAAAACGTGTTTCCACAAGAGAGGAAATGAAACTATCAAGGACGACGAATCGTCGATTGTTTTGTGAGGAAACACACACACGCACGCACACACATTATCTATCTACTATATAAAATTATACTTATTTAACATTTACGTATACGAGACAACACAAATGCGTGCTGCGCGCACGATATTGTCTGCTGGTATATAATAATTTTAAATAATTTTATTTTAATTAAAGAAATAAAAAAATGAAAAAGAAATAAAAGTTCGGGAATTAAAAATATGTACATAAAAAAATTTGGGAATTAAAATTATATACATTATACATAATAGAAATTTGGTAAATTAACATTTTGTAGGCAATAAAACGTATTTTTTTAACTTGTAATTAATTTTTCATACAAATTAAATTTATTTTTCGTAGATACATATTATTATTATATGTGGATACATGTATAACATGCGGATATATAATATAATCGTGTACGAATTTATTCGTAATTAATTTGTGAATTATATCAAATTGAATAAAAATATTTTACTTTTCTTTTATACATTTATATATATATTTTTATTATATATTTTAGATATTTATTTGTCTTTAAAAATCTTCCTTTATATCATAATACAGTACAATATACTGTACCTAATCTTTTATAAGATTGTTTGAAGAATTTTTTTACAATAGACTGATTTATAACCATTGATTTGACTCAAAAATACGTATCAATACAATAAATTTTCTCTGTGAAAGTTTAAACTAAATCTTTTGAAGAAACGTAAACATCTATGTCTAACACTGTAAAGTTATTTTCAATTGAAAAATTATAAGATTATATTAAATTGCTGATTATTTATTGATTCTTGAACTGCGATAAAACTTTTTTACACATTAGAGTTCAGTCCCATCAAATCTTTCGCGTGACAGTTTTCTTGTCCGCAAGAACTCGACTTTTCCTACATTATAAACACCTCTGACGTGATAATCAAGTAGTCGATGATGATACACCATTTGTCTTGCATCCGAATCGTTTCAATAATATAATTATGACTTTCTTTTTGCATACAAATATAATAAAAGTGCAAATATGCTGCGGAATATCTATCACATCAATATAATACCCGATGGCATCGGGTATATAGTTAAACAAATATAACACTCTTATGACCCATTGATGAGCAAGACGAATTGCACCATAAATAGTCTTAGATACAACTGTAACCTGCAAGCAATATATATTTACAATTGGATATCTTTCAATAAAAATAATATATACTATTTATCGAACTATCTTTAAATATATAATAAGAAAATTTTGATCCTGAAAAAATGTCTGAATACAAACCATTTTTTATTGTCATTGTATTGCTTGCTGTCTGAATCTGACAGACGAGTTCTCGTTTCCTTTTCGTAACGTTCATTGACGCAGAGATGGAAAAGCAAACGCTACTAATAATACAGATACTTCTCCAATTGTAAAAATATATCATCAATGTTTCCTTCTCTGTAAATATGATATGTAATAAATTTTTTTACTCTTTTTTACAATATATTAAAATGCTGTAGCATTAATAGAGTTATCTGTCAAAGACGTTTACTTACTACTGAACCAGCAATCTCCTAGTTGAAATTCCGGTCGCCAAATCTCTGGTAGACGAGAGGAAACAGACTCCATGATGACACAAAAAGTAGCTAATATAAAGAGGCAACCCCATGCATAGAATGAATAATATATCAATTTTCTGTTCTCACGTTGTCTAATGCTTCTTTGTAACGAACTGAATTCTCTGCAATTTTTACTTGTCATTATTTAGTTAACTATACATAAAAGAGAAACATCTTGTAACAATATATTGCAAATTATTATAGGCTACGTTATATTTTATAATTATTTAAATTAAAAATGTGATAATGTGTATTATCTCAAATGTCATTTTTACATTTAAAAAATTAACTCGATTTGAACAAAAAATTTGATCTTAAATTAACTATCAAAATGTTTTTTAATAATATAAATTCTCAAAAATATTAATTTATTTCAAATTATAATTTAAATATAATTAACTTTTCTAACTAATAATACCTAGGTAGAAATCTGCCTCGATTTGCCGAGATTAAAAACAGGGCCTAGGTAAAAAAATTCAGTTTAAAATATCTGTCTAAGTCCAGAATACTCCCTAAAAATTTATTTTACCGAGGATAAAAATAATCGGAAAAATCTGCATGGGTTCTAGATTGCCACTGACATTTTTCCCAAATTAGAATAAATATGAAACTATATATGGGGCCAGGATTGAATAATCTAGCTTATAGAAATAATTATATAATACAAATAAAGCGAATATATAAAAAAAATTATAGATCCTAGTTAGACTCCTTATAATTTTTCTACAAATTTAAGACGTTATCTTGAGCCCACTCGGATTCTGCGATAGGGTCTGTACGATTCAGGTGTCCCAAACTTTACACAAGTTCTAATTAAATTTTTTACCTGGATTCCAGAAATATTTTTAAAAGAATATATGGTATAGAGTCCTGATTATTTTTAGACAAAATTTCTACCTGGGTATATCAAGCCAAATAAATCTTCTTATACAGCAACACAAATTGAAAAAAAATTTGTTTAATTAAAATCTTACAAAATATTGCAAATTTTTCTGTCTTTATGTTGCTGGTATAAGCAGTATACATATAAAATTAAATATCCTTATATCGTTACAGAAAATAATTATGTTACGTCGTTTTGTATAATACTATAAAATATAAAGCAATTCTGTAAAGACAAATAAAAATGAGAGACAAGTATAATATGGAATACATTGCAATTTACCTGAATGTCCGCCACATATCAAAACTTATCGTAATTAACCAGATATTAGCCGACAAAGAAAAAAAGTACATAAAGAAGGCTGAAAAAAATGAATAAAAGCTATAATAATAAATAATATACTTATTAACCATTAAACATATGCGTTAAAATACAAAAACACTAGTTAATCTTTTTGTTTCTTTATTAAACAAAAAAAAATAGATTTATTCTAACTTCTTCCACTAGAAGTTTTTAAATATTTAATAATATACTATTGATATTAAATTAAATAATAATTTCCAAATTAATTTCCAAATTTCCATTATGTATATAATTTTAATTCATTGAATTTCTATTATATATATACATAGTTTTAATTTGCCAAATTTCTATTGTATTATTTGAAAACTATTTTATAATATATAGATGTATCTCTTTATAAATTTTTTTCTCATTTTGTTTAGTTTAATCGAATATAATTATGTACGCAAAGCGAAGTTATATTATTCTTTGATAACAAATCCTTAAAAATTGCAACACATGTATAAAATTATTATTGCAATACATGCATAGAAATATATTTATTAATTATGCGATTTATGAAAATTCAATATATAAATTTTTAACAGAAAAAAAAATAATTTTCTACAAGAATCTTTTGATCAAAATATCTCTCTACGCTTCCATTAGATTCACGCGTCTGTACGCGTCCGCTAAGTTCGCGCAAAACTGATCACATGATCAGATTAGTATATCCCCCCATCTGTTAAGATGCGCGGCTTCCGCGAGACTGATTCTCTCTCGTGCGCGGTCTCGCAAGCGCGGGAGCGATGGTCACATGACCAGTGGTCACGTGTCCCTCTGTCACGTGCCCCGCGGTCATGTGACCAATAGTCACGTGACCTTCGTTTCGCACTTGCGATACCTCGCACGAGAATCAGTTTCGCGCGAGCCGCGCGGCGTGATGAATAAAGGGGAATAGAGTCTTGCATGAGTCTAATGAAAGCGTAGATGTTTGATCACAAAAGATTCTTGTAGAAAATTTTATTTTTTCTTTCGTATTTTCTGTTAAAGATTTAAATATTGAGTTTTTATACGTTGCATAATTAATAATATATATTTTTATGCATTGATTGCAATAATAATTTTTGCATGCATACGACGCAATTTTTGAGATTTTATTATCAAAGAATAATATAACTTTGCTTTACATGAGTAATTATATTCGGTTAAATTAAACAAAATGATATATATATATATATATATATATATATATATATATGTCGTGCGCATATAACGGGGACAGAATTTCAAGCGTATGCATACTTTGAGGACATTTGTATACTTTGGGGACAGGCCTCAAACTAATCACATATCAAACGTATGGTTTGGGGACAATCTCCCATATGTCCAGCGTATATTTTGGGACACTCTTTTTTTAATTGCAAACTATATTAGATAAATTCCCAAACTCTGCATAATTGTCATTTTTGAAAATAAAACAATATTTTGGATATTAAAGCATTTTTTATACTCAACGTTTACTTTGAGGGCTCATAAATGAAATGTATATTTCGAGGACATGCTCTCATATGTTCAGCGTATATTTCGAGGACATGTCCTCATATGTCCAGCGTATATTTTGGGACACCCTATTTTTTCAATTGCAAACCATATTAGATAAACTCCCAAAGTTTAGATAATTGTCATTTTTAAAAATAAAACAATATTTTGGGTGTTAAAGCATTTTTTATACTCAACGTTTACTCTGAGGACTCATAAATGAAATGTATATTTCGAGGACATGCTCTCATATGTTCAGCGTATATTTCGAGGACATGTCCTCATATGTCCAGCGTATATTTTGGGACACCCTATTTTTTCAATTGCAAACCATATTAGATAAACTCCCAAAGTTTAGATAATTGTCATTTTTAAAAATAAAACAATATTTTGGGTGTTAAAGCATTTTTTATACTCAACGTTTACTCTGAGGACTCATAAATGAAATGTATATTTCGAGAACATGTCCTCGAATTATACTTTAAATATATTATTCAGCGGTGTCTCGAAATAATACATTCATTTATGTAGTTTATATATTGTGAGTTTACTTCGAGGTCATCTTTTATATAATTTATTTACTCTGAGAACTCAAATGAAATGTATATTTCGAGGACATGTCTTCGAATTATACTTTAAATATATTATTTAGCGGTGTCCCGAAATAATACAACTGCCCGACTCGCGTTAAGATACACGGTGTCTCGTCGGCTACGCCCTTAACTGGTCGTGAGACACTACCGTGTCTCTTGATTCATTTATGTAGTTTATATATTGTGAACTTACTTCGAGGTCATCTTTTATTATAATTTATCTGGTCCGTTCCGTATACTTTGAAGACTTGTAAAATATAATTAGAAACTATACTTTAGAGAGATCAAATATGATGTAAAATTTATAGTTTGAATACATATACGTAGTTTTTGAAAATTTCAAACCTTTTTAACTACCTGACGTGCCAATTGATCAGTGCAGGATGTAATATGCACATATATAAGAAAGAGAGTGTGTGTGTGAAAAGAATCGAGGCCTTTTAATGTTCGTATCCATTTAATTTTACGACTTTCAATCGGTACAGACTTTTCCTTCGGTCGCACGTCCGCACGCGATAACTGACGGGGGCCGAATCTCTCGAACCCGCGCTATCTATTCTCTTCCTGCCCGTTCCTACGACCTTCGAGAATCTTCTCGACTCATCCTTTTTAATTTCGCTTGTGTTATTGTTTTCGAGTCTCGATTATCGTCTTTGTCTCCCCGTCTTGTCCGTTGTGTCTTTTCACTTGTTTATTTTGTCTCGCGTCTCGCTTTTCCTTTCGTCCCGCGTAAGTTTCGCATATATGTAAACTGGGGAATATGTGACGATATAATCGCCACACCTTAATAAAATGTATTTTTCTAGGATATAAGAAGCCTTCAAATTATACTTTTAATATATTATTTGGCAATTAAAATAAGGTGTCCCGAAATAATACTTTCAAATTTTACATAGTTTATATAATCAGAATACACAATTCACAATATTTACATTTAACTCAGAGTTGGGACCGTCACTCTGAAAAAGTAACACATTACTGTTACAATTACTTATTGTAAAAAGTAACTTATTACCGTTATTCGTTATTAATTTTAAAAAGTAACGCGTTACCGTTATTATTACTTAGAAAGTAACGATTCGTTATTTTTTCGTTACTTTTTGTTACGTTTTCATTTTTTGTAATGCTAAAAAGTAAGCTATTGGATTTTAAAATTCTCTTACTTAATAATCTATATTAAATATAATAATATATGTTACAATTAAAAACTCTGAATTAGTCTTTGGCAAATGTATATAGCATATATAGTAAGATAATAAGGAATTAAAAAGTAACTAACCACTAATTCGTTACCGTTACTATAAAAATGTAACGACGTCTTATATCGTTACCGTGACAAACAAATAAATTTGTAATAATTATTAATTAAGTTATTAATTAAAATATTTAAGCGAATAAGCGAGTGGAAAGCGATAGACCGAAATCGGTGAGCATGTAGGGCTTATTTGTTTACGTCGCTTAATAACAAAAGTATCATCTTACTTTTCGGCGCGGCGGCATTGCTCGCCGCTCGCTGCATGACTCTGCCTCTCGATCAGATAATGCTTTTGTTACTAAAAGACGTAAATAAATAAGTCATCGTACATGCCCACCGATTCTGGCCTACCGCTTTCTACCCACTCATTCGCTAGATATTTTTATTAATAACTCAATAATTATTGCAAGTTTAGCGAAATGATACAGGACTTTTCTATTCAGTTTAACATGCTGTACCCGTTCACGAAAGATAGTTCGCGAATTATGGGATACCCTGTATATTTACGTTTCTCATCCGAAATTACTCGTTGACGCACGAATTTCGTGTTGCCTTCCTGCAATTTCTGTCCTTTTTATTAAGGTCTTAAAATTTCGTATATCTAACAATAAATTTGTATATTGTATATGGTCGATTAAGAAATTAAGCACATGAAACAACGCCGAATACTCGAGCCTCGAGCAATACACGGAATTATTCTTTTTCTTTTCAGCGGTCCGTTCTGTTTTCTCTATCAGTCTCATGTACATGTCCTACATATCTCATCCCCATCTCTCTCTCTCTCTCTCTCTCTCTCTCTCTCTCTCTCTCTCTCTCTCTAATGACAATTGAGATAAAATTCTTTATAACTTTAAAGACGTAAGAAACATTTATAAAGTATAATTTGAAGCCAGAAAATATAATAACTAAAATATAATTTGGAAATTATTTTTAACTAGATTTATACTTGTTTCTACGTATACTTTGGGAACAATGAGAATTTTCGGACATTTATAGAAAACTAATTCGATTTATATAACTTTAGAAACAAGTTAGATATATATTATTTATTTTATTTAGGAACATTTATATATTAAAATATTACATGTAAAAGAGTATATATCTTTTATATATGAACATTTGTAGGACTAAAAATGTCCTCCGTTTTGTACTTTTGCAATAAGTAAGGAGAAATTAATTTAAGAAGTCGGTCTATCCGCGCGAATAAAAGCGTACAGCGAAAAGAAACCGTTTACTACCTTGATACAAAGCGCACAGTGAAGCAATGGAAAAAGCACTCAGCTCGATATTCAATATGTTAATGTTTTCTCCGATTATAATAGAAAATTGATAATTGACCGTCAATCGTTCTATTTTTGACCTAGTTTAACCCGTTCTATTTCTATGACAAATAAAACGATTGATCTGGAACACCTTGTATAATATATAATAATAAGATTTATGAAATTAAATTAATTTCTACAATTATCAATTTTCTATTATAATCGGAGAAAACATTAACATATTGAATATCGAGCTGAGTGCTTTTTCCATTGCTTCACTGTGCGCTTTGTATCAAGGTAGTAAACGGTTTCTTTTCGCTGTACGCTTTTATTCGCGCGGATAGACCGACTTCTTAAATTAATTTCTCCTTACTTATTGCAAAAGTACAAAACGGAGGACATTTTTAGTCCTACAAATGTTCATATATAAAAGATATATACTCTTTTACATGTAATATTTTAATATATAAATGTTCCTAAATAAAATAAATAATATATATCTAACTTGTTTCTAAAGTTATATAAATCGAATTAGTTTTCTATAAATGTCCGAAAATTCTCATTGTTCCCAAAGTATACGTAGAAACAAGTATAAATCTAGTTAAAAATAATTTCCAAATTATATTTTAGTTATTATATTTTCTGGCTTCAAATTATACTTTATAAATGTTTCTTACGTCTTTAAAGTTATAAAGAATTTTATCTCAATTGTCATTAGAGAGAGAGAGAGAGAGAGAGAGAGAGAGAGAGATGTAGGACATGTACATGAGACTGATAGAGAAAACAGAACGGACCGCTGAAAAGAAAAAGAATAATTCCGTGTATTGCTCGAGGCTCGAGTATTCGGCGTTGTTTCATGTGCTTAATTTCTTAATCGACCATATACAATATACAAATTTATTGTTAGATATACGAAATTTTAAGACCTTAATAAAAAGGACAGAAATTGCAGGAAGGCAACACGAAATTCGTGCGTCAACGAGTAATTTCGGATGAGAAACGTAAATATACAGGGTATCCCATAATTCGCGAACTATCTTTCGTGAACGGGTACAGCATGTTAAACTGAATAGAAAAGTCCTGTATCATTTCGCTAAACTTGCAATAATTATTGAGTTATTAATAAAAATATCTAGCGAATGAGTGGGTAGAAAGCGGTAGGCCAGAATCGGTGGGCATGTACGATGACTTATTTATTTACGTCTTTTAGTAACAAAAGCATTATCTGATCGAGAGGCAGAGTCATGCAGCGAGCGGCGAGCAATGCCGCCGCGCCGAAAAGTAAGATGATACTTTTGTTATTAAGCGACGTAAACAAATAAGCCCTACATGCTCACCGATTTCGGTCTATCGCTTTCCACTCGCTTATTCGCTTAAATATTTTAATTAATAACTTAATTAATAATTATTACAAATTTATTTGTTTGTCACGGTAACGATATAAGACGTCGTTACATTTTTATAGTAACGGTAACGAATTAGTGGTTAGTTACTTTTTAATTCCTTATTATCTTACTATATATGCTATATACATTTGCCAAAGACTAATTCAGAGTTTTTAATTGTAACATATATTATTATATTTAATATAGATTATTAAGTAAGAGAATTTTAAAATCCAATAGCTTACTTTTTAGCATTACAAAAAATGAAAACGTAACAAAAAGTAACGAAAAAATAACGAATCGTTACTTTCTAAGTAATAATAACGGTAACGCGTTACTTTTTAAAATTAATAACGAATAACGGTAATAAGTTACTTTTTACAATAAGTAATTGTAACAGTAATGTGTTACTTTTTCAGAGTGACGGTCCCAACTCTGAGTTAAATGTAAATATTGTGAATTGTGTATTCTGATTATATAAACTATGTAAAATTTGAAAGTATTATTTCGGGACACCTTATTTTAATTGCCAAATAATATATTCAAAGTATAATTTGAAGGCTTCTTATATCCTAGAAAAATACATTTTATTAAGGTTTGAAATTTTCAAAAACTACGTATATGTATTCAAACTATAAATTTTACATCATATTTGATCTCTCTAAAGTATAGTTTCTAATTATATTTTACAAGTCTTCAAAGTATACGGAACGGACCAGATAAATTATAATAAAAGATGACCTCGAAGTAAGTTCACAATATATAAACTACATAAATGAATCAAGAGACACGGTAGTGTCTCACGACCAGTTAAGGGCGTAGCCGACGAGACACCGTGTATCTTAACGCGAGTCGGGCAGTTGTATTATTTCGGGACACCGCTAAATAATATATTTAAAGTATAATTCGAAGACATGTCCTCGAAATATACATTTCATTTGAGTTCTCAGAGTAAATAAATTATATAAAAGATGACCTCGAAGTAAACTCACAATATATAAACTACATAAATGAATGTATTATTTCGAGACACCGCTGAATAATATATTTAAAGTATAATTCGAGGACATGTTCTCGAAATATACATTTCATTTATGAGTCCTCAGAGTAAACGTTGAGTATAAAAAATGCTTTAACACCCAAAATATTGTTTTATTTTTAAAAATGACAATTATCTAAACTTTGGGAGTTTATCTAATATGGTTTGCAATTGAAAAAATAGGGTGTCCCAAAATATACGCTGGACATATGAGGACATGTCCTCGAAATATACGCTGAACATATGAGAGCATGTCCTCGAAATATACATTTCATTTATGAGTCCTCAGAGTAAACGTTGAGTATAAAAAATGCTTTAACACCCAAAATATTGTTTTATTTTTAAAAATGACAATTATCTAAACTTTGGGAGTTTATCTAATATGGTTTGCAATTGAAAAAATAGGGTGTCCCAAAATATACGCTGGACATATGAGGACATGTCCTCGAAATATACGCTGAACATATGAGAGCATGTCCTCGAAATATACATTTCATTTATGAGTCCTCAAAGTAAACGTTGAGTATAAAAAATGCTTTAATATCCAAAATATTGTTTTATTTTCAAAAATGACAATTATGCAGAGTTTGGGAGTTTATTTAATATGGTTTGCAATTGAAAAAATAGGGTGTCCCAAAATATACGCTGGACATATATATATATATATATATATATATATATTATTGTTTAATTATATAATTTAAATATACTGTACCAATTGCAACACAGATGTGGTACTCTTTATTATCTGTTAATAATTCAAACTGGTAATTAAGTATGCAATGAAATAAGCACCGCAATAATTGCGTAATATAATCCCGTGTACATTTCGAAACTCTGGCAATAAGGCATATATCAAAAATGTTGTTAGCAAAAATAGCATTGCCATTATACGGACACTGACAAGATAGGATACTATGTGTTCGTTCCAATTTATATCCTCATTTCTCATTTCTTTAATCTCCTCAAAAACATCTGCGCAAAAGCCACTTGATATACATCTCCCTTATTCCAGAAGACGCCGAGACAATATAATGGCGATTTAGCAAATACTTTATAAGGCGATAAATAGACAGAACCATTGGGAAAAATCATAAACTCGTTTTCATAACCTGCGGGAAGCGTGTAACGAGCCTTTCCTTCGCACGAATTGTGGACGGTCAGAGAAAAAAATTCATCCACTGTCTTACCTTCGCTGCCCTTCGCATCTTTCACATATGCGTAAACGTACGGGAAAAAGTGCTTAGTTTTTTCGGGAATGCATATACTGCCATCCACGCGATGGCCAAGAGGGCAGCAGAGCAGAATGCAAGTAATATTGTGGCACATTTCGTATGGGACGACGTTACTTTTACTGCTCTCTGTGAAATTTTCAAAGACCTCGTACAACACGGAATCGTTCTGTATAATCAAGTTTTCATAATTTTTCTGTGACGTGAAATTTTCTTTATAACTGACATTAGTCGAATTGGTGTGAGAATTCATCAGTATTTGGTCCTCATCCTCATGATTGTGATCATATTGCGTATTATTGTTGGCAAATTTTTCATACATATCATATTCCAGTGTTTTTATTTCATTGCTATAGATTGTTGTAAAATCCGTGTCTTTCTCGTTTTGTACTGTCAAATTATCACCTTTCTCTTTATTGTTGGTGAAATTTTGCTGAGATTTCGATGACGAAATAATGAGCAGAAAAAGTGTGCAACACAAAAACACGAAATTTAGTTGACACATTATTCATATATAAGAATCCACTTTAAAATAATTAAATAATTAAATCAGTCAAACTTATCAAAATTCATCAGATCTCACATAGATTTCGAATTTCCAATAATTATAAAATTCTGTATTAATTTTATGCATACTTTTACATTAATTGTGTATAAAAGGTGTTTAATACAATATAATAAATCACACATATAATAAAATCAAATTATCTTTCTCTTTTTATGTTTTTCGATAAAATTTCAAAGGATTAATCTAATTTTTTCTAGCACTATTAACGTAGATGATTACGCGATTGATTTTTAATTATCTCGTTGCATTCGTTAAAACATATAATGTATCACTGTATCCAAGTTTGACTTCTTTTTCTAAGAAAAGCGAAGAATATATGTATAAGATATGTATTTGCACGAGAGAAAAAATTAAACTACCGAGAACAACGAGTTGAAGATAGTTTTATGGGGGAACTCACATACACACAGTCCATCTACTACTATATAAAATTGCATATATTATATAAAATTATACAGACAAATTTATGTATACAAGGACAACAGAAAAACATTTGGGGAATTTTCTACTGGCGTAAATTGACCAATCGAGCAGCAAAATAAAATAAACTCGTAAAGCCAGTTTCACAAACATCAGTGAACTTTACACTTTGGTTAAATTATATCTTTGTTTCTTTTAAAAACTATAAAAACAAATAACAAATTTTTTAATTATACTACTTTTGAAATTTATATTAAATTTAATTATTTTAAATATTTCGTATGTAAAAATGTCTTATTAATCGATTACACATGCGTAAGAAAAATTTTATTTGTTCCACAATTTTATCAATTTCGTCGTTCTTTCTAGATTACAAAAATTTTGAAAATATAAAATTATGTTAACACATCGGTTTATCGTTAGTCGCTAAATTCTTGCATCTGTCCTGCTAATATAAACTAAAAACAAAATACTTCCAAAACCGGTTTACCTGGTTTATATATCCGGTTTTTCAAATCCAAGTTTTAATCTATATTTAGACGAATTTATGTTGTGTGTGATTATACATTAAAATTCACAAAAATTTTATTATGTAACAATTCTCTTGATTTTAACATTAAAATATAATACAATTAATCCTTTTGTTCTTAAAATTTTAATAAATTATCCATTTAAGATTTAAGTATTATCATTAGAATATAATTAACGCTTATATGCAAGTATTGTAGATACATACTAATAATTAATAAGTAAAATATTTATTTTATATTAATTCTACATTGATTAGGTATATTATACTATTATATTATAACACACAATACATATATTACACTGATTTAGGTATATTATATCGATATTATAACACATAAAATATGCGTTAAACATTCCTTTCTTTCGATTGCCTATATTATTAATAATATTCGCAGCAGATGTCAAAGCAATATTTTTGACAGTATAGTATAGTATATGTACGAAATGTTCCCAGTAAAAACAGTGTAATTATTATACGCATATTTCTAATTACGATAATCTTATATAATTATTATTGATATTTTTTTATTTTTTATTTTCGTTTTTAAAACTTTTTTTTTTATTTTATATTTAAAAGTTAAGACCTTGTTGGCAGCAGGTGGAAGTGTTTTTTTTTTCTTACAAAATTATTTATTATTTATTTTTGTTTTTAAAATTGTTTTTTTTTTTATTTTTGTTCTTTTTTATTTTTTTATAATTATTTATAAACTTTTTCTTTCTTTGATTTACAATCTTCAAAAGGATAATCAAATCAAACTTGTTTTAATGAATGAAGACAGATTAGAATGTTTATTGTACAAATATATAATTATAAGAAAATACAAAGAATAATCAGTGAAAAGAATATTAGTTTATATTTTGCATAGAAATTTAGAGTTCAGACCCACTGGGTGAACTTTTAACGTGACAGTTATCCTGTGCGTAAGAATTCTTGTCTTGCATAGCCACTTCAGACGTGGTGGTGCTCGATGTTACAGTCGTCTGTCGAACGTGTAAACCGCATCCAAATCGCTTCAGTAACATAATCTTGATCTTCTTTTTACATATGAACGTAATAAAGGTGCAGAGATTCTGCACAATGTCTACGAAGTTAACAGTAAACGAGACGTAAATGAATGGTACAGGCTGAATTTCTTCAGGCAAGAATAACGCTGGTAGCACAGACCATTCTATACCCACGCCAAACCCCATCACGACAAACCGCATAATAAATAGCTTCAGATACAAATTAAACCTGCAAACAAATATATTTATATTTGGATATCTTTTCAATAAAAATAATACTATTTATTAATTAAGAGTTTAACTATTTATTAAATTTACTATTCATTAAAAATGCTATTTATTAATATTATAAATATAAGGCCTAATAATAAATATAAATTAGAGGAACAATAGCCATAAAGAGATTTATTTGAAAATAATATTATTTATAAAATTTACTATTTACTAAAAATCCTATTTATAATATTATATATATAAAGTTCTAATAATAAATATAAATTAGAGGAACAAGAGCCATAAAGAAATTTATTTAATGCAAAATTAATACCTAATCAACATCACATACCAATGCTCAAGCTCGTTAAATAAAAACGTGGTAATAATACGCTAATGGAGAGTGAAAATATTAAATTAGTTCTTTAATCAGTTATCATTACATTAACGTATTAATTACCACGCCTGGTTTTTATAATTGGTCCTTATTCCTCTATAATTTATAACTATTTATTAAATCATTTTTTTTACAAAATGGAATGTGTGTGAATTACAATCCTAAAAGAGAAGAGAAGAAAGAAATAGTTGTTTTGAAGAAATTTTTGAAAATATAATTTTCTTTATGAAATTAAATGTATTCTTTAACTTTATTCTCTCATTATTTTCCACATTTCGAGAATTGCAGACCTCCTCGAAAATAAAAACAGAATTAAAGTTACAACGATATATTTTTCTTTTCTATAGATTATGTACGTTTAAAAGAAAAAAATAGAAAACGAGAAAATACTAAGCACCGAAAAGATGTTTGCTTCAAAATAATTATCTCTTCCTTTCATCAGAATTGCAGCTCAATCCATATGTAATGTAATATTTTTGCAGAAATATTGGCAAAAATAACATATTAGATTGGCTCATTAACAAACTACATAGAAGACTATCACACATCGATGCAAAAATAATACAGACCATTTCTTATTATCATTATACCGTTTGCTGTCCGAATCTGTCAGGACAAACATCTGTATTCTTCTTGTAACGTTTAATTTTTAGTGCCGTAGAAATGGATAAGCAAACGCTATTAATAATGCAGACACTTATAGGCCCGTAAAAATACAAGATAAACGCATCTGTCTCTGTAAGTATAAAATGTCATGAATTTTTATACTGTTTCCCATACAGCACAAAATATTTTTTAAAATCTAGTAAAAATATTTCTTTAAAAAATAAAATAATTCTCGAAAATATTTTTAAAATGTTTCTATGTCCGCTTTTTAATGTTTAAAAAATATTTTTGAATATAGTTTTAACTAATATTTCAAAAATATGTATGAAATATTTAAGAAAATATTATCTGAGCGATAAGAAGATCATTTTTAATAATATTTTTAAACGTTTTTGAAATATTATGAAAAATGTTACCACAAAAAATTTTTTAAATTATTTTAAAATATTCCACTATTTTAAAATGTTTTTATGCAAATTTTATGGAAATATTTAGAAATATTTTTTGAAAACATCATAATATTCTGTGTTGTGTGGGTTCTCACAATACGTTAAAACGCTATCGCATTGATACAGTTATCTTCACTTACCATTGAACCAGCAATATCCTAAATGAAATTCTGGTCGCAAAATCGGTGGTACATTTACATACACAGAAAGAAAATCCATGCTGACACATAAAATAGCAAGCATAAAGGAACATCCCCACGCAAAGATCGTATAATATATCAATTTTTTTTTTCTCGTTGTCTGACGTTTTTTGTAACGAACTGAATCCTCTGCAATTTATACATCATATTTAACAAAACAATAGATAAAAGAAATCAGAATGTAAAAACGTTAAATTAAAATAATGTCTTTGATCAAATCACTATATCATATTATAAAACAAAGATTCAGCTTGAAGAATCCATTCTTAAAATTGCTGTACGATGATTTTTAACGGTGTTATGAAACTATTAAGGTGAACATGACATTTTCTCTTTAATTTGCGATAACTTGATAAGTAAAGATCGACATTTACATTTTAAAACAATTTTGCAAGAAGTAATTCGAACTGTAACATGAAAATGTCATGAAATTCAAAATTTTTTGTGCATGCGACACGTTTACCTTGTAAGAAAAAATTTTCCATTTCGTCATGTTTTCGTTTTTGTATATAAAAAATATCAATATTGAAGAAAATGAAAAAGCTGTAAACCATTGAAAGTAGAGATTTCAAGCTTTAAAACTCTTTTTAAAATTTAAATGCTCATTATTCGAAACAAAGTTACAACTATTTAAAGTTTGCCTATTTTTGGACAATAGTTTTTCTTTTCATGCCTTAATTATTTTAAGAAGTGTATATTTATATATCTATTATACAGACACGACGATAATACTTTAAATTTTTATTTAATTTTGAGAGACAAATTTTTGATAAAAAATCTATGTTTATTTTGTAGAAAGTTATCGCGTGTATTGCTTTATTTTATAAATTAAAGAGAAAAAAGTCAAATCAAAATATTATTGCATTATATCGAATTTTAAATAAATATATAATATGCTTATTACATCTAATACGTCATTTTTACTTTTAAAAACTAACCGTTTAAAATAACTCTGTAATCAATTAATGAAAATCTTTAAGAAAACTATTTATTTCAACTTATAATTTAATACTCCTATTATCTTAATACTCTAACTTATAGTGTTCTAAGTCAATTATAATTGTTTTTGCACGTATAAAAATATATAAGAAAATTCGATTAATACAGTATTTTGATGTTATATATTCTCTATCTTTATCTTTAAACCGATATATGTAAAATAAAAAAAGAATTTTTTAAAGATAAATAAAAATTAAAAATAAGTAGTAATAATATAGAATATTTTCCAACTTACCTGAATGTGCACCACATATCAAAGCTCATTATACTTAACCAAAAGAAACCCGCATATTGCAAAGGTATTCTAAAAAAGCTGTAAAAATGAATAAAATTAAAGACTATAATAATAATTAATAAATAATAATATACAATATTATTAATATACATATAAATGTAATATTTAATTTGTTCTTATAGTTGAAAAATAAATAATGAGCAGGAAAGAGGTTGAAACAGCTACGCGAAGTATAATTTGATCACAAATACTGCTTTATTTAGTAAATAAATTTTTTCTATTAAATAAACTTTATATATACGACCTAATTACTTTCGTTGCTCTTTTGGTTTATTTCCTGCTCCTTATATATTTCTATATTATAAATAATTAATAATATATTATATAAAATATTATAATAAACTATTATAATAAAATATATATATAATTAATATTATTATTAATAAATAATAATATATTATTTATTATTATTCGTTAAATTGCAGAATTTCAAAGTTATCACATTTATACGTTTCTCCATTAAAACAGATTTACTTTAACTTTTTATACTAACTATTATAGTAATATTTACGTAATAAATACTGCTAATATCAAATTAAACATGTTTGATTCAATATGTAATTCTACAAAATTCAAAAACCCAAAGAAATATATCTATTTGAGACGAATAACTTAAATTATTTATGTATTAAAATGTATTTAAATAAAATTTAAGTGTCATTCACTGTTTTGCATTTTTAAGATTTTAACAAATAATATATTCAAATAATTATTAAAACTATTAATTAATATTTAATATGCAAATATACATTAAATATCTGACAAATATAAATATATTAATTGCATAGTTTTATTTTTTACATATATATTCTACCTATTATAACGCAGACGGCATACTTTTTATCATCCGATTTGATCATTATATTTACAAAGTTAATTCCGTATGCAACAGTCAGGGCACCGCTATAATTGCGCAACATAAATCCGTGTTTATTTCGGAGTTCTGGCAATATGGAATACACCAGAAATAATGACCCCAAAGTAATATAGATGCTATATCGACACTCATTTCCATAATATTTTGTTTTAATAGTATTCATGATCTTATTAGTTTCATTATTAGTGGTTATCTTCTTGAACTTGTCATAAGTTTTGGAACAGATGGTTACTTCGAACTCATTCCCGTCGACGACGGCGAGACAATATGATGTCGATTCAACAAATATTTCATAATAAGTTAAATATATAGAACCGTTGGTGAAAATCTTATAATCGTGGATATCTTTGAAATGCAGAACGTGACCTTCCTGGCACGAATCATAAATGGCTAGCTCAAACAATACGTTCACTCTTTTTCGCTCTGCGTCGAATCGTTCGTGTATACGTTTGGAAAAATGTATTCAATTCCTTCAGGAATGCAGTTGCCATGAACCAGACGATCGCCAAGAGAACAGCAGAGCCGAATGCAAGTATCATTCTGACACATTTCGTTTGGAACAATGATAGTTTCATTAGCATCTTTGCTGGAATTTTTGAAGACTTCAAGTGACATGGAATCATTCTTTTCAATTACATTTTCATGAACTTGCTCAGCCGTGAAATTTCTTTTATGATTGACATATGTCGAATTCGTGTTAGATTTCATCGATTTTTGCTCATCATCTTTATTCTGCATTGAATGCTTGTAACGTTTATGTTGAATGAAATCATTATTCTCGCGTTTATTATTCATATGAAATTCATGCTGCATTTCGTCATTTTGTGTATTGTTTATCAAATTTTTATACAAATCATGTCGCAGAGTTATTATTTCGTCGTCAAAATTTGTTGTAGAATCCGTATTTATCTCGTATCGTATCGTCAAATTATCATCCTCGTTGATGGAATTTTGCTGCGATTTCGATAACGAAATGACGAAGAGAAGCACGGAAAACACAAATGCAAACATTTTTCCACTCATTACTTCATGTAAGAATATACTTTTGAATAATTAGATAATCAAATTTAGTGTTTACAATTACTCATACAAGTTTTACATTTTCAATAATTAAAAAATGTCATATTATATTTTTACATATATCTTTGTTTTTGTATTAATTGCAATAAAATGTGTCAAGTGCAAAATATAATAAAATTAAATGATCTTATTCTATTTCTCAGCAAAATCTCGAAAGGTCGATTAGATTTTAGCACGATTATTATTAATATTAATGATTGTACGTATTGAATTTTAATTATCTCACTAGATAAAGTTAGTATTATATCACTGTATCCGGCTTCTTTCTAATAGAGAAATACACAAGATACATCTGCCAGTGCAGAGGAAACGAGACTACCGAGACGACGAGTCGTCGAGCTTTGCCAGAAATTGCGTTTGTTTATTATAGGAGACTATACACATATAGAATGTACTATACACATATTATAGCTTTGACATACTATTTTCTAGCACTATTAACGTAGATGATTACGCGATTGATTTTTAATTATCTCGTTGCATTCGTTAAAACGTATAATGTATCACTGTATTTAAGTTTGACTTCTTTTCTAAGAAAGCGAAAAATATATGTATAAAAAATGTATTTGCACGAGAGAAAAAATTAAACTACCGAAAAAGACGAGTCGAAAATAGTTTTATAGGGGAACTCACATACACACAGTCCATCTACTACTTTATAAAATTGCATATATTATATATAATTATACAAATTTTATATAAACTTATTTTATATAAATATTAAACAAATTTAAGTATACAAAAATAGCAGAAAAACATTTGGGGAATTTTCTACTAACATAAATTGACCAATCCAGCAGCGAAATAGAATAAACTCGTAAAGCCAGTTTCTCAAAACATCAGTGAACTTTACAATTCGGTTAAATTATACCTTTTAGTTTCATTAGCATCTTTGCTTGAATTTTTAAAGACTTCAAGTGACATGGAATCATTATTTTCAATTACATTTTCATAAACTTCCTGCGGCATGAAATTCTTTTTATGATTGACATTTGTCGAATTCATGTTAGATTTCATCGATTTTTGCTCATCATCTTTATTCTGCATAGAATGCTTGTAACGTTTATGTTAAATCAAATAATTATCCTCGCGTTTATTATTTATATTCGCATTTATTTTGTATCGTATCGTCAAATTATCATTTTATTGGTGGAAATATACTGAAATTTCGATGACGAAATGACGAGGAGAAGAACGGAACACACAAATAAAAACATTTTTCCACTCATTATTTCACGTAAGAGTATACTTTAGAATAATTAAATATAATCAAATTAGTGTTCATAATTTCTCATAAAAGTTTTAAATTTGCAAGAATTAAAAAATGTCATATTAAATTTATGCATACCTTTGCTTTTGTATTAATTGCAATAAAATGTATCAAGTACAAAATATAATAAAATTAAATTATCTCATTTTGTTTCTCAACAAAATCTCGACAAATCGATCTGATTTTAGCACTATTATTATTATTATTGATGATTACAAGTATTGAGAATTTTAATTATCTTAAAAGATAAAGTCAGTATTATTAATATATCACTGTATCCAGCTTTCACATTTTCTGATAGAAGGGTGCACAAGATACATGTGCCTGCACAGGAGATGAAACTAGGAGATGAGACGAGGACGACGAGACGTCGATAGCTTTGCGAAAAACTGTCCTTCTACTATACTATATGAGACTATACACTATATAGAACTTTGACATACTATATACAAAGAAAACTACTGTAGTGCTATTTTTGTTTTATGTTTGTTTTTATTTTTGTAATCTACCATTTGTGGATTGAGCGGATACTGCTTTGCGCGCAAAACTTGCCCGTAAGTTGAGGCGTAAGGTACAGATACAGGTGTCTTTATTGTTAAGTCGATTATCTCAAAAATGGTTTGTTGTATGAAAAAAATCAAAGAGTCAACACATAAGTTTTGTCAATTGAAAAGTAGCCCCCTCCCTTAAACATCCTTCGAAATTTTGTTAGAAAATTTTTAACAGTAAAAATGAATAAAACGCTTAAAGAAATGTGTATGTACCAATTTTCATAAAATTCTAAGTCTAAGTTTAAACAATATACGAAAAATTCGAGTTTTTTGGAGAAACTTTGGGAAGGTGTATAGCTCAGAGGGAGTGCGTTTCCGGACATATGTTTATAGGACAATTTTACTTTATTTTGACTTGTAGAATATACCTTTTTTTTCTACTATCAATTCTGGGACACCCTGTACGTTTAATAACAACTTATAGTAATTTCATGCAAATTTCGTAGCAGCTTTCTAAAGTTTTACAAATATTAAAAATTGAAAATAATATATATCAGCCTACAATTAACAATTTTAAAAATATTTATGTCAAAAAATGTAACATAATCTCATTTGAATTTGAAAAAGAAACGAGACAAAATAATATGCTTTTGCTACAAAATCCGAAAATATGTATGAATTATAATTATTAATCTTAAACATAAAAAACAGCATAAATAAACATGATTTTAAATTTCAAATAAAAATTAATGGTCGGTCATATCAGTGTGACTTTTTGCTCGTCCGGAAAAAATTATCTTCTCCTGATTTACTATTCCATTTGATGTGGTATAATAATGTTCAATAATGTTACATTTTATCCGGATCGAGCTTTTGGCGACAAACCGCAGCCAAATCGCTTGAATAACACGTGCTTGATCCTTTTTGTCCACACAAATATGATAAAGGTGCATAGATTCTGCATAATGTCCAGCAACTGAATAACATACGAATTGTAAATTGATATATGTTCAGATAATTCATTCACTGTTACCATGAGCCATTTTATGCCTATTACGATAAATAGCACAATAAATAGCTTCAGATATAGATTAAACCTGCAAACAAATATTTAATTTTCATAGTTCTTGTGAATAAATGATATATAAAATTTATTTAACATATAAGCCTTAAGAAATTTTTAAAAGAGCTTAAAATTTGTATTTTTGTGAAATACAGGTGCATTTATTAATTTGATTTTAGTTATTAATTGTCATTTAGTTTAGAATTTCATAAGTTCTTGAAGAAACACGTAAAGTAATATATTTTTGAAAATATTACAAAATAAAAAAAAAGTAAATCGGCGAATAAAAAAGACATCGTCTGTATAGAATAATCTATGGCCAGTATTTATAATCTAAATTTATATTTAATATCGTTTTAAATCTGATCTTGGCTTAAAAATCCATTCGCCCGATCAAGCTCGGACTTAATATTAAATATAAAAGCAAACTATTATTAATACCGACCTATCTCTCTATTTTATAAAATACTGCGAATTAATGAATTATGCGATGCTGTTTGCATAAATTTATAAAAGTAGCATAAATCTCATTAATAAAATAGATTATTATATCTCAATGCAAAGATATCTGAATACATACCATTTTTTATTATCGTTATAGCACTTGCTCTCCGAATTTTTCAAACGAAGACTCGTATCCTTTTTTAACGCACAATTTTTAATGCCGTAGATATAGAGAAACAAATGCAAAATGTCATGCATATACTTTTGAGCCCATGATAATACAACAAATACGGACCAATCCCTGCAAGTATAAAACATCATGAGTTTTTATACTTTTTCTAACAATACTAGAATGCTATAGCATTATCTTCATTTACCAAGAAACCAGCATTTTCCTAAATAAAATTCCGGTCGCAAAATTGGTGGTACATGGTGGTAATTAGAAAGAATATCCATGATGACACAGAAAATAGCAAGCATAAAGGGACATCCCCACGCAAAGATCGTATAATCAACTTTTTTAGTATCAACTTTTTTTTTCTCGTTGTCTGACGTTTTTTTGTAACAAACATAATTTTCTGCAATTTACACAACATATTTAACAAACAACACATAAAGGAAATCAGAATGTGAAAACGTTAAAATAATGTGTCTTTGATCAAGTCACTATATTATACTATTGTAAAGCAAAGTTTCAGCTTAAAGAATCCATTCTTAAAATTGCTGTAGGACGATTTGTAACGGTGCTATAAACGATTATAGTGAAAATGACATTTTCTCTTTAATTTGCGATAACTTTTGATAAAGAAAAACCAGGATTTACGTTTTAAAAAACAATTTTGCACGTAAAACTTTAGACTGTAACATGGAAAGTCAAGAAATTTTTCAAATTATTTTGTGCATGCGACACATCTACAAAGTGAGAAGAAATTTTTTATTTTGTTATGTTTTTCGTTTTTTGTATATAAAAAATATCAGAATTTAAGCAAATAAAAAAAGATGTGCATTACTGAAAGTAGAGATTTCACGTTTTAAAACTCTTTTTTAAAGTTTCTATTCTCATTATTCGAAACAAAGTTATATCTATTTAAAGTTTGCCTATTCTTGGACAATTGTCTTTTATTATCTATTTTTATACCTTAATTATTTTAAAAGTGTTTATTTACATAACTATTATACAGACACGACAATGGTACTTAAAATTTTTATTTACTTTTAAAAGACAAATTTTTAATAAAAAATCTCCTTTTTTTGTGAAAACATATCGTGTATTGTTTTATTTTATAAATTAATAGAAATTAAAAGAAAAAAAAAGTTAAATATCAAAATAATATTGCATTATATCAAATTATTAAATTTTGTTATAATGTTTTATATATATTTAAATGAAATATATAATATGCTTATTATATCTAATACGCTATTTTTACTTTTAAAAAATTAACCGTTTAAAAGTCTGTAATCAATTAATAAAAATATCCATGAAAACTATTTATTTCAAATTATAATTTGAACCTATTATCTTTATACTCTAACTTAAATAACGTTCTAAATATAATTGTTCTATTATTAAATATTATTTTCAAATATATAATTGTTTTTGCACGTACCAACACAATGCATAAAAAAATTCGATTAATACAGAATTTTGCATATTCTCTATTTTTATCTTTAAACTGATATATGTGAAATCAAAAAGAAAGAATTTTATAAAGATAAATAAAAAGCAAAGTGTTAAAAATAAGTAGTAAAAATATATAAAATAATTTCCAACTTACCTGAATATGCACCACATATCAAAGCTCATTATACTTAACCAGAAGAAATTCGTCATATTGCAAAAGTATTCTAAAAAGGCTGTAAAAATGAATAAAAATACAGACTGTATTAATAGATAATAATATATTATTAATATAAATTTATATAAATATAAATGTAATATGTAATTTGCACTTTTAGTTGAAATATATAAGAAGCAGAAAATAAGTGATTTAGATATATATTCTATCTATTGTAACGCAAACAGAATACGGAATATCATCCGTTCTGATCATAACATTCACAATGTAATTGCTGTATGCAACAGTCGAGGCACCGCTGTAATTGCGCAACATAAAGCCGTGTACATTTCGAAGTTCTGGCAATATGAAATACACCAGAAACACTGACCCCAAAAGTAATATAGATACTATATGGAAACTCAGATATATAATTTGTATATATCTGATATAAATCATGAGCTCATTATGAGTTATCTTCTTGATCTTGTCAGAAGTTTTAGAACAAATGGTTACTTTGAACTCATTCCCGTCAACGACGGCGAGACAATATGATGTCAATTCAATAAATATTTTGTAATAAATTAAATATATAGAACCGTTGGTAAAAATCTTATAATCGTACTGAATACCTTCAGAAAGCAAATACTTCTCTTCCTGGCACGAATCAAAAATGGCCAAGTCAAACAATTCGGTTACTCTCTTTTCGCTCTGCGTCGAATCGTTCGTGTATACCTTTGAAAAAATGTATTCAAATTCTTCAGGAATGCAGTTCCCATCAATCAGACAATCGCCAAGAGGACAGCAGAACCGAATGCAAGAATCATTATGACACATTTCGTTTGGGACGATGTTAGTTTTATTAGAATCTTTGCTGGAATTTTTGAAGATTTCAAGTGACATGGAATCATTCTTTTTAATTATAGTTTCATAAACTTTCTGTGACGTAAATTTCCTATTATGATTGATATATGTCGAATTCGTGTTAGATTTCATCGAAATAAAAATTAAAGGTTGGTCCTATCATTGTGACTTCGTTCGGAAAAAATCTTCTTCTGATTGACTATTTTTTTTGATGTAGTAATAATGTTCGACGATGTTGCGTTTTATCCAGATCGAGCTTTTGGCAACAAACCGCAGCGGAATCGCTTGAATAACATGCGCTTGATCCTTTTTTTACACAAAAATATGATAAAGGTGCACAGATTTTTCATAATGTCCAGTAAATTAGTAGCACACGAGTTGTAAATTGATACATTTTCATATAATAATGACGCTGTTATCATGAGCCATTTTATGCCTATTACGATAAATAGCACAATAAATAGCTTCAGATATAGATTAAACCTGCAAACAAATATATAATTTTCATAGTTCTTGTGAATATATAATGTATGAAATTTATTTTGTGTATAAAACTTATATGAAATTTTTAAAAAAGTTTAAAATTTGTATTTTTGTGAAATACAGGTGCATTTATTAATTTGATTTTCGTTATTAATTGTCATTTTGTTTAGAATTGCATAGATTTTCGAAGAAACAAGTAAAGTGATATATACTTGAAAATATTACAAAATAAAAAGAGTAAATCGGCGAATAGAAAAGATGTCGTTTGCAAATGACAATCTATGGCCAGTATTTATAATCTGAATTTAAATTTATCAAGCTCGCACTTAAGATTAAATATAAGATTGGACTATAATTATTAATACCGGCCTAACACTTTTTTTTATAAAAATATGCGAATCGATCAATTATGCGATGCTGTTTGTATAAATGTTAATAAAAATATTAATAAAAGTAGCATAAATTAATAAAATAGATTATTATATCTCAATGCAACAATATCTAAATACATACCATTTTTTATTATCGTTATAGCACTTGCTCTCCGAATCTATCAGACGATGACTCGTATCCTTTTTGTAACGTCCAATTTTTAATACCGTAGAAATAGATAAACAAATGCTATTAATAATGCACATACTTTTGAGCACATAGTAATACAATATAAACGCAATTATATTTTCCCGTACAAGTGTGCGATGCGAAAAAATAGATTTTTGTACTTATTTAATTTTCTATATCTTGTAAATGTGTGAAACATAATTTAAATTTTAAATAGTTTATATAATTTTTTATTCAATAAATATTCTAAAATTAATAAGAAATAGGCCAACTAAACAAGCAAGGAAACTTTAGATTAAATAATTTTTATTTTAATATTTTAGTTAGCCATTTAATTGGTTTAGTTCTTCTTGTTAATGTTTGAGTTTACGCAAGTCTCTAATTATTAAAATTCTTTAAATATTTTAAAATTGATAGAGTTATATCCGTCAGTGATGTATTGTATACTCACCATCTAATATGCAACCGTTTGTCCGAAATTTTGGTTGAAAAATTTCTGGTACGGTTGTAATAAAATCCATAATACTACAAACGATAGCCAGGATAAAGGGAATTCCCCACGCGTAGATTGCATAAAATAACAATTTCTTTCTCTGTTGCTGTTTCACATTTCTTTGTAACGAATAGAATGTTCTGTGAGAAAAATTATGTTATATTTTGCCAAAAACGATAGAAAACAAAATAATGCAAATGCACATTAAAATCATTGTTTTCGATCGCGGTTCTCAAAAACTTATTCTATATAAAAATAGACATTTTATATACGACTATACGAATTTTACCATGCATTCATATTATTGATTTAATGTGTATATGCAGTTAACATATAACATGTGTATTATATATGCAAGAAATTATTCTATATAAATCATTTTTTTTTAAACGTTGATAATTACATTTAAAAAAGAAAATAAAATATAAAATATTGTAGAATGACTTGCCTGAATGTCCACCATATATCGAAACTCATCATATTTAACCAGAAGAAGCTTGCCAAAAAACAAAAGTAGATTAAGAAGGCTGAAAAATGGAATAAATAATATTTTAATTATTTATCATGTCTAAAGTTCTATTCACTTGTCATTATGTTTCACTTTTTCCGCGTCAAAATTTTTGCAGCAATCTTTATAATAAATTTTACTAATATTAAATTAAATAATGTTTCGATTTTTTTAAGACATACATTATTGAGGCAAACATAGATTGATTAGATGTCAAATTGCAAAATTCAAATTTAAATTTTATTCATTATTAATTTTTGCGTTTTTAAGATTTTAATAAATTATATATTCAAGAAATAGTAAGATAATAAATAATAAATTCGCAAAAATATAATTATATATTAATATATATATTAACACAATAATATATTAATATATTATATAATATATTAATATATTAATATATTATAATAATATAATAATATATTAAAATAACAAATATATACATTGTATCAATTGCATCTAGTTATGTAATTTATAATACATATATACTGTACTTGTTGTAACGCAGACGGAATCTTGCACAGCATTCGTTCTAATTATAATATTCACAATGTCAATTCCGTATGCAACAGACAAGGCACCGATGTAATTCCGCAATATGAAGCCGTGTACATTTCGGAGTTCTGGCAGTATGGAATACACGAGAAATATCGGCAGCAAAAATAATAAAGATCCTATGTCGGCGCCGAAATCTATGTAGTTTATTTTATTCATTTCTACTGAAAGATTACTATTAGGCGCTGTTACAGTAAAAATCTCAAGAGTGCTGCTGGAATTTTTAAGCAACTGATCGTTCTCCTCTTTGATCCTCGTCAAATTCTCATCATCATTACATGTGGAGTTGATGCGACAATCTTCGTGTTGGGTATTTTTGAAGGGATTTTTATACGAGTCACGTCGCAGCTTTTCTGTTTGGTCGCTATAATGTGTCGTAAAATTTGCGTTTATCTCGTCATTTTCTTCATTCTTGAAATTTTGAGATTGCGCAAACGAAATTACGAAGAGAAGCGCACAGCACCACATTCCAGGCTTTTTTCCATACATCGTTAATTTTTTAATACATCATGTAAACACTTATCATTTTTTAGTAATTACTGATATGCTGTGGAAATAAAGTTACATTAATGAAACGTTAAGCTACAATAATTTAGCGAGGCTTTTTCTCGGGAAAGAATTAAGAATCTGTTTTTAAAGAATCTTTTCTCGTCAATTTATCAAGAAGAAATTAATGACAGAAAGACACTTCAATTGAACAGATAAATGTTAATATTGAGATTTGCATACATAAAGATATGCACATATAAAATGAAACGTAGAATAATAGAGGATAATGTAAGGATTTAACATTTTTTTATGAAGATATACTAAAATTAAACAAAACAGAAATGAATAATTACGCAAGCTTGTACTTGCGGAAGGCGAGACAAGTCACGATTACTACACGCGTAGTAACACAGCTGATTCATTCTGTCATGTGAATCGCTCAATCGCGTTATGCAATTCACGTGTGAAACGACCGTATATCTTTCTACCTAGATTTACAGACATTCATCTATTTTACATGACAAAACAAATCAGCTATTTGTTGACGCGACACGTAATTTGTGTTATCTCTCGGGAAAAAAATGTTTATATAGAATTATATATAATTAATTGTATAATTATACATATAATCGTAAGATTATATATATGAAATATGTCCATTAAATTTTTATACATAATTATATTTTATATATAAATTATATGAGTTCATATATAACCATGTCAAATTATATATGAAACATATATATATTATACATATATATGAAAAGAAATAGTTATTTATTATATATATATAAATTTATTATATAATTATATATAAATAAAGCACTTTTATCTAATTATGTATAAATATATTTTATATATACTTTTTCGATTATATGTATAATTTTATATATTTTTATATAATTTTATTGTTATATATAAAAATTTTATCCCGAGTTATTCTTAAAAAAATAATTGAAATAAATAAATACAATAATACAATAATGAATATTGACATATTTAAATGACGGTAAATCCATTTTATTATTTTCATATTTTCATATCTGCATTAATACTGTAATATTTTTACAGACTATTATTTAATTATTAAAAGAATGAAAGTACAAAAAATTTATCTGTTAATACAATTATGCTCTCTTCTCGTTTATTTTTTGACGTTATAATATTTATGTAACATAAGGTTTTATAAATCTTGCGCTACCGTTATCTTAATTCTAAGAGACGATATAAGAGAGACTTAAAGTAAACATCGATTACAAGCCGCGATATGTAGTAAACCCAAAAGGACTCAACAGCAAAGGAATATGATAATGTTCGCGAGAATTTTTCACGTCAAACACCACATCGATCAACGGATACATCGAATTGGTCACATTTCGTCTGAAATAATCATTCACCCGAAATTCGATCTTGAATCTGCCAGGTGTGGGAGTCTCTCTTTCATCTTGTAGCAGATCTGCGCTACGTCCGTTTGATCCTGTCGTGCTGTGGAGGAAATAATAATTTTTAACAACAGATAAATAAAATATAATGCAAAAATATATATAATGCATAGAAGATGCACATATAGAACATATACCTTTCTTTTAGAAGAATCCATTTATCATTCTCGAACTTGTAAAGACTTACTGCCAAATTATCAGCAGGTAGACCTCTACTAGTATCCAAAACGTGCGTAGTGATATTTAATTTTGCTTCTTTCGGATTTACGGAAGTGGTCATCTATCGCATAAAAATCATAATTGTATTACATATAATTATTATGACATCAAAATGATGTCATAATAATTACTGTGGCTATATGGGTAACTATACAAATATATAAAAATTTTAAGGATAATAATATATCCAAACTTTTTCTGCTTTTAAAATTATAACAAATTGTAGACTAACAATAATTTATATTTTATATACTATATGTTTAAATAATTATTTTTGTAATAGTTTGAAAACTATTAAAAAACTCGACCAAAGATTAACACATTAATATAATTTTAGAGTTCACATGTAATTGAACTTGCATTATTTTCTTTTATTAAAATTCTCATTTTATACAAAAATAAGTATAAAAGAAAAGTTAATGAGAATCCGGCGCAAAAAATAGAGCATGCGTGAATAATTCTTTTTCGAAATAACTTATCTCTTAAATTATTTTCATTAATTGTCAACAAATTATCCCTCTTTAAAAAACATGTTATTAATTTTCGAATATATCGAAGTCTTCTCGTAATTAGCGAATACATTGTTAATTAATTTTGTTTATTAATTTTTTTACAATTAGGTGATTTTGATTACAGTCTTTCTCAATTAGAAAGATAAAATAGCATGTATTATCTACAAAATTATTTATAAAATGGAATAAAATTGAAAATAATCGAAAGGTTAAGAGATTATAACATATATTCAGAGTTGGAAAGTAACGAGTTACTTGTAACGAAGTTACAGTTACAGTAACATATGGATCTTCATATGATTTAATCTTTTACCTACAATTCTCATATATATTTAGTGTACATAAAATAATATAATACATAATTAAGATCGACCAATCACAGTCAAGTATTTAAAAAATTTTTAAATGTAATAATTTGCTAGCGACTTTGCGATTACCATTTAGTAAGTTACTAACTATTGTTACTGTTGTATATAAAGGCCATTCCCCAAGGAAAACAGAAGATCAAAATTATGTCAATAAAACATCATATATTGATTAAATATTGACCAAAAAATGACATAAATTTAGTCAATATGACATTAAATTGACATCATTTTGACTTTTCTGTTCTCCTTGAGTTCATACATTGATGGTTTGAGCGCGTGCTCGTTCGATAGTTAATGTTTCGTCACTATCGCGGATCAGGAGAGGATATTTTATCCGGAAATATTAATTTAGGGTGCAAAGTATATTGTATTTCACTGCATTTATTCGTGTCACAAAAATCTAGTACAAAACTTCTACTCTCCACCGAGAAAAACCGTGTTACGCGAACGCAAGTCAAATTCTATCTGCCTCTTCGAGGCCGCGCATTGTCTCGCTTCTCTCGATCATTCCACGACCTTATTTTATTTTTAGGTGATTAGACTATCTATTATTTTGAGGTACTCTCGCTTTTATTATGTTCGGAAATCGAAATTTACTTTCGTCATGTTAGTCGCTTATTTGTTTATTTATTGTTTTGTGTCACCGGTCGCGATATCCTTAACACACGTCGCTTGTAATTTTAATTTTTATTTCGTATATATTTTATATGCTTGTGGCATTTATCGCCACAATGTTAACACATCGGTTTATTGTTAGTCGCCAAATTCTGTCCTGCTAAGTATAAAATAAAAACAAAATACTTACTATTCCAAAACCGGTTTACCTGGTTTATATATCCGGTTTTTCAAATCCAAGTTTTGATCTATATTTAGACGAATTTATGTTGTGTGTGATTATACATTAAAATTCACAAAAATTTTACTATATAACAATTCTCTTGATTTTAACATTAAAATATAATACAATTAATCCTTTTGTTCTTAAAATTTTAATAAATTATCCATTTAAGATTTAAGTATTATCATTAGAATATAATTAACGCTTATATGCAAGTAGATATATACTAATAATTAATAGATAAAATATTTATTTTATATTAATTCTTTTCATTGATACATTAATTAGGTATATTATACCATTATATTATAACACACAATACATATATTACACTAATTTAGGTATATTATATCGATATTATAACACATAAAATATGCGTCAAACATTCCTTTCTTTCGATTGCCTAAATTATTAATAATATTCGCAGCAGATGTCAAAGCAATATTTTTGACAGTATAGTATAGTATATGTACGAAATGTTCCCAGTAAAAACAGTGTAATCATTATACGCATATTTCTATTTATAATTATGATAATCTTATATAATTATTATTGATATTGTTTTATTTTTATTTTCGTTTTTTTTAATTTTTTTTGTTTTTTATTTTTTATTTTTTTTATTATATTATTTAAATGTTAAGACCTTCTTGGCAGCAGGTGTATTTTTTTCTTAAAAAATTACTTATTATTTATTTTTGTTTTTTTTTGTTTTTTGTTCTCTTTTATTTTTTTATAATTATTCATAAACTTTTTCTTTCTTTGATTTACAATCCTCAAAAGGATAATCAAATCAAACTTGTTCTAATGAATAAAGACAAATTAGAATGTTGATTGTACAAATATATAATTATAAGGAAAATACAAAGAATAATTAGTGAAGAGAATATTCGTTTATATTTTGCATAGAAATTTAGAGTTCAGTCCCACTGGGTGAACTTTTAACGTGACAGTTATCCTGTGCGTAAAATTTCTTGTCTTGCATAGCCACTTCTGACGTGGTGGTGCTCGATGTTACAGTCGTCTGTCGAACGTGTGAACCGCATCCAAATCGCTTCAATAACATCATCTTGATCTTCTTTTTACATATGAATACAATAAAGGTGCAGAGATTCTGCACGATGTCTACTAAGTAAATAGTAAACTCGACATAAATGTATATATCTCCAACCAACAATGACAATGTTATAACGAACCATTTTATACCCATCACGACAAACAGCATAATAAATAGCTTCAGATACAAATTAAACCTGCAAACAAATATATATTTATATTTGGATATCTTTTCAATAAAAATAATACTATTTATTATAATTAAGAGTTTAACTATTTATTAAATTTACTATTTATTAAAAATGCTATTTATTAATATTATAAATATAAGGCTCTAATTATAAATATAAATTAGAGGAACAAGAGCCATGAAGAAATTTATTTATTTTTACTCTACATTGACGTATTAATTACCACGCCTGGCTCTTAATTAAGAGGCGTGGTAATTAATACGCTAATGGAGAGTGAAAATATTAATTAATTATTTAATCAGTTATCACTCTACATTAGAGTATTAATTACCACACCTGGTTTTTATAATTGGTCCTTGTTTCTCTATAATCTATAACTATTTATTAAATTATTTTTTTACAAAATGGAATGAATTACAATCATAAAAAAGAAGAGAAAAAGAAATAATTGTTTTGAAAAAATTTTTAAAAAATAAAATTTTCTTTATGAAATTAAATGTATTCTTTAACTTTGTTCTCTCATTATTTTCCACATTTCGAGAATTGCAGACCTCCTCGAAAACAAAACAGAATTGAAGTTACAACGATATATTTTTCCTTTTCTATAGATTATGTACGTTAAAAGAAAAAAAATAGAAAATGAGAAAATACTAAGCACTAAAAAGATGTTTGCTTCAAAATAATTATCCTTTCCTTTCATCAGTATTGCAGATCAATCCATATGTAATGTAATATTGTTGGCGGAAATATTGACAAAAATAACATATTTGATTGGCTCATTAACAAACTACATAGAAGACTATCACACATCGATGCAAAAATAATACAGACCATTTCTTATTATCATTATACCGTTTGCTTTCCGAATTTGTCAGAATAACATCTATATCCTTCTTGTAACGTTTAATGTTCTGTGCCGTAGAGATGGATAAGCAAACGCTGCTAATAATGCAGACACTTTTGAGCCCGTAATAATACAAGATAAACGAATCTCTCCCTATAAGTATAAAATGTCATGAATTTTTATACTATTTCCCATACAGCACAAAATATTTTTAAAATCTCTTAAAAATATTTTTAAATCTTTTAAAAATATTTCTTAAAAGATAAAATAATTATCGAAAATATTTTTAAAATGTTTTTATGTCTGCTCTTTCATGTTTAAAAAATATTTTTGAATATAAATTTAAACTAATATTTCAAAAATATGTATGAAATATTTAAGAAAATATTATCTGAGCGATAAAAAGAACATTTTTAATAATATTTTTAAACGTTTTTGAAAATATTATGAAAAATGTTACCACAAAAAATTTTTTAAATTATTTTAAAATATTCGTAAAACCATTTTAAAATGTTTTTATGCAATAATTTATAGAAATATTTAGAAATATTTTTTGAAAACATTCATACTATTCTGTGTTGTGTAGGTTCTCACAATATATTAAAACGCTATAGCATTGATACAGTTATCTTCACTTACCAAAGAACCAGCAATCTCCGAAAAAAAATTCTGGTCGCAAAATCGATGGTACATACTTGGAAAGAAAATCCATGCTGACACAAAAATAGCAAGCATAAAGGGACATCCCACGCAAAGATTTTATAATAAATCAACTTTCTTTTTTTCGTTGTCTGACGTTTTTTAGTAACGAACAGAATCCTCTGCAATTTACACAACATATTTAACAAACAATAGATAAAAGAAATCAGAATGTAAAAACGTTAAAATAATGTGTCTTTGATCAAGTCACTTTATCATACTATAAAGCAAAAAATCAGCTTGAAGAATCCATTCTTAAAATTGCTGTACGATGATTTTTAACGGTGCTATGAACGATTATAGTAAAAATGACATTTTCTCTTTAATTTGCGATAAATTTTGATAAAAAAAGATCAGGATTTACGTTTTGAAAAACAATTTTGTTGGGACGATGTAAAAATACTTGATAAAGAATCACTTTATAACAAAAGATTGATTTCAGAAATGATATTTATAAAAAGACAAAATAGTCTCAATTTAAAAACAGACATCGATGGATTGCCAATAATTATGACGATATTATACATAGACTACCTAAGATATGAAAGTTAAATAACGTAAACAGCGAACTATTTTTCTCACTTTGCGGTCGTCTTTCTAAGAGTTTAGAACTATTCGTTATAGCAAGCATGAGCAATCAACATCTGAAAACCTTTACGTCAAAGATTTCTTCTCACTTGATTTAACTGTAAGTCTGGTTTTTATTTTATTTATCTGCATTGTTAAGTTTCGTATTGATTTTATAGACATATTAACAATGGCAGTTATCGAGATTCGCAACCGACTTCCTAACGGAACAATTAGGGAGAGATCCATTTCGCGACAATCACATATAATGACGTTCTGAGGAATAGATTATATACAAATAATGCTCATGCTTCACAAATGCGTTGCTTTCGCTTTAAATTGAATATCTTGACTCTGTATATTTTTAGTATAATGGCTTGTATAATTAATTATGGTAAATTTTAATAACCTCTAAATTTAATTATACACGCTAAAGAACTGAATTGACATTTTTGTAAGGATAGATATTATTTATAAATTTATACGTTTTGACGTTAAGATTCCTTTGTTTTTACCAAATAATATCAAGCGATGAATTTATATTTGTTGATGAGCGATGATCATAACGATGAATTTGTACTTATTAATATAACATAAGATATTAGTTTATTAATTTAAGATTATTTTGCTGTCGCTGAAGAAGGTCATAAAATTGATCGAAACGTTCGAATTTATTATTGTCTGTTATTTAATATGTTATACATCTTCTCACTAATAAATTACTGATTGATTTAATTAGCTCTTATTGCCTTTTAATTGTTTGATTAAAATAAGTAGTATAATATGGAATATTTTCCAACTTACCTGAATGTGCACCACATATCAAAGCTTATCATAATTAGCCAAAAGAAACCCGCCAAAAACCAAAAGTAGTTTAAGAAAGCTGCAAAAATGAATAAAAATACAGACTGTTTTAATAAATAATAATATATTATTTATATAAATATAAATGTAATATGTAATTTGCATTTTTAGTTGAAATATATAAGAAGAAGGAAATAAGTGATTTAGATATATATTCTACCTATTGTAACGCAAACAATATACGGTACATCACCCACTCTGATCATAAAATTCACACTGTCCATGCTGTATGCAACAGTCAGGGCACCGCTGTAATTGCGCAACATAAAGCCGTGTACATTTCGGAGTTCTGGCAATATGGAATACACCAGAAATACTGACCCCAAAAGTAATATAGATACTATATGGCAACTCAGATATATAATTTGTATGTCAGAAATCATGGGCTTATCAGTTATCTCCTTGATCATGTCATAAGTTTTGGAACAGATGGTTACTTCGAACTCATTCTCGTCGACGACGGCGAGACAATATGATGTCGATTCAACAAATATTTTATAATAATGTAAATATATAGAACCGTTGGTAAAAATTTTATAATCGTACTGAAAACCTTCGGGAAGCAGAACGTAATTATCCTGGCACGAATCATAAATGGTCAGCTGAAACGATTCGTTCACTTTCTTTTCGCTGTGCGTCGAATCGTTCGTGTATATGTTTGGAAAAGTGTATTCAATTTCTTCAGGAATGCAGTTGCCATCAACCAGACGATCGCCAAGAGAACAGCAGAGGCGAATGCAAGTATCATTATGACACATTTCGTTTGGGACGATGTTAGTTTCATTAGCATCTTTGCTGGAATTTTTGAAGACTTCAAATGACATGGAATCATTCTTTTCAATTACATTTTCATAAACTTCCTGAGCCGTGAAATTCCTTTTATGATTGACATATGTCGAATTTGTGTTAGATTTCATCGATTTTTGCTCATCATCTTTATTCTGCATTGAATGCTCGTAACGTTTATGTTGAATCAAATCATTATTCTCGCGTTTATTATTTATATGAAATTCATGCTGCATTTCGTCATTTTGTGTATTGTTTATCAAATTTTATGCAAATCATGTCGCAGGATTAATATTTCGTCGTTATAATTTGTTGTAGAATCCTTATTTATCTCGTATCGTATCGTCAAATTATCATCTTCGTTGGTGAAATTTTGCTGCGATTTCGATAACGAAATGACGATGAAAAGCACAAAACACACAAATGCAAACATTTTTCCACTCATTACCTAATGTAAGAATATACTTTCGAATAATTTGATAATCAAATTTAGTGTTTACAATTACTCATACAAGTTTTACATTTTCAATAATTAAAAATGTCATATTATATTTCTACATATACCTTTGCTTTTGTATTAATTGCAATAAAATGTGTCAAGTGCAAAAAACAATAAAATTAAATGATCTTATTCTATTTCTCAGCAAAATCTCGAAAGATCGATTAGATTTTAGCACGATTATTATTAATATTAATGATTGTACGTATTAAATTTTAATTATCTCTTTAGATAAAGTTAGTATTATATCACTGTATCCGGCTTCTTTCTAATAGAGAAATACACAAGATACATCTGCCAGTGCAGAGGAAACGAGACTACCGAGGACGACGAGTCGTCGAGCTTTGCGAGAAACTGCGTTTTTTATTATAGGAGACTATACACATATAGGATATATTATACACATATTATAACTTTGACATACTATTGTCTAGCACTATTAACGTAGATGATTACGCGATTGATTTTTAATTATCTCGTTGCATTCGTTAAAACGTATAATGTATCATTGTATCCAAGTTTAACTTCTTTTTCTAAGAAAAGCGAAGAATATATGTATCAAAAATGTATTTGCACGAAAAAAAAAATTTAACTACCGAAAAAGACGAGTCGAAGATAGTTTTATAGGGGAACTCACATACACACAGTCCATCTACTACTATATAAAATTGCATATATTATATATAATTATACAAATTTTATATAAATATTAAACAAATTTACGTATACAAAAATAGCAGAAAAACATTTGGGGAATTTTCTACTAACATAAATTGACCAATCCAGCAGCGAAATAGAATAAACTCGTAAAACCAGTTTCTCAAAACATCAGTGAACTTTACAATTCGGTTAAATTATACCTTTTAGTTGCACGGGAGATGAGACTAGAAGATGAAACTAGGAGATGAGACGAGGACGACGAGACGTCGATAGCTTTGCGAAAAACTGTCCGTCTACTATACTATATGGGACTATACACTATACAGAACTTTGACATACTATATGCAAAGAAAATTACTGTAGTGCTATTTTTGTTTTATGTTTGTTTTTATTTTTTGTAATCTCCCATTTGTGGATTGAGCGGATAGTGCTTTGCGCGCAAAACTTGCCCGTAAGTTGAGGCGTAGGGTACAGATACAGGTGTCTTTATTGTTAAGTCGATTATCTCAAAAATGGTTTGTCGTATGAAAAAAGTCAAAGAGTCAAAAAATACTTATTTTTGTATTTTTTGTCATAAACTGTAATGTATTTCAAATTTATTGCATCACCACATAAGTTTTGTCAATTGAAAAGTAACCCCAGCCTCTAAAAACCTCCTTCGAATTTTGTTAGAAAATTTTTGACAATAAAAATGTATAAAACGCATAAAGAAATGTGTATGTGCCATCTTTCATAAAATTCTAAGTCCAAGTTTAGACAATATACGGAAAATTCGAGTTTTTTGGGGAAACTTTTGGATGGTGTTGCTCAGAGGGGGTGCGTTTCCGGACATATGTTTATAGGACAATTTTACCTTATTTTGACTTGTAGAATATACCTATTTTCTTCTACTATCGATTCTGGAACACCCTGTATGTATAATAACAACAAGTAATTTTATGCAAATTTTATAGCAGCTTTTTTAAAATTTTACAAATATTGAAAATTGAAAATAATATATATCAGCCCACAATTAACAATTTAAAAATATTTATGTCAAGGAATGTAACATAATCTCATTTAAATTTGAAAAAGAAACGAGACAAAATAATAGACAAATGCTTTTGCTACGAAATCTGAAAATATGTGTGAATTATAATTATTAATCTTAAACATAAAAATCAACATGAAAAAAACATGATTTTAATTTTGGAATAAAAATTAAAGTTTGGTGCTATCAGTGTGACTCCTTGCTCGTCCAGAGGAACTCATTTTCTCCTGCATGACTATTTCCTCTGTCGTGGTAATAAAGCTCGACGATGTTACATACGATTCGGATCGAGCTTTTGACAACAAACCGCAGCCGAATCGTTTGAATAACATGCGCTTGATTTTTTTTCTCCACACAAATATGATAAAGGTGCATAGATTCTGTATAATGTCCAGCAACTCAATAACATGCGAGTTGTAAATTGATACATTTCCAGATAATTCATCCGCTGTTATCATAAGACATCTTATGCCTATTACGATAAACAGCACAATAAATATCTTCAGATATAGATTAAACCTGCAAACAAATATATAATATTCATAGTTCTTGTGAATAAATAATGCATGAAATTGATTTAATATATAAGCTAAGTAAAACATTTTTAAGAGAGTTTAAAATTTTTATTTGTGTAAAATACAAATACATTCATTAATTTGATTTTAGTTATTAAATGTCATTTTGTTTAGAATTGAATAGATTCTTGAAGAAACACGTAAAGTGATATATTTTTGAAAATATTACAAAATTAAAAAAGTAAACCAGCGAATAAAAAAGACGTCGTCTACAAATAATAATCTATGGTATTTATAATCTGAATTAATATATTTAATATCGTTTTAAATTTCTGATCTTGATTTAAAAATCCATTTCCTCAATCAAGCTCGAACTTAAGATTGAATATAAGCTCGGACTACTATTTGTTTCTTTTATAAAAAAATGCGAATCAATCAATCATGCGACGCTGTTTGCATAAATGTTAATAAAAGTAACATACATCTCATTAATAAAATAGATTATCATGTCTCAATGCAATCGATATCTCAGTACATACCATTTTTTATTATCGTTATAGCACTTGCTCTCCAAAATTTTTAGACCAAGACTCGTATGATTACAAGTATTGAGAATTTTAATTATCTTAATAGATCCTTTTTGTAACGCGCAATTTTTAATGCCGTAGATATAGAAAAACAAATGCAAAAGAACATGCACATACTTTTGAGCCCATGATAATACAACAAATACGGACCAGTCTCTGTAAGTATAAAACATCTGAGTTTTTATGCTCTTTCTCACCATACTAAAATGCTATAGCATTATCTTCACTTACTAAAAAAAAACATTCTCCTTTATAAAATTCCGGTTGCAAAATTGGTGGTACATGCTGGTACTTAGAAAGAATATCCATGCTGACAGATAAAATAGCAAGCATAAAGGGACATCCCCACGCAAAGATCGTATAATATATCAACTTTCTTTTTTTTAAAAAACTCCATCTTCATCTCGACTAAGAACCAAACGCGATGTTATTGCGACAAATTAAGATTTAGAAATTTTTGGAAACTGAGGAATTTGAATCCTATGGTTGGGATCTCAGAAATTCCCCTTGTTCCTTCTCTTAACATCCCCTGTAAGAAAAAGACGAGAAAAATATTGGTCCGAAAGTCGGCTGAATCGGGAATCGAACCCGAGACCTTCCGCTTGCCGGGCGACTGCTCTTCCAACTGAGCTATTCAGACACTTACAAATCAATATTTCTCTCAATGTTTATAACCCCCCACCCCCCCACCAAGGCGTCGTACCTGGTCTAAACGCAACAAACATTAATAAGAATATTTGTCAGTCAGCTCTCCTATTTTTTAAAAAACTCCATCTTCATCTCGACTAAGAGCCAAACGCGATGTTATTGCGACAAATTAAGATTTAGAAATTTTTGGAAACTGAGGAATTTGAATCCTATGGTTGGGATCTCAGAATTCCCCTTGTTCCTTCTCTTAACATCCCCTGTAAGAAAAACTCTCGTCTTTTTCTCGTCTTTTTCTTACAGGGGATGTTAAGAGAAGGAACAAGGGGAATTTCTGAGATCCCAACCATAGGATTCAAATTCCTCAATTTCCAAAAATTTCTAAATCTTAATTTGTCGCAATAACATCGCGTTTGGCTCTTAGTCGAGATGAAGATGGAGTTTTTTAAAAATAGGAGAGCTGACTGACAAATATTCTTATTAATGTTTCTTTTTTTTGTTGTCTGACGTTTCTTTGTAACGAACAGAATCCTCTGCAATTTAGTAAACATATTTAAACATATTAAACATATTTAATAAACAACACATAAAAGAAATCAGAATGTAAAAACGTCAAAATAATGTGTCTTTGATCAAGTCACTATATTATACTATTGTAAAGCAAAGTTTCAGCTTAAAGAATCCATTCTTAAAATTGCTGTAGGACGATTTGTAACGGTGCTATAAACGATTATAGTGAAAATGACATTTTCTCTTTAATTTGCGATAACTTTTGATAAAGAAAAATCAGGATTTACGTTTTGAAAAACAATTTGCACGTAAAACTTCAGACTGTAACATGGAAATGTCACGAAATTTTTCAAATTTTTTTGTGCATGCGACACGTCTACAAAGTGAGAAAAAATTTTTCATTTTGTTTGTTTTTCGTTTCTTGTATATAAAAAATATCAGAATTTAAGCAAATAAAAAAAGATGTAAACCACTGAAATTAGAGATTTCACGTTTTAAAACTCTTTTTTAAAGTTTAAATTCTCATTATTCGAAACAAAGTTTGGTCTATCTATCCAACCAATCTATTTAAAGTTTGCCTATTCTTGGACAATTGTCTTTTATTATCTTTTTTTATGCCTTAATTATTTTAAAAGTGTTTATTTACATAGCTATTATGCAGACACAACAATTGTATTAAAATTTTTATTTACTTTTAAAAGACAAATTTTTAATTAAAAAATCTACTTTTATTTGTGAAAACATATCGTGTATTGTTTTATTTCATAAATTAATATAAATTAAAAGAAAAAAAAGTTAAATATCAAAATATTATTGCATTATATCGAATTATTAGATTTTGTTATATATATTTTTTTATATATATTTAACGTTTTATTTATATTTAAATTAAATATATAATATGCTTATTATATCTAATACGCTATTTTTACTTTTAAAAAATTAATCATTTAAAAGTCTGTAATCAATTAATGAAAATATCCAAGAAAACTATTTATTTCAAATTATAATTTGAACCTATTATCTTTATACTCTAACTTATAACGTTCTAAATATAATTGTTCTATTATTAAATATTATTTTCAAATATATAATTGTTTTTGCACGTACCAACACAATGCATAAAAGAATTCGATTAATACAGAATTTTGCATATTTTCTATTTTCATCTTTAAACTGATATATGTAAAATCAAAAAACAAAAATTTTATAAAGATAAATAAAAGGCAAGTGTTAAAAATAAGTAATAATAATATAGAATATTTTCCAACTTACCTGAATGTGCACCACATATCAAAGCTCATTATACTTAACCAAAAGAAACTCGCCATACAACAAAGGTAGTTTAAGAAAGCTGCAAAAATAAATAAAAATACAGACTGTATTAATAAATAATAATATATTATTAATATAAATTTATATAAATATAAATGTAATATGTAATTTGCACTTTTAGTTGAAATATATAAGGAGCAAAAAATAAGTGATTTAGATATATATTCTACCTATTGTAACGCAAACAGAATACAGTATGTCAGCCGTTCTGATAAAAGTCACAATGTAAATGCTGTGTGCAACAGTCAGAGCACCGCTGTAATTGCGCAACATAAAGCCGTGTACATTTCGGAGTTTTGGCAATATGGAATACACCAGAAATACTGACCCCAAAAGTAATATAGATACTGTATGGCAACTCAGATATATAATTTGTATGTTATACTCATTATCAGTTATCTCCTTGATCTCGTCATAAGTTTTAGAACAGATGGTTACTTCAAACTCATTCCCGTCGACGACGGCGAGACAATATGATGTCGATTCAACAAATATTTCATAATAAGGTAAATATATAGAACCGTTGGTGAAAATCTTATAATCGTGGATATCTTTGGGATGCAGAACGTGACCTTCCTGGCACGAATCATAAATGGCTAGCTCAAACAATACGTTCACTCTTTTTTCGCTCTGCGTCGAATCGTTCGTGTATACGTTTGGAAAACTGTATTCAATTCCTCAGGAATGCAGTTGCCATAACAGACGATCGCCGAGAGAACAGCAGAGCCGATGCAAGTATCATTATGACACATTTCGTTTGGGACGATGACAGTTTCATAGCATCTTTGCTGGGAATTTTGAAGACTCAAGTGACATAGAATCATTCTTTTCAATTACATTTTCATAAACTTCCTGAGTCGTGAAATTCCTTTTATGATTGACATATGTCGAATTTGTGTTAGATTTCATCGATTTTGCTCATCATCTTTATTCTGCATTGAATGCTTGTAACGTTATGTTGAATGAAATCATTACCCTCGCGTTTATTATTCATATGTAATTCATACTGCAATATGTCATTTTGTGTATTATTTATCAAATTTTTATGCAAAACATGTCGCAGTTATTGTTTCGTCATTATAATTTGTTGTAAAATCCGTATTTATCTCGTATCGTAACGTCAAATTATCATCTCTGTTAGTGGATTTTGCTGCGATTTCGATAACGAAATGACGAGGAGAAGCACGGAACACACAAATGCAAACACTTTGCCACTCATTATGACATAACAATAATATATTTAGAATAATTATATAGATAATCAAATTTAGTGTTTATAATTTTCATATAAGTTTTAAATCTTTAATAATTAAAAAACGTCAGATTATATTTCTGCATATACTTTTGCTTTTGTATAATTGCAATAAAATGTGTCAAGTACAAAATATGATAAAATTAAATTATTCTATTTTGTTTTTCAGCAAAATCTCGAAATGTCGATTTGATTTTAGCACTATATTACTATTATTGATGATTGCATGTCTTGAATTCAATTATCTCACTAAAAAGTCGGTATTTTATCACAGTATCCCGCTTTTTCTGATGAAGAAATGAGAAGAATGCACAAGATACATGTGCCTGCGCGGAGAGAAGAGAAGCAGAGACCACCGAGGACGACGAGTCGTCGATAGCTTGTGAAAAACTGTCCGTCTACTAGACTATATAGGACTATACACATATAGCTTTTACATACTATATACAAGGAAAATAAGAAAATTATTGAAACTTCTACTGACGATAGCTCCACCAAACCAGCAGCAAAAAAAAAATACTCTTGACTGTTTTTTAGATATTTAATGCTTAAATGAAGAGTCTTTATATTTCTAAGAATATTGCAAATAAAAAATTAATTGATGCAGCAAAAGTCAAATAATAAAAATCTTGTAGTTATTAATGATTTTCTAAATGTATATTAAATGTAATTATCTTATTCGTTTAAATATTCGTATATAAAAATGTGTTTTAATAACTAATCAATAATGCATTTGTACGAAAAAGTATTTATTTCACAAATTTATCAATCTCATTTGTTATCTTTAGACTACAAAAGATTATTAAAAAGATAAAATTATATAGATTATATCTTTTATCAGTTTATTATTCGACTCTTATACATTATCATATTAGTTATAATGCCTGCACATATAAATTAAAAACAAATTACCTATTCCAAAACCGGTTTAGATTCCACGTGCATAACTTTGAGAGTTATGTCATAATTATTTATTTATTTGATTAAGAATTAAAAGCAGCAGTAGATCCGGTGGCGCTGATGTTATTTAATTTTTTATTCCCAACTTTTGATGAGGAAAGAAAATCTTTCACAAAAAATTTATTGATTTCTTCAAAATCAATAATTGAAACTAATAATTAATTACGAAAATGTAAATCATAATGGAGAAAATAGTTATCTAAACCGAATTATTGTGATCATAAGAAATCTAAAACTTTATTAATTATTTAAATATTAATGTTACAATAACCTTATGATAAAATATTTAATTAAATTATAAAAAAATATAATAATATATAAATTTTTATTTTAATTTTAATATTAATAAATAAACATATATTTATTTGACATTTGTAATAATAACAACTTATAATAATTTCATGCAAATTTTGTAACAGCTTTCTGAATTTCTACTAATATTCCAAATATAAAAAAATTATCAGTCTACAATTAACAATATTATAAATATTTATATCAAGGAATGTAGCATAATCTTATTTGAATTTGAAAAAAAAAAGCGACACAAAATAATATGCTTTTGCTACGAAATCCGAAAATATATATGAATTATAATTATTAATCTTAAACATAAAGATCAGCATAAATAAACATGATTTTAATTTTCAAATTAAACGTAAAGGTCGGTCATATCAGTGTGACTTCATGCTCGACCAGAAGAACTCATCTTCTCCTGTATGACTATACATATAGCTTTTTACATGGAAATAATGCTCGACAATGTTGCATTCGATTCGGATCGAGCTTTTGACAACAAACCGCAGCCGAATCGCTTGAATAACATGCGCTTGATATTTTTTCTCCACACAAATATGATAAAGGTGCATAGATTCTGCATAATGTCTAGCAAATCAAAAACATACGAGTTGAAAATTGATACATTTTCAGATAATACTTCCGCTGTTAACATAAGCCATTTTATGCCTATTAAGATAAACAGTACGATAAATAGCTTCAGATATAGATTAAACCTGCAAACAAATATATAATTTTCATAGTTCTTGTGAATATATAATGTATAAAATTTTTTGTGTATAAAATTTATATGAATATTTTAAAAAAGTTTAAAATTTGTATTTTTGTGAAATACAGGTGCAGTCATTAATTGATTTTCGTTATTAATTGTCATTTAGTTTAGAATGCATAGATTTTCGAAGAAGAAGAAACACATAAAATGATATATTTCTGAAAATATTACCAAATAAAAAAAAAGTAAATCGGCAAATAAAAAACATGTCGTCTGCAAATGACAATCTATGGTATTCAGAATCTAAATTTATATTTAATATTGTTTTAAATCTGATGTTGAATCTGATCTAAAATTCCATACAACCAATTAAGGTCGGAAAATTAAATACGCGATGAAACTATTAATTATTAATACCGGCCTAATCTCTCTTTTATAAAAAAATGCGAAAGCAATCATTTATGCGTGCTGTTTGCATAAATGTTAATATAAGGAGCTTATATTTTATTAAAAAATAGTTATCATATTTCAATGCAACGATATCTGAATACATACCAATTTTATTATCGTTAAAGCAATTGTTCTCCAAATCTTTCAGACAAGGACTCGTATCCTTTTCGAAACGCTTAATTTTAATGCCGTATAAATAGAGAAAAACAATGCTACTGATGATGCACATACTTTTGAGCACATAATAATACAACAAATACGGACCAATCTCTGTAAGTATAAAATATCATGAGTTTTTATACTGTTTCTCACAATAGTAAAATGCTATAGTATTAATAAAGTTATCTTAAACTTACCATTGAACCAGCAATAATCTCCTAAATGAAATTCCGGTCGCAAAATCGATGGTACATACGCAGAAAGAATATCCATGCTGACACATAAAATAGCAAACATGAAAGGACATCCCCACGCAAAGATCGTATAATATATCAACTTCCTTTTTTCTGGTTGTCTAACGTTTCTTTGTAACGAACAGAATCCTCTGCAATTTATACATCATATTTAACAAACAATAGATAAAAGAAATCAGAATGTAAAAACGTTAAAATAATGTGTCTTTGATCAAATCACTATATCATACTATAGAACAAATGTTCAGCTTGAAGAATCCATTCTTAAAATTGCTGTACGATGATTTTTAACGGTGTTATGAACGATTAAGGTGAAAATGACATTTTCTCTTGCATTTGCAATAACTTGATAAGGAAAGATCGACGTTTACAATTTAAAAACGATTTTGCAAAGAAACTTTAGAGTGTTATATGGAAATGTCAAGAAATTTAAAAAATTTTTTTGTGTATGCGACACGTTTACCTTGTAAGAAAAAATTTTCCATTTCGTCATGTTTTTCGTTTTTTGTATATAAAAAATATCAAAATTGAAGAAAATGAAAAAGCTGTAAACCATTGAAAGTAGAGATTTCAAGCTTTAAAACTCTTTTGGAAAATTTAAATTTTTATTATTCAAAACAAAGTTACAGCTATTTAAAGTTTGCCTATTTTTCGACAATTGTTTTTTTATGTCTTAATTATTTTAAGAAGTGTATATTTACATAACTATTATGCAGACACGACAATTAATGGTACTTTAAATTTTTATTTACTTTTGAGAGACGAATTTTTGATAAAAAATTTATTTTGACGAAGTAAATGAGCTGTTGAGCCAAGCGCTGTGTTAGACCGTTTTCTTTAATATTAAAATTTATTCAATAAAATTCGTAAAACGTTTCGACTCTGATTGGGTTCTCTTCAGTTACATATATTAAATTCAAAAATTGATCTTACTCCTTGAAAAACGTGTATATTTCATTACATAATTATGTCTCACTTAAAATTGCGTCTATATTATATTATTGACATACATATACAATATATAATTTAAAATGCTGTTCGTTAATAACGCTTCCACCCATCCTGTGTCTGTCGTGTCTCGATTGAAATTGACTTCAAATCAAATTATGTAATGAAATGTACACGTTTTTTGAGGAGTAAGATCAATTTTGAATTTAATATATGTAACTGAAGACGACCCAATCAGAGTCGAAACGTTTTACGAATTTTATTGAATAAATTTCAATGTTAAAAAAACGCTCGAACAACAGCGCTTGGCTCAACAGCTCATTTACTTCATCAACTGTATTTATTGTCGGGAGCCTTATAATATTAATCTATTTTTTATTTTGTAAAAAGTTATCGTGTATTGCTTTATTTTATAAATTAAAAGAGAAAAATGTCATATCAAAATATTATTGCATTATATCGAATTATTAGATTTGTTATAATATTTTATACATATTTAAATTAAATATATAATATGCTTATTATATCTAACACGCTATTTTTACTTAAAAAATTAACCGTGTAAAAATCTGTAATTAATTAATAAAAAATTTTGAAGAAAACTATTTATTTAAAATTATAATTTGAACCTATTATCTTTATACTTTAACTTACATATAATGTCTTAATCAAATATAGTTGTTTTTGCATGTACCAACACAATATATAAGAAAATTCGATTAATACAGTATTTTGCATATTATATATCCTCTATCTTTATCTTTAAACCGTTATATGTAAAATAAAAAAAAGAATTTTATAAAAGTAAATAAAAGGCAAGTGTTAAAAATAAATAGTAATAATATAGAATATTTTCCAATTTACCTGAATGTGCACCACATATCAAAGCTTATTATATTTAGCCAAGAGAAACCCGCCATATAACCAAAGTATTTTAAAAAGGCTGTAAAAATGAATAAATTAAAGGCTGTAATAATTAATAATAAATAATAATATATAATATTATTAATATAAATATAAATATAAATGTAATATGTAATTTGCTCTTATAGTTGAGAAAAACGAATAAGAAGCAGGAAATAGGCCAAAAGAGCAACGCGAAGTATAATTTGGTCGCAAATACAACTTTATTTCATAAAAAAATCATTTTTATTATTAAATAAAGGAACTTTGTGTTTGCGACCTAATTACTTCGCGTTGCTCTTTAGATCTATTTTCTGCTCCTTATCTATTTCTATATTATTAATAAATAATAATATATATTATATAATAAAATATATATAATACATATTAATATTAATAAATAATAATATATTATTTATCGTTACACGTTAAAATCGCAAGATCTCAAAGTTATCACATCTGTTTCTTTATTAAAATAAATTTACTTAACTTCCTACACTAAATTTTATAGTAATAGTAACGTAATAAATACAGCTAATATCAAATTAAACATGTTTGATTCAATATGTAACTTTGCAAAATTCACAAACATAAAGACATATATCTATTTGAGACGAATAATTTATATTAATTATATATTATTAAAATGCATTTAAATATTATTCACTGTTTTGCATTTTTAACATTTTAACAAATAATATATCAAATAACATTTAAATTATTAATTACATTTAATGTGCACATTTAAGATGCACATTTAATACCTAATATTTAATATACATTAAATATCTGACAAATATATAAACGCTATACTGATTGTATAGTTTTATGATTTAGATATATACTCTACCTATTGTAACGCAGACGGGATACTGTACATTATCCGATTTGTTAAAAAAATACACAATGTCAATTCCGTATGCAAAAAACGAGGCACCGCTGTGATTGCACAACATGAAGCCGTGTCTATTTTGGAGTTCTGGCAATATGGAATACACCAAAATACTGACCCCAAAAGTAATATAGATACTACATAAGCACTCACTTTTATAATTTGTGTGTCAAAAATCAAGGGCTTTTTATCAGTTACCTCCTTGATCTTGTCAGTGGTTTCGGAACAGAAGATCACTTGGAATTTACTCCCTTCGACGACGGCGAAACAATATGATGTCGATTCAACAAACATTTTAGAATCAGTTAAATATATAAAACTGTTATTCAGAATCATTATTTCAGAATCAATTAAATATATAGAACCGTTGGTAAAAATTTTATAATCGTACTCATACTGAAAATCTTCGAGAAGCAGATTGTAATCCTTTTTTTTGCACGAATCATAAATAGACAGCTGAAACAATTCGTTTACTTTCTTTTTGCTCTGCGTCGAATCGTTCGTGTATACGTTTGGAAAAACGTATTTAATTCTTCAGGAATGCAGTTGCCATCAACCAGACGATCGCCAAGACAACAGCAGAGGCGAATGCAAGTATCATTATGACACATTTCGTTTGGGACGATGATAGTTTCATTAGCATCTTTGCTGGAATTTTTGAAGACTTTAAGCGATTTGGAATCATTCTTTTTAATTACATTTTCATAAACTTCCTGAGCCGTGAAATTCCTTTTATGATTGATATTTGTCGAATTTGTGTTAGATTTCATCGATTTTTGCTTATCATCTTTATTCTGCATTGAATGCTCGGAACGTTTATGTTGAATCAAATCATTATCCTCGCGATTGCCGTTCGTATGAAATTCTTTGTCATTTTGTGTATTATTTATAAATTTTTTATGCAAATCATGTCGCAGTGTTATTATTTCATCGTTAGAATTTGTATTTATGTCGTATCGTATCATCAAATTATCATCCTCGTTGATGGAAATTTGCTGCGATTTCGATGACGAAATAACGAGGAGAAGCACAAAAAACACAAATGCAAACATCTTTCCACTCATTATTTCACGTAAGAATATACTTTCAAATAATTAGATAATCATATTTAGTGTTCATAATTTTTCATAGAAGTTTTAAATTTTCAATAATTAAAAAATGTCATATTAAATTTATGCGTACCTTTACTTTTGTATTAATTGCAATAAAATGTGTCAAGTGCAAAACATAATAAAATAAAATTATTTTAATTTATTTCTCAGCAAAATCTCGAAAGAGCGATCTAATTTTAGCACTATTATAATATTAATATTGACGATTGCACGTCCTGAATTTTAATTATCTTATTACATAAAGTTAGTAATATATCATTGTATATCCGGCTTTTACTTTTTTTCAGGTAGAATGCACAAGATATACTTGCACGGGAGAGAAAATGAGACTACCGAGGGCGACGAGTCGTCGATAACTTTGCGAGAAACTGTCTGCCTACTATATTATATGGAACTATACATATATAACTTTTACGTATTATATACAAAGAAAACAAAAAAAATCATTAAAACTTTTCCTGACGATAGCTCGACCAATTTAACAGCGAAATAATAAAAAAATCTTTACTGTTTTTTTAAAAATTTAATGCTTAAATAAAATCTTTAAATTTTTCAAAAATACCGAAAATAAGAAATAAATTGATGCGCAGCAAAAGTCAAATAACATCAATTGTTTATTTATTAATTATTTTTTAAATGTATATTAAATTATAATTATTTTATTTATTTAAATATTTGTATATAAAAAGAGTGATTGCAAAAAGACCTGTTTTTTCGCCCATTTTATAGAGTCGAATTTTGAGATCTCAAATTTCACACTTTTTTATGTCAAATAGTCTATCTGCTTCAAAAAGGGCTGTATCATCAAATTTGAACAATAATGAACCTAAAACAAATATATGAATCATACTCTCAAATAAAACATAAAATGTAATTAAGAAAAGTATCTGTTCTGATATGATCACATTGATGTTGATTAATTTTATCTCAGGAAATTAAATAATTATATAATTGCGTAATACATATAACTTTAAAATTGTATATAAAGTAATTATTATGAGTAACTTTCACCTTGTATATATATATATATATATATATATATATATATATATATATTATATATATATGATTAATATTTTAAACATACTAGCTATTCTTTGTAAATTGTAGTACATTCTCATGTTTCTTCGTATTATAATTTAAAATAATTTTTATTTTATGTATGCGTTAATTTTATTTTTTGTTATTGAATACGAAAAAGACATATTTATAATTGACTGTAATTTTAAAAAATTCTGAGACGTATCTAGTCTTAAGTTAATTAAAATAAAAAATGTTTAATGTTCATGTTGCAGAAAAATAAATAATTATTAAATTGAATTTTTACTACTTGTATTATTATTAAAATACGAATCTTTTTCCTGCATTATATGTCGAAATAAATTAATAATTAAATTAAGTGTCACTATTATGTTCAATAATATTTAGTAAAACTAGATTTGTAATTTACAGTCATAATTTAATGTTTGCAATTTAATAATTAATTCTAATTAATGTAAGGTAATTTTGATTATATCTATTGTAAATCAATATATACAAATGTTGATTGAATTGCATTTTCTAACAAAACGACAATTTTTAATACATTTTACGAATAGTATTGACCATAGTAAAATGTAAATATATTAATTTATCTTAATGTATATAATACAAGAAAAAGGTTTATATTTTCTTACTTCTTAATTAAATGTATAATTACTATTTTAACGAGAAATGATTGGTCGTATTGACATCGAATTGCCGACAAATCAAAGTCGATTCGACCATCATTTCTCGCTGGATAGTGAAGAAAAAATAATTAATATTGAGTCAAAATCGATTTATTCTGAGTCAAAAACTCATTAAAAATCGTGACATAAATCAATCGAAATCGATGATATTTAGTTTTCGATATATGTTTTCGACGATGATTCGACATCAATTCGATAAGTCATTTCTCGCTGGGTTGAATTTAAAAACGAAACGGGATTAAATAATATGTGTGAATTATAATTAATAATCTTAAACATAAAAACTATCATAAAAAAACATGATTTTAATTTTGAAATAAAAATTAAAGGTCGGTCCTATCAGTTTGGCATCTTGCTCATCCGGAAGAAACCATCTTCTTCTGCATGACCTTTTTTTTTGACGTGATAATAATGCTCGACAGTGTTGCATTCAATCTTTTGGCAACAAACCGCAGCCGAATCGCTTGAATAACATTCGCTTGATCTTTTTTCCATACAAATAAAATAAAAACGAATAGATTCTGCATAATGTGCATCAAATAAATAACATACCCTATAATATCGAAAATTGGTACTGATAATGACCATACATAAATATAAAAATATATTCGGATCGCTGTTATCAAGAGCCATTCTATGCCCATTAAGATAAACAGCACGATAAATAGGTTCAGATATAAGTTAAACCTGCAAACAAATATATAATTTTTATAATTCTTGTAAATATATATGATGAAGAAAATTTAATTGATGTATAAACTTTAAGAAATTTTTAAGAGAAATTTTTAAAATTTTTATTATTGCGAAATACAGGTGCAGTCATTAATTTGATTTTTGTTATTATAATTGTTATTTTCTTTAGAATTGCATAAATTTTCGAAGAAACACGTAAAATGATATATTCTTGAAAATAATACAAAATAAAAAAACGTGATCGGCGAATAGAAAAGATGTCATCTGCAAATGACAATCTATGGCCAGTATTCATAATCTGAATTTATATTTAATATTGTTTTGAATCTGATCTTGACTTAAAATTCCATTCAACCACTCAAGCTCGGACTTAAAATTAAATGTACGATCGGACTATTAATTATTAATATCAGCCTATTACTCTCTTTTATAAAAAAAGAATGCGAAGCAATCAATTATGCGACGCTGTTTGCATAAATGTTAATATAAGTAGCATAAATTTTATTAATAAAATAGATTATCATATCTCAATGCAACAATATCTGAATACATACCATTTTTTATTATCGTTATAGCACGTGCTTTCCGAATCTTTCAGACAATGACCTGTATCCTTTTCGTAACGTCCAATTTTTAATGCCGTAAAAATAGATAGACAAATGCTACTGATGATGCATATACTTCGAAGTCAATAATAATACAACATGTGCGGACCAGTCTCTGTAAGTATAAAACATCATGAGTTTTTATACTCTATCTAACAATACTAAAATGCTATAGCATTATCTTCATTTACTACTGAACCAGTAATATCCTTCATAAAATTCCGGTTGCAAAATCGGTGGTACATTTACGTACGCGGAAAGAATATCCTTGCTGACACATAAAATAGCAAACATAAAAGAACATCCCCACGCAAAGATCGTATAATATATCAACTTTCTTTTTTCTCGTGTGATGTTTCTTTGTAACGAACAGAATCCTCTGCAATTTACACAACATATTTAACAAACAATAGATAAAAGAAATCAGAATGTGAAAACGTTAAAATAATGTGTCTTTGATCAAGTCACTTTATCATACTATAAAGCAAAGATTCAGCTTGAAGAATCCATTCTTAAAATTGCTGTACGATGATTTTTAACGGTGCTATGAACGATTATAGTAAAAATGACATTTTTTCTTTAATTTGTGATAACTTTTGATGAAAAAAAATCAGGATTTACGTTTTGAAAAACAATTTTGCACGTAAAACTTCAGACTGTAACATGGAAATGTCACGAAATTTTTCAAATTTTTTTGTGCATGCGACACGTCTATACAAAGTGAGAAGAAATTTTCCATTTCGTTATGTTTTTCGTTTTTTGTATATAAAAAATATCAGAATTTAAGAAAATGAAAAAAAATGTAAACCACTGAAATTAGAGATTTCACGTTTTAAAACTCTTTTTTAAAGTTTAAATTCTCATTATTCGAAACAAAGTTATATCTATTTAAATTTTACCTATTCTTGGACAATTGTCTTATATTATCTTTTTTCATACCTTAATTATTTTAAATGTGTTTATTTACATAACTATTATGCAGACACAACAATGTTATTACAATTTTTATATACTTTTAAAAGACAAATTTTTAATTAAAAAATCTACTTTTATTTTGTGAAACCATATCGTGTATTGCTTTATTTTATAAATTAATATAAATTAAAAGAGAAAAAGGTTATATATCAAAATATTATTGCATTATATCAAATTATTAAATTTTATTATAATATTTTATACATATTTAAATTAAATATATAATTTGCTTATTATATCTAATACGCTATTTTTACTTTTAAAAAATTAACCGTTTAAAAGTCTGTAATCAATTAATAAAAATATCCATGAAAACTATTTATTCCAAATTATAATTTAAACCTATTATCTTTATACTCTAACTTATAATGTCCTAAATATAATTGTTTTATTATCAAATATTATTTTCAAATATATAGTTGTTTTTACACGTACTAACACAATATGTAAGAAAATTCGATTAATACAGAATATTCATATTATATATTATCTATCTTTATCTTTAAACCGATATATGTAACATCGAAAAGAAAGAATTTTATAAAGATAAATAAAAGGCAAGTGTTAAAAATAAGTAGTAATAATATAGAATATTTTCCAACTTACCTGAATGTGCATCACATATCAAAGCTCATTATACTTAACCAAAAGTAACTCGACATAAAACAAAGGTAGTTTAAGGAAACTGCAAAAATGAATGAAAATACAGACTATATTAATAAATAATAATATATTATTTATATAAATATAAATGTAATATGTAATTTGCACTTTTAGATGAAATATATAAAAAGCAAAAAATAAGTGATTTAGATAGATATTCTACCTATTGTAACGCAAACAGAATACAGTATGTCAGCCGTTCTGATAAAAGTCACAATGTAAATGCTGTGTGCAACAGTCAGAGCACCGCTGTAATTGCGCAACATTAAGCCGTGTACATTTCGGAGTTATGGCAATATGGAATACACCAGAAATACTGACCCCGAAAGTAATATAGATACTATATGGAAACTCAGATATATAATTAGTATGTCATAAATCATGGGCTTATTATCAGTTCCAGTATCCATCTCCTTGATCTTGTCAGAAGTTTTGGAACAAATGGTTACTTCGAACTCATTCCCGTCGACGACGGCGAGACAACATGATGTCGATTCAACAAATATTTCATAATAAATTAAATACATAGAACCGTTGGTAAAAATCTTATAATCGTACTGAATACCTTCAGAAAGCAAATACTTCTCTTCCTGGCACGAATCAAAAATGGCCAAGTCAAACAATTCGTTCACTCTCTATTCGCTCTGCGTCGAATCGTTCGTGTATACCTTTGAAAAATGTATTCAAATTCTTCAGGAATGCAGTTCCCATCAACCAGACAATCGCCAAGAGGACAGCAGAGCCAAATGCAAGTATCATTATAACACATTTCGTTTGAAACAATGTTAGTTTTATTAGAATCTTTGCTGGAATTGTTGAAGACTTCAAGTGACATAGAATTATTTTTTTAATTACATTTTCATAAAATTCTTGCGGCGTGAAATTCCTTTTATGATTGACATTTGTCGAATTCGTTTTAAATTTCATTGATTTTTGCTCATCATCTTTATTCTGCATTGAATGCTCGTAACGTTTATGTTGAATCAAATCATTATCCTCGCGTTTATTATTCATATGAAATTCATGCTGCATTTTGTCATTTTGTGTATTATTCATCAAATTTTTATGCAAATCATGTCGCAGTGTTATTATTTCATCGTTATAATTTGTTGTAGAATCCACATTTATCTCGTATCGTATCGTCAAATTATCATCTTTGTTGGTGGAATTTTGCTGCGATTTCGATAACGAAATAACGAAGAAAAGCGCGGAACACACAAATGCAAATATCTTTTCACTCATTATTTCACGTAAGAATAAACATTCAAATAATTATATAATCAAATTTAGTGTCCATAATTTCTCGTATAAGTTTTAAATTCTCAATAATTAAAAAATGTCACATTAAATTAATGCACACCTTTGCTTTTTTATTAAATGCAATATGATATGTCAAGTACAAAGTATAATAAAATTAAATTATCTTATTTCGGTTTTCCGCACGAAAGGTCGATCAAATTTTATCACGATTACTATTAATATTGATGATTGCACATCTTGAATTTTAATTAGCTCACTAGATAAAGTCAGTATTATTGATATATCAATGTATTTGGCTTTCACTTTTTTCTGATAGAAGACTGCACAAGATACATGTGCCTACGCGAGAGAGAAGCTGAAATTATCGAAAACGACGAGTCGTCGATAGCTTTGCGAGAAACTGTCCGTCTACTATACTATATAGAACTATACATATATAGCTTTTACATACTATATACAAAGAAAATTTTAAAAATCACTTAAACTTTTACTGACGATAACTTGGCCAATTCAGCGGCAAAATAAAAGATACTCTTGACTGTATTTTAAATATTTAATGCTTAAATGAAGAGTTTATATTTCTGAAAATACCGCAAATAAGAAATAAATTGATACGCAGCAAAAATCAAAATATAAAAATTTTGTGTAGTTATTAATTTTTTTAAATGTGTATTAAAATATGTAATTTATTTTTAAAATTTTCATATAGTATGTAATATTATGTATAGTTGATATTATCAGTTTATATGTATGTTTCGCGCTAACTCTTATACATCCTTATATTAGGTATAGTGCCTGCACATATAAAGTAAAAACAAAACTTATTCCAAAACCAGTTTATATTCGATGTGCATAACTTTGAGAGTTATGTTATGAGTATTTATTTGATAAGGAATTAAAAATTGCGGTAAATCCGATAGCGCTGATGCTGTAGTTAATTTTTTACACCCAACTTTTGCCGAGGAAAAAATCTTTCAAAAAAATTTTATTTTAAATTTATCAAAATTCACCAGACGGCATTCGTTTCTACGTGAAAAAAGCTAAAATTTAAGCCCTAATACGACTCTCTACTCTTAAGTGAAAAATGGGCAGCCCATTGTGTCTTTTGATCCGAAACGTCCGATATTATATATATAATTACAACTTATAGTAATTTCATGTAAATTTTGTAACAGTTTTCTAAAGTTCTACAAATATTGAAATTTGAAAATAATATCAGCCGCTACAATTAACAATATTACAAATATTTAAATATATGTCAAAGAATGTAGCATATAATCTTATTTGAATTTTAAAAAGAAACGAGACAAAATAATATGATTTTGCTACGAAATCCGAAAATATGTATGAATTATAATTATTAATCTTAAACATAAAGATCAGCATAAATAAACATGATTTCTATTTTCAAATAAAAATTAAAGATCGGTTAAATCAGTGTGACTTGCTCGTCCGGAAGAACTCATCTTCTCCTGTATGACTATTTTGACGTGGTAATAATGCTCGACAATGTTGCATTCGATCCGTGTCAAGCATTTGACGACAAACCGAAGCCGAATCGCTTGAATAACATGCGCATAATCCTTTTTTTACACACAAATATGACAAAGACGCACAGACTCTGCATAATGTCCAGCAAATTAACAACATACCATATAATGTTGTAAATTGTTAAATTTTCATATAATAATGACACTGTTATCATTAGCCATTCTATGCCCATTGCGATAAACAGCACGATAAATAGTTGCAGATATAGATTAAACCTGCAAACAAATATATAATTTTCATAGTTCTTGTAAATATATATGACAAATAAAATTTAATTGATATATAAACCTTAAGAAATTCTTGAATGTGTTTAAAATTTGTGAAATAAGGGTGCATTCTTTAATTTGATTTTTGTTATTAATTGTCATGTTATTTAGAATTGTATAAATTTTCGAAAAAAACACGTAAAATAATATATTCTTGAAAATATTACAAAATAAAAAAGTAAATCGGCGAATAGAAAAGATATCATCTGCAAATGACAATCTATGACCAGTATTCATAATCTGAATTTATATTTAATATCGTTTTAAATCTGATCTTGACTTAAAATTCCAATCAACCAATAAAGCTCGAACTTAAAATTAAATACACGATCGGACTATAATTATTTTATTAATATAATAGATTATCATATCTCAATACAACGATATCTGAGTACATACCATTTTTTATTATCGTTAAAGCATTTATTCTCCGAATCTTTCAGACAAGGACCCGTTTCCTTTTTTAAACGCTCAATTTTTATTGCCGTATAAATAGATAAACAAATGCTACTGATGATGCACATACTACTGAGCCCATAATAATACAAGAAATACGGACCAGTTCCTGTAAGTATAAAATATCATGAGTTCTTATATTGTTTCTCACAATACTTGAATTAATGCTTTAGCATTAATAAAGTTATCTTCACTTACCCTTGAACCAGCAATGACCTCCAAAATGCAATTCCGGTCGCAAAATCGATGGTACAATTACATACGCGGAAAGAATATCCATGCTGACACATAAAATAGCAAGCATAAAAGGACATCCCCACGCAAAGATCGTATAATATATCAACTTTCTTTTTTCTCGAGTGACGTTTCTTCGTAACGAACTGAATCCTCTGCAATTTACACAACATATTTAACAAACAATAGATAAAAGAAATCAGAATGTGAAAACGTTAAAATAATGTGTCTTTGATCAAGTCACTATATCATACTGTAAAGCAAAGATTTAGCTTGAAGAATCCATTCTTAAAATTGCTGTACGATGATTTTTAATGGTGTTATGAACGATTAAAATGAAAACTTTCTTTTCATTTTACGATAACTTGATAAGGAAAGATCGACATTTATATTTTGAAAAATAATTTTGCAGGGAAAACTTTAGCTGTAACATGGAAATGTCAAAAAGTTTTTCAAATTTTTTGTGAGACACATCTACAAATTGAGAAAAAATTTTTCATTTATGTTTTTATTTTTTGTAAATAAAAAATATCAGAATTAAAAAACAAAAAAAACTGTAAACTATTGAAAGTAGAGATTTCAAGCTTTAAAGCGCTCTTTTAAAATTTAAATTCTCATATTTGAAACAAAGTTACAACTATTTAAAGTTTGCCTATTTTTGGACAATTCTTTTTTTTTTTTGCCTTAATATTATTTTAAGAAGTGTATATTTACATAACTCTTATGCAGACACGACAATGGTACTTTAAATTTTTAATTACTTTTGAGAGACGAATTTTTGATAAAAAATCTATTTTTATTTTGTAAAAAGTTTTTATGTATTGCGTTATTTTATAAATTCAAAGTGAAAAAGGTCAAATTAAAATCATATTGCATTATATCGAATTATTAAATGTCGTTATAATATTTTATACATATTTAAATTAAATATATATATATGCTTATTACATCTAATAGGTCATTTTTACTTTTAAAAAATTAATCGTTTAAAAGTTTGTAATCAATTAATAAAAATATCCAAGAAAACTATTTATTTCAAATTATAATTTAAACCTATTATCTTTATACTCTAACTTACAATGTCCTAAATATAATTGTTTTATTGTTAAATATTATTTTTAAATATATAGTTGTTTTTGCACGTACCAACACTATATAAGAAAATTCGATTTGCATATTATGTATTCTCTATCTTTATCTTTAAACCGATATATGTAAAATCAAAAAGAAAGAGTTTTATAAAAATAAATAAAAGGCAAGTGTTAAAAATAAGTAGTAATAATATAGAATATTTTCCAACTTACCTGAATGTGCACCACATATCAAAGCTCATTATAATTAGCCAAGAGGAACTCGCCATATAACAAAAGTATTTTAAAAAAGCTGTAAAAATTAATAAAATTATAGGCTGTAATAATTAATAATAAATAATAATATGCAATATTATTAATATAAATATAACTATATTAAATGTAATTTGCTTTTATAGTTAAGAAATAAATAAGGAGCAAAAAATACGGTTAACGAGCAACGCAATGTATAATTTGGTTGCAAATACAATTTTATTTAACAAACAAATTTTTTTATTAAATATAGGAACTTTGTATTTGCGACCTAATTACATTGCGTTGCTCTTTTGATCTATTTCTGCTCCTTATTTATTTTTATATTATTAATAAATAATAATATATTGTTTGTCATTACTCGTTACAATTTTAGGATTCCAAAGTTATCACCTTTATGTTTCTCCATTAAAATAGATTTACTTTAACTTCCTACATTAAATTATTGTATATAGTAATATTTACGTAATAAATACTGCTAATATCAAATTAAACATGTTTGATTCAATATGTAATTCTGCAAAAACACAATGAATAATATCTATGTAAGACGAATAACTTATATTAAATATATATTAAAATGCATTGAAATAAAATTTAAATGTTATTCACTGTTTTGCATTTTTAAGATTTTAACAAATAATATATTTAAATAATTATTAAAATTATTAATTAATATTTAATACGCTAATACACATTAAATATCTAACAAATATAAATACGCTATATTAATTGCATAATTTTATGATTTAGATATATACTCTACCTATTGTAACACAGACGGCATACTGTATATCATCCGATTTGATCAAAAAATGCACAAAGCGAATTCCGTATACAACAAACAGTGCACCGTTGTAATTGCGCAACATGAAGCCGTGTCTATTTCGGAGGTCTGGTAATATAGAATACACCACAAATACTGACCCCAAAAGTAATGTAGATATTATATCGAGACTCATTTCTATAATATTTTTGTTTTTATCAGTATCCATGCTCTCATTAGTTTCGTCATTAGTTTCGCTATTAGTTTCGGAACAGATCATCACTTCGAATTCACTTCCGTCGACGACAGCGAGACAATATGATGTCGGTTCAACAAGCATTTCAGAATCAGTTAAATATAAAGAACCGTCATTCAGACTCATTATTACATAATAAGTTAAATATATAGAACCGTTGGTAAAAATCTTAAAACTCTTGGACTGAAAATTTTTGGAAACAGATATTCCTGGCACGAATCATAAATGGACAGCTCAAACAATTCGTTTACTCTTTTTTCGCTCTGCGTCGAATCGTTCGTGTATACGTTTGGAAAAATGTATTCAATTTCTTCAGGAATGCAGTTGCCATCAACCAGACGATCGCCAAGAGAACAGCAGAGGCGAATGCAAGTATCATTATGACACATTTCGTTTGGGACGATGATATTTTCATTAGTATCCTTGTTGGAATTGTTGAAGACTTCAAGTGACATGGAATTATTTTTTCCAACTACATTTTCATAAACTTCCTGCAGCAAGAAACTTTTTTTATGATTGACATTTGTTGAATTCGTGTTAGATTTCATCGATTTTTGCTCATCATCTTTATTCTGCATTGAATGCTCGTAACGTTTATATTGAATCAAATCATTATCTTCGCGATTGCCATTCGTATAAAATTCTTTGTCATTTTCTGTATTGTTCATCAAATTTTTATACAAATCATGTCGCAGTGTTATTCTTTCGTCGTTATAATTTGTTGTAGAATCCGTTTTTTTCTCGTATCGTATCGTCAAATTATCATCTCTGTTGGTGCAATTTTCCTGCGATTTCGATAACGAAATGACGAGGAGAAGCACGGAACACACAAATGCAAACATTTTACCACTCATTATTAGACATAACAATAATATATTTTAGAATAATTATATAGATAATCAAATTTAGTGTTTATAATTTTTCATATAAGTTTTAAATCTTTAATAATCAAAAAACGTCAGATTATATTTCTACATATACTTTTGCTTTTGTATTAATTGCAATAAAGTGTGTCAAGTACAAAATATAATAAAATTAAATTATCCCATTTTGTTTTTCAGCAAAATCTCGAAATGTCGATTTGATTTTAGCACTATATTACTATTATTGATGATTGCACGTCTTGAATTTTAATTATCTCACTAGATAAAATCAGTATTTTATCACAGTATCCCATTTTTTTCTGATGAAGAAATGATAGAAGAATGCACAAGATACATGTGCCTGCGCGAGAGAGAAGCAGAGACTACCGAGGACAACGAGTCGTCGTTATCTTTGCGAGAAACTGTCCTTCTACTATACTATATATAGGACTATACATATACATATAGCTTTTACATACTATATACAAAGGAAATAAAAAAAATCATTGAAACTGCTACTCTCGATAGCTCGACCAATCCAGCAACGAAATGAAAAATACTCTTGACTGTTTTGTAGATATTTAATGCTTAAATGAAGAGTCTTTATATTTCTAAGAATAGCGCAAGTAAGAAATAAATTGATACGCAGCAAAAGTCAAATAATAAAAATTTTGTAGTTATTAATTATTTTCTAAATGTATATTAAATTGTAATTATTTTATTCATTTAAATATTTGTATATAAAAATTTGTTCTTAATAACTAATCAATAATGCATTTGTACGAAAAATTTTATTTATTTCACAAATTTATTAATCTCATTTGTTATCTTTAGACTACAAAAATATTATTAAAAGATAAAATTATATAGATATCTTTTATCAGTTTATTATTTGCCAACTCTTATACATTATCATATTAGTTATAATGCATGCACATATAAATTAAAAACAAATTACTTATTCCAAAACCGGTTTAGATTCCACTTGCATAACTTTGAGAGTTATATCATGAGTATTTATTTGATTTGGAATTAAAAATTGCGGTAGATCCGATAGCGCTGATGCTGTATTTAATTTTTCACACTCAACTTTTGCCGAGGAAAAAAATTTTTCAAAAAAATTTTATTTTAAATTTATCAAAATTCACCAGACGGCATTCGTCTCTACGTGAAAAAATCTAAAATTTAAGTCCTAATACGACTCTCTACTCTGTGAAAAATGGGCAGCCCGTTGTGCCTTTTAATCCGAAACGTCCGACATTGTATATATAATTACAACTTATAGTAATTTCATGTAAATTTTGTAACAGCTTTCTAAAGTTCTACAAATATTGAAATTTGAAAATAATATCAGCCGCTACAATTAACAATATTACAAATATTTAAATATATGTCAAGAAATGTAGCATATAATCTTATTTGAATTTGAAAAAGAAACGAGACAAAATAATATAATTTTGCTACGAAATCCGCGAAAATATGTATAAATTATAATTATTAATCTTAAACATAAAGATCAGCATAAATAAACATGATTTCCATTTTCAAATAAAAATTAAAGGTCGGTTAAATCAGTGTGACTTGCTCGTCCGGAAAAACTCATCTTCTCCTGTATGACTATTTCTTTTGACGTGGTAATAATGCTCGAAAATGTTGCATTCGATCCGTGTCAAGCATTTGACGACAAATCGAAGCCGAATCGCTTGAATAACATGCGCTTGATCCTTTTTTTCCACAGAAATATGATAAAGGTGCACAGATTCTTAATAATGTCCAGTAAATTAGTAGCACACGAGTTGTAAATTGATACATTTTCATATAATAATGACGCTGTTATCATGAGCCATTTTATGCCTATTACGATAAATAGCACAATAAATAGCTTCAGATATAGATTAAACCTGCAAACAAATATATAATTTTTATAGTTCTTGTGAATATATAATGTATTTTGTGAAATTTGAATGAAAAATGAAATTTATTTTGTGTATAAATCTTATATGAAATTTTTAAAAAGTTTAAAATTTGTATTTTTGTGAAATACAGGTGCATTTATTAATTTGATTTTCGTTATTAATTGTCATTTTTTTTAGAATTGCATAGATTTTCGAAGAAACAAGTAAAGTGATATATACTTGAAAATATTACAAAATAAAAAGAGTAAATCGGCGAATAGAAAAGATGTCGTCTGCAAATGACAATCTATGGCCAGTATTTATAATCTGAATTTAAATTTAACTAATCAAGCTTGGACTTAAGATTAAATATAAGATCGGACTATAATTATTAATACCGGCCTAACACTCTCTTTTATAAAAAAAAATGCGAATCGATCAATTATGCGATGCTGTTTGTATAAATGTTAATAAAAATGTTAATAAAAGTAGCATAAATTAATAAAATAGATTATTATATCTCAATGCAACAATATCTAAATACATACCATTTTTTATTATCGTTATAGCACTTGCTCTCCGAATCTATCAGACAATGACTCGTATCCTTTTTGTAACGTCCAATTTTTAATGCCGTAGAAATAGATAAACAAATGCTACTAATAATGCACATACTTTTGAGCACATAGTAATACAATATAAACGCAATTATATTTTCCCCTACAAGTGTGCGATGCAAAAAAAATATATTTTTGTATAATACTTATTTAATTTTCTATATCTTGTTTATGTGTAAAACATATTAAACATAATTTAAGTTTTAAATAGTTTATATAATTTTTTTTCAATAAATATATTCTAAAATTAATAAGAAATAGGCCAACTAAACAAGCAAGGAAATTTTAGATTAAATAATTTTTATTTTAATATTTTAGTTGGCCATTTAATTGGTTTAGTTCTTCTCATGTTAATGTTTGAGTTTACGCAAGTTGCTAATTATTAAAATTCTTCAAATATTTTAAAATTAATAGAGTTATATCCGTCAGTGATGTATACTCACCATCTAATATGCAACCGCTTGTGCGAAATTTTGGTTGAAAAATTTCTGGCACGCTTGTAATAAAATCCATAATACTACAAACGATAGCCAGGATAAAGGGAATTCCCCACGCGTAGATTGCATAAAATAACAATTTCTTTCTCTGTTGCTGTTTCACATTTCGTTGTAACGAATAGAATGTTCTGTGAGAAAAATTATGTTATATTTTGCCAAAAACGATAGAAAAAAAATAATGCAAATGCACATTAAAATCATTGTTTTCGATCGCGGTTCTCAAAAACTTATTCTATATAAAAATAGACATTATATACGACTATACGAATTTTACCATGCATTCATATTATTGATTTAATGTGTATATGCAGTTAACATATAACATGTGTATTATATATGCAAGAAATTATTCTATATAAATCATTTTCTTTTAAATGTTGATAATTACATTATATATATAAAAAATAAAATTAAATATAAAATATTCTAGAATTACTTGCCTGAATGTCCACCATATATCGAAACTCATTATATTTAACCAGAAGAAGCTTGCCAAAAAACAAAAGTAGATTAAGAAGGCTGAAAAATGGAATAAATAATATTTTAATTATTTATTATGTCTAAAATTCTATTCACTTGTCATTATATTTCACTTATTCCGCGTCAAAATTTTTGCAACAATCTTTATAATAAATTTTACTAATATTAAATTAAATAATGTTTCGATTTTTTTAAGACATACATTATTGAGGCAAACATAGATTGATTAGATGTCAAATTGCAAAATTCAAATTTAAATTTTACTCATTATTAATTTTTGCGTTTTTAAGATTTAAATTATATATTCAAGAAATAGTAAGATAATAAATAATAAATTTGCAAAAATATAATTATATATTAATATATATATTAACACATATAATAATATATTAATATATTATATAATATATTAATATATAATATAATATATTAATATATTAATATATTATAATAATAGAATAATATATTAATAACAAATATATACATTTTATCGATTGCATCTAGTTATGTAATTTACATATATACTGTACCTATTGTAATGCAGACGGAATCTTGCACAGCATTCGTTCTAATTATAATATTCACAATGTCAATTCCGTATGCAATAGACAAGGCACCGATGTAATTCCGCAATATGAAGCCGTGTACATTTCGGAGTTCTGGCAGTATAGAATACACGAGAAATATCGGCAGCAAAAATAATAAAGATCCTATGTCGGCGCCCAAATCTATGTAGTTTATTTTATTCATTTCTACTGAAAGATTACTATTAGGCGCTGTTACAGTAAAAATCTCAAGAGTGCTGCTGGAATTTTTAAGCAACTGATCGTTCTCTTCTTCAATCCTTGTCAAATTCTCATCATCATTACATGTGGAGTTGATGCGACAATCTTCGTATTGGGTATTTTTGAAGGGATTTTTATACGAGTCACGTCGCAGTTTTTCTGTTTGATCGCTATAATGTGTCGTAAAATTTGCGTTCAATTCGTCATTTTCTTCATTTTTGAAATTTTGAGATTCCGCAAACGAAATTACGAGAAGAAGCGCACAGCACCACATTCTGGGTTTTTTTCCATACATCGTTAATTTTTTAATACATTATGTAAACACTTATCATTTTTTAGTAATTATTGATATGCTGTGGAAATAAAATTACACTAATGAAACGTTAAGCTACAATAATTTAGCAAGGCTTTTTTCTCAGGAAAGAATTAAGAATCTGTTTTTAAAGAATCTTTTCTCGTCAATTTATCAAGAAGAAATTAATGACAGAAAGACACTTCAATTGAACAGATCATTAATCGATATAATAATATAATGTAATATAATACTAATACTTTTATACTTTTAAACAATTTGGACATAATTTATAAAACTGAGAATCTGAAGACATTTAAAAATAATTAGATAATCAAATTAATAAAATGTAATCTATATCATAAAAATAATTTAGATAATGATTGAAAATAATTAAATAATTAAACCAACAAAAGCTAAATCAATCAAATAATTATGTAGATATTCTACATAATACAGAATATCTACATAAAAAGTTTTTTGTTGATTTAATTATCTAATTATTTTTATGATTGGTTAAATTTTATTAATGTAAATTTAAGAATAATAAATAATTGAAAAAAAATACTTAGCTGATTTAAAAGTGCAAATGTACAAATGTAATAAAATGCAATTATTATCCATTTTTTTTTATTTTGCGAAATATCAAGATTAAATCTAGTTTTTATTCCGATACTGTTATCACTAACAATTATAATTAATTTTTTATTTCACTGGACTCGATAAAACTGACACTGTTTTTATGACTTCTCTCTCTTCATAATATATGATGAAAGAAAATATAAGAGAAACGTATTCGAACGAACAACGGGATGAGACTATCGAGGATGCAAGTCTTCGACATTGAAGCAACCTGATGCAAAATATATATGGCGGTAGAAAAAACAGTATAAGAAATGTCTGCACATATAATAACTTCACTAAAGATTTAATTATACCAAAGATATGTACAGTCAAGGAATTTATCTAGAAAAGCATTTAAGTACAAGCTCGTAAAAAAAATTTTAGCCACTCTTTTATATCATTATTAAAAATGATATAAGTATTATTTAATAATTCTGTAATATATTTTTACTTATACATATAATTTGTTATCTTTTCTATGTTTTTTCGTTCTCCAATAATTTTATAATTATACATATTATGAATTAATCAATTCTACTCATGAATATACGCGTCCATAATTTTGCGACGGCCCATATAATTTTTATGCACAAATTATTAACAGATAATAATTCATTAGTTATCAACAGAAGTAAAATAATTCATATATTTTATAGCAAATTAATATATTACAAAAAGTAGAAAGAGATAAATGTTAATATTGAGATTTGCATACATAAAGATATGCACATATAAAATGAAACGTAGAATAATAGAGGATAATGTAAGGATTTTTGGGCGCGTGCTTGTTCGATAATTAATGTTTCGCCACTATCGCGAATCGGGAGAGGATATTTTATCCGGAAATATTAATTTAGGGTGCAAAGTATATTGTATTTCACTGCATTTAGTCGTGTCACAAAGATCTCATACAAACTTTTTACTCTCCACCGAGAAAAACCGTGTTACGCGAATGCAAGTCAAATTTTATCTGCCTCTTCGAGGCCGCGCATTGTCTCGCTTCTCTCGATCATTCCTCGATCTTATTTTTATTTTTAGGTGATTAGACTCTCTTTATTTTGAGGTATTCTCGCTTTTTATTATGTTCGGAAATCAAAATTTATCTTCGTCATGTTAGTCGCTCGTTTATTTATTTATTGTTTTGTGTCACCGGTCGCGATATCCTTAACACATGTCGCTTGTAATTTTAATTTTTATTTTGTATATATTTTATATGCTTGTGACATTTATCGCCACATTGTTAACACATCGGTTTATCGTTAGTCGCCAAATTCTTGCATTCTGTCCTGCTAAATATAAAATAAAAACAAAATACTTACTATTCCAAAACCGGTTTACCTGGTTTATATATCCAGTTTTTCAAATCCAAGTTTTAATCTATATTTAGACGAATTTATGTTGTGTGTGATTATACATTAAAATTCACAAAAATTTTATTATATAACAATTCTCTTGATTTTAACATTAAAATATAATACAATTAATCTTTTTGTTCTTAAAATTTTAATAAATTATCCATTTAAGATTTAAGTATTATCATTAAAATATAATTAACGCGCGCGCTTATATGCAAGTAGATACATACTAATCATTTTAATAAGTAAAATATTTATTTTATATTGATTCTACATTGATTGGGTATATTATACCGATATATTATAACACACAATACACATATTACACTGATTTGGGTATATTATATCGATATTATAACACATAAATATGCGTTAGACATTCCTTTCTTTCGATTGCCTATATTATTAATAATATTCGCAGCAGATGTCAAAGCAATATTTTTGACAGTATAGTATATGTACAAAATGTTCCCAGTAAAAACAGTGTAATAATTATACGCATATTTTTAATTACGATAATCTTATATAATTATTATTGATATATTTTTTTTTTATTTTTGTTTTTAAAAAATTTTTTTTTGTTCTTTATTTTTTATTTTTTTAATTTTATTATTTAAAAGTTAAGATTTTGTTGGCAGCAGGTGGAAGTGTTTTTTTTCTTAAAAAATTATTTATTATTTATTTTTTGTTTTTAAAATGTTTTTTTTTGTTTTTTGTTCTTTTTTATTTTATTATAATTATTCATAAACTTTTTCTTTCTTTGATTTACAATCCTCAAAAGGATAATCAAATCAAACTTGTTCTAGTAAATGAAGACAAATTAGAATGTTGATTGTACAAATATATAATTATAAGGAAAATACAAAGAATAATTAGTGAAGAGAATATTCGTTTATATTTTGCATAGAAATTTAGAGTTCAGTCCCACTGGGTGAACTTTTAACGTGACAGTTATGCTGTGCGTAAAAATTCTTGTCTTGCATAGCTACTTTAGACGTGATAGTGCTCGATGTTACAGTCGTCTGTCGAACGTGTGAACCGCATCCAAATCGCTTCAGTAACATCATCTTGATCTTCTTTTTACATATGAATGTAATAAAGGTGCAGAGATTCTGCACGATGTCTAGGAAGATAATAGTATACAAGAAGAAAATGATTATTCTAGTCTGAATTTCTTCAAACAACAATGACGTTACCACAAACCATTCTATACCCACGCCAAACCCCATCACGACAAACCGCATAATAAATAGCTTCAGATACAAATTAAACCTGCAAACAAATATATATTTAAATTTGGATATCTTTTCAATAAAAATAATACTATTTATTAATTAAGAGTTTAACTATTTATTAAAAATGCTATTTATTAATATTATAAATATAAGGCCCTAATAATAAATATAAATTAAAGGAACAAGAGCCATAAAGAAATTTATTTAAAAATACAACTATTTATTAAATTTACTATTTACTAAAAATGCTATTTATTAATATTATAAATATAAGGCTCTAATAATAAATATAAATTAGAGGAATAAGAGCCATAAAGAAATTTATTTATTTTTACTCTACATATTATATATCCTCTATCTTTATCTTTAAACCGATATATGTAAAATCAAAACACAAGCAATTTTATACAGGTAAATGAAAGGCAAGTTTAAAATAAGTAGTATAATATGGAATATTTTCCAACTTACCTGAATGTGCACCACATATCAAAGCTCATTATAGTTAACCAAAAGTAACTCGCCATATAGCCAAAGTATTTTAAAAAGGCTGTAAAAATGAATAAAATTAAAGATTGTAATAATAAATAATAAATAATAATATATAATATAATTAATATAAATATAAATGTAATATGTAATTTGCTCTTATAGTTGAAAAATAAATAAAGAGCAGGAAAGAGGTCGAAACAGCTACGCGAAGTATAATTTGATCCCAAATACAGCTTTATTTAGTAAACAAATTTTTCCATTAAATAAAGAAACTTTATATATACCTAATTACTTCGCGTTGCTCTTTTGGTCTATTTCCTGCTCCTTATATATTTTTTTATATATTATACAATATTTTCCAATTTACCTGAATGTGCATCACGTATCAAAACTTATCGTAATTAGCCAAAAGAAACCCACCAAAAGACAAAAGTAGTTTAAGAAAACTGCAAAAATGGATAAAAATACAGACTGTATTAATAAATAATAATATATTATTTATATAAATATAAATGTAATATGTAATTTGCACTTTTAGTTGAAATATATAAGGAGCAGAAAATAAGTGATTTAGATATAAATATATTCTACCTTTTGTAACGCAAACAGAATACGGTAAATCACCCGTTATGATAATAATCACAATGTCAATGCTGTATGCAACAGTCAGGGCACCGCTGTAATTGCGCAACATAAAGCCGTGTACATTTCGGAGTTCTGGCAATATAGAATACACCAGAAATACTGACCCCGTAAGTAATGTAGATACTATATAGAAACTCAGATATATAATTGGTATGCTATAAATGAAGCGCTCTATATCAGTTATCTCCTCATTCTTGTCATAAGTTTCGGGACAGTAGGTCACTTGGAATTCATTCCCGTCGACAACGGCGAGACAATATGATGTCGATTCAACAAATTTTTCATAATAAATTAAATATATAGAACCGTTGGTAAAAATCTTATAATCGTACTGAAAATCTTCAGGAAGCAGATACTTCTCTTCCTGGCACGAATCATAAATGGCCAGCTCAAACAATTCGTTCACTCTCTTTTCGCTCTGCGTCGAATCGTTCGTGTATACGTTTGGAAAAATGTATTCAATTCCTTCAGGAATGCAGTTGCCATGAACCAGACGCTCGCCAAGAGAACAGCAGAGCCGAATGCAAGTATCATTATGACACATTTCGTTTGGGACGATGACAGTTTCATTAGTATCTTTGCTGGAATTTTTGAAGACTTCAAGTGACATAGAATCATTCTTTTCAATTACATTTTCATAAACTTCCTGAGTCGTGAAATTCCTTTGATGATTGACATATGTCGAATTTGTGTTAGATTTCATCGATTTTTGCTCATCATCTTTATTCTGCATTGAATGCTTGTAACGTTTATGTTGAATCGAATCATTACCCTCGCGTTTATTATTCATATGAAATTCATACTGCAATATGTCATTTTGTGTATTATTTATCAAATTTTTATGCAAATCATGTCGCAGTGTTATTGTTTTGTCATTATAATTTGTTGTAGAATCCGTATTTATCTCGTATCGTATCGTCAAATTATCATCTCTGTTGGTGGAATTTTCCTGCGATTTCGATAACGAAAAGACGAGGAAAAGCACGGAACACACAAATGCAAACACTTTGCCACTCATTATTTGACATAACAATAATATATTTTAGAATAATTATATAGATAATCAAATTTAGTGTTTATAATTTTTCATATAAGTTTTAAATCTTTAATAATTAAAAAACGTCAGATTATATTTCTGCATATACTTTTGCTTTTGTATTAATTGCAATAAAATGTGTCAAGTACAAAATATAATAGAATTAAATTATCCTATTTTGTTTTTCAGCAAAATCTCGAAATGTCGATTTGATTTTAGCACTATATTACTATTAATATTGATAATTGCACGTCTTGAATTTTAATTATCTCACTAGATAAAGTTAGTATATATTATATCACTGTATCCGGCTTTTTTCTGAGAGAAGAATGCACAAAATACATGTGCCTGCGCGGAAGAGAAGCAGAGACCACCGAGGACGACGAGTCGTCGATAGCTTTGTGAAAAACTGTTCGTCTACTAGACTATATAGGGCTATACACATATAGCTTTTACATACTATATACAAGGAAAATAAGAAAAATTATTGAAACTTCTACTGACGATAGCTCCACCAATCCAGCAGCAAAAGAAAAAATACTCTTGACTGTTTTTTAGATATTTAATGCTTAAATGAAGAGTCTCCATATTTCTAAGAATACCGCAAATAAAAAATAAATTGATGCAGCAAAAGTCAAATAATAAAAATTTTGTAGTTCTTTATTATTTTCTAAATGTATATTAAATTGTAATTATTTTATTCATTTAAGTATTTGTATATAAAAATTTGTTTTTAATGACTAATCAATAATCCATTCGTACGAAAAATTTTATTTATTTCACAAATTTATTAATCTCATTTGTTATCTTTAAACTACAAAAAGATTATTAAAAGATAAAATTATATAGATTATATCTTTTATCAGTTTATTATTCGCCAACTCTTATACATTATCTTATTAGTTATAATGCATGCACATATAATTTGAAAACAAATTACCTATTCCAAAACCGGTTTAGATTCCACGTGCATAACTTTGAGAGTTATGTCATGATTATTTATTTCATTGATTAGGAATTAAAAACAGCAGTAGATCCGGTGGCGCTGATGTTATTTAATTTTTCATTCCCAACTTTTGATGAGGAAAGAAAATCTTTCACAAAAAATTTCATTGATTTCTTCAAAATCAATAATTGAAACTAATAATTAATTACAAAAATGTAAATCATATTGGAAAAAATAGTAATCTAAACCGAATTATTGTGATCATAAAAAATCTAAGATTTCAATTATTTAAATATTAATGTTACAATAATCTTATGATAAAATATTTATTTAAATTAAATTATAAAAAATATAATAATATTATGAATTTTTATTACAATTCATAATATTAATAAATAAACATATTTTTATTTGATATATGTATAATAACAACTTATAGTAATATCATGCAAATTTTGTAGCAGCTTTCTAAAGTTTTACAAATATTGAAAAATTGAAAATAATATCAGCCTCTACAATTAACAATATTATAATTATTTATATCAAGGAATGTAGCATAACCTTATTTAAATTTGAAAAAGAAGCGAGACAAAAATATATGCTTTTGCTACGAAATCCGAAAATATGTATGAATTATAATTATTAATCTTAAACATAAAGATCAGCATATAAATAAACATGATTTTAATTTTCAAATAAAAATTAAAGGTCGGTCATATCAGTGTGACTTTATGCTCGTCCGGAAGAACTCATCTTCTCTTGTATGACTATATATATATATCTTTTTACGTGGAAATAATGCTCGACAATGTTGCATTCGATTCGGATCGAGCTTGTGACAACAAACCGCAGCCGAATCGCTTGAATAACACGTGCTTGATCCTTTTTTTCCACAGAAATATGATAAAGGTGCATATGACAGGTGCATAATGTCCAGCAAATCAAAAACATACGAGTTGAAAATTGATACATTTTCAGATAATACTTCCGCTGTTAACATAAGCCATTTTATGCCTATTAAGATAAACAGTACGATAAATAGCTTCAGATATAGATTAAACCTGCAAACAAATATATAAATTTCATAGTTCTTGTAAATATATAATGTATGAAATTTATTTTGTGTATAAATCTTATATGAAATTTTTAAAAAAGTTTAAAATTTTTATTTTTGCGAAATACAGGTGCATTTATTAATTTGATTTTTGTTATTAATTGTCATTTTGTTTAGAATTGCATAGATTTTCGAAGAAACAAGTAAAGTGATATATTCTTGGAAATATTACAAAAAAAAGTAAATCGGCGAATAGAAAAGATGTCGTCTGCAAATGACAATCTATGGCCAGTATTTATAATCTGAATTTAAATTTAACTAATCAAGCTCGGACTTAAGATTAAATATAAGATCGGACTATAATTATTAATACCGGCCTAACACTCTCTTATAAAAAAAATGCGAATCGATCAATTATGCGATGCTGTTTGTATAAATGTTAATAAAAATGTTAATAAAAGTAGCATAAATTAATAAAATAGATTATTATATCTCAATGCAACAATATCTAAATACATACCATTTTTTATTATCGTTATAGCACTTGCTCTCCGAATCTATCAGACGATGATCCTTTTTGTAACATCCAATTTTTAATACCGTAGAAATAGGTAAACAAATGCTACTAATAATGCACATACTTTTGAGCACATAGTAATACAATATAAACGCAATTATATTTTCTCCTACAAGTGTGCGATGCAAAAAAAATATATTTTTATACTTATTTAATTTTCTATATCTTGTAAATGTGTGAAACATAATTTAAGTTTTAAATAGTTTATATAATTTTTTATTCAATAAATCTTCTAAAATTAATAACAACTAAGCCAACTAAACAAGCAAGGAAATTTTAGATTAAATAACTTTATTTTAATATTTTAGTTAGCCATTTAATTGGTTTAGTTCTTCTTGTTAATGTTTGAGTTTACGCAAGTTGCTAATTATTAAAATTCTTCAAATATTTTAAAATTAATAAAGTTATATCCGTCAGTGATGTATATTCACCATCTAATATGCAATCGCTTGTGCGAAATTTTGGTTGAAAAATTTCTGGCACGCTTGTAATAAAATCCATAATACTACAAACAATATCCAGGATAAAGGGAATTCCCCACGCGTAGATTGCATAAAATAACAATTTCTTTCTCTGTTGCTGTTTCACATACGAATTTTACCATGCATTCATATTTTTGATTTAATGTGTATATGCAGTTAACATATAACATGTGTATTATATATGCAAGAAATTATTCTATATAAATCATTTTCTTTTAAACGTTGATAATTACATTATAAAAAAGAAAATAAAATATAAAATATTCTAGAATGACTTGCCTGAATGTCCACCATATATCGAAACTCATCATATTTAACCAGAAGAAGCTTGCCAAAAAACAAAAGTAGATTAAGAAGGCTGAAAAATGGAATAAATAATATTTTAATTATTTATCATGTCTAAAGTTCTATTCACTTGTCATTATATTTTACTTTTTCCGCGTCAAAATTTTTGCAACAATCTTTATAATAAATTTTACTAATATTAAATTAAATAATGTTTCGATTTTTTTAAGACATACATTATTGAGGCAAACATAGATTGATTAGATGTCAAATTGCAAAATTCAAATTTAAATTTTACTCATTATTAATTTTTGCGTTTTTAAGATTTTAATAAATTATATATTCAAGAAATAGTAAGATAATAAATAATAAATTCGCAAAAATATAATTATATATTAATATATATATTAACACAATAATATATTAATATAATATATATAATATATTAATATATTATAATAATATAATAATATATTAATAACAAATATATACATTGTATCGATTGCATCTAGTTATGTAATTTACATATATACTGTACCTATTGTAACGCAGACGGAATCTTGCACAGCATTCGTTCTAATTATAATATTCACAATGTCAATTCCGTATGCATCAGACAATGCACCGATGTAACTTCGCAATATGAAGCCGTGTACATTTCGGAGTTCTGGCAGTATGGAATACACGAGAAATATCGGCAGTAAAAATAATAAAGATCCTATGTCGGCGCCCAAATCTATGTAGTTTATTTTATTCATTTCTACTGAAAGATTACTATTAGGCGCTGTTACAGTAAAAATCTCAAGAGTGCTGCTGGAATTTTTAAGCAACTGATCATTCTCCTCTTCGATCCTCGTCAAATTCTCATCATCATTACATGTGGAGTTGATGCGACAATCTTCGTGTTGGGTATTTTTGAAAGGATTTTTATACGAATCACGTCGCAGCTTTTCTGTTTGGTCGCTATAATGTGTCGTAAAATTTGCGTTCAATTCGTCATTTTCTTCATTCTTGAAATTTTGGGATTGCGCAAGCGAAATTACGAGGAGAAGCGCACAGCGCCACATTTCGGGCTTTTTTCCATACATCGTTAATTTTTTAATACATCATGTAAACACTTATCATTGTTTAGTAATTACTGATATGCTCCCATACAGCACCGTTAGATTGCAAAAACATTACAACAATCTTTCACCGCAATATTGCAATATTGCAAATTCACTGCAAAATGTTGCTACATCATTGCTGTTGAATTGCAGCAATGTTAAAATGTCCGCTTTTTGGAAGATAATAAAATTATTGATTATCGTCAACATCTTTTATTGTATAATATTGCAAAAAATTATTTTATTACAGTATTATACCCAGCAAATACCAAGTTACAGTTATATAATTGTTAGTTGTAATTTTCCACTCAACAATATAATTGTTATAATACACGTATTATATTTTTGAGTGGGAAATTACAACTAACAATTATATAGCTGTAACTTGGTGTTTGCTGAGTATATGTATATATTGTATATTACAAAATATAAATTATAGAATTTGGATTACATGCAATATTTCCGAAATATTAATGTCATGTTGCTACAAGTGTGCTGGAATTTTGTGCACCTATATCTCTGCAATGTCTTTATAATGTTGCATTGCAACTTGCAACATTGCAACATTGCTGCAATATAATTGCAATAATCTGTGCTGTATGGGCTGTGGAAATAAAGTTATACTAATGAAACGTTAAGCTACAATAATTTAGCGAGGTTTTTTTCTCAGAAAAGAATTAAGAATCTGTTTTCAAAGAATCTTTTCTTGTGAATTTATCAAGAAGAAATTAATGACAGAAAAACATTTCAATTGAACAGATAAATGTTAATATTGAGATTTGCATACATAAAGATATGCACATATAAAATGAAACGTAGAATAATAGAGGATAATGTAAGGATTGAACATTTTTTTTATGAAGATGTACTAAAATTAAACGCAAAAAGCAGAAATGAATAATTACGCAGGCTTATACTTGCGGAAGGCGAGACAAGTCACGATTACTACACGCGTAGTAACACAGCCTGATTCATTCTGTCACGTGTGAGTCGCTCAATCGCGTTACGCAATTCACGTGTGAAACGACCGTATACCTTTCCACCTAGATTTACAGACATTCACCTATTTTACATGACAAAACAAATCAGCTGTTTGTTGACGTGACACGTAATTTGTGTTATCTCTCGGAAAAAAAATTTTTATATAGAATTATATATAATTAATTGTATAATTATACATATATAATCGTAAGATTATATATATAAAATATGTCCATTTTATACATAATTATATTTTATATATAAATTATATGAATTCATATATAATCATGTCAAATTATATATGAAACATATATAATTATACATATATATGAAAAGAAATAGTTATTTATTATATATATATATAAATTTATTATATAATTATATATAAATAAAGCACTTTTATCTAATTATGTATAAACATATTTTATATATACTTTTTCGATTATATGTATAATTTTATATATTTTTATATAATTTTATTGTTATATATAAAAAATTTTTCCCGAATTATTCTTAAAAAAATAATTGAAATAAATGAATACAATAATACAATAATGAATATTGACATATTTAAATGACGGTAAATTAAAAAAAACATTTTATTATTTTCATATTTTCATATCTGCATTAATACTGCAATATTTTTACAGACTATTATTTAATTATTAAAAGAATAAAAGTACAAAAATTTATCTGTTAATACAATTATGCTCTCTTCTCGTTTATTTTTGACGTTATAATATTTATGTAACATAAGGTTTTATAAATCTTGCGCTATCGTTATCTTAATTCTAAGAGACGATATAAGAGAGACTTGAAGTAAACATCGATTACGAGCCGCGATATGTAGTAAACCCAAAAGGACTCAACAGCAAAGGAATATGATAATGTTCGCGAGAATTTTCCACGTCAAACACCACATCGATCAACGGATACATCGAATTGGTCGCATTTCGTCTGAAATAATCATTCACCCGAAATTCGATCTTGAATCTGCCAGGTGTGGGAGTCTCTCTTTCATCTTGTAGCAGATCTGCGCTACGTCCGTTTGATCCTGTCATGCTGTGGAGGAAATAATAATTTTTAACAAAAGATGAATAAAATATAATGCAAAAATATATATAATGCATAGAAGATGCACATATAGAACATATACCTTTCTTTTAGAAGAATCCATTTATCATTCTCGAACTTGTAAAGACTTACTGCCAAATTATCAGCAGGTAGACCTCTACTAGTATCCAAAACGTGCGTAGTGATACTTAATTTTGCTTTTTTTGGATTTACGGAAGTGGTCATCTATCGCATAAAAAAATACATAATTGTATTACATATACCCAGATAGCCACAGTAATTATTATGACATTATTTTGATGGCAAATGATGCATTTTGACATCAAAATGATGTCATAATAATTACTGTGGCTATCTGGGTAACTATACAAATATATAAAATTTTAAGGATAATAATATATTCAAACTTTTTCTGCTTTTAAAATTATAACAAATTGTAGACTAACAATAATTTATATTTTATATACTATATGTTTAAATAATTATTTTTGTAATAGTTTGAAGACTATTAAAAAACTCGACCATAGATTAACACATTAATATAATTTTAGAGTCCACATTTAATTGAACTTGCATTATTTTCTTTTATTAAAATTCTCATTTTATACAAAAATAAGTATAGGAAAGAAGTTAATGAGAATCCGGCGCAAAAATAGAGCGTGCATGAATAATTCTTTTTCAAAATAATTTATTTCTTAAATTATTTTCACTAATTGTCAACAAATGATCCCTCTTTAAAAAACGTTATTAATTTTCGAATATATCGAAGTCTTCTCGTAATTAGCGAATAAATTATTAATTAATTTTGTTTATTAATTTTTTACGATTAGGTGATTTTGAGAACAGTCTTTCTCAATTAGAAAGAAAAAATAACATGTATTATCTATAAAATTATTTATAAAATGGAATAAAATTGAAAATAATCGAGAGGTTAAGAAATTCCCAAGGAGAACAGAAGATCAAAATTATGTCAATTTAACATCATATATTGATTAAATATTGATCAAAAAATGACATAAATTTAGTCAATATGACATTAAATTGACATTATTTTGACTTTTCTGTTTTCCTTGAGTTCATACATTGATGGTAATCGCAAAGTCGCAAGCAAATCGATCAATTATTACATTAAAGAATTTTTTAAATACTTGACTGTGATTGTGCATAAAATGTAAGCTACTTATATTTAAAATAATGTATAATTATTTTTAAAAAGTAACGACTCGTTACTTTTTGAGTAACTGTAACTGCAACGAGTTATTTTTTAAAATCGGTAACTTGTAACTGTAACTAATTACTTTTTCAATGAAATAACTGTAACTGTAACTAATTACTTTTACAAAGTAAAAAAAAAAAAATAATTGTTTACGCTCTCTGTTTTCTGCGCCTATTAGTTCTCATTTATATATTTTTAATTTCTCCTTTTATATCTTATATTCTACACAGATTTAATTTTATCACATATTACATTTTGATGATTTGTGGAAACACTATAATTTATTTCACTATTGTCACGTTGAGTATTTATATTGCGAACACAACTAACTCACTGCTCATTTCAATCTAAGAAGCAGTTTCAAAAACCACATATCAATAAAAGATATTGAAGGTCAAAGGTGAAGGAATATCATCAGTACTGAGTATAGATAAATTTATATTTATAAATACCAACTTTATTTCATGTTCACAAGTCTACAGTTTAACAAGTCATACACTTTTAGAAAAATATAAATCGTAAATATATATTATATATGCATGTGTGTATATATAATATATGCATATTTACATTCAAATTAATTATAGTAGTATATCAACACTATAGATGCTATTGGATAATATGTTGCTATACCAAATATATAATTAAAATAATAAGATAAGAAAAAGTAATGAAAAATAAGAAAAAAATTTCCATACATACATTTATTACCATACATACATGTATTGATCTTCAGAGATGTAAAAAATAAGATATTTATATTTCTAAAACTAATATGCATACTATACACAATTATAAAACTATATGCATACTTAGATGTCTGGTAATTTTGAAATAGTTTCCCTAAATTTTTATTTTACTATGCAAATTGTCGTCATACAAATTTATCTTATAATAAAAATAATTCTTAACTATATTAACTACATACATATATACTTATAACATCTTATGTATTGTATTATACTTATATTATAGCAAAAACAGTTCTTAACAAATATCTTATCTCATCTTAATCGCATTTTGCCATTTTTTTTATAAAAATGTGTGAAGTAATAATTAAGAAAAAATAGTTGCCTTACAATTAATATTATTAGCATAATTACTATACTATATTATCTTATATTTTTTGATTCTTTATATACCTTATATTTTTTTATATTTATCTTATATGTTAAATGATAATTGTATATTAACATGAAATTCATTTAATGTAAAAATAATCACATTCTTGCAATGCAAGCGTGATACAAATTAGGAAATCTTACAACTTTACACTTTAGAAGAATATATTTAGAAAGAAAATTATACTTTAGGAGCCGCGATAAATTGTGTAACTAAACGGACTCAACAAAAGTGGCAAGTGATAGTGACTGTTTATATTTTTCACATCGAATACGATTTCGACAAACGGATATATTGTTTCTATTCTTCTCAGTGTGAAGTATTTATCGACATCGAAATGGATCTTATAACGACCAATTGTACACTTTATGTTCTCCACCAGATCGACACAGTAGCCTTCTGTATTTGTATTGCTGAAAACAAAGAATTTATAAAACTTATTCTAATATACTATATAAACATATTCTACATATACTATTTAGTCAATATCCATACTATTAAAGTATGAAATTAGTATTTTAATAATAAAATAGATTTGTTGTATTAAATAGCTAAAAAAATTTGAATTAAAATAAAAATTATCTTGTAGCTTCAATATATTATGGTCTTATTTAAAAAATTTTAATTTCTTTTTTAAAAAAGTCTTCTAGCTCTAAAAAAAGAATTTAAAATACTTTTTATAATAAATATACTTAATATAAAGACGAGAAATATGAGTACTTTTTGATTCACACTTTTTGATGCGCATGAAATAATAGAAAATCTATAAAATAATAATATACATAACTATAAATTTTCTATCACCTTATATGGAAAGTACTCTATGTGTTTGAAGAGAGAAAATAAGCAGTAATAACTAATTAAAGAATTACACACCTTTCATTTAAGAAAGTCCATTTCCCGTCCACTAGTTTATATAAACTGACTTGCAAGCCACTAATTGGATTTCCCTTCATATTGTCTGAGACATAAGTGGAGATACGCAGCTTTCTTGTTGCAGTTGATTTTATTGGCTGCTTCCCCAAAGCAACCTAAAATAAACATAGCATTTATTAAATAACAATTTTCAATTGCTATGCATCATTAAGAAAGCTCATTACAAAGTAAATTTTTTATAAAACGCAAATAAATTACACAATATTATTCATCCAATTTGAGATAAACTTTTCTTTAACAAAATCTTGACTTGAGACTTAATCATTAAGAGATTGATATTGAAATCCAGAAAATTTTGACAGATAATGAGAATCGTCTACACATTTATTTAAAAAAAATTAATTTTATGCCTCAAAAATAATATATAAACACTTTTTCTTGTATTCTATATTACATAACAAGTAATCTAAAAAATTAGGAGAGCTTCTTTTTTACTTTTTTAGGTGACGACCCTTTGCTACTGGTAGCAGTTGACTGTTGATTAGTGCTGACAATTGGCTGCTGACTAGTACTAGGAGCAGCCGATGGCTGGAATAGCTGACTGTTGGCGGAGATAGGCACACTCGATGTTTTAATTTTATCTGGTTCGGACACTGCGACAGTCTTTTTCTGATCAGCCATCATCAACGGCTTGCCTTTCAGCTTCGTCAATATATACTGTGTGCCCGGTTGGAATGTGCCACCAGTTAATGTAAATGATTTATTTCCACACATCAAGGTGATGGTCCGGTTACTTTTCAAATTAGGCATAAGCGGCAAAAGATTGACCGGTGACTGAGTTGGTGTTGATGAGATGGTGTGATAAGTTGCATCCAATACCGGCAATGAAGAGGTTACAATCAAATCAGATTTATTCTCCTGTTATCAAATAATTAATAATACATTTTTTCTAAATTTGACTAATTACAATTTTAAATATGAAATTCAATTAGAAAAAAATTTTTAGCACAAATTTTTAAAAAAACTACAATATTCGGACTAATTTTTAATATTAATTGCATCAATTTTTCTATCCATTGGAAATGTAAAGTATCACTTACCTTTCCTGCCGATTTTTGATTAATTTTAATTTCCGTTTTTTCATTTTCGAACTCCTTTGAAGTTTCTTTGATGTTCGCTGCATCAGATAAATCAGATATATCTGGATTAGTCGATTCTACTTCCATCTCCATTTGAACATTCTCCTGATCTTCGATTTCTTCTTCAAGATATTCACTATGAACATGAGCCATTGCCTCGGCCAATGTATCTCGACACTTTTGCTATACAACATAAAAAGTTAATATATAATTCAAGGACTCGACCTAAACTCTTTGTTAAGCAAATTATTGCATTTTATTATAAATATTATTTGTAACACAACTGACCTTGGATAATCTGACCTTCTTTATTACAGGCTTCATAGTCTCCTCATCATCGGATTGCAACTGTGTATACAAATCATTAATATCTTTTTCTTCCTCTTCTTCATCAATTATTCGTTCAGTTTCCATTTTAACCTCTTGCGAGTCTAGTACTTCTTCCTCATCCATGTCTAATCTCTCAACAACATATTCTATGTCATCTTCATTTTCGTCATCTTTTTCTGCTTGAGAATCATCCACGGCCTAGAATTTAAAAAACTTATATATAATTGTAAAGTATAATTTAAATGATTTATATTCATATGTTGTTATTATTTTATAGTTTACAGTATTACTATTTTATAATTAACAGTATTTTACTATCATAACTAAAAAAAACTAAATAAATGGAATGTTTGAATTTAAACAATAAATATGTGATTAATCTTAATTAAATATTTGATAATTACAGATTATAAAAATATATTAAAAGTCGACAAAGAGAGAACCTATTATCTCACAATCATTGTATCAATTTCTTATGGCCAACATGCTGTACTTTTTTGTTTCTAATATTATATTTCATATATTATAACTTTATATACAAGATGTCCTATTTTTATAGATTTTTTTAAAGAATACAATCACTTACAAAAATATATAGATAACCCAAAAAAATACAAATTATACTGATTATATACCTGTTTGACAGAAATATCAGAATATATACTTATATTAATATTGTCTCTATAAATATTATTAGAATAAAAAAGGTGATCCATCAATATAAGACATTTTGTACATAAAGATCGGTAAAAAAAAAAAGAATATGCGGAACCTCAACTTCCTCGATGAGGCCCACTTCGAGCGCGTTCGGATCCATTTTTCGCATATTCTTCTTTTCTTCCATCTGGTACGACAGAGCCGCACGCTGATGCTTTATCGTGCACGTATGCTTTAGCAGCGACAGACGGTGTGCGTGCAGATTCTTCTTGCAATAAGTGCAATAAGCACGAGTCGGTTGAAACTGCACTGAGGTCAGCCATCCTGTAACGAAAATATCTTGAAATTGCTGCCATTTCTATCATTCATGGATGTACATTTGTAAAAGGAATATCTCAAAATTATCATTCCTGCTTGTGTTTTTACATGATGATCTAAAGATATATGTATAAATTATAAAATTTATAATTTATACTACTTTACTTTTTTATAATTTATATTTTATATACTTTAGATATATAAAATATAAATATTTAAATAGAAAATAAATTTATAAATATGATATATATTTTAGAACGCTATTTTTCTTATCTCAAGTAAAAAGTAAGAATGAAGCAATTCTCGATTTTTAAATCATTTTTTTATCGTTAATATATTTCGGTATTAAATTTAATGTTTAGAAGAATTTATAGACTTACATAAATTTATAATGGAAGTTTGTAATATAAATATTATTGTTTAATTGATTGTATAACAAAGATCATAATTTTTATATTATTCAACACAGATTCAAACCTATGTTTAATTTTCATATTCACTATAATTTTTTAATAAAATTATAACTTGAATACTGTATTACTTCTTCATTTTCGTTTCTTATTGTAATAATTTTTTTCTCATATATCACCAAAAAATATGCCTGCATAAGCAACAGAATTAATTATTGATAATCTATCAGGAGAGGATCTATAAAAATAATTCCTCATATATATAATTATTTTAAAGATTTAGGGAGGACAGTTTATTACATCAAAATTAGCCATTCAAGTCCTTAAAAATTTTTTATGGCTTTTAGCCAGTCATTTTCTTCTAAGAACAAATATATATTATATATTATTATATGATATATATTTGTTCTTAGAAGAAAATGAGAATGGCTAATTTTGATGTAATAAACTGTCCTCCCTAAATATTTATTATATATATTATATAATATATATAGATATATAGATATGAGATAGGATAGATATTAGATATTATAGATATATATTAGATTAGATGATATAGAGGTATATTATATATATTATATATATTATATATTATATATATAATATATTATATATTATGTATATTATATATTATATATATTATATATTAATATTATTAAATTACATATATATTATATATATTTGATCTGCGATCTCCAAACTAAATTTCCTCCAAGCTTCCTCTTCAAGTTCCCATTCGAGCATTCCTAGACGCAACTAGTTATATAAAAAAAATAGAAGATCCACCGAAAAAGCTCAAAATAGAGCGAATGTGTCAAACGTGTGTCCGAGGGCATCATCTAGTATTAATTTTCGGTTTACCTCGACACGAAGTCAATTAGTCAGTCCGGAATCGACCCTAGAATCTAAGCTCCCGAAGCACCAGGAGTACGCGCGCGCGCACACACACAATATATATATATATATACACACACACTCATCCACGTATCGGGGAAAATACCTTTGAAATCCTGCATTTGCTCCCATTCCTTCCTGTAGCGCTGCGTGTAGACCCGGGTCTTCGCGTGGCTGATCTTCCCGGTCGGCGTGAGCCGCGGAGTCGACGTCGTCGTGGTCAGGAGGTTGTAAACCACGGTCGAGGTGCCCTGCTCGGCGCCGCTGCTGCTGATGAGCGTCATCGGCTGCGGGCTCCCGTCCATCTCGGACGTTTCGTCCATCGGCCGAGAGATTTGTTTATTCGAATCCCGTCCTCGTACGCGAGCTCGCAGGTATAATCTGGGTATACAGATTCGCGGCGCGAAATTACTAAATAGTTTTTTCTCCGCACTCGGCTCTCTGCTGGGGAACAGGAATTCGGGGAAATGAACGCCTTCTAGCTTCTAGAACCATGCGTTACTATCCCCTAGCGGCAAATGGCGGAAGAGACGTCGTTGCTACGCGGGAGAAGCCTCTTCTCTCGCCCGCGGTGACGTGTCGTCCAAGATGGCGCCACCGCGCAGGCGCGTCTCCGTCCGCGCGAGAGCCCGGAGGTTTCCGTAGTTTCTGAAATGAAACAAATTGTTTGATATATTTTATTATTATTTATTTGTTTTTTTAATTATTAATTTATTAGTTAAATATAAATATCAATTTATTATATATTACACTTATAAAAGCATTTCAAAAGTGTATTAAAAAATATAAGTATTATTTCTGTTTCCTAGCGCCAAAAAGAAAGATCAGGAAAAAGCCTAGCTGGATAATTTGTTGAGATTAATTAAAAAAAGTAAACAATAAAGGAAACCAAATTGATTAATAATTTTTGAATAATGACAAGTCATAAAATTGTCCAGCTAGGCTTTTTTCTGATCTTTTTTTGGGGATGGGAAACAGAAAATACTTATATTTTTTAATACACTTCTGTGATGTGATTTTATAAATAATATAATAAATTTATATTTATATTTAAATAATAAATAAGTGAATTTCAAAAATAAATAAATACATTTATATTTAAATAATAAAATATTGTAATATAAAACACCGAGTGTTTGTAATGAACAACTTCAAAAAATAAATAATCGAGATAAAATCGTTTACTAAATATTCTCTAAATATATATCGATCTGTATCGTTCGATATAAATTATACTGTCACATTAATAAATAAATTAAATTTAATATAATAATGCATTTATTTATTTAGATACGCCTTTAAAGATACGTCACTGACTTCATGACTAGCACAACGTTTATCGATGTGCGCGCGCACTTCTGTTAAAGCGGAAGACCCCACCAAAAGCTACCGCGCTATTCAAAAGTATCCACCAATGAGAGAGAGGATATCATATTTATTATATTATTTCCTATTGGCGGGAATGTTCGTCCCCGCTACTTTCTCGGGAGTGAATTCTACTTCCGAGTCACCTCGCGTCTAAAAGTTCCTGGGAATAATTTCTCTCCGAGATAGAAATTTAATGTTTCTCTAGCATTCTCTCTATAATAGGAAAGATCACAAAATCTAGAAAACTTGATGATCACTAGCTTTTTCAAAGGCGATGCTAGTGTCCATCGTCGCGCAATTATTTTAAATTACACTGGCACTAGCTTTATTAAGAATAATGCAATAAACATAAATGATAACAACAAAAAGAATTGACATTCTATTTTCTACAAAACATTAAAAATAAATAATAATATATGATATTTTAAATCGGCCAAAGAGCCCAAGCGCGAAAAATTAATTCTTCGGAACTTGGCCGATTTAAAATATCATATATTATTATTAATATTGTGAGCCGATAAAATATTTCTTATCTGATTAAAAATAAAATTATTTCGCATCTCATTACATATTGTCTTCATCATAAAATAAAATATAATTTTAATATTGTTGTGAAATAATAATATTACATATTTATATATATAATAATATCATTATATATTATAAAAATGATAGAAAAAAGCAAAGAACCTTATAAATTATAAGAGACCTAAAAATTATATATATATTATATATAGAATTATATTCTTAGTCAATTCACTTAATTAATATAATTAATGTTTTCATTGTTGTATAATCAATTGTTAATTATCTAAATAAATCCTAATTTAAATAAGACATGAGAGAGATATAATAATATTCTCTATATCCGAAACAATTATTTTATATGTGTATATATATAATTTTTTGAATATAGAAAGCATTATTATACCTCTTCTGTTACCTATTATTTAAATTTGTATATATATAATTAAAAATTGATTATACAATAGCGACAACATAAATTGCGTTAGTAAATTGAACAAGCATATAATTATATAATATAATTATTTTATAACAATAATATTCATCTTATAATGAAGACAATATATAATAAGACGAGGAACAATTTCTTTTTCTTCTACTATTTTCTACACACAAAGTTCAGTATTTTATAAATATTTAAGATCTTATAAACATTTTCGAAACAAAGTGTAACTTTAATTTATAATTAAAATTGTTTCAACAGAAACTTTTTTATTATGGCAATTTGTCAGATATTTTCATTTCTGAAACAATCTCAATAAAAAAAAGGGTAGAACCAAGGTTGTTCCTACAACATACATATACATGTTTTATGTAACGTAAAAGAGGCAGGTAAAATATTATGAATCCGCCTGCGCGGTCCGATGGAACTGGCTTTTAAAAGGACCTCACCCCCGACAGCTCGTCTTTCAGGTATACGTTGAAAGATCCTTGACCAGCACACAATACAAGCAAAGCCTGCATATCTCACTCTATGAGGTCCAAACGAACGTTAAAGGAAAGTTCAGTTTAAATGAGCACGCCGAACATTGCACACGTGTATCCGGAGTTTCCTGTAAAGTTCCCTGTAAGTAACAATTCATTGTACTTTTTAATCAATTAACCATTTCAATTTATGCTAATTTCTAACTCACAAATCATCAGGATGAAGAAATTTATATTGTTTGCCTTTAATATTCTTTCAATAGTAATTTGTATCAAGAAAGACATCTTTCTAGATGTGAAAAAACGTGTTTTAAATTAACTTTTGTAAAGATTAAAAGAAAGGTTGTAATAAATAGATGGTAAAAAGACAGATTATATTTTTTTTATAGATTTTAATTCATAAATATTTTTATAGATTTGTTTTATTTAACATATTCTTGTGGTATAGTATCATTTATATATTTAAATCTTTTTTATATAGATGATTTACAATTAGTGAAAAATTTCAAAATAGAATTCTCATTAATAAAATAATATATATTAATATATCTCATTAATATAATAATTATATATATATCATATATAATAATTGTATCATATATATTAATATCTCATTAATATAATAATTATATGTGTAATATATATTAATATATCTCATTAATATAATAATTATGTGTGTTATATATATTAATATCTCATTAATATAATAATTATACGTGTCACATATTAATATATATCTCATTAATATAATAATTATGTGTCATATGTATCTGTGTATTTTGACATTTGTGATGCATTTTTTATTTGTGTATGGGCTTTTTACATGTTTCATTTTTTTATTACACGATATAAAAATAAATAGAATTGTATCTCAAATTTTACCGTGAATTAAAGATTGTCTAAAATCAGCTTTAGACAAAATGGATATTCTCAATTTAATTTTACATTTTTAAAGTTAACTATTTTATTTTATATTATTTCTTTAGTAAATTTTTACTTTATATTAGTAATATTTTTATGTATTTAAGCCTATTTTAGATGTTTTATAATTTGCAACAAAATTCGAGACAGAATTTTCTTTATAATTTTCTGTATCACATGTTTAAAAAGTGTATAAGTATATATATATATTTTGATGTATATTTTTGTGTAATTTTTTTTTTTTTCAAATGCTTTTCTTACACGATATAAAGACAAATGTTTTTTTATTACTAACAACATAAAATTTATAAACAGAATTCTCTCGAATTTTGTTACAAGTCACGAACGTCTAAAATCGGCTATCGACAAAATAGATATGCTCAATACAATTTTTCATTTTTAAAGTTAATTGTTTTATCTGGTTTTTGTAGTAACATATATATTTTTATATATATTTAAACCCACCTTATACGATTTATAATTAGCAACAAAATTCAAAATAGAATTCTCGTTATAATTTTGTGTCACATATTTAATATGTATATGTGTATTTTTATTTATATATTTTTTTACATATTTAAATGTCTTTTGCACATATACATATATACATGATATTAAATTTTATAAATATAATTCTATCTCGAATTTTTTTGTCGCAAATTATAGATCAATTAAAGTCGGCTTTAAACAAAATTGATATGCTCAACTCTCAATTTTACATTTTTGAAGTTGATATAAATTTCAAAAAAACCCCTTATTATTTGTCAAATTTTAATAATTAATGAAGCAATAATTTTCAATCGTCATACTTTACATCTATACATTATTTGTCGAGATTGAGATATTAATATAAATTTGTGATTATTTTGTATGCAATTTAATAAATAAATCATGTGTAATCTTTTTGCAGAATTGTTTGCTCGACATAATATTCCTGAAGAATTCAAGACTCATTTGCTGATCTATCTATCTATCAACACTATCAACAATGAATCCAATGAAGCCAATACTGTACAGAGTCGAGACATACATCGTGCCCGAGGTGAACAGGGCGCCAGGATTCTCGCTAGAAAATGCTATCAACGAGATCGACGACCTGAAGGCCACAAATAAATTGAAAGACCGAGAGGATGAAAACGTGTCAGAAAATACTGCGCAAAGCAGAAAAAATACATCGTCCTCACACAATAAATTCATACAATCTAAAATATATTCTTTAGAACAACCAATTAATGACAATAATGAAAATAAATTAATTAAAAGACCAACAGACATCACACAAACGAACGAGGACGAGACTGACAGGCAATTCAATAATAATAATTATGAATATAATGACACGAATTCTGACGTGCATATTTATTATGCAAAAAAGAGTTTCAACCGTCAATCGAATCGCAGGATATACTCTATCCCGTGAGACAGTTCAAGAAGGTCAACAGTTTGATGTCGATCGACGAGAGGAGCGAGATATCCTTGGAGTCCAAAATAAGCGACTGTTGTCATCACGGCTTCAAGAATGGTTGCACAGCGACAATTCCATCCCCCGAGGTCATCAGCGACGATATTTTCAAAGAGAATTGGTTGCAGAAGATGGAGATCTTGCGAGAGCGCGATGCCATCCTAAAGGAGAAGGAGATGAACCTGCAGATAAAAGAGAGGGAACTATTTAGGAGAGAAAAAGAACTCAGGATCGGAGAGAGAATTCTCAACGAGAAATTAAAACTGGTCGACCAACAGCTACAATATCAGAGAGACGTACAACTCGTGGAGGAGAAGCTAGAGAAAGCAGCACGAATTTTATTCCAGGAAGTCGAGGAACCCGAAGAACCGGTCAAAGCAGAAAAGCTGCGAGTTCATCAATCTCCGGAGAAAACATTAACTTTGGTACCTGAAACAATCATTAATCCGCATGAGAAAAATGAAGAGACTGATCAAAAAATAAAACATCCAACGCATCCAAAGAACAACCCATCCAAGCCCTCAACGAAGCTATCATCTCTATCCAATACATTTTCCAGGACTCATTCCTATGCTAGTGTAAGGTACAAACGGCCCCCTCGCACTAAGATACGCTACGACGATCTAAACTCGACGTTGTCAGCGGACAATGGAGACTCGTCCTTCGTACAAACATCAAAATTCTTTAATCCGCATCTTTATAAGAAGCCAGACGCATTCACAAGATCGGCGAGTGAACGATGGCCCAGCAGGACGAGTAACACATTTGTTACGAGGCCACAAGGAGTGGTCACCATCGAGGAGAGAGCTGAGCCTGCCATCGAGGAAGAGAAGGTTTTCCGAAAATTCAGCGAGAACATCATCGCCTCGCATGACAAGGATACGAAGTTCCAACATTACGGTCTTGTGGATTATAAATTGCATTGTAAACCGGACAACGTTCAAACCAATGCAACGAAGCCTAATCCTGGTCCTAGTGAGAAGAAGCCGTTTTCATATCTCGATCTAGCAACCAGCAACAAACAAGGCCAGAAGCGGACTAACGTTTCCAAGGACAGACCAATCTCTTGGAACGAGAAGGAAGATGAATGGCTGCAAAAGAAACGTCTGGCGTATAACTTAGCGATGAAAACCTTGGAGAACCTTGAGAACAAAGAAGCTGAGAATAAAGAAAACGAGTGCAATATCGTCGCGGAAAAAGGCGGAAAGAGTTCAAAGAAGAATAGCAAGAACAAACTATTCTCTATATTTCGATAGCTCACTTATTAGTAGCACATAAAACAAGGATTCATCTAATTTAAAATTAATTAATCACAAGAAATAGTTCTCTTCTACTCATCTTAAAGCCAAGAAAGATCTATAGAAACTTGTATATAGTTTTCCAATTTAATATTTAATATTTAATGCAATTTTGTATAGTTAAATCTGTATATAGTTAGCTATAAATTTATTAGTCATAAGTCTGACATATATATATCAAATTTATAGTAAAGTAATTTTGCAATTCATTTACTATGTAGTCGCATACATAGTAATCAAACGATAAATACTGGAATATTTTTCATATTCTCATCAAATTGTATCGTATACACTGTTACCAAAGAAGAAAGACAAATTATATATGTTTTAATAAACACATTAAACCATAATTTAAATTACATGTGTATTAGTGAGATACATTTGTCACCTTATGACTCTGACACAATATTCCCAAAGTATATTTATCATTATATTTATTTGTTATAGCTTACATAGAACTAACTGATTCTGCAACTTCTTAAGATTCAACGATGCATAATAAACATGAGATTAATACGGCCAGGACGGTGGTTCTCCAGGTTTCAATTCTCTGCCGTACAACGCCGATTTGTCCCTGAACATCGTCATTCGCTCCGTCTCCAGGTGATCCAGTTTATGTCCGAGTAGGAAACCCGAGATAGGGAAGATGAGTGTCCAATAATACTTCCACATGTTCTCTACCGTCTTAGTGTCCCTGTTCCTGTGCTAGTTGCTGCTTCCAACGAGCCGTGTGTCTCAAATCCAAGAAAATCGAATACACCGTAAGTGTAGGGAACAGGACACTGACCAAGTTACGTTTCACCAAGTATCTGATGGCTTTGAAACTGGAAGTAGCCATCAAACTGAAAAACAAAACAGACAGTCGTCAAAATTGCAGACAAAAAAAAATTGAGAACGAGATCCGAACTTCAATAATAAAATTCAAAAAAATTTTTTTAATTTGAAAAAATTACAAAGCAAAAGGCGATTTTATTTCGAAGAAATAATAGTAGGTTAGATAAAAACTAAGAAGAAAAATGAGTTTTTAATAGTAGGTAAGATAAAAACTAAGAAGAAAGATGAGTTTTTAATAGAGATAGAAAGAATTTGACATTTGTAACGGATATATTTATAATTGATAGAGAAAAAGTTTCTTACATCTACGGATACATCGGTCGATTAATTTCGTGCGTTCGAAGGTTAGAATTGCATATCGATTATGTAATGAAACGTCAGATGCGATTCGAGACTTGCGAGATAAATCGCGCCGCCAATCGTCGTCCTTTCTGTCGTTTCTTCGCGAAAAACATTGATTTTGAATTTTTTCTAAAATCTCTAGTGGAATAAAATTGACGTAAAAACATTTCGGTTTCGTGCTCGAGGAGAGAAAAAAAAAAGGAGGGGAAAAACATTTTACCTTCGTGACACGATCGATCCTGTCACACAAATCAGATCCTGTTCCGAAAGGTTAGGAAATAATGGCGATTAATATGCGTGGATAAAACGAAAATACTTACACTTTCCCAAACAAAAATCGTCCGCCTAGAATTCCGCCTTCTATCTATGTATGTATTTATTTTACATATCCTGCGACGATCCTGTATCTTTTTCTTTGCTCTAAGCGCTCAAATGTCAAATGTCAAACTCTCCCGTATAAGCTTGAAATGAGTCAAATTCGGCGAAATTGTGTGTGAAAGAAAGAGGGAAAAGATTGCAGACCCATAAATTAAATCCCAAATTTAACAGCTGATTTTGACAGCTGAGTTTATCCTCAGTTTCGCCGGCTCGGTTCCTCCTGGATGTTGACAGAATAAAGGCTCGTCCACACGGCCACCTGACAGTAGATGACAGCGGTGCTTGGGCGGTTTCCAATGAGACGGACGCGTGCGAGAGCAGAGAGATAAACCCTTCGCGTCATCGTCCTCTCCCGGTGTTATTTGCTCACGATTACTCGTCAGACTCGACTGGATTCGGCGAAGGTTCAAAGAGCACTCGGGAGGACACTGACGTGATGTTATTCGACTGCTCCTGCTAGAAACAAATCCCGACTCTTACATCACATCAACGTGATTAGACTCGAATCACCCCGGTTTGGCAGCCACCCTTCGTCGCTTTTGACGTTGCTAGGAGAGAGGACGAAGAGATAGATTCGTGAAAAATAGGTGGGCTGAGAAGAGAAAAATTTATCCCCCCTGTGGTATTAATTATAGTGATCCTCTAAGCAATGAAAACTGGCAAGTTTTTAACATCCTCCGCAGAATTCTCTCTTCAGAAGGATCAATTTGATTAATTTTTTTATCCTTCTTCTTCTATGTTCTCTTTATAGGGAAGAGAAGATATAGAAATTTATCAAATATGCCACCGAAATCGAATTACACGGAGGTTGTATGGTCTGACATAACCAGCCGCGTACTGATCAATGCTGTCACTCATCCTGTTGAGTGTGCAAAGGTTTTGATTCAGGTATTATTTTTATTATATTATGAAGATACAGTTTTTATATGTGCAAGTAAAGTTATATAGCTTGTTGAGGAAAAGTATTATCTTATTAAAAAGAACTGTACATTTATAATTACATAGATTGGATATGAACCTATTCCACCAAAACCAACTGTAACATTGTTTGGGAAGCCAGCGTTAAAACTACCTAATGTCTTTACATACAGTAAGTCTGATTTTAATTTAAAACCTAAGAAATAACTTATATATTTCTAAATTAAAATAATATATATTAGATTACATAAATTCACAATTTTTTATATAAACTGGAGAAAGTATTTTATTTTATTTTTTGTTTTATATGTTGCTTATGTATATTTTGTGTGTTACATCATTTGTTTACAGTTAGACACATAAAAAGCATAGATGGTCTCACGGGCTGCTATAGAGGCCTGGTGCCAAAGGTGTGTTCCTATACAGTTAGCACAATAGCGTGTGATAAAACCTTGGAGTATCTACAATTGAATTCAGTAGAGAATGAAGATGAAGACGACGAGAATGAAATCGTAAGGTGAGTCTGTGAATGTGTGTGTTGTAAGTAAAGAGAAAAATTCACATAAACAGCAATATAATTTCTCCCATTTACAGACGTAAGAAATGTATACGTGAGATAATAAAAGATGTAATCAGTAGAACTGTCGCGATTGTAGTTAGTCATCCTCTGGAAGTTATTTCATTAAGAATGATGGCTCAATTTGTGGGTGGAGAGACAAAGTATAGGTATGACGGATTTGATTACACTTAATACAATATGAATTTAGGATGCTAAAGTAAAATATCAATCTCAGAAAATTTTTAAATAATTCAAGACACTTATTATTATAGAATAAAGAAGCAAGTAAAAATATAATTACATTTTATCTTTTGCTGATTTTAAAGAAAATATTTTCTCTTTCTGCTCTGGGTTTGTTATTATGACAAAATTTGCTTATTATTATTATTTGTTTTCACAAATAGTAGTCTATTCGGCTCGTTCCTGGAGATCTACAGAGAGAATGGAATCATGGGATATTATGCAGGTTTGATACCGCGTGTTATAGGAAGTGCTGCCGCTATAATTCTAGCTGGTGCTTCTACGTATGCCATAAATAATTATGTCATACAGGAACCAACGATGAAACCATACACTGCATCAACTATGAAAGTAAGTGAATCGGAAAAGTGATGTATATTTAAACGATATTTTAAAACTAATGTAACATGTCTCTTTAAAATGAAATATTTGCAGTTTCTGGCTACTACTGTGATGTATCCATTCTTGGTAGTTTCACACTGCATGGCAGTAAATGACTGTGGGTAAGTAAATTGTTTTATTACAGCCTTATATTAAAAAATAAACAATTATATAATTTAAAAAGAATAAAAAAAATAATATTTATTGTCATATTTAAGAATCTAAAGTAAAATTGATTTAAACATTTATTTCGGAGTTAATAATAATCTTTAATATTTCGTAGAAATAAAATAGCAGATTAGATTAATGAATTAGATAAGATTAATATATTTACAAAAATTTATTTAAGGTTGGTAGCCGGTCTCCCTCCACATATGCCGATCTACAAGAACTGGCTACATTGCTGGAATCATTTATCAGTCCACAATCAATTGAAGAGAGGCAGCAGTTTGCTATGGCGTTATTACACTGGACCACAAATGATTATGAATGGCAAAGTGATACCAATTATAGGCGACAATTTTTACCAGCCCAGTCCTTAAATGTCTCGTCAAGTAAGCCCAGATGATTCTGTTATAAACCAAATGAGCTCGTTATAAGTCAAATGAATTGTCGATCGTCAGATACATTTGACATTATACTTGTACAGTATATACTTATATAGCGTCATATAAAGCAAAGGAAAAAGAAAGTTTGCTGCCAACGAATTTCTACACAAAAGTTATACAAGAATTCCACGCAATAAACGTTCTTATGGTACCGGATCGTTAACTATAAGAAAATATACAAAATAGTTTTCCAGTAAAATTGTAAATTAAAAATGGATATTAGAAACTCTTGATTAATCCTAAAAGATAAATCAATCTTTTAAATTTAAACTAAATTTCAAAGTTAAATTATATTAATCAATTTCTGTGATAGCCATTTTCTCAGTATTATTCTTTAAATTATAAAAATCGAAAAAAGCAAAGCAATTATGATCAATCAAAATAATTGTAATTAAAAATATATATTATATATAAATATATTGATTTTTTTTACAAGGAAATTTACATTCTCATTATACATGTGTCTGTACATGAATCATCCTTAGAAAAATTTGTAATAATCGTGAAATTAATGGACATGATTTCTTAATTATTTTATGACTATAAATCTGATTTCTTGAATAATAAGTCACATTTATTTCTTTATTACAATCGCTTTGATTGATCTTTGATTGATATTTTTAAATCAGCTCTTCTGCGTAATATATATAGATAAGAATAAATAAATTTCAAACAAAATATCAATAGATAAACAAAAATAATCTTTGATCGTATAATAAAAGAAAAAGATACTGCAAGAGAAGCCAGATGTATTTTTGCTATGTTGACAATTAGACTTTATTGTTTCGACAATTAATCGACTTACAGTGCGATTTGCGTTGGTAATCGATAAGATTTCAATGAGTATTGCATTCGTCGGATTACAAACGTCTTCCTATACATACCACGTTCTATAAAGAAAGAAAGGAGAAGAGTGAGAGCTTACAAACCCTCATCTCTCACTATTAACACACGTATAAAAAAAATATCGACTCGCACTAATAGTCTTAAGGATATTTGTACACACTTCTTCAGGCATTATATTTGAACAATAGCTCGCCTGTGTAAAGGTGATCAGCTGAATGTGAATAATGAACAGGAATATATACAGCGTATCCCATGACTCTATCAATCAATCAAATTCCATCAATATTTAAAATTTGATGGATGATCATCCGGCAGAAATTTATTTTCATTACTTTTCGGCATTATACATCTTTATTAAAATTTCGAAAAGATTTACTTCAATATTCCGATTTTGACGAAATAAATATATGTAAATTTTTAAACGAAATTTAATCAAAATTAGATTTTTTGCGAAAAAAGCAAAGAATAGTTTTGGGACACACTGTATACATAATTGCGTTTAAATTATTTTTCCGTTTAAATCTATAGAAGCAAAGACTACTGTATCCAAAGTATTCTTAGACTTGAATAAAATATAACAATATTCATGCTCTCGATCTAACAATAAAGCAATTGTATTTTTCTCTCGCGTCTTTATTAAATTACTTTATTTATTGTAGGTATATATTTATGGAATTTATCGTCACACGGTCGAACAAATGCAGTAATGATTGGTCATTGCTTCGTCACAAAGAATCACCTCTTAAAAACTAAATTACACTTTATAAACCACACGGAACGAACAATCGTTGCACTTAACAGGGACCATCACGTCAATTCAAAGTGTGCTAACACCAGAGTTATCAAATTTATGTATTACAATTCTACTGGATAAAATGTATTATTTTCAAGAAGGCGAATTGTCCGACTTTTACAATGAAATTTGTAACTATGCGCTCTAGACATAATCAACATCACTTGTGTGTAATCGATCAATGTACAGCAATTCATTGATATCGCTTTTATATAAAGTCTTTTATTTAATATACTCTGTGTTGAAGATTCTGTTGGCTATGTTTGATTTTTTTTCTTTTCAAGCAGATTATGCGAACGCGTTGCAACACCAATCAGCGCTCTACATCTATTCCATTTAACATTCTTTCGCTATTTCTGTGTCAATCATATCGTAATATCATTTTATTATGCTTGGCAAAATTGCATTATGCACACACAGCCGATGTGAAACCCGGAAAAACTTAATCACACGACACAAGAAAACTGAAATTATATCTAGTGTACAATATTTTATCGAAAAATCTGCTAAATTGCTTTAAAAAATAATACTACTTAACTAATCGTTAATAAAAAAATAATCGTTGTTACGACGTTGTTCTGACTCGCATTAGGAATAAATGAAGAAAAACTTACGGCAGATGATTTTATAATTCTTATCAATCTCGTTCTCGCGTTAACACGATAAAGATCAACATTCAATAATTATTCAATCAACATCGCTTCTGTCTTACCCTATTTATCTTAGGTATTTAACAATCGGTTGTTAATGTAAGAGGACAACTCTTTTTTTTTAGACTCTGCAAGCCGCAAGACTATGTACATTGAGGAATACTGCGCGTGTTTCGGGAATGTTAGCGAAATCGGAAGCAAGGAGTATACATATTTCGAAGCGCGAGGCTTCTCCACAATCAAATAATACAAAAAAAGCAGTCTCGATGCAACGCAGAAAAAAAACTGTTCAATATTCACATTCCTCGACGAAGAGATTCGAACTCAACAGACTACATCTGAGGAGCTTCTTTCGCTTCTTAATATAGTGAGAAAAGTCTATTTCCTTTTTTTCCACTTTTTTTTCTTTAAATATGCGTATGTATATGTACAAAAGTATATTTCTTACAATAGACGAATTATATATAATTATAAAAAAAGATATAGAGAGAAAGAGAACAACTTAAAGTAAAACAAAGTGACACATTGATATTACCAAGGCAGCATAATACTTAATGAAATCGGTAGTACAGTAAGTTTTCTTTAGGACAGACATATATAATCAGCTCGGATGGCGAATGCATAAATAAAATCGGTACATCGTACGGCATTTCTCCGAGAAAGTATGCTAAGGTAAATTCGTTTATCAATTTACAGTTGTTCGAAAGATATACATACGTATATCTCGTCGTTGACAAACCGGTAATGTTCCTTTCTTTAGACTCAATCTAAACGCGCGGAACAACCTGGATAATTCTGACCAGAAAATTTTAGCGACGTCGTATCCAGAGACAAATCCATTGCCTTACGTCTCTACATTACAAAATTCAGTTATAGAGTTTTATATATATAGAGTTTAACGAGATTTATATTAATTATTTATATATTTTGTTTGTCTATACCACCTAATTGAAACTCAATTCTTTACAATAGTTATGTAAAAAAAATTAATTTCGTCTCTAGATACATCTGTGTTTTTATATATACAACACGCGATCCTCTCTACACTTCTTATAACTCTTAATGACGATTCCGAAATAACTGTAGCAGTGTTATTTCGGCTCCGCGAATATCATATATGCATTCTTTTCTTCTCGCGGAAATTAAAAAAGAAAAACTATCAATAACTGCAAATAAAATTGCGTGATAAATACGAATGTGTGATAATATATGCAATGAGTAATGAAATATTCAGCTATTTATGAATAATCGTAAATTAGGCCACGATGTGTAACAATATTTTGTTCATTTTAACTTTGGTAAGTTGAAATATTTTCGTTCTGTTTAAAATGTGAAACACTTGACTCTTTAAATCTTTGTAAGTTGGAATGCAATTAATTGTGAACATTTGTTTCATTCTCCAAAAATTGAAATGCAATCAATTCTTACAACTTTACAATTTTTTAAATTGAAATACAATTTTTATAAGAATAACAGATATATCAAAGATTATATATAGTGTAATTAGTATTTAAGATTACGTTCTAAAAACGGTACATCATATTAATTTTTTCTCATTTCTAAATTTTCTTAATTCTTCAATTGACACGCTTTCTAAAACGAAATCTCTTGAGATTTAACACGACGGCTCTCGTATTTGACATTGTAATTCCTTCTATCGCATATGCGCGATTTGTTATTATGCAGGGTATGATATATATACATATAGGACGTGCCAGAAGTCGCTTCTTGGTTTTTGAGAAATCTTTAGTCAAATGTGTACCTCCAATTTCAAAAAATAGATGCAGATTCTTTATTTTTAATGCCCAATCTTTTCGACATTTTTATTACAAAAACTAATAATTAGTTTACTTTTTAAGAGCTAATTCAAAATTGATAAGGAAAAATAAAAAAAGTTATTAATATTCTTAATCAATTTGAGAATATTATGAAATACTAGTTGCACTTATAGTGACAATGTGACATCTAATATACAAGTAAAAAAAAAGAGATCTCTATATGCCATAAAAATATTGTGGACAAATTAAAATATTGTTTCACCCGACATTAAAGGGAAAATCGAAATTGACACAATTTTGTTAAACCTTCTAATCGTCGAAGTTTTGTAGAACGAACTCGTGACATTAACTTCTTACTTAGAAACCCGCGACTTCTAGGACGCCTTATCTACGTGCACGCGATCATTTGTAACTTCACCGTCTCGCTCGATTCGCACTCAACAAGTAATTTTCCGCACGCATACAAATTCCAATCGCTCTCTCTCTCCCGACTCACTCTACTTCAAGTCCAGCTCCACTTCCGGGCTTTCCAGGGAAAACGGTTTGAGATTCTCGACTATGGGTGTCTGATCTGGGTCGACGCGGATGCGGATCTTGTTGGTGTCCAGGGAACGTGGTAGCGTGCGCGGCAGGTCGTCCTTGTAGGAGACCGCCGCCGACGCGGGCGACGTGTACGGCACGTAGATGCGCACCACGTCCGGGCTGGGCTGGTGCGGCGTCGCACGCGGCGTAGGTAGACCGCCGCTGCCCGAGCTGGCGTTCGAGATGTTGCTCTGAGTATCCAGACTGTTGTCTAAGGCCTGGGAACGCGTTGCCGAACTGAATACCGACAGGTCAGCCGTTGACGTCACCGACGTCTCGGCCAGCGATCGGCGGGAACCATTAGGAGACGTGCCGTCATCCAGGCTCGGGTCGAAGGAGAACTTGCTTCCTACAAATGTAGATTCTTGGGATTAGATACGCTGGATTGAAACTGCGAGATGTACTACTTTTTAATGCGCTATAAGTATTTATCTAAGAATATGGATTAATAGAGTGACTTTAATTGACTGGATGCAGTTGTTTATTAATAATAAACGATTAGGATGTAAACTTTTTGTAAACACATTGAAAAATAAAGGTTTCATTGTCAAATGAGGTCTCTTGATTATTTGCATAATATTAAAGGAATGACGAACATGATAATAAAATTGCATGAAAGGAAGCAGCTTAATTTTATCTTAATACACAAAAATAGTTTTAACAAAGCAGGACCATCCGATTCACATGCATGGATAGAGTGTGTTGTGTAAAATCATGTAAGACTCGGCTTGGTTAATTTCGATACGTTTATTAAGTATAAACATATACTGAAGTGAGAAAGAAACGATCATAAGAGATCCATTGATAGATATTCTAAATGAAATGCATTTGTAACATCAAGAAGATTAATATATTCCAATTATTATCGCGCAAATTAATATCATGTGTTAATACCATAAATTGATACATGCGTATAATATACTTAGTATTATAGTTAAAAAAATATCCTATTTTAATATACTTCCAATGCATTCCTATACAATACAAGGAACTGTTGTATATAAATCATTTTGTGTACAACTATGTATATATATCTATATATATATAACTTATACAAAACAATAATATATATCTTTACGCTTTGTATCGCGCGTGGCAAAGGCTTTCTACAAACTATATTCGACATCTCAAACTGTCAAAAGTGTCATGTTGAGCAAAGTTTTTGTTCGCGTCGCGAGGTTTAATAAGCACCATCGTATCGCTTACAGTCTAGTATTGTAGATAACTGTTATCCGCACGTTCGAATCGGCGTTACTCTCCTCCTCGGAATCGCTGCCACGTTCGACACGCGAGGTACTATTATCAGTGCTATTATCGTGTGTGCTATTGTCGCGGCTATCGCTGAACTCACCGCCAAGGCCGCTGGTCGGTTCGACAGGCGTGGTGCTCTCCCTGCCGTCGTCGATCAGCGCCATGTCCCTACGCTGCGCCACGGATTCTCGCATTACATGCTGAGCTTCGCTAAACTCTTCGCTTCGCCTCCCAACCTGAATGAATACGAAACGATTGCTATCACGGTGTATACAGCGAAATTATATCGGGATTCAATATTCCTTTTTATCGCTTGATTGCTGCCAGGTGTTGTAATATTTACTGCCATCATTGCAGAAGACATGTTAAAATATAATAGCACCCAACTAGCAAACTGACGTCACTCGACGTCAAAATGACATACGCTTGTTATTGGAGTATCTATACTACTGTAGCTATAAAACAAGACAAAGATAATTTTTAAACCAAAAGCAATCGAAAAAAGAATTTCAGAATTAAATACAAAATCTTCAACTAAACATAAAAGAATTTTAACAAAGTGTTCTGTTACATAATTTTATACTCCTATTTCAAATGATGACAAAACGGGAGAATTTTTTAGCAATATACCTTGTTGGTGAACGAGGGCTCCTTGAAAGTACCAAATGGAATACGGGGCAATTCTTGAGGCAACGGGGCACCCGGGTAATCTAATTTGGCACGCTTTAACTCCTCTATGCTGCGCTCCATCGTACTGATCACAGTGTCGTCGTCGAAATAGAAGTCCTTCTCTAACTTGATCTGCAGATAATTGCAGAATTCGTCGAGACTCTCCATCGGGATCAGATAGCGTTTATGCAGCTTCATCACGGTGTACGCCATCGCCGGAAGTATGCGATCGCCATCCAGTAGAAATATGTCCCAAATACGAAGACCGAGACTAACGGGAGTCTACAAATCAGCAGATATTCATTAATATTTCTTAGCATTTCTAGAATGCAATAATTATATAAAATTATTTTTCAAGACACATATTTTGCAAATGTCAAGGATTTCTAAGAAGTTATACTACCACTACAAGTTATATTCGACATATTTTTTTTCTCCTTCATCGAGCAAGAATATTATATATGAAAAAGCCTTGTTATGTTCTGTGTGTATGATTAAAAATTACCGAAAATGCTAAAACTTGCAAAATGTTTGTTCTATAAATGCATAAGAAAAAAATGGTAAAAAGGACATGGTCTAGAAAGAAAGGATGGAAGAAAGAAACACATACTCTTTCCTGAAAGACAACAAAGAACCACTTCAATGCATAAAGTATGGAATCGCAGCCGCATTTATCCATTTTTCGTTTTAATTTCGGCAAAAATTTGTTCATTATCTTGTCATGGTGCTCTATGAAGCGGTTTAATTTTGGAAATCCATCGACATAAAAGCCTATAAAAAATATTGCAACTATAAATATCTAGATAAATGTCAATATTGTCCAGAGGTTCATAAATACGATTGACACGACCTTTAACATTTGAGAGGCTACATTATGTTTTTCCCCTCTATACATAAATGCAATGTATGCAACAGTATACATATGAAATAGTTTTTTCTTATTTATTTTCTAATTCAACCATATTCATGAACCTCTAAATGATTTTTTTTTAATATTTTGATATAGAAAAAATCCAACCATGCATGCTGTATTTTTGATCGGCAAGTAACACAGAAAGGCCCCAAAATGCGTCCTCCTCGTCCATGTAAAGCAGCAGCAAACCAGCTAACACAGACATTCCTTGGCAATATCCTACCTCCATGTTGTACATACTATAGGCTGCTAGTACGTAAAACATGGATTTTTGTTTTATGCTATATCTCTCCCTAGAAAGATAATGATAACACAAGATAATAATAATACAATGGTATGGTTTTTTTCAGATACATCATTATAGGAATTTTGTATCATACCTATAATTAATGTGATCTCTGTATTGTCTGGCGACATCGGCATCGATCTGTCTTATCTCTGTGGACCATTGGCGAGCTAGTTGCAGCATCTCCTCGTACTTGCCTGCCTGTTCTTTCTTGAGATTCTTGATGCCTAGGAGTAGACTCCATACTTGACCACGAAATCTATTAGGAATCCCTTTGTATATTCTACGGCGCAGTTTCTCCTTGGTCGAGGCACTGTCCCACTGTTTTGTCATCTTCTCCCATTTCTTCAATCTCTCCATCTCCACATGATGTAACTTCATCTGATATGAATCCGGCTTCTGTGGTAATCTTTTATCGCTGTGGATAAAATAAGATTATCAAGCTGAATCTAAGAGCATGCACCAATCAGATTCGCGAATTTTACAACAGTTGTAAAGCAGCTTTTTTTTGCTGAATGCAGCCAATATATACATACGTATGTTAATATCATGTACATCTAATTTTAGAAAATCTACAATGCTTGTGCACATACTGTATGAAACCATATCTATCCGTAGTGTGATAGACTTCGTAAGCTGGATCCTCCCAGGGATCAATCTCAGTGCCTTCCCTACCGCGGTCATAGCAGCTGAAAATCCTATCGCGCTCTGCGGCAGACCGTTTCAATAGTTCTTCCTCATTCATCCCACGTGACAGTGCGCTGCCAGACTCTTACAAGCATGCCGTTTCGTTAATGAACCTCTCTACCAGCATCTAGCCATGAAGCTTCATCTGTAAACAAGTACAAATCCTTGTAGAATTTGTAGACAACCTGGTGAACTCTGCTATACCCATGCAATAAAAATATCACACTTAAAGCTGAAGGGGAACACATGTTTACCTATGAAATTGAATATCCTCGATCAAACAAGCATTTAAAAAAAACGATACGTGCGAAACTTACATGTATCTCCTCGGCGTCGTTGCGCCGCCCGGGACGTAACAGATTTCGCTGGTTAAATCGTCATCGCGACGCGCGGATAACTGACAGATGGGTCGCGGGCAAACGCACGCTTTTGCTTCTTCACTCGATGCGCGACCGAGCGGCCGTGCTGCGCTGGCACAAAATGGATCTGTTCGGTTCCTCGCTTGCCAGGCGCAGACGAAACACGCGACACGACATTTGAACTCCTCGGTCGCTCGCCTCTGCTTCTTCTCAAGACTCCGCGGAAGACACCAGCAGCAGCGGCTCTCTCGACGCGATCCTGGCGCGCTCTCGTGGAGAAACTCGGCTGTTAATGTTAAACTAGGTTCGAGGAAAGCTCTTGCTAAAATTGATAACTGAATTTGACAGCTAAACTTGACAGCTGAATTGACAGCTAAATTTGACAATGAAAGAGAGAAAAATAAGGTACAAAATTATTTTTTGTATACAGGACATGTCAATATTTAGACATGGATAAAGGAATATATTTTACTGTTAATAAATATTTAATAATATAATTATATATTATTATATACACTAAATAATTTAATAATTATTATATAATAATGTTATTATATTATTTAATATATTATTATTATTCTTTTCTTCATGATTCAGGACTTCCTGCTGCTTATTGACATGTTCTGTATGAACGAGCTCTAAGGACTTGAATACAAAATTGCTATTATTATTATCATAATGTCATAAATATAAAACACAATAACTGACTTAAACAGATCATATCAATTTTTTATGTGCATCTTTTAATACTAAAAAATCTGAAAAATATTTATTAGACTTTCTATTTTTCTTTTTTTGTCGCAATAATTTTAGGAGACAGAAAAAGAGGAGAAAAGAAAACGAGTATCAAAATATAATTATTTAATCACAATTACTAACTTTCAGTATAAAGATCCAGAGTACAAGATTTTCACCTATATAGATTGTATAGGTGTATATTGCTGATACTAAATTGTTTTTAAAAGGTACTCTAACGCATCACAGTTTTCGCGACACATAGCACAGTTGCGTCTCCGTTGTAGAAATGTATATATTCCATTTAACACTATCATTGATGTATACAAGTACTTTAATGATCTCATGTGTTTTGAAGTATTTCTAGCTATTCGTATAATTAAGATAGGCTCATCATTCTGGTAACAACAGATTTGCGCGATAAAACTTAGCAACAACGGCAGTGGTAAATCGGCTCGAAGATTCGCGGACAATGTGATGCAAAGTTCGCTTCGAAAAGGAAAGCAATCGAAAATTGTCCCTTATACGTCACTGCACACTTTGCCTAGAGCATTAATTATCGAAAACTGCACATTCCGATCTAAACAATGCAACAAATAGATTTCATTGTTGCGTCTTAACAATAAAAACTATTGTTAAGACAATACAAAAACGAGGAAAAATGTCACAATTTCTTCTAGACATCTTTCTTCAGGATTTGTTCGGATATTAATATCATCTTCGAGAAAACCTTTAATTTGAAATCGATTTCTCTCGCATACGAATCCGACGATATGCTTTTGCGTAAATAATTTCTTTTTACGCGCTAAAAAAATATTACATATATAAAATATAATTATACATCAGCCGACTTCCAATCCAAGTCCAGTTTCAATCTTGGATTCAATGAAGAAAGATAACGTACAATTGCCTCCATGGTACATATTTAGAATTTAACGATAATTCCTATGTGCTACATTTCAGTGTGTTTGCTTCACTTCTAGTAATTGTGGATAATTTTCCACAATGTTTAGTAATATTCCATCGATGTACGTTCTCAATTGTGTGTTTACTTCTTGCTGTTCCTTCAGGGCTTGTTTCAGCTATAACGATAAAATATATGAAAGATTAATCAGATGTTTTAAGAATGTATATGCAATAAAATTGTAAAATTCTAGATTAACTTGAAATACATACTTCAGCCATTGTGCACGGTTCGCTAAACTCTCCATCGATCTATAAAATATTTAGAAAAAACGTCCATGTTAATATTAAAGTAAACATTTAATTAAACATTAAATATTTGCTTGCAGGGAATTTTCAAATGATCTTAAACAAATACCTGGTCAGGATTCATGCCAGCCAACAATTCCACAGCGAGACTAGGACCTTTCTCAGCATTATTGTTACAAGGATTTAGCATTAAAAGTTCACGACCTGCCTGCAACGCCGCAGCAGCCTGCAGCTCGTCTCGAGATTCTTCCAAACCTGAAATCAACGAAACATTACATAGAGAATCTCATTTATTAAGGTAAGATTTGTTAAGAACTAAAGTTTACATTTTATTACTTTTTATATATATTTTAATATATCAAAATATCAGAATGCAATCTCTTTTGAATACTTAATCTATTCAATAACGAGACAAATTTTAAATAAAATTACAAAGACGTTTTGAAAAGCGAAAACATGATTATAATAACTCGTGGTTACAAGAACGAAACGTACTTTTATTTCGAGCTTGAAGTTGAACCACCTGCTGCACCAATTCCTCGAGCCTCTGTTGATCCTCGCTCCGTAACGAAAGTTCCTCTCTTATGGCGTCCAGCTGATGATGAGCCTCGTTAGCTCGGCTTATCGCGTGACGTTCACTTTCGCGCGCGGCGTCCGTTTCCCTCCTGGCATCCCGGAGATCGTTTTCGAGTCGCGTCTTGTCCGCCCTCGCTCTCTCGAGCTGCTCGCGCACTCTCGCGATCTCGTCCCTCAGACTGGAACTGTCCACCTCCGCGGCCTGCAGTTTAATGGCGTAATTCTCCAGCTGCAACTGTCGCTCGCGTTCCAAACGACCTGCCCATTCCCGATGCCTTCGTTGCTCGGTCTGTAATAATGCGGAGAAAAGAGGTTCTTGAATCAAAAAATTGTAATCGAAAGCAATATAATAGTTGTACTTCAATCTACGAAAAAAACCTTGAAGAATACAGAGGTAAGAATGAAGTTTACGCAAATGCAGACGTAATTTGTGTCTTATTAAAGGAAGCTACGAGCTATTTATTCGTGAAGTTTGCTTTAGATACAGCTTCGGTCGATGAACAAAATGACTCACTTGAAGCCTCTCTTCAGCCCTCGTTTCCGCGTCTTTGGCCGCCTCCTCGAGCATTAGTATGCGCGCCTGTAACGTCGCATTTTCCTGCTTCGCTCGTGCGTACCTCTCTTCGCCGACCGACTTGGTGTCCGCTAAAGCATCCATTTGTTCCTGAATCATTTGAACCTGTTGGCATTTAGAAGACAAGTTAAACGTGAAACAACCGCAATTTTTTACAGTATAAATGTCAAACAAATGAATTAATAATAGGAAATATAGATGAAGAGAAAAAATAGACTTATTGTCTATTTCACCTGATTATAACAATGTGTTTTTCAAATGTGCTTAAAAAATTATGCTGGTGATTGAAAACTAGAATGATAAAAGTCGCATCTAATTATTGTAGATGGAATTATTAGGACGCCTACGCTCCCCTTCTTCTCCGGATGTCATGAAAGATTTCAGCGAAAATGACGAATCACCGAAGTTGAGAGTGCCGATCGACATTAATGGATGCATATAAAAGAGCACGTAGGCGCAATATCGGAGAGAAAGTTGATATTGAAGAAAACGCGAACCCTCTTTAAAGAGCGTTGCACGCTTGCTTACGCCAGCGCGACTATCAATGAAAATGTAGATATCAATGGAAACGAGCGGAGAATAGTACTTACGACCTGCTTTATTAGAAACTTGTGTCGCAGGCAAATTCGAGAAAACACCTAGTGTTTTCGCGGTCATTCGATTATATTTCGCAGCTATTATGTCATAATAATGCCGATATTGAGCGCGATAATTTTCTCCCTACCTACGATTATTGAATAATATCGCTCGTGATAAAGATAATCACGTTGATAGATGATTCAGATATGATTCAGAAGAGTACATATTTTTTTATTTTTATATTCATTAATAGATCTATATATAACATTTGCATCGTTATCTCCATTATTGAAGGATGTCACATGGAGAATAGCACAATTGTAACAAATTTATCCATACATATAGATATACAATACCGTCGTAAACTCGTTACAATCATGCTATTCTCCACGTGACAATCCTCTAACAATGGAGATTAATTGCGAGTATCACTGAAGCGAATGATCTCTAATGCACAAATCAACTAGATCTTCGTTTTAGACTCGCATTCTAACGTCGAAGACGCACTAGAAGAGCGTCTATATTCATTCGCGAAAATAGATACTCGATATATGTATACACACGCACACGCACACACACAAAATGACAAGATACATTTTTCGCTTCCACGACGCTGACAATTAAATCGATTTACAGGGACAAATCGGGCCCTTCCCAAGAGATGAGACGTCGTTCCTCTTACTTGCTCGCTGAGCCGGTGTCCGCGACGACGAGGAGGCGGCTGTCGATCGTTGCGGGACGGCGACGGCGGCGACGACGTCTGGTGTCCTACGAACTGGAACTGGCCTTCCCACAGATCGTACTCGAGGCCGGCTCCGGGCCCGGACGACGGCCCCTCCCCGGAAAAGGACGCGCGATCGCACGGATCGATCGACTCCTCGCAAAAGTTCAGCTCCATCGCGCGGCGCGGTAGACCCGGTTATCGCGTCACGTCATCGCCTGTGTCGCGAGCGCACTTGGTCATCATCCCCGCACGGACCCATCAACGTCGTCGTCGCCGCTGTCACTTGCCTCTTCGTCGCGCCGATCCTCATCGAAGATGCTTGACTCCGGGGCCTCCTTGTTCTTGGACGAGAGCAAACAGCCGCGCACTTCCACAGCGATGTTCTCCTCTCTATGCGGTTTCTACGCGCCAGGAATATATTCCAAGTCCGCCGTCGTTCGTTCGCGCTCGTAACGCTTCTCCGTCTCTTTCTCTCTTCCTCTCTATCTGATCGCCCACCGCGGGCAAGCCGGGTGTAGTCACTGCGGAGGCTATTTGTGCGCTCCATACCACGTGTCTGCTAACTCCTGGCACTCGCGACTTGACAGTTCCGCCGCGTTACGCCGAACGCTCTCTAGTAAAGCTAGAGCCCGCCCTTATTCTACGCCTCCTTCTCACGGCACACATTTGCGTGGAAATGTCAACGAAACGGGACAGAAATCGATGTTTTATATCCGTTAGGCTTACATTCCGATGCGATGGACAACACGAAGCACGTATATCTGTATTTATTCACGTTGACGGAATCGCGAAAACTCATTTTCTCCGCGTAGAAGGAAAGCTGAACTCGTCAAGTTACTCCGAATTTCACATTTCCGAGGAAACTCTTTTCTAGTATACTTTTTATATTTACGCCGATTAATCGGAGTCATGCATGTTATTTGTGGATGTCAGCGATATCGCGTCGTCGATAGCACACATACATATACACACTCGACGATAGTAACAATATACGCCCCCTTAATTATTCCGAATATTCAATTAGGTTTGATGTTGATGAGTGATCATTGGCAGAGAATATTTTTCAGATTAATGTTGGAGACGATAACTCGCTTCGTCGTCCCAGCAAGTGTGTCACATGTCAAAGTGGCATATGATATAATGTCGCGCACGCGCTTACAAAAGGCGTTTATTGTCATCGTGTCATCATCGAAGCTCGCACCGCGCCTAATTGCACCTCTTGTAGATATTATACTCAATTATAATTATACGGCAATCTAATCTAATCACCATTACGTGATGCTAATATTCATTTTCTCACTATTTGATGTCATGAATATGTTGTTTATAAGTTTTAATTAATATTGTTATATATAATTATTAATATATTATGTAACAGTAACTAAAAAAAATATTAATATTAATATTTTATTTTTTAAATTACTATTATTTTAATTAATATTGTTTTATCTTTTTAGGAACTCACGCGAGGAATTTTGCAGCCTGTTCGATAAGTCGTTTGGATTATACTTCCAGTCATGAATTATTTTCTTGCGGACGAAAATGTGCATTACGATATCGTCACGGAAGATCACGTCGCGCCCGATGTCCGACTTTTGTAAGCCTTGCATGCCAGATAGACGATCCAGCCAAAGATTAATAGAAAACTCACGAAGGCCCAGCCTGTCCATCCGAGCAGACTTGTAGATTGCGCGCAACGGCCCATATATATGCGAATATTTATTGCTTCCTGCGTAATCGCGTTGAAATTTGCTCACGAATCTGCTTGCAAAGTCGTAAAAAATACGATTTGCGAATTTTGTCGACGATCGCGAGTCATATTTCTTTCGCGGTAAAATTCCGCTACATTATTTGCGAATCCATTATAAAAATTCAGCCGATAATTTTCTTTCGAAATAATTTAAATGTATTTTTTTTTGCTATTACATATGTGTTATTTTGTATCATACGTAAGCACACGTGCGAACTTGCCAATTTAATTGACGATTCATTCCGCGAACGTCATCATCGTACATACATGCAATATATATGAGATTGGCATCTGTTTCTCTCACGCGAAATTATCTATAGAATGTGAAATTTTGCAATTAGCTAGGAATAGAAATATTAAATATAGAGATCGATACTGCAAACGCGATGTGCAGAAACTCCTCTTTCATTTTTTTAAATTTGTTTCATTTAGTTGTACTTTTATACATTATTTATATATAAATACTTTTTATTATTCAATTTTATCAATATATTTCTGATTATTAATTAAATGTCGCTTCTTTATCATTTTTGTATCTAAATTTAATTTAATGAAATTACGTATAGTATCGATTCAGCATCTTTTTCATAAAAATGAAGACAAATTTAACGATTAATGATTTACAGAAACTCATTTTATTGTACTTGTAATACTTTAAAAGCATTCTTTAATTTTTTAATCTTATTTTACTTAGTTTTACTTTTGTACATTATTTATATATAAATAATGTTTTTTTATTAAATTTTATCGATATATCTCTGGTTACTAACCAAATGTCGCTTTTTTATAATTTGTCTTTAAATTTAATTCAATTAAATTATACAGATAACAACGAGATTCAGAAACGGACACCTTTTCCGAAGTTAATTACTTGCTTTCGTTGACAGCTCGTTTCACACATATTTCTTCTTAATTTCTAATCCTCCGCACACTTCAAAATGTTCAAATGTGCAAGTATCGGTGAAGCGATCCTGGTCTCACGATTATCACTTCGCTCTCTTCATCCTCTCTCCCATGCCCATCGTCTTCGTCATCAGAATCCTCCTCGTAATCAGGATTAACAAGCGCCTTCGTTATCATTCTATCTGTCGAAGAGGACTCGCCGTCATCTTCGGGACAGTTCTGAGCCGCGTCTTGCTTCGTCTCCATCCTCGCGGTCTAGATACACGAGCCGAGAAAGACATGGACAGGATCAGCGCAGGTTCCTCGAGGAAGGGAAATCGACCGCTTTACAGGATTCGGTCTCCGCGATTAAAGCCCTGTGCATATAAGGTGGTGCGAAAAAAGTACGGCGTGTGCGTTATCTGTGTTCTATGTCATCTCTCTCTCTCTCTCTTTATCGAACATCCTCTCGAATAAATCGGAAATGTATGTCCAACCGATAAGAGATACGAGGATATGCATTTAGTTTATCTTCTTTATACAGGGGCGGATTCGTATGTTGTTACTGAAACTTGAGCCTTTTCTAAAAAAATCGTCATCCAGACCGTACCGGATCGTGATGTCACATCTCGTGACTCATCCCCGCACTCTCGGAATAAATTAGTCGTTTCGTACGGAATTACGTCATTCGAGAAAAGAATTGTTAGTAATAAATTGTGTGTGTGTGTGTGTATGAATTTTTTATATATAATTATTATATATAATATATTAATATAATTTTTATATGCTATATAAAAATTTATATATGAAAGTTATACAACTGAAATATACAACTTTAATTAATTTCAATCGAACAGCTTCCGCCCCTGTAATTGTATATAAAAAAAATTAAAATAACTCTGTAATTAGAATATTATTAATTAGATATAAATCGAAAAGATATATATAAAACTACGAGCGATAATTTTTTTCATGCAATTCGATCGAATTAATGTTGCAGGAGCGCGATGACGACAGGTAGATTGCGAAATATAATCGAGATACGAAATTACCTGCGGATGAAACCTGTGTAAGCGTAGCCAGAGGGCGATTTTTCGTCGGGTTTCGCGGGAGAAGCCGCGATAAACGATCCCGATCAAAACGATCAGGAGAAGGACGAGGAAGAGGACGACCGGCCAGGACCAGATCTCCTCCTTCGTGCTGTCACGTTGAGCGCAACACGGCGATTGATAAAACGAACCTAAATAGTGATACGCCGCGTACGGATCGTACGGGAGATAACGAGCATAAGGAGCCAGATAAAACGGATACGGAACGGGATGAGGCTGATGGTTCCTGTCAGGATCTCGAGTGAAGGGTCGCCGGAAACGTGTCGCACACATCTAACAGCTTTGAAGATTTTTTTCGGATATGTTATTAAGTGAAAAACGAACCAAGAATTTGGACCAAAGTTTCCCAACAGGTTAAGAGCGAGAAAAAAAACTGACAAACGGATTTTTCCCGTTATTGATATATGCTACAACTCTGTTCATGTCGTACTTTTTATTGTTACTCAAAATATTTCACTCGTTCGAAGAAGAAATTGCGATGGAATTTTATTTTATTTTATTTTAAAATGCGGAAAAATTATTATTTCTAGGTGACCGTGTCTTACTCACCTTGTGGCTGAGATCCATCACGTCCTCCAAAGATACGTCGCTGTAGACATCATCCGCAGCATCGTAGTTTGAGCCCATCCCCGGGCTGTTGAAGCTGCCACTCCGATAAAGCTGGCTGCAAATGTCACGTAAGAATTTCTTTAGAATTTCGCAGAGAAATTGCCTTTTCAAAAAATTACTGCATTTGGAAATATTAAGCATATTTGCGTATGATAATCTATAGAAAGTATTTTGATCAAAATTATGCATAATTCACAATATAAATATTCCAACTTGAAAAAAGTAATTAATCACTGATGATTATTAAGCAAGTAGTGACTTGTCTGTGAAAGTTCTTTCAATTAAAATTAAAAGATAAATTGTGAAAGTTCTCTCGCAATTAAAAGATTAGTTTTCTGTGCATTTATTTTCATTTGTATCGAGAAGACACACACGAAAAATAATTTATAATTTTCCAATGGTCAAACGCGTCTCTCTTTTTAATAGCGTTTTCCTGCAGAAAGGACGTGAGCATATCTAATGTTTCCCACTTTGGCGTATGGATAAGGCACGTAATTCAGTAGCGTGGAAGGAAGCGCGAATATCGAAGTATCGCGGGTATGAAACATGAGTTAACGTAACAGGGAAGCACGCCCACGTTTTAGAAAGTCCGTCGATTCAAGTTCCGTGAAAGGAGCGATGTCTGGAATTATTAGCGTTGATGCAGTAGCATCATCCTACGGCCGGTGAACTCCTTTGTCCGGGTTACTCTTTTCCTTTTGCGTGCGTCGGACCAATTAAAGCGCGAGATAGCAGAAAAAGAGAAACAATTATTTTCGGAATGCGCATATAGAAACGCCGATCAAGTCAATGTACTGATTTGTTTTACAGAAAAATTACAGAGCAGACATTTACAGAAAAAAGTTATATCGCGTTAAGAGTTTGAAACTTTAATTCGTAAAAAAAAGAAATCAATATGATTTGATTTTTTTTAATTATAATTATTACTTGTTTCTTTAACACAGTTGAATTTCCTTATACGTATTAATTTCAGTTTTATTATAAAAATTAATTATTGTTCTTACCTCGCCAAGGCGTTGGAGCTGAGTCTCTTCCTGCTCGAACTGTAAGCAAAAACAAAAATATTTTCTTTAATGTCTGTATTTAAATCCATATAGTATTTATAAATGTTATCCATAATAACATATGTGTATATATGTATATATATGATTATTATTATATTTATTTATAGATTACTTTTAAACGCGCGCGAGTTCTATTGCGTTTCTAACTTGTTGATCGCGTAGTGCCAAATTTCACGATCAGATGTAGATCTTTGATTATACGCCAAATTGTAGCTTTCATAACGGAGCAGTGAGTAATTACGATAAATATACGTACATATAAATCGCCAAGTAGCAATCGATATCGCTTGCTATCAAATTCCGGATAGTAACTATTATTAGTCCTTATTACGAATAATGTGAAATATAAAAATTTTACAAATGTACATCACACAAAATCGAATTATTAAAAAATTCTTTTTCTATATTACTCGTGACATTTTGAGCAAATTAAAAATTATAAATAAAGAAACTAATTAAATAATTTTATAACATAAAGACAGAGAATTTAAACAACATCTATGACAAAATTATAAAGGTCGTATAAGCTCTACATACTCAGTTTTTGACAATTCATCATAACGATAAGATGGGGTTTCTTTCTTTCAAAAGTTTTTTCAAATGTTTCAAAAATTTCGATATAATCACATTGTTTAATAATGACAACAGTGTCAACTAACTGCACTTTTATTAAAAAAGTATGTAAATCTTAATTTCTTGCGTTTAACATCAAAATGTTTATCTTTATTAATCTTAATTAATTGTATCATTCTAGTCTCACTTGAAAAAGACCAAAAACAGATGATCTAAACGTTGTGGAAATAAAATAAAATTTTCTTTGGCTAGTTTGGGTCGAATTTAATCGTTCCTATTTTAAATAACTTTATTTCACTCTGGCGCTTTGTAAACAAGTTGCAAGGAGAAAACAAGCAAGACAAGATTGTTCAGATATAAAAATATTTTGTACAAGTTTGCCGTCATCATTAACACGTATAGATATATAGATAGCTAACCGGAGGTGTTTCTTTCTCTCATGAATGCTTCTTTCTCTCTCAAGAAATTTAACTAGTTCCTTATCTCCCTTGTTGTGCGTTAATGCAAACCGGTTATTTAACGTCGTCAGTCGCTTTCCCACGCGACTTTTTTCGCACGCAACTCAGCGCCGAGACGCACCGACGCGGCGTCATTGTCTCGCCGTTGAGGTTTTTAAGAATAAGTGGCGGAAATTCTCTCCCGCGGGAAATTACGCGGTCATGTGCATGTATGCATTTACGTCGTGCTTGCTCTTGACCAAAGTCATGTCTCTCTTACCAAGGAGGCGTTCTCCGCAGCGAAGTGCGCAACCAGGAATGTCTTCCAACCGTAGAGTTAGGACTTCTCGGATTTCTACAACATCAAAGAATAGAGAAATGTGAATGTGACGAGTCTGCAAGATCGGCAAAATTTTATAAAAACTATACACAATCGTCATCGCGAGACGTTTCGTTAAGGCGCATGCAAATGCACTTTTAATGTACCCATATCAAAGTTTTCATTGCATAACAAACTCTCTTCTCTCGCGTTAAAATCGACATAATGTAGGCGTCGAATGACATAGAAGATCGAAAGTAGTTAAATATTTGAAGCTCAAGTTAAGGCAAAACTTTAGGCTGGTGTTAAAGAAAAATAAAGGTGACGCGGCTGAATAGGAAATCACGCGATTGAAAGATTTCAATTGTTGAGAATCCTGAAATTACACACATACACGCATACATGCACTCAAGAGTACCGTAAAGCACTCTTCAAAATACATTGCCATTATTACGTAAGTTGTGTGACTTGCGCATACAGATAGCAAGTCAGTCGGTATTGTTCCAAGGTGATAGACACATTGTATGCAACGTTGCTCTTACGTAATAACCCATCCAGCCATAATGTACGTACACGTTTCGAATTATACGCTAGATTTGAATGCTCCTGCCGTATATTCAGTTTCGGAAAGAACTCGTTACACGTTCCGCGACTAATGTTACGTATCGAGCGAATAACGGCAGGAAGCAATTGACATAATAAAAGGCCAAGCTCGCTATGCTCTCTTCTTGTCTAGATCCCGCTCGTAAACTTTCAAACTATAAACTTTCAAAAATAAGTTTCCGACTTATTGAAATCATTTCAAAGGGGATAAATATATTCCATAAAGTCGTGAAAAATCAATCTCTCAATGAAAACTTTATAGACGTTACATGAATTTTATGTAATATAACTTTCTTCTTCTTGAACTTCTTAATATATTAATGATAATTAGATACTTCATTTCATTAGAAATATATTTTCACACATGTATAATTAATATATTTATACTCGCGACATCGCATTCTCCTCTTACTTTTCCATTGTACGTATTCTCGAGTGAATTTATTTACGACTTTCTCAATAACCGCGAAATTACTCAAGCACCGATAAAACGTCGATAATAAATTGCTATACACACTTTTATATCGAATACAAAGAAATGTCGCAAAGCAATTCCATTCTCTATCACAACCTAATCGCTCTCACAATATATGTATATATACGTCTATATGTATATGTGTCCTCTCCGCAGAAGAGAAGTGGGTCACATCTTCCACAACGAAACCTCTCGTCGAGATCTCTCACCTGCGAGAATTGGTACCGGTCGGCGAGGGCGCGGAGCTGCTGCCACCGGGTGAATCCGGGCCGTCGTCGACGAGGGAGTCCCCCTCGACGGATCCGAAGCCCTCGTAGCTCTCCTCCTCGTCGTGGCAGCCGATCTTGATCGTGGCGACGCCGTTCGTCGTCACCGCCGCCTCCTGGTGGTGCCGATGACGCTCCGGGCTGGTCGACGAGTACCGTCCGGAGTCCGAGAGGTGCGAGATGACGAGATTGCGGAGATCGGTGGACATCGGGAGAGACGCCGGGCCGCTCTGACTCCACTCCCGGTGATGATCGACGCCGTCTGTCGGCCGGCTCTCGTCGTCGCGCGACGACGCCGCCGCTCCTCCGCCGTCGACGATGCCCGCCCCGTTAGCGGTGGACGTGACGTTGGCGTCCGGCGTGCGGGAGCTCACCATCCTTCCTCGCCTCCGCAGGATCCGAGCATGGGTCGACGGGGGACGATCTCATCCGCCGCTGCTGCTGCTGAAACACCAGGTTCGTGAGTCAGACTCGAGGTATGCCAGGAGCGTCCGCTTCGGGGATAAGTGACGGTGCAGCGGAAGAGGTAGAGAGAAAAAGAGATAGAGATATATATATATATGGGAGTCGTTGCCCGCGTCTTCTTCTTCTTCTCCTCCCTCGAGCAGGAGTCGGGGTCGAGGTGAACTTGTATCGCAAGATCCTTTTTACATATTATAGGGGGACTTGCGTCGCTGGTTCTGAAAAGGAAAAAATGGTCCCTTTGCTCGAAATAATGATGGGAAAAATCTGGGGAGTGTCTCGAGATGTCGTGTTGGCAGTTTTATATTGTATGTATTTTTTATTACTGTTATTTATATAAAATAAATAGATTATTTTGTGTATTAATATAAATTAGTTTATAGATAAAAATATGCGCGGCAAAAATAATATCTAAGTTTCCGATTTTTATTTTGAAACAATTTAAGCTCTTACTTAGTTATCTTCTCTTATAATTCTTCGGCTTATAGTTTCTTTTTGCAATGCTGATAAAATCAGCTGATAAAAGTCAATTATATGTTAACAAGATGATACATGTAGAACGAGATTGTAGCGAAATTTCGCGATTTCTCAATAAAAACCTGACATTAATAATTAATAGCAGCATCTAAAAATAAATTTACATAAAATTCAGACAAAACAAATTTCTCCAAGAAAAACATCCTCCAGGTTTCTTCATCATTTCTATAATTATTGAGAAATTGAAAGTTTTCTTTTAAATTATAATTGTATAAAAAAATTTGACGGAATTAACGTAATTCTTTTATGTAGATCTCGACAGAAACTTGACATTAATAATTAATAACAACATTTAAAAATAAATTTGCATAAAGAACTCACAATCATCAGACAACAAATTTGTCCAAGAAAAACATTCTCGGGGTTTTTTATAATATGTAGATAATTATTAAGAAATTATAAGCTAAGAAGTTTTCTCTTAACTATAAATGTTCCATAAATTTTGACAGAAATTATTTCAAATGTGTAGATCTCAACAGAAAACATCGACATTAATAATTAGTAACAACATCTAAAAATAGAAAAAATTCAGACAACTAAAATTTCTCCAGAAAAAACATTCTCCGTTTCTTTATTATGTGGATAATTATTGAGAAATGATGAGCTAAGTAAGTTTTCTCTCAACTATAAATGTTCTATAAATCTTGATCAGAATCAACATAATTCTTTCACGTAAATTTCAACAGAAAACCGACGTCGATTAATTAATAATAATATTCAAAAATAAATTTACAACGATAAACCCAGACAACAAATTTCTGAAAAAATATTCTCCAAATTTTTTCGACATCTGGATAATAATTGAGAAATTATAAGCTAAGTAAAAATTTTCTCTCAAATTATAAAATATTCTAAATAAATCTTGATAGAATCAACATAATTCTTTCATGTATAGATCTCAACAAAAAAACTTAACATAATTAAATAACAGCATCCAAAAATAAATTTATATAAAATCGAGACCACATTTCTGAAAAACGTTCTCCAATTCTTTTTCGTCGAAATTATTGTAAGCTAAGCTTTCTATTTTCTACAAATATGTTCCATAAATTTTGACAGAATTGCGATATAATTCCTTCATATAAACTCCAACCGTTCTCGTAGGCCAAATACTATAAAACAAAGAAAATCTCTCCTTCAATCTCGCTCTTTTGTTGCGCAATACCTGGCCGATATCGACTCGGTATAAAACGGCTCGGCAATGAGGTAACGCAGCCTCGTAGATCACGGAACGACGGTGAGATCTCGTGATCCCCGTCGTAGTTATTAAACGTATGCATTCCCGGGAAGAGGTAAAAAAACAAAGCGTGAGAACTGCGACAGAGTAGTCACGGTAGAGTGAATAGAGCGAACCCGCGCGAGAGAGAATCGTCGAAGGAGAGAACAACTGAATTATTTATCCATCCGCACGTATGATTACGTGATTGAGAATATTATTTTTCCTCTCCCTTACATCCCGATCTTTTACGTTCCGCGTGAGTCACGCGGCTGCATTTCAAGCAGGGTTGGATAAGTCAAGAATTTTTTTAAACCAACAATAAGTTCAGTTAAAGTTTAAGCGTTTATAAAATTAACTTAATTAAGTTGCATAAACAAAATTTACTTAGCTAAGTTGAGATTAAATTAACTGAAGTTAAATCAAAAGTTAATTTTCAAAAACATTATTTATATTAAATAAAAATTTTGTTTCTTAATTCTTTTACAATTTATAATAACAAAGGATTTTGATTTTTATATAGAAATATATTTTTTTAAACTAACAATAAGTTCAGTTAAAGTTTAATCGTTTATAAAATTAATTTAGTTAAGTTGCATGAACAAAAAATTTACTCAGTTAAATTAAGATTAAATCAAAAGTTAATTTTTAAAAACATGATTTATATTAAATGAAAATTTTGTTTCTTAATTCTTTTAAAATTTATAATAAAGAATTTTGATTTTTATATAGAAATATATTTTTTGGTCATTACAATTGATGACAAATGAATATAAAAATTAATATTTTAATTTAAAAATAATACGTTTATAAAAAAGACAATAATGGTATTCAGAAATAAAAAAATTTAACTTATATAGGAAAAAAGTTAATAAGTTTAAAACAAAAAATAACTAGTTAGAAATTAATACATTTTAAATTAACTAAAAGTTATTAACTTTTTAACTTTTAACTATCCAACCCTGGTTTTAAGCTTCTAAACCTCCCAAAATTTCATCTACAATTAACGTAAGCGACAAAGCAGGTGCGTAATTTTCATATATATATGCGTTAATACTGATGCAAAATGCAAATGCGTCTTATCGAGAAGTGATACATCGCGTTTTTTTGTATTTTTTTATTTTGAAGCATATTAATCAGTCGTGAGAAACAAAGCTATTCTTTAACGCGAAACTGTTATCGATGAATCAACAAAAAAGCATAAAGAATAAAGGATTTTGCTCGAGATAAAGCATGATTAAAGATTGAATGTGCAAAGTATTCCGTAAATTAATTTTAACGATTCTGATTTTGTGAAAATCTTTAGAGAAAAACTTTTAAGTTTGCGACGAACATTTAGATATTTTTTGGCTTTCGAGAAATTTATTTTGCATAAAATTAACATTAATATCAGATTAGATATTAAATTAAAAAAAATATAATCAATTGTCACTCTGTCAAAGAAGCTGTTATTAAAATGATGAATCTCTATAACAACGTTTGAAAAAGATAAACTCTCTAAACTTCTTGAAGTGGAATCTCATTCCAAGAAATTTAGAAAGAAGATTTGCAGCGAGCATTTAAAATTTAAATACATTTAGCTCTTCGAGAAATTGATTTTGCATGTAGATAAAACTAACATTAATATTAAATTAGACATTAAATGTAAAAAATATATAAAATCAAATCAAATATAGTGAATAATATTCCACAATAAATTTTTCTTATAAGATCGATTGTTTCTCCGTCAAGGAAGCTGTCATTATATAATTATGAGTCTGTAACAGCACTTGGGAAAGATATAGAGAGAAAAATATTCTAGCGGTACTCTCTGATGAGCTATCAGCAGATTGCATAAATATATTAACAATCGATCGAACGGTACCGTTCACGCACGTGACGTTTCACGGCACATGTGTGCGCCGTAAAAGGTGAGCCGTCAAGTTCAAAAGAGACTTTAACATGCGATAATCGTATTATGGCGAGCTGGAGCTCTGCCAAAGCACGCGTTTGCCTTTCTTTATCTATCTCCGTCTCTTTCAAAATAGCACTTGTCTATATTTATCGATATCAAAGTAAAGTAGCGTGTTGCCTAGCCAGAGAAACTTCCACTCCGGAGAATCCGAATTCGATTGTCTCATGGACCCTTTTACTCCGAAATATTCCAAGAAGTCTCTTCTTTTCGTTTTTTTTTCTTGAGACAAAAAATTGTACATTTTTTTTTTAATTAATTCGAAATAAAATATATTTAAATATGAATACGTCTGTAATAATAGCGATATAAAAATTTTATTTTTTCTGTAATAATTTTTATATATATATATATATATATATATATATATATATATATAAATGTATATAGTTTTGACTAGCAAATAAATTAATTATTCATTTTAAGAAATTATTTCAAAAATCAAAATTTTTACGTCTTTTACATTTTTTTACAACGTTTTTTATGTAATTGTTTGTATGCATGGGTTCCATGCTTTTCTAAATAAAAATAAGTATTACAGAAAATGCTTGATATACTCTAGTAGAGCGAATAAAAGTGCGGAAGTATATTAATAAAATTCGATCGAATGAAAACAGCGTTCCTAATCGAGGACGTTGACGTTCAAGAAAAACGAGAATAATCGGGAAAAATCGAAAAACGAAGGACTAAATACCGATGCACAGTTATTACAAAATATTATTCAAACGAAAGTTATTCGTTCGGCGAGAAAGGCTCAACGTCGATTTATTCTCGTGCATGGATTGGAAATTGAAAACGGATCAAGGGAGAGATTCATACATAATGCATATTTACCATACATTTATACTTCTATACATAAATATTCCGAGAAATATTACTGACTATAGAAACCAATAACCTGCGTATACTATACACATTCGCTCCTTAAGTACACTTAAATACTATAACTTTGTATTTACAGAGCTAGCCTTATTTCGTAAAATCAATATTTAATACAAAGATACACCAGAATATTATTCGAAAAACGTCATTAATGTGCAATCATTGCAAGATTTTATGTTTGATAATAAACTATTACTTAATAGTTAACTAGTACATACTATAATTAAACTTAATTAGTACATACACTTATTTTTTTTAATGTTTGAGTATTAATAAATTTATTATTAATATTATTATTAATAAAATTTATTGATAATAATAATATTAATAACGTGTAAAATTATAATATTAAACAGTAATATTAATAATTCTGTAAATTTATTAATACTAAAAAGTTTTATTAATTCTTAATATTTATTATATATGTAATTAAAAAAAAGAGTAAATATCATTTAAGTCACGTGTACATATTTATTTTGAAAAAATGTATAAAAATAAATATTTGAAAAAAATAAATTGCTAAAAAATTAGCAAATAAAATTATATTTGCAACTCTCTTGTTGGTAAATCGTTATATATACTTTCAATACTCTCGCAGGTGTCGTATTACCTGATTCATGTCGAGTTCGCATTTTTGCCCGACTGACAAACGATACGCGGCGAAATCGGCCTACAATCACGCCGTGTAATCTCGTTTGGCGTTTATTGCGAGTTCCAGGGGTCCGAGCTGTTTACTAAGCATATTGAGAGAGAGGACCAGCGCGTTTCGGTCTCCAGGCACTTGTCACTCGGAACGGAATGCGTAGATGCGTTTTGAATAGCCGGGGGGTAAAAAGGAGAGAGAGAGAAGGAGGGAGAGTCGAGAATTCCAGTCCGCCTGTATATTTAGATTTAGAGCAGACGAGGGGGAAACACATACTCGTAAATATTTTTTCAATGCGCGCGCGCGAAAATATTTCCGATATTTTTTTTACCCTTGTCGCCCAAACACGAACATCCATACGCGGTTCTATTTGCCGGATCAAATTTCTTGTCAACAAACGGATTAAATGTCTTCCGGCCTCCCATCAACCGATTATTTATTTCGAAATTGTATATGTTGTAAACTTGTTTCCTCGATTTATTTCGCATGATTATTCTTCTGAAAAAGATTCTGAAATATTTAAATTTGCTTTTTAATATTCATGGTGAATATTAAATTACTGATGACGTAAAAAAATGTAATAAAAATGTTTATTTGAATAAAATACGTTTTTAATTTTTTTCGATTTTTTTAAAATTTCATAATCGATGTATCACGATGTGAAACGAACACAAAGTTGAAGGACATTAAAACGCTATACTAGATCGAACGAGAGCACGCTCTATTTCCAACTGGACACGCTTGTATATAATTAATAGCCTCTCTAAGGAATATTATACCTGTTACACGAAGAAATGTCACGAAAATAAAGATCATCTGTACAGCATAATTTATGCAATGACAGGCGTCAAGCAATACTGACAATGAATATATTCCACTCACATCCATTCACACATATTCACGCGACACAGAAATAAGGTAACGAATCTCTAAAACGGGTCCCCCTTTCTCTCTCTTTCTCGCCAGAGCAATATTTGTGTTTCAAATGTTTATCACTTTAATAATAATAATGGAGCTTTCTTCGACTAACCTGAAGTTGAATCCTATTTGTCTCAGCAGTGTGAAAATATTCAACATCAATGGTCTGAAGTGAGTCGCGATCAAAAGTATGCAAATATGGCAGAAAATGTCTAACAAATATTCCGATAAAAATTCGAATTTGCAGCTTCGAAAAAGGTCGAGAGAAAGAAGGCCGGGGATCGAAGAATTCTCCGTTCAAGCCGGATAATTCCAGACATCCCGGCACGGAAGTGAAATTCCTCTAAATTGACTCACCTTACGTCGATCTAACGTCGCGGCACAATAACGGCGACGTATCTCCCCGTATCTGGTATATCACAAAAGCCACAAAAAAACACCTGTGCTGGCACGATAAAGCGTAGAGAGCCGCGACGCTAAGAACGCGACGCTATTCGCGACGAAGGAAACGAAGAGAGACAGATGAGCCAAAAGAAGCGGGCACAGGTAGCTCAACCGAGGAGCACGCGCGAACAAGATAACGGTGCGACGATCGGCGACGACGAACTGAAGGTAGGTAGGTAGGTAGACACAGGCATGGACGCGGCGGAGATGGGAGACGCGAAAGCGAAGGAAACGCGCTCCCGATTGGAGCCGCGGTGGGCGCGCATGCGCGCCGCGTCGCGCCGCGAAGTGACAGTTCGAGGCGGCCACGTGTGCGTGCGCGTGACGTATACGTAGGTGTTACGCGCGCGCGCGCGCATGCGATTCACGCGGCATCGGACGCTCATCTATGCACAGGTGTGTGCGTCACGGTCGTACCCGCAGGTACGAGAAAGCACCAGTGTCGCTCAACCGTGTCTGTGTCTGTATTTGACAGAATGAAAAAGAGAAAGAGAGAGAGAGAGAGAGGTGACCTACCTAGGGGAACCGTGACCTGTACCACCGCGTAGGTAAGTATAGGTATGGGTGCAGGTACCATATATTATATTACTGTGTTTTGGCGAAAGCCCCTTTTTTTCTCTTCCAAGAAAAAGAAATTTTCTATTTTGCTTTTCTTTTCTTCATCCTGCTCCAAAGATGAGAGCATATATACATATATATATATATATATATATATATATATATATATATATATATATATATAATATATATATATATAATACTCGCTTGGAATTTTTATAAATGGCATAAGTATATGAAAAGAGCCCGTTTTCTCTATTTTACAATGATTATTATTGTGAATTATTTATATATATATATATATATATATATATATATATATATATCGGGCAGCAACCTAGCTTCTTCTTCGTTTAATTAGACGTGTGTATTAATCATAGGCGTCTGCAGGATTTTTTTCAGGAAGAGCATGATTAAAATATTTTCTATTTCTTATTATTATTCTTTCTTAATTTTTTAAATTCAATTTTTTATTATTGTGTTATTTTTTAATATTTTTATATTAAATAAAATTGTAAATAAATTCCAGTGTTTATTCACACAAGAATAAGAGCAAACGCTTAATTTTTAAAATGATTTCAAGGGGGTAAATGCCTTCTCTGCAGACGCCCATGGTATTAAATATAGGAAATAATATATATGTATATATATATATATATATATATATATATATATTGATAATTAATAATAATTATAATTAATAAATTATAATATTATATTTTACATTATTAATTATAATTAATGTTAATTATTAATATTAATATTATATCGATATAATATAATATAATAATATAATATTAATTTTATTAATTATAAATTATATTATAATATAATAAATATAATATTAATATTAATATCATATTATATATTAATTTAATATTATTTCGATTTTTAGCAATCGACGTCGTCTAGAAAAAAATAAGTTCCTCGAGAAACTTCATCACTTTACACGTGGACGATAACGACAGTTAAGTCTTTGCCGTCTGCTCGCCGTCGACGGTCTTCTTGTAGACCTCCTTGTAAACGAGCTCCTGCATCTGTATCCTGAGGAGCATCCTGCGATCGGCTGGCAAGGTCCTGATGTGCGGCAGCAGGCTCATCAGGAAGTAGTAATTGTCGTCGAAGCGGTTGCCTTCGAGGGGATCGACCCCGGCGAGGCCGGCGTCACTGTCGCTCATGAGGACCTGTTCGGGTGAGATGTTCTGCAGCATCATCTCGTTCTCCGCGAGATTGTCGGCGACGTTCTGAAATTCCAGGTTGTCGAAGCTCTCCTCGGGTTCCCGCTTCACGTCTACGGTGCCACGTCGACCGTGATCGCCGTCTAGCTTCAGCTGATGATGGTGATGATGATGATGATGATGATGACCGACGTTCCCGTCCCCGGCCATCGACAGCAGATGATCGGCGATCGCATCCCGATCGTCCAGGCCGCCGTCAAGCCCGGAAGGGATCCCGTTCTCGGCTTCGCTGTCGCACGGCTGCAGCTCGTCCTCGGTCTTGGCGACGCTGCGCTCCCAGATCGGCGGCCGCGGCAGCATCTGCTCCTTCAGAAACTGCAGGCTCTTGAAGTGGATCCACACCGGCCGGTTCCGATGAAACTTACTCTTCCGGTATACCTGGTCCTTCTTCAGCTCGGCACGAAACGTGTCGCGCAGACCCTTCCATTTCGCCTTCAGCATCGGCTCTGTAAGCAAATGAGCGAAGAACTGCTTTGTATAGATATAAATAGGGTTTAGCAAAAGTCATCTGCTGTGTGTTTTAATTTATTATATTATACTATAGGTATACATTAATATTATATTTTATTTATATTATATATTATTATATTATATATATTATATATTATATGTTATATAATATTTACTTATATATAATATATATATATATATATATATATATATATATATATATATTCATTGAGATCTCTCGATTCAGTGCTGAATAAATTAATTAGTAAAATAGAATTAGAGAAATTGTGACATTAGAGGATATATGAGAAAAAAATTAACATTATGATTTTTAATTTATAATATAAATTTAGATATTATATTTATTTAAATTTATATTATATTAAATTTAATATATAATATAAATATTATTTTTTAATATAATTCAATCTCCTGGGAGACTTTATTAATTATTATAAAATGTCAAAAAATTTCTTTTGCTGTATTTTTTAACATATGTTATTAAATGTTTAACATATATATATATATAGCATATTATATGCATATTTTTAATATTTTTTAAATTTCAGGATTATTTGGATGAAATTGATCTATAAATATGTAAAAATCAAATTTGAAAAATATCAGAAAAGAAATATACGCGTGTACTTCGAAGAGATCCCTGCGCTTATATGATGCTGTTCGTTACGTCAAAACTTATATAATTAGGCATGGGATTATTGACTGCACTCGCACGCGCGCGTCGACGTTAAATTTGCGCATGCATCACCGGTCTGGTAACATCTCGTGCATTCGTACGATTTGCGGTTTAAATCTCCATCGAGGTGCAACGAGAGACCTTGTTACGATTCCGGGATACATCGCAGGTAAAAGGACCGAGTGATCCTTGCAACGAGACGAATAATATATACTGTCAAACTGTCAACGAAGTGACAGGATAAACCACGAGGAAAAAGTGAGGTTAGATCAAATTAACCGAGAGAATTAAATGTAAACTGCACATTCAGGAGAATAAGTATTAAATAATTGTGTGCGTGTTTGTGTGTGTGAAATGTGCTTAATTCGAGAATAATTTATAAGATATATTTAAAGTACTTCGAGGATTTTATTTTATTTTTGCACTGAAACCTTCGTTTTTAATCAGATTCGAATAATTAAGATTCCTAATTTTAGTTAAGATGAACTTTAATAATTTTACAAAATCTATGATTCTAGAAAATATTGTAATTTTCCGAATATTTATGTGCGAAACCGTGAAAAAACATCCGCTTTATATTTTTAATAAGGGTTCGGCGAAATATATAAAATCGATTATTGGAATTAAATAGAAACGAGTATTTTGTGATGTGTTCCATCGCGAAATATACGACGATAAAATATTGCCAATGTGAAGTAATTTAATTGCGTGAGATATGGTGATCTATTTTGACCTAACATATGAAATAATAATTTTGTAAACAAGTTCAAAGAAAATTTCGCACGATAAAATAAATTATGTATATAAGATTCTTCTTTGCGGTTTCTTGAAGTTGCATAAAATTCCAAAATTATATTAATAAGTTACATAATATAGATTCTAGATAAATCTAGATCATAAAAAGTGAAATGACCAAAATTGTGACATTAGGATATTAATTTTTAATATAATAATTCAGTCCCAAAAGATGAGATTTTGTCAAAATGTTAGATACATTTTCTATCTCGCGTTGCATATTTTTTTCTAGATATAATATATTTTTATAGAATATAAAAAGATTATTCCAATTATTCTAAATATTATATGTTTGTAATAGGAGCAAGAATAGATACCTAGTTGCGTTTCTTAAAAAAATTAATTATAATAATATTCAATTTGACAGTTGTCGCACGTGGAACAATATAAATAGATATCTTTATAAAGACCAAAAAATGATTTCAATTACTCCAATTAATATATGTTCGTAATAGGAATAAGAGTAAATAGTTGCGTTTCTTAAAAATACTAATTAACATTTGATGTGACAGTTGTCCAACGTTCGACCACGTGGTGGAACAATAAGCGGTTACATATTTTTTCCTAAACTTCACCAATTCATCCTAGTGTCACAATGAATCCCACACAGCACAAAACTCAACAGAAATGTTGCAGAAACGTTTCAAAGTTTCAAGTAACACTGAAACGTCATTATAACATCTAAGAAACATAACATAGAAAGAGTTAACATTTATGCAATCTTTCATAAACATATTTGTGCCAAACTAGTGGAACAAACAGTTTCACGTATTTAAGACATATATGAAACATTTTTGAATAAATTTTGCGGTCTCTGAAATGTTTTGCGCTGCGTGGGATGTAATGAGAAAAATCTCATGTATGAATCCTCGCCGATGAAGAGGACAGAGGTACTCGACGCATGGGCGAAGGACGACGCGCGACGCCTAAATACTTGCGTCGTGGCGACTCGCTCCGCGCGTAGGAGCGACAGAGGCGGCCACATGCATATAGAGAAAGAGAGAGAGAGAGACAGGGGCACGTACTGGGGAGGTTGAATATCGCGGCGATCTCCATCCAGACGCGATTGGTGACCTCGCGATTGTGATAGGAGATGTGCCTCTGATTCCAGAGGGCCGGGCGTTTGTAGACCTCGGCGATCAGCCGGTTCGCGTCCATCTTCACCTCGTCCCTCATCGCCCGCTGCCGCGCACGACGACCCTCAATAGCGGACCTGATGATGACGATGATGACGAGATATAGCTCGCACGGCGGCGACGAATCGCGACGACCAGCGGGAACAAAGTACGGGCGAATACTAGCACCGGGATAGCGATTAGCGCGCAGGACGCGCCAGCGGGTCGACGACGATCGATTCGCGTTTCGCCCTCGTCTCGCCTCGCTAGCGCTAGCAGCAGCTCTCTCCCGAGAAGAGAGAGAGATGCCTCGTCGCCTGCGCCGCCCTCGCCCTTTTTAACATTTCGCAAGCGCAAGCGAATCTATCCCCCCGAGGGAGACTTCTGCTATCTCTTCTCCGACGCTAATCGGTCGGTTGACTTTAATGATAATTTTCATGTCCTCGAAGAGTAGAGGATATTAGCCCTTTAAGGGTTTTTTTAGCTCTCCGACGATTGGCTTTCATTTTCATTTTCTTCAAGAGAGAAGAGGATTAGTTCCTCTCGCAGTTGAGGGTTCATTCTCACCCTTAACTCGTCGATTGGATTTATCATCGATAAATCCGGGGGTGGAAGAACGAGGGTGGGGGATGAGTAGGATCTGGGGTCTCTCTCGCGAGAGACCAACGCGCGAATACAATGTTTGCGCGTGCAATTATTCGGACATGCGCGTGCACGTCTTTGATACCGCAGGATTTCGATCGACCCTTGTTCTAGAAGCGAGTAGCCGCGTTCTCTCTCTCTCTCTCTATGTATAGCGTATCTCCTTCTCTTCTACCCTTACAAGCCGTACAAGCGAACCTGGGAGTTACTTAATTTTGTTTCTTATCGAGATTCATCAGCGAATGCCATCTAATTACTCTCTCTCTCTCTTAATCCTCCTTAAGGGCGAGTTAATTGCTCCAGCAGCTCTGGCGCTAATTGCATAATTATAAAATGTCTGGTCACTAGGTGAAACCAGATCCGAATGTATAATGATAAAATGTAAAGTATAATGAACGATGCAATAAATAAAAAGGAAATATTTACATGTAATCTTCTGGCTTGTACTTCTTGCAGCAAACAATGCAAGACTTGGAACTGATAGCGCAAGGCGCGGAGGCGCGCCTCTACAAGGGCCTCTACTTGGGAAGGATGAGCCTGGTGAAGGAGAGGTTCGTTAAGAATTATCGACATCCGGAGCTGGACGCGCGTCTCACCAAGGATCGCATCAGGGCCGAGGCTCGCGCCATTATTCGGGCGAAGTCCGCAGGTGAAAATCCCGCTTGATCTCTGTTTCTCGTCGTTTGTTCAATTCGTCTTCATCGTTCCTCTATCCTGAAGGTGTAGCAACGCCAGCCCTGTACCTGGTGGACATAGAACGGCGCAGTATCTACATGGAGTACGTGGAGGATGCTACGGTACTCAAGGATTTCATAGACGAGAATATTTCCGAAAAGCCGGACGTGGATCATCTAATAGAGTTTATAGGATGCGGATTAGGGTCGCTCATAGCTAGGCTACATTCCAGACACATGATCCACGGTGATCTGACTACGTCGAATATACTGGTCAAGAATGACTCCGAGTCGTCCAGCAGCGACCAATCTGAAGGTAACTTTCGCAATATCAAATATGGTAAATATAATGAAAATCCTCTTTCACTTATATTATTTATTTAATCAAAAATATAAGGTCTGTTCTTTCCAGTTAAACTGGCTACCACTAGTTCAGAATTTATCTTTTTCCTTCCAACGTGGAGTAAAAAAGATAAACTGGCGCGACCAGTTCAGCTGAAGAGAAGACCTATAATTTTACCGAATTTTACCATATTTGAAGTACACAAAATTGCAACACTTTCCAATTTTTTCTGACTCCGTTATTTCGCTATATCGTTTTTTTTTTCTTCTTCATAGCCGAGACTCGATTTGTAATGATAGACTTCGGACTGGCCCGACTGGATTCCACGGTGGAAGATAAAGCGGTTGATTTGTACGTTCTCGAACGATCCCTGTTAAGCGCGCATTCCGAAGTGCCGACGTTGTTCTCCCGTATTTTTCATCACTATCAACGGCAGTATCAGAGCAAAAATCAATGCGAGCAAGTGGTCGCCAAGTATAAGCAAGTGCAGGCGCGAGGACGTAAACGCTTGATGATTGGCTGAAAGAGAAGGTGGTGTCTTCGAAGACTGTTAATCCTCTTCATGATTCCAGAGTACGCGAGGGTGTATGAATAAATTTATTTTTGTTACGCAACACGTAATCCACCCAAATCAAATTCAGCCAAATAGCCTGGACTTTGTACGTTGATAGATGTAAACTGTATGTTTTAATTGCAATTTGATTGATTGGTATCGTAGAATGAAAATACACTGCGTGAGAAGGTAAGAAGATCTTTATACAGGTGAATATATTGTATATGTAACAGTATGTAACAGTATGCAAGAATTCAGTATGTAACGATACCTATTACAAGGATATGACTATTGCGTAATAAATTTGGCAGCAGCAATGATTTATATGAAAAACTATTGCTCTTTATGTATCCACCATTTATAATGTAAATCAGTCAAAATGCAATCCGGAATATATAATAATCCAAGTCACCTATCAACAAATAAGTATATCATATCATGTACATACGTATGTTAATGTAGAATAAATGAAATTGCTATGCGATTTAGATTTACCAAAAAACCAGCGAAAGAGGTCATGAATCCTTCCTTCGTCAATTCCCATATGCCACCAAATTCTTCTTCATCGATTTGTTGAAAACTGCTAAAGTATAAATATGTAATTCCTGCATTGACTATTATGAATCTGAAACACAAAAATAATTTTAAAAATTATTTAATAATAATTATATATATAATATATAATTATATTACATAATAAGTTATATATTATACATATAATTAATATATTATAATAAATTTATATATATATATAATTGAATAAAAAAATATCAAAATTAAATTGCAGGATTTTCGATAAAGCAAAAAAACAGAGACAGGACGAGGCTGTATCTCTTTACTTACAACAATAGAGCTATAAAACCTTTCAGAGGTATAAGGCCCCATCCTATACCGACAATAATACCGATCGCTTGCCTGGCCCAATATATCACGTCGAGGAACTCCTCCTGCAACCCAAAAGCAAGGGAATGAACCAATTTTCAGGCAAACTTGATTTTTTTTCTCGAAGAAGAATATCTCTTTACGAGAAAATTGGAAAAAGTTCTCGATGGGTTATATTTACCTTGTCCGGCCATTCCGAGTTCGCCGTGATCGCACGTGTCCATACGCTAACCTCGCACTTGCCACCGTTACCGTTCTTCTCCGCTCTCGTGCGCGACATCCTCGCGATTCTGCACGACCCCCTGCAACGTAATCTAGACGATCATCGAATTTGCGACGCGTTGTGCCGCTATTCGCGTATTTTTCGCCTCCACCGGCCGCTACGGTAGCAACAGCTGACAGCCTTCTCGCTTCCGGCGAAGGAGTGGGAGACCGCCGCAAATTAATTTTACGGGATTTCCGTTGTTAAGTATAAAGAATGTTTAGAATAGAGAAAACGTTCAAAATTTTTCAAGTCGTAAAAAAAATATTCTCACATTATACAAAAATAATTATATATATATTATAAATAATATATGTGTATATATAATTATTTATAATATATATATATATAATTATTTTTAATATTAGTATTATTATTTTATATATAAATATTATTTGATATTAATATGTAAACTCTTTCTATATCAGAATATAATATATATATAATATATAAAAATTAACAGATAAATGACAAAATGTGAGAATATAATAATATTGAAAATTATGAGAGAATATAATAATATTGAAAATTATGAGAGAATATAATAGTAATATAATCTAGTATTATAAATTCAGCGAGAAACAATTAACACGAAATAATTTCGAAAATGAATCTTCTACAGCTGTAGACGTAGAATTCGATTTGGAAAAGTTTACAGTAAAATCACATGCATACACACTCTTCCATCTTAATGTGTGGATACGAGTATTTATTTTATTCGTTAACGGATTATATCGCGCTTCTATTAAGCTATCCGCCAAAATAAACTACAAATGTTAACATATCGTCAATTTGCGGGTCTCTGTCGCGAGCGAATGTGAAGATGTTAACATCTACAATATATTTCGGCATACGTTCTGTGTATCGCATGTATGTATATAGAATGTATCTTTCTCTCTCTCTCCCTCTCTCTCATTTTCTTTTTCATATATGTATACAGGAATGTGTTTATCGGGAAGATTTAAATATGTACGATATATCACACACTAAATCACACATGATTTTTTCTCTCTCTCTCTTAATATCTTTCTTTCTATATATAGATTGTGTGTATAAATATATATATATATATATATATATATCTATTTATACCCACACATACACACATACACGAGTAAAAGTAACGCAACTTTGCTCGTTAGTAAGTAACGTTATGGAATGAGAGGCGAATCGCTCCTCAGTTATTTACAATGTTATTCAATTATACTTAATAACTCGCAGGCAAGAATCAAACGATGCAGAAGCTTGTCGAGAATAGAGCGTGTGACAATTCTTATTTTTTTTTTGTTAATTGTATAAACAATGTGTGCTGTGTATAGATGTTTTTGGCACAAAAAACTCGGCAGAGTCATTTTACACCCGCGAGAACGTCGATTATTTTTTTTCTCCTCCTTTCACAAATACATACTTATTTTTTCTTATAATAAGATATAATATATCGCACATACGTAATATCGTATATAAAAATCATTTGTAACACAATAGATGTGTGTGTATATGTATATATAATGTGTAAATTTTTAGTCGATTACACGAGAGACTGTAGGAATATTATTCTGTCATCCTAGAACAAGTCCGATAATAAATCGTCAGAAATGTGCGCTGCCTAAAAAGTATGTAAATGTCGCAATAAGACGCTCTTACAAGTATTAACTTCGCATCTCGCGAATCGGATTAAATATTATATACGAAACTTCCTTACGTTTATCTAGTAGACCATACAAGTTTAGCGACAAGAAAACCGCGTCCTTTCCTAATTTATTATTATTATTATATACGTTAGTTAAGAGAGGTACGCGCGCTTTAGGACCAAAACGGCTCTGCGCTTAATAAAAGACGTCTTACGTAGATCCGTAAATTTATATATGGCGGTATTGCGCATATATGTTATTAATTAACGATAACACGTTTCGTCGATCTAAATATTTATGCACGCGTGTTTTGTTAACACGATAGTTTAATACTCGTCCGCGGTCGGAGGGAAAGAATTTATTTCCCGTTTAATACGTCACGATAAACTGCAATTGATCACATGTCTTCTTACGTAGCAGTGTATAATAAAGGATCAATATAATATATATGCGTGATAACAGCTAAGCGGTAAAAAATTCACAAGACAAGTGTTTTTCCGAGATCCTTTTTTTCGCGTCGCCTCTCCTCGAGTTTCTCTACGAGTATATTTTTTATCTATCTTTTTTTTATAACGTAATAATACCATCTATGTCTTCTTTCATTTTTTTTACATATATATATATACACGCCTTTGTCGCAATATAAAAGGACAAATGCATCTTCGAAATACGAGGATTATATATATACTGATCTATCACCAGCATTGTAAAGATTCGTTTTTTTTCTAATTACAAAAAATGTTTTCGAAAAGGTCGCAGCACGAAGGATTCCGGTGGATATTAATTTCGCGTTGTTAGTCTTATTCGATTGAACGACGATACAATTTTATATCCTCTGTTAATATGTGTCGAAAAAACGCGAGCTATATGATATTGCATAAAAATTCTTCACGATTAGATTATATAATTCTAAATTTATAATGATTATTTTTAACGCGCTTTTCATTCGATACAATTTCAATTCTCGCCGCGAAAGCAATTTCAGAGATATCACGATGTTAAAAGTTGAGAGATCAATTTAGAACTTCCACAATTAAAAAATAATCAACGTGTGCGATAAAATAAATAATCGTTTTTATACATCATCAATTCCATTAGCTGCATTAAATATGAAAAGAGCTGCCACTAAGAATTCACGGAACGGAAAGATTCGTTTAACTTCTGACTCCTCGTCGATCATGTTAGAAATGTGACGTCAAGAAATGAGAAAACACGCTAAAAATTCTTAGATGCCATTTCGAAATATCTTTTCATTTAAAAATGGCATCTAAGAATTTTCAGCAAACGCTTTCTTGCATCTGACGTCACAATCTAACATGGTTGCGACGAGGATCCAGGAATCTTAATTAATATTAATTCTTTTTATAGATATTTATAGAAAACGTATTATACTGTATGATAGGAACTTCGATTGGACTGAATATCTCGCGCAAATATTTATACAAATTAATCACAGATTAAAGACATGTCGCGCATGACGAGAAAAATTGATGATGTATATGAATCAAAATAAACAATTATCCTCTCCTTCGCTCTCTTTCTCTTGTAAACAGAAATATAATTAATTACGGCTTGTTAAACACGATCTCTTGGAAGACACCTACGCTTTTTCACGCAACGCGTTGTGCTGGTTTTTAGTTGCCGCTACTTGCAACGATTCTCTATATATCTTCATTCAGATTCAGCCTATCTTTCGCTAAGACTGTGTGATGTGGCTTCGTCTATTCTAGACATTATCGCGCTGTCAAAAAATGCATAGACAAACAATATATAAATATATACACATTGAAAACGAATACAAACACCTTTTCGCTAATACCTTCGTAATAATAACTTATTGCATCTCATCGCTAAGAATCTGACTGAGGAATGACGTTTACTTCGACCGAAGACTGTCAATATCTTAATAAAAAAATGCACGAGACGCAATTGAAAATAATTAAAATCACACATGAAATGTATATAGATAATAATACGTGAGTACGACTAATATCGAAATATAAAGCTGCGTAAAAACGCAATGTTATATAAAACTAGTATAATAGATTCTCTAATGCCACACCTTAACACAGCAAGATTAGTACTTTTAGTCGCTGTAAAAACTTTCAGTACCCTGTCTCTAAAGTTAAAATCGCTCAATATATATATTTATATATTATATATATATATATATATATATATATATATATATATATATATATATATACTTATGTACACAATTTAAGATCTCCTCTATGGCACGAAAGACGAAAAGTTGACTTCGTGTGCCAGATATTGATGTCAGCATACTTCTTTTAACAGCATAACACTCAGAGCGCAATCAAACGTCGACCACATCGTTGTTGTTGTAGTTGAAATTTGAATCGCGCAAAAATGACGTGCGACGAAGTTTAAAGCTGAGACGAGTATCCTCAACCATTTTCGGCACTTCCGTTACCTGCAATATTCGGAGTAGATTTTATATTTGTGTTACATAAAATCTAAAATATAAGTTACCTTTATGAAACTATGGTAAGATTATATAGTTGACGTCGAGCAAAAATTTATTACTTTTATGTTTTCCTTATTATTATTACAGCGAGTGACCCATAAAATAACCATGATTAGTTCTATTTTCAAGGTGTCTACTCAAATTTGGTAAAAAAATTTCTGAGAATTCCTTGATAAAAATAAAAATATAAAAAAATTATTTATTATAAACGCCTCAAGAAATACTAATTTCTTTAAATTAATTATTTATTATATTACTAATGGATTTAATTATCTATTTAAAAAGTGAACAATTTTCTATAAAATTTAGAATTTAAAGATCTTATTAAAAATAGATTGCCAATAAAAAAATCACAAAATTTTAATAAAAATGTAAATATTGTTAAGCTATGTTAGACATATGTTTCTTAACTGCTAAATAAGAATAAAATTAACAAGACAATTTTTTAAAAATTCTCTAAATCCCAATCAAATTCCATGAGAATTCCCTGATTTTTTAAGATTGAACAAAATTCCCCGAGAGTACCAGGTTTTAAAAGTTTTTCTCAAGAGTATATACCCTGATTATTCATAAATTGTTCATTACTTAATATATTTAATACATTTAATCATATTGTAATAAGTTTCGCCCAACTGTCTATGATACAGTATACCAAGATAAACGTTACGAGCGGTTGTTGATAAAAAAATGTAGCTTTGAGAGGATAATTAAAATAAAAAGGAAAACAAATGAAATAAAATATACCTTGGCATCTGCTCGGTCGGCAGAACGTTGAAGCAGCGACCGCCATGCTGTAGGTGCGGTATGCTCTAAAATAATAGGTAATAGGCGCGGATTGTCACATTAAAGGATTTACATGCGTGTTTTATGCCTGTTATGTACTATAAGAAGCATAATAAGGATACTGACGATACGCTTAGGATCGAAGATTGACGTTAAGGGGTTAGGCCACTGTAGAAATTTCAAAAAATCGTTTTTTTTTTTGCTTAAATGATGCTTTAAGATCTTAGAAATAAGAAAAAAAAGGTTTTATAACGGAAACAAATTCCTAAGTGTCATTTTTGGAAGTTCAAAGCATCTTACCTTTCGGTAAGATTTGAAGCGTTTGCGAAGGGATCCTTCTGAGAATAATAAACGGATTAGTTACGCACAGTTCAGCTTGAGTAAGATTTTCTTAGGTTCCTAGTGAACGTGTAGATGGCATTAGTAATATAATATGTGTTAGTATAGGGTCAGTACAGCCGTTGGAACGATACAGTGTACACGACATTTTTATCTCTCTTACATTTTCGGATACAAAATCTGTATATCGATTATACGCTTGATAAAATTAGTGATTGCTGGTACAATGAGTGGAAGAGTACCACAGAGTCGTAAAAGTACGAGAGGTAGTAAGAGCTATGAGAATAGATCGAAGATATCAGGCAAGAGACCGTTGAATCGATTTGAAATGGAGGCTCCGCCTCCAGAGAGCGTCGGTACTTCTGCTAAGAAACTGAGGAGATCTGAAGAGTCATATAACGAAATTAAAGTGAATGAAACTTTTGGCTACCGTTTACTAAATTTTATTGCGGTTTTTACTGCACTTTCGGAATCTGTTGTGTGTAAAACGTGCCATTCTAAAGTGACATTTAGCGAAAGCAGCAAACGAGGCTTGGGATTCAAAATCGTTCTTTCTTGTGAGAACTGCGACGACATTTTCATTCCGAATTGTCCTTTTATTGATAATGCATTTGAAATAAATCGTAGAATGATTTTTGCTATGCGATTATTGGGTATTGGTCTTCATGGAATAGAAAAGTTTTGCGCCTTCATGGATCTTCCTCGACCAATTTTTCATTCATTTTACGATAAACTCACGCGCACAATTTTACACGCAACTGAAACAGTTGCTAAAAAAAGTATGCTTATGGCAGCTCAAGAAGAAAAGGCTTTGTCTCTAGAAAAAGGTCAAACAGATGGTTTAACAGTGTCAGGCGATGGATCGTGGAGAAAACGTGGCTTTTCATCACTGTTCGGATTGGTAACATTAATTGGATGGTTCTCTGGAAAAGTAATTGACATTGTTGTGAAGTCTAAGTATTGTAAAACTTGTGAGTTTTGGGAAAAAAAAGTTGACACTACAGAATACGAAGAATGGAAAACATCACACGCCAACGAATGTCAAGCGAATCACGAGGGATCAGCCGGCAAAATGGAAGTCGACGCAATCATTGAAATGTTCCAACGCTCAGAACAATTGCATCAGGTGAAATACGTAAATTACATTGGAGATGGAGATTCCAAAACTTTTAAGGGTCTTTTGGAATCACAACAAGTAGAAAATTCATCAGTAAAGAAAAAGGAATGTATTGATCATGTTCAAAAACGAATGGGTACTCGCCTTTGCAAGTTGAAGAATGCCATGAAAGGACTTGGAGAAAAAGGCAAATTGACTGCTAAACTTATAGATGAATTGTCTGTTTATTTCGGATTAGCTATCCGTCGTAATCATAATTCAATTGAAAATATGAGGCGAGAGATCTGGGCGACCCTTTATCATAAATTATCCACAGACGAAAAGCCACAGCACGATAAATGCCCGCCCGGTAAAGATTCGTGGTGCAAGTGGCAACTGGCGAAAGCCACTAATAAATTAGCTGAATTTAAGCATAAGCCAGCTCTTCCTCAAATGGTTTTTGATGCTATTAAGCCAATCTATGAAGAATTAAGTAGTGACGATCTTCTTAAACGTTGTTTAGGTGGCTACACCCAAAACAGTAACGAAAGTTACAACGCTTTGATTTGGTCAATGGCTCCAAAATCAGTTTCCAGCGGCAAAATTATTATCGATACAGCAAGTAATATTGCTGTTTGTACATACAATGATGGATATTCCAACCTTATGAAGATTATGGGAGAATTAAGCATAACAATTGGACCGAACTGCTACAATTATTGCCTCGAGACTGACGCGCGACGCATCAAACTTTCGGAGCGCTCGATGACAGATGCTGCAAAAGAGGCTCGATCATCACTAAAATCGACCAAGAAGGACCAGGAGGAGAAGAACATTAATGAGGAAGGTCAATTATATGGTGCAGGCATCGCAGATTAAAGGTAAACGAAAAATTTCTATCGCTGATTGTTACATAAAACTTTAAACGCGTTTTTCTCGAAATCACTTTTTTCAAACTGGGCGACCTCATAACTCCCACAAATCTTGACCGATTTACTTCAAATTTAAACTGTAGCTTCTAAGATACATTTGTCAGCGAACTACGTACGGATTTTACGTTTCGTTGTAAACTTTTTTTTTTACAAACAATTTTGTGCAAAATTTTTCGTCAAAAAATGAAACTTTTTCTTCAAACTTGTGTCATTTTTACAAAAACAATTATTTTTTAATTTCCGTACGTAGTTCGCTAGCTAATGATATAAAGAATTAAAAAAAATTGGTTTTTTGTTCTAGAGCAAAAATTGGAGCAGCTAGTAGGTCGCCCGTAAGGCACTGTCCGAAACGAGTGGTCATCGTTGCAGAGCTCTGTCACCGCCATTTTGTAAAAAAAAAAAATGCAAAAAAATTTTTTTATATATTTCGAAGTATGTAAGATTAAGTACTTAAAAAGGATTTTCTATCACTGTTTTTGTTTTATAGTAAAAAATTATCAAAAATAGGCCTTTTTTGGGCGCTCTACAGTGGCCTAACCCCTTAATTAAGAAAATTAACCATGCGATACGGGGAAGCACAATCGGCCGAATCGAAGCTCGAGGACCTACCGTTTTCCTTCTTGTCCGCTTTGCTCTTGTTCAAGCTCGCCGCCAATTCCCTCACCGATCTCTTCTCGACGCTCGTGTTACTCAACGAGCTCGCGGTGCTGCTTGCCGACAACGTTGGCGGCAAGGAAGCCGGCCCGCTAACGCCGCTATCGGTCGACTCGTCGAGAGCGTCGCCGGAGTCGGGGGTGTTGCCGGCAGAGGTGTTTGGACTGGAACCGTCGCTTAATAGACTAAATTCTCCTGTAAGAGAGATTATGTAAATTAATAATCTAATCATATACCATAAATAATATAAATAAATCAGAAATAGCTCAAGATATCACCCTTTTTCTACGTCAAAGTTTCCACAAAGATACTTCCGTATCGAACATAAAATGTTTTGTGTAAAATTTTCATATTTAAAAGCGTTGAACATCATGTATTGTTCATTGAAGAGTTAAGCTGAAAATATCTTGCTTTTTGCTCTTAAATGGTTATTTAAAATAATAGAAAAATATAATTAATAAAAAGATTGTAATAAAATAAATATAAATAATAAATAAAATAAATATAAAATAAATATAAATGATAAAAAGACAGAAATTAAAATTCTCTTGAAAATTGGACAAGCATTAGTAGAATATAAGAGACCGAATTTCAAACTTCGCGACTCGTTTACCGGATTTCCGATCGGTGGCCATACTCCAAGGTCGCGGTTTAGGCGCGGTCGCCGGTGGGGCTGGCTTATTCTTCAGAAGCGCGCCGTTGCTCTTCCCATCGCTCGTAGATCCGCTACTCTTCACCAACGGTTTCAAGATCGGCGATTTGGCCGAATCGGAGGTAGCCTTGGTACCGCCACCTCCGCTGTTACCGTTGATGGGGCTTCTCAAATCGTGACCGGTTGACCGTAGTTTAACGGACATCGACTTGTCGGCATCGGCCGGGGATTTCTTCGTGACACTTTTACGATTCTCCTGGTCCGTTCCGAAGCTATCGTCAATCTCATGCGAGCCACGTGGACTCATGCCAGATGACTCCTCGCCCGTATCATTCGGATTGATGTTGCTGCAAGTCTCCTTCCCTTCGCTCTTGGATCTCTCGTGCATTTGAGCACTGTCCGTTGTATTTCTTCGGGCAAGCGGCGACGCGGTCAGCGGAGAATCCCCTTGAGATCTTCTGCCAACGAGGGGAGAAAATTTCTCCAAATTGTCGCTGGATCGGGAACGCGGCGCGGGTTCCAGAAGCGTTTTCAGCATCGGTGAATTACAGCTATGCTTCTTATCCATATCGGGTGGAATGCTCTTGTGACTGGTCAATGATAGATTAGGACTGCCATCCGTTGGAAAGGTATGTAGAGAGCTGTGAATTGTAATAAGCAACAATTAGTTTTCATAGTACTGTTTCAAATTGTAAAAGCTATAATTATATATTTTGCCAAAAATACAGAAAAAATTTATATTTTTTAATATTTAATATAAAGATATTTAAAATTATAATATACATATATAAAATTTATATAAATATATATTATAATATATATAAATAATATATATATTTAATATTTATATTTTCAGAATTATATATATTATATATATATGTGTATATAATATAAAAAATTGCTTATACCTGTCATCGCTCGTAGGTGATATTAAAGGTGTGGTCGGTGTAGTGGGTCGGAAAAATACATCGAGACCCTCGCCCAGAGCAAGACCGTCAATCGGTTGATCCGGTCTCAACATCGGTCTCGTAGGTGCTCGCGTTTTCGTTCTGCGTGGCCTGGACTTCACTAGATGCTGCAACTGTTGGCCCACAGTATTGGGCAATTCCGAGACGGAGTCTAATGACTCTGTCAACGAGTGCTCGGTTTCTGAGATGGCTGTGGCATAACAATCATATATTTTGCAAGATGATAGGACAATTTAGGATAACTGAATTTATACATACCTTCCGCTTGACTCTTCGGCAATGACGGTAAGAGATCTGGAATATCATCGGCAGATAGTCCTTCGACAGAATCTACCACGGACTTGGGTCTCAACTTCCTTCCATGCAGACTCTTACGTTTATTCGACAAATGTGGAGTCGCCTAAATATCAAAGAAAATATATAATATCTCATAATATACGTATCGATAAATTATATTATATATCGATTGATATATTATAAATATATATATTTTACACTTATACACTCGTTTTTTTGTTCTTCTATATATCTTTATAATACCTACCAGATTAAGATAATCCAATTTCTATGCGAGCATGTAAATAAAGATAATTTTTTGTTTTTATCAAGGGATGTAAAATATAAAGTATTAGCGAAAATCCAAACAATGTGAAATGTATATAGGCATGTAAAAGTATTATAGACAAGAAATATACTCGAAAATTATTCCAAACGAATAAAATTGCCATCTCGCAGGATGTTAAAGAGCTCGAAAACTCTTACCATTGGTGACTGATCGCATGGACCGATGGAATTTGCCAATGAGCACGTTTCCGGCGTGTCCTCTTCGGACACGAGACTGGATCTGCCAGGAGGTAGAGTCATAGACATGCCGCTCGCGCTAGTCACGCCTATTACACTTCCGCTGCTCATCGAGCCGGCGCTGGGTCGTAAAACGTCTGGTGTACTGCTCCTCGTACGACTATCGCAATCGCCAATCTGAAAGTATTTCACAATGTTAGCGCATTGTATAAGAGAATATTATGTCGTTAGAGAATAGAATTATCCACATATATATATATATATATATATATATATATATATATATACCATATATATATATGGTATATATATATATACACACACACACACATTGTATTTTCAACTCACCAGAGTCTTATAACTTCTTGACAACGACTCGATTACTTCGTCCGTAATTCTGTCGGATATATGCGCCGCAACTGCCAAGTTAAGCTCGCTGATATTTAAAAGGATCAAAGACGTTAATAAAAAATAGACCGTCGATAAATGTATAATAAAATTAATTAGGATTATTATACAAGGTGTTCCATAGGAAATTGCTGAAATTAATCAGCTGTCATTTTTTTAATGCATGCAGTTATTGAGAAATTAAAAATTATGTTGGAAAGAGGAAAATCTGCAGTTTTTAATGAATATAAATAAAATGTTTGTATACCAGTTTATTTTATTGATAAAAAGTAATGAAAAAAATGCCAAGAATCACATAAAGTAATGATAAATATTTTCAACAGTGCCAGATTTAATAGCAGTTATTAAAAGGATCGTCAAGAACATGATATATTAGAAAGTTTTTACACGTTTTCTTAAAAAAAAAAAAAAAAAAAAAAAAAAAAAAAATTTGTACAAATTCAAATGGTGCGCACTTCGAATATATTTTTCATTAGTTTATATGTATGTGTAATGATTAGCACTTTTTTCATTACATTTTTTCAGCAATTTCCTATGGAGTACTCTGTAAAACACTCACTTGACTCTGTTAACGATATCCGCGCCAGCTTGCTCAGTAACGGTGGTATGTATGAATTCATTGTTGATTTGATTTTTCTCTTTGCAGGTATTACGAAGATCATCCTGCACTGCGATCGGTTCACTCTCGTCGCCCTTGATCACCGTTTGCGAAAGTATAGTGGGACATTGCTCGTTCGCGCACTTCAACATCGCGTCCAAAGAATCCTGCCATCATTTTCGACATGTTATTACATACATATCTTACATGACTATTTTAAAGAAAGAGAGAAAGAGAATGTATATAAATATTCACGAAGTTACATACCTGTAGATACACCGTGACAACTTTGTGAATTTCATTCGCCATATCATGTAACTTTAGCTCAATCGGATTATTCTCGTCCCGTCTTTGGAGCACCTCGTGTAATCTCGGCAATAGCTGAAAACATAAGGGTCTATTTGAATATTTCAATCTTGATACAAAAATGAGTAAGTTTTTACTTGCTCAAATATCGAAATTAAAGCTAATTCGAATTTCATTCGCACCTGTTTAGAATTATCCGCGTCTTGTATAAGCCCGGTCGCGTAATTGATATCATTGTTAGCGTCGCAACTCTCCGCCGCGAGGGCTTTAATAGTATCCTGGGTTTGGACGACAAGTCTGTCGACCATCTGTTGCGTGGAGCTCAACAGAAATCCCTGCTGCAATCTGAACGCTTGTCCGTGGCTGTATTTACACGGCGTGACGTTTCTCTGCAGCAGATCCTGTATCTTCTTGCCCAACTGCTCCGTCTTCTCCGCGGAGGTCTTCATGCAAGGCTGCAGATCATAAATCGGAAATGGCATGTGCCGCACGCTACAGTTTCTACAAGGAAAAATATTACAAATATTAAATATATCTTGCAAGTCATTATATTTTTCTATCATTTCAATATACACAAATATATATGCATACTTCTCTAGAGCGTGAACAATATCCGCATAGCCTTGCAACGTGATGTTGTTCTTGTCGTATATAATAGTCCGTAAATGATTGTTAATTTGCAGCGCTTTCGCCAGTAATCTTGCGCCAGGATCCCCTATCTGATTACCGCTGATGTCCAAGGTATGAAGACACGTGTTGCTGCCGAGAGCGTTGATCAGGTTGTAGAGATCGCCCTTTAATCTCGAATCGGGCAGGTGCAACGCTTGAAGCACGCAGTCGTCTTCCTGAAGCATCTGCACCAGAGCGTCCATCACGACGGCTATGTGCTTGCTCTTCATGCTGGCGGTATTGCGTCCCATGTACAGCTGTTTGATCGATTTGTTTTTACCTATGGCCGTTATAACTTGTGCCAAATCGACATCCATGTCTGCAAAAAAATATGTAAGGACAATGAAATAAAAAATATTCACTTTATGCTTCTTGCGTACAAAACAATTTAAGACTCCTGGGTTCTCAATTCCAACATGATCAGTGAGGAGCCAGGATCCTTAATTTGAAGATGGATAGAAAAGATTATTAAATAAAACTATTTTGCTATACATTTAACTCTATACGTACTACTGTCTGATATATCCAATGACGCTATACATCGAACGCCGTGAATGCACGACTCCAAAACGTGTGCGCCCATGGAACTTAAATTGTTTCCGCTCATGTCAAGTTCTAGGCCAACTGTACTTTCGTTGCAGGCCAAGCCAAGTAGCAAGTGCTTCAATGCTTCCAACGGTAGTTTGCACGAAGATATATTTAAGTACTTGAGCGAGAGAGTTGCCGTGAAGAATTGCTTAAAGCTCGGAGGTATCTCTTTGGTTTTCTTGCTCGAAAAAGAATTTCGGGCGACGTTCAGGTGGACTAGATTAGTTGCACAACCCCGTAATAATGCACCAAACAGCTGAAAATCATAAATAAGAAGAGAGTAATTGCACTGACATATGATCAAAAAAAATATAAAATTAGCTACTTACACACTCTAAAGTTGTATCTGTACCACTAAGATCTAGATGTGTTAAGCTATTAGGTTGCGCCAAGAAATTGCACAAACTCTGCAATTACGAAATGCACGAATTAGTATTCCAGTCGCGATCGAGATCCCTCTGGCTCATTGCCGAGGTCAATTGATGATTCATTACACACTCACGTTAACGTCATCCTTCAAGGTATTCTCCGAAAGATTCAGATACCGTAAGCTAGTCGGCATGCTCCTATTCAAGCTTAACGCGTGCGCTATTTGGCCTATACCTTTGCTAGTTAATCCACAATGGGCCAAATTCAATTTTTGTAAACCTTTAGGCAACTTGCCGATAGGACCGCTCAGATGTGTAGCACCTTAAAAATATATCACAAGCTTTAAATAATAAATTAATAACAATAAGTGTTTTATAATTATAAACTTTAATATATTATATTGTATATTAATGCGGTATGCTTATATGCAAAACAAAAATATATTTAGATTATTATATTATCTAAAATAAAAAGAAAAAATATAAGGAGATAAATACTAAATAAAAAAAATATAAAAGTGCGTCCATTAAAAAAATTTTTAAATAAAAAAAGGGAGGAAAAATTGGATGTAAAAAGTATATTAAATATTAGTATAATTACTAGGGATAATAAAAATACATGGTTATTGGCACACCTTGCATTAACTTGGCTATTATCCCACACAAGCTAGAGGCTCCTACAAAAAATATAAAGAAAATCTGTTCAGGATACTTTTGAAATTATGACTAATAAACTGGCAAATGGAGATTTACTTAATGGGTGTAGTGCAGATAAAGAATAAAATATAAAAGGGGGGGAATATAATATATAAAATATAAATTAATAGAATTAATTTAATGATATACCTTTATCCTCAATCATATTGTGCGATAGATCTATTGTATGCAGCATCGTATTAGCATTAGAAATTAGGGCTAATGACAGCTTGTGAGCGAAATCCCTTTAAAATCGAAATAATCATACATTATAAATGTGCCATCAAATTCCTTTTTCTACGACGAAAAAGCTAAAACACACATCACTCGAATCATTACCATTTAATCCCGAGATTATCTAGATAGAGTTCTTGAATGGATAAAGATCTTCGCATAACGTGTAACAATCTCTCTAGAGGCTCGTGGCTTAATTTAAGATGAGACGCCCTTAATTTTGTGAACCAAGTATTGTATTCCAAGGCCGAGATAATTGGCACTAAATCCTTCTGATCCAAATGATCAAAGTCTCTCAGATTCAATTCTCTGGTGTCGTGCGAAAGATATATTGTATCAACATCCTGAAATTATATTTGTTTAGATAAGATTTTTTTGTATAAAACAAATAGAATCCTGTATTACACAAAAATTTAAGCAATGTCATTAATCTTACCCATGCCACTTCCTCTCTGTATGGTACACCATGCAAGTCACACATGCATGCATACTGAGTAGAAAAACCACCACACGGTCCTGTATGTCTCGTGGCTTCTGTGCTTCTAGCTAACTCGCTCCCTCGTATACTTTGTAATCTGCTAGCTGGTATGACTTCTATTTTTCGTATAATGTAACTAAAAATATAACATTTCAAAGATATATTTGTAATAAAAGATTACAAAAAGCTGTACATTATCCGTGAGAATGCTTTAATTATGTTTAGTTGTAAAGTTCAACATACTTTAATGGTACTGTAGGAAAGATATTTCGAATTGCCGTGTGTAAGGCCTCTATCATGGCATCCACTTCCGTGGTATCCCCACCTACGCTGTTTGTAGTAAAGTTGTAAAATCGTTCTCCAACTGTCAAACATAGCTGATTTGCTCTTCTCGATTCTATAGCCGTTATTTCTAGGTAATGAAAATGGCAGTCGATCTATAGAAGAAAATAAATAAAAATTTGAATGCCATGTTACAATAAGTGACGTAACAAAACTGAAGAAATTACAAATACACTCGACTTACTCTTGTGGGTACTTTGGCCGATAAGAGAAAGAGGCGACATGGCGAAAACACCTTGAGAATATAAAACAAGAAATCAATTTAGCTTAACGTAAAATATGTATCACAATGGAAAGAGAGGGAGAAAGATAAGACGGATTACTCACGAGAACACGGTTCTCTAGCTTGTCCTGCTTCGTTTCCAATTTCACCACGTTTTTCAACAAAATTTTCACATGCTTGCCAAGTAACGCTTTCACCGATTCTGCAAGTAATGAATAATTCACTCAATTGTACACGGAATAAAGTTGCTAGGCAAAAAGTAGCAAATAAAAACTGTACACTTTTTTAAAACTGACAAAAAAAAATACGATGACAGGTGAAATCAATCGCGAAATTCGCGAAAGTACGGAACAAGTAAAATAAAGCGGAATAAAATGATCGATGAGCGAGGGTCACAAAAATACACGAGGCCATAACGATGTGACAGATATCGTCCGCGAATACGGATGACAGTTCGCTCGATCTACACAAGGATCGGAATGTAAACACTACGAGGGAGACGAACCGTTTAAATCCTTCGTGAGTTGCGACCGGGTTGACATTTTTGTTAGCTGAAGTCTTCCATTGAAATTCGCCGTTCCATTTAAAGCTCGCTCGCTCTCTCTCTCTCTTCTCTTCTCTCTGTCTCCTCGGTCTCCCGATCAAGGCTTCCCGCTTTTCGTGCGTCGAATTAGAAAAGCGCCGTCCAGACAAAGGGCGATGTCACGAGAGGACGAGCAGGCAGTGCACTGGCAGCCATGTTGGCACCAGTCAGCGATTGGTCATCCGCGATCATCGATGATCGGCGGCGATGCTCGCAATTAGAATCTGTTAGAATCCCGAACACCGGCTCGAGGATCAATAAAGATGCTGCCTGTTTCAAAACAGCTGGCTCCGCAAATTCTCCCTGCAATTATGACTTCTCTAAAAAATTTGACAGATGAAAAATAGTTATTGACATTTCGACACGTGGAGATATATGTATATATATATATAATGCAATAAAAATAATTTATTTATAATTATTGCACGATAAGAGAATCTACATATTATTTAATTATCTATCTATAAATAAAATGTCTTGCATCTCAATAAAAATAATTTTCATTTAAATTAATAAAATTGTTTAACAAATAAAAATGTGATAAAATTCGGAGCGTAAAATAAATGTCAAATGCAGTCAAGATTAGATAAGATAAGATAAAGTCTACGTTTTATCATTTACAATTTACATTTATATATTTATGTAACTGATCAAGAATAATCGGTAACGTCAATGATCTTCCATTATCTCCGAACCTAACTTGATAGTCTTATGAGATTCTATACATGTATGAGTGTTTACAATCAAAGGAGGATAAAACTGCCGAATCATTTATTCCAGCTTATAATTGATTATTCACATTAATTTAAATATCGTCGAGACACACAGTTTTTGTGGCTACATTGATCATCCGTGGTATGCACAATTTTTTTCTTCTTGTAGACTTTAATATAATATAACTGTAATATTTACTATAATATAACAATCTTTTCTCACTTGCTGTATTTAAAATGAAAATTTTTTTCAGCAGAAAAACATAATCAACATGAATATTTCTAAAATTTTAATTGCTGGAAGACAAGCGTACCTCAGGAGATTTTATGCTACAGGTTCAAAACTTGTTGAAACCACAAGAGACAATGATACAGGTGACAACATATTGTTGTTTTTGTCAACATGTTTTCAGCATATAATCATTTTTCATTAATTTTATTTTCCTTAATGATTGAACAGGAATCGACATCATATCCATGGCCAAACCACCTGTGAACAGTTTAAACATAGAGTTTTTAAATGCATTGAAAACATCTTTATTGGAAGCTCAAAACAATCGCTGTAAAGGCATCATACTGACATCATCCTTGCCAACTGTATTCTCAGCAGGATTAGACATCACAGAAATGTATAATACTGATAAGAAGCAACTTACTAATTTTTGGTCTACATTGCAAGATGCTTGGTTAACTCTTTACACTCTAAATGTTCCAATTGCTAGTGCTATCAATGTACAGATTTTTTTTCAAGTCTTATATGTGTGGCGTATCTGTAATTTTTTAATAGAAATATTACTCTTCTATTTTACAGGGTTCTAGTCCTGCAGGAGGTTGTCTAATGGCAATATCTACAGAATACAGAGTGTTTGTCGAAGGTAAACATACTATAGGATTGAATGAAACACAATTGGGTATAGTTGCTCCTAAATGGATTAGGGATCTCTACATTTCAATATTGGGCTATCGACAAGGCGAATTAGCACTTTTGAAGTTTGTAAAATTAATCTAAATTAAAATTAATCTATATTAGCTACATGTTATGATAAGTTGTTGCATGTGGTAATATTTTAGGGGCTTGTTGTTCAAACCTGAAAAAGCATTGCAACTTCAACTTGTGGACGAGCTTGCTAAAGATAAGGCTGATGCGATTGAAAAATGTAAAAATTACATATTATCATACGATAGAATTCCAGGTAAGAAATTGTTGATTATGTAATTTGCAGAATTGTACTTTTATGCTAATGACACATTGTTTTCAATAAAGCCTTAGGAAGGGCCGCAACTAAGCTGGAAATACGAAACTACTTAATTCAATGGATGAAAGAAAATAAGGAAGCTGATATTAAACAATTCGTGGATTTCATAACATTACCAAAAATACAAGCTGGCCTTAAACTTTATATTGAATATTTGAAGCAAAAAAGTAATTAATATCTTTAGAGAAAACAATACTTTTTTATACTTTTATATATCTTGAAATTTTGTACACACACATATAAATAAAGTGTTATATATTTTTTCTATCTACATTTAGGTCAAAAGGAAATTTAATATAAAAATTGTATATACTTATACATATATGAAATTTTTATAAATGTTTATATTTAGAAAATGCTTTGTTAGAATATATATGTAACCACGGACGAGGTACTGTTACCTCGTCAGTGATGTAACTGACCAAGAATAATCGGTAACGTCAATGCTCTTCCATTATCTCCGGACCTACTTGACAGTTTTACGAGATTCTGTAGATGTATGAGTGTCTACAATCAGATGATAAAATTATCGAATCATTTATTCCAGCCTATAATTGATTATTCACGCTAATTTAAATATCGTCGAGATACTTACAAAGTTTCTGTGGCTACATTGATCATTCGTGGTATATACAATTTTTTTTCTTGTAGACTTTAATATAATTGTACAATCTTGTCTCACTTGTTATATTTAAGAGGAGATTTTTTTTTAACAGAAAAACATGATCAACATGAATATTTCTAAAATTTTAATTGCTGGAAGACAAGCGTACCTCAGGAGATTTTATGCTACAGGTTCAAAACTCGTTGAAACCACAAGAGACAATGATACAGGTAACATCATATTGTTGCTTTTGTCAACGTGTTTTCAGCATATAACTATTTTTTATTGATTTTATTTTCCTTAATGATTGGACAGGAATCGACATCATATCCATGGCTAGACCACCTGTCAACAGTTTAAACACAGAGTTTTTAGGTGCATTGAAAACATCTTTATCGGAAGCTCAAAACAATCACTGTAAAGGCATCATATTGACATCATCCTTGCCAACTATATTTTCAGCAGGATTAGATATTACAGAAATGTATACTACTGATAAAAAGCAACTTACTAATTTTTGGTCTACATTGCAAGACACTTGGTTAACTCTTTACACTCTAAATGTTCCAGTTGCTAGTGCTATCAATGTACAGATATTTTTGCAAGTTTTATATGTGTGGCATATCTGTAACAATTTAATAGAAATATACTCTTCTGTTTTACAGGGTTCTAGTCCTGCTGGAGGTTGTCTATTGGCAATATCTACAGAATATAGAGTGTTTGTCGAAGGTAAACATACTATAGGATTGAATGAAACACAATTGGGTATAGTTGCTCCTAAATGGTTTATGGATCCCTACATTTCAATAATGGGTTATCGACAAGCAGAATTAGCACTTTTGAGGTGTGTAAAATTAATTTGTGGTATGTTATGATAAGTTGTTGCATGTGGTAACATTTTAGAGGCTCGTTGTTTAAACCTGAAAAAGCATTGCAACTTCAACTTGTGGACGAGCTTGCTAAAGATAAAGCTGATGCGATTGAAAAATGTAAAAATTACATATTATCATACGATAGAATTCCAGGTAAGAAAAAATGGTTGATTTTGTATTTTTAGCAGAATTATACTTTGATGCTAATGACACATTGTTTTTAATAAAGCATTAGGAAGGGCTGCAACTAAGTTAGAAATACGAAACTGCCTAATTCAATGGATGAAAGAAAATAAGGAAGCTGATATTAAACAATTCGTGAATTTAATAACGTTACCAAAAATACAAGCTGGCCTTAAACTTTATATTGAATATTTGAAGCAAAAAAGTAATTGATATTTTTGTACAAAATTATACTTTTGTATACATCTTAAAATTTTTACACACATATATGTAAAGTATTATTATATATTTTTGCAATCTACATTTAGATCAAAAGACTTATGAAAATTTTTGAAATCTTTAAAAATTTAATATAAAAATTGTATATACTTATATATGAAACTTTTATAAATTTTTATACTTTATAAAATGTTTTGTTAGAATATATATTTTAAAAGTATGTGATATTTATTTTACTTTAATTCCCGAGCTTTACTTGGCATTACAACATAGACAAAATGTTGTAACATATTAATCATTACTTTTAATATAGTTTCATCTAATTCAATATTTGTCAAGTTAAAATTTGTTCTGCTTGTGATAAATATTTACGCGATTGATTGATATAAATTTCGAGCTAATTATCAATTCGAGTTGATTTATCACGATTGATTCCTCTTGATATCTGTAAACGTTAATATTTATCAGTTATTTTTATTTATCACTTATCTTATATTTTTATTAGTAATTTTCGATATATATCGCGCGACTTACGAAGAAAAGCGATCTTGACAGACATCCGTTCTAAATATGTTGGAATAGAGTGTATAAATAGCTAATTTTATGTGGACTATATATTTTCGTCACTATAATTTTATCAATGTGACTATTCTCTTCTATTATTCTTTATAATTTATTCAAAATATTTCGTCAGAATAATATATATTTTAATAAATTTTTATATATGTGTATTGTATATGCATGTAAACTTTTTATTTTCTTTGATGAATTTAATCACCAAAGTAACATGCTAATTATTAATCTTCTAATGTAGCATCATCTAACTCAATGTCTGTCAAGTCTAATCCTTGTGATGGGTGTAACAAATTAAGTTCTTGCTGTAGAAATCCAAAGAAATGTGATATTTCTAATATTTGTTGACGATTCCTTTTATTTTCATCCCTGATCATTAAAAATTTTCTAATTATAAGATTTTTCTTTTATAAAGTATCTAACAAAATAATTACTTACACAATTAACTGATTGATATAATCTTTGAGCCAATTATCGAGCCGATTTGTCATGAGCTTCTCTCGATTATCTATTACCTGTAAACGTTTTAATATTTATCAATTACTTTATTTATTATTTTAATAATTTTGAAATTTTCCACACTCACTTGCAAATGTATATCGTGTGATGCAGCAAGAGTAGCCAAAGAATCCTTATTACCATACAAATCTTTCAAATGAACTGGTACCTCTCCATTGTCCGCAAAACCACTTAGATAATTTAAAATTAATTCATTCATAGTATTGTTGTATTCAGCCTGTGAATTTCGTAATAAAGAAAAATGCTCTCGTGCGGTTTCTAAGAATGAACTGATCATATTCATCATGTTGATCCTAAAGACTTCGTTTATATCCTATTTTCATAAAGAAAAAAAAACAAATCTTTCTTAATCCAATTATTAAATCCATCTCAATCACAATACTAATTGTAAATTAATGTCATATACATACTTCTATCTGATCGTGTAATATAACTTCTTTAGACATTAATTGATTTCGTGCTTTAGATAATAATTCATTGAATTCGTTAAACAATTCCCTCACTTTTGCAGCAATGTCATCAGTTGCATCGGCATCTCCCTCTCGTTCTTCTATCAAAGTTTTCATTACATCTTTTATATTCGCAAATATCTCCATTTTTCTTTCGAGTACTTCATCCACAATTCTTAAACAAATAAATTGAAGAAAGAAAAGTTACATAAATAATGCAGGACATATACTAATAATTAAAATAGGTCACACACATACATATAATTAATTATAATTAAAATATTATTTTTGAAAGTAACGTTTTAATTGTATAATTTTTATTTCTCTTACTTTCTTGCTACGTTTTGCTTATTTTCCTTGCCTTCGTTAACAACAAGTTCAAACAATCTTATTTCCTCTGTTCTTTTATCATGTTCTTGTAAGCCTAATTCATGTAAATTGTGACATATTGCAGAGAAAGACTTTCTGTATTCCTCAAATGCATTCTGTGTATCCTCATTTATTGTAGATAATATCCTGCCCACTGTGCATAAATACACTTAAATAAATAACGTGTACATGCATATATACATAATAAGAGAGATAAAATAAATTTACCTTCATTGGCAGAAAACATTTGCTGAAAAAGAAAATCTTCATCAAGATATTCCACATATGCTGCAGTTAATAATGCGAGCTTGTCTTCAAATTCTTGTTGTAATTTTAATTCTGTTTGTACTTTTGCTTCGTTTTCCTCCAAATTACTAATTATACGACTGTAGAAAATGACGCAATTATTTATAATATAAAATATAGACTTTTCTAATCTATGTTAAAACAATTACTAATGCTTATCGATGGCAGAATGACGAGTACTTTCAGGTATAATTCTGTATTGATAATAAATTAATTGCGGCACAAATGCAAACAGATAATCCAAGTATCCATCCATTTCAGTGCACGGATTATCACAAGTGTTTAAACTTCTCAGTGATTTAAAATCACGTAAATATATGACCTATATCAATAATTTTATAAATAATAAAAAAGCAATAAAAGAAAAACAGCTAGTTTTATACATACATGCTTCCAATCATTGATCTTATTTTTACCAATATTCAAAATTGTTAGTTTCTTTAAATTATTTAAGCCTTGTATAACAGAGATTTCATTACTGTACAAAAGCAAAATCTCCAGTTGATCTAAGTTATCCAAGTTCTCCATAATTTTTATACGATTAAAGGAGAGATCCAATTCCTTGAGATGAACAAGTTCATCCAGATTTTCAATTCTCTCGATAACATTATGGGATAGTGACAATTTGATCAAGTTCTTCAATGGCCAGAGATGATCAATGTTTAAAATATCTGCAAAACGTGATAAAAAAGTTAGAATACCTTTCCAACAAATTTAAATTGTGTGTGTATATACATATAGTGTCCTAAGAAAATTGCTAAAACTAATCAGTTTATTTTTAAAGCATGCAATTATTAAGAAAACGAAAATGTGTTGTAAAAAGAAAAGTCTACAGCTTTTAATGGATATAAATAAAATGTTTGTTACCAGTTTATTTCATTGAAAAAAAGTACTAAAAATATATGTGTGTATGTATTATATATGTATGTTCACACATATATTATTATATTATTATTAGGTTCATATATGTGTATATAATATATATGTATACTTACTAAGGAACTCAATGCGGATTTCCTTCAATGCATTCAACTCGATTCCGTCTTCGAGGAATAATTTGCCAGCTTCTTTCCTTGGTCCTTGATCGATCGCTAAAGAAATAAGTATACTTTGGGTTATCACGCCGGGTTCGGTAGCTTCGCGCAACGCGCTAGCCGTGTCCACTTTGTACATTTTTACTCGAAGTTTATTAGTCTTAAATATAGACGAATGTATAATGAATCTAAAATAATCCAATTATCCAAACTTACGAAAATGTTTACGTTACCCGCGTTACCAGCCGAATGATCTATCTGCGCATGTCGTGACGTCAAAATGTCCAGAAATATAGGCGCGAAATATATAGGTTTCTCTCTGGTATATATTTATTTTTAACATTTTTTTTAGTTTTAACGTAATTCTTTTACTTTAATTTATAATAATTAAGCACTAAATAATTAGGCTTATGTATATATGATTGGAATTCTATTCAGCGATTCAGTTCGTTTGATTTATTAATTTATATTGCTTTGAATTTGATATAAATTGACGGAATTTAAGAAAAAAAATCTATTTATTAATATACTGATAAATACACAGCCAGTAATTTTTTTTTATTTTTTTCTTACCTAAGTGCAACTGTCAAAAGTGTCAAATCGTAAGCTGTCAATTGCATAAATTTTTGAGTCATGGTACACGAATGATCTAGATACGTATACTTCGTATGCTATTTCTATCTTCAAGTTGTCGAAGCTCGGAATTTTCAGCCAATGATGAAAATTGATGAAGAGCAGTCGTATCATCATTCTTTCCTTTTTTTTGTGACAGAGAATTGTTGACAGCTACCGTAAAATAGGTAAAATAGGTGCGTCCCCGTTCCAGTACGAAATCACGTTTTAATAAACGGGTAATGAAATTTCATTATCTGCATTTATTGATAACACTCGTTATCAGTCATCTTGGACGATTAAATATTTAAGCTTATAAGAAAGGTCAATCATTGAAAGTTATTCGCGATTTATAATAAATTTAAAATAATAATTATCAAAGTGATATATATATATATGTATCACATGTATACAATTTATAATTTATACCATCGAATAACAATCGCGAGAAATATCGATAAATGTTATTTTTTTCACATATTCTAATTTATTCATATATATTTTATATTAATCCATATTTTAATTACTTCTTAAAAAAATATTAAATTATCTATTTAAATATATATTTATGCTGAAGAATATTTACAAAAATATATTTCAATTAATACTATATGTTTAACATTTAATAATTCGTTTAATAATCAGTTTTCAAAGAACTTGTATATTTTATTATTATTTTGTTATAGAAAAATATGGCTACAGCATCATCAACAAAAGAATTTTCCTTGAGGTGGAATAATTTTTCCAACAATCTGACTTCTGGCTTCCTCTCTCACTTAAGCGAGAATGATTTGGTTGATGTGACATTTGCTGTGGAAGGACAATTGTTGGCTGCCCACAAACTGGTTCTTTCCGTGTGTAGTCCTTACTTCAAAAACATATTTAAGGTACAAATTCATTATTGGTGATGTCTTGCAAAAAATATGCTCAAATAAGAACTCAAAATTGTCTTGCCAGGAGAATCCTTGCCAACATCCAGTGATAATACTGAAAGATGTAAAACATACAGAAATTGTAGCTTTGCTGAAGTTCATGTATCAAGGAGAAGTGAATGTAAGGCAGGAAGATCTACCAAATTTCCTAAAGATGGCACAAATGCTCCAGATAAAAGGATTGGAGGGTGGCGAGGGGCAAATCATATCACTGTTAAACAATTATGTCAATGTGTCGGATTCACAATATGATTCTGAGAACGTAACTACCTTATCAGATGCCATAGATGAACAAGAAAATGAGAATAAATCTTTAAACGAATCTTCACAGTCTCACAAGACAACCAAGAGAAATGCTAAAAAGAGAAAGAAACACATAGTTGAGAATGATTACAATTCGATAAAAGAATCTAAAAGTGAGCCAAATGCCAATAGCAAAGACATTTCTCTCTTAACAGACGATAATGAAAAAGAGGTTAATGATTCTGAAAGTGAAAGGGACAATAATGATAATAATGATGATAATAGTGAAGAAATAATAGAGTTGCCTAATGAATCAAATTTGGAAGAAAATTCAATACAAACAGGTATATTTTATCATATTGTATGTGTTATTTTAATATCTTTGCCTGGTGGTACATGAATCTTTTTATACTACCAGATTTATGCATAAATTAGTCTGATTATATTTTTTGAGAATTTAGGGAATCAATTAGTTTCAGAGAATATAGAAAGACAAATCACTGAATTAAAATTGGAAATACTGAATCTTTATTTAAATAAGTTATAAATGCAATTAAAATGTAGGGAAAAACATGAAAAATTACAATAGATCAAAAGAAACATTATATATATAATAAAATGATAATAAACATAGAATACAATGTAATAGTAATTGTCAAAAACATGTATGTACTGTAGAATTAATAAGTAAAAATAATGTTTGCATCCATTGTAAAAACTTGGGGTAAATATTGTCCAGTTGTACATTGTTTAAGAAACAAAATTTTTAATAAAAAGAAAAACTTGTTTTAAGAAAGATGCATATAGAAGAAAATCAGTCTTTATGCATTTTAATGGATCTAAGATTGCCATATGCTCCATTAACTAAATTTGTTCGAACATTTGATCGTGAAACAAAAATTGTAATTTGCAGCTGTAGAACCAGTGATTTATAGGCTGTCTGCTAGAGGCAAACCACAACTGGTTCATGAAGGATACGTATATAATTTGACCTCCCGTTCCAAGATATACAACAACTCGCATTATCGTTGCGCGGAACAGCATCGCGGTTGTCGCGGAAAATGTTCGGTGATCGCAGAGAGGTTTATGCCAACAGGAGTACGAGATCATAATCATCCACCGAGTTATCAATCGGAATATGATTATAGAAAGAAAAAGGGCACTAGCAATGTCTAAGGATTATTCCACGCTACAATTTTATAAAGTACTTTGTAATTAATTAGACTCGGATGCATACATCTTGGTCTATATATCTATATATATATATATACATCTTTCTGAAGACTCAACAATTGAAACAGATAACACACTGTGAGGTAAAAAAGGTAAATATTCATTTGAATTTAAGAAAAAAAAATATTTGTATGTGACTCTAATCTCCTAGAGATCAAAGATTTATCCTAATTAAAGTGATAATTGTTTTAATCACAAAGCATTTACTGACAAAACATAGAATCTAGATGTTAGTCTTGTAAACTAATTAGATTCTATAATTTGGCAGTGCTCTGCTGTTCAGTGAAGAAATCAATATAGCATTCAATTTGCATTTGTACTAATATTCCGAGAAATTGTTATATTATTACAATATTACATCATTGAAAGTACGTTCTTAAGACTTTGTATAAATTTTTTTAAATAACTTCTCTATGATTGAATTATATTCCAGTGTAAATAAAATTAATAATTTTGCATATAGTTACAAAATTTTAGGATAACTCAGTTAAAAATTTTTAAACCTGCATTTTCTGTGTTGAATTACAACATTATAGAATTCAATAATATATCACAATTTATACTTGTAATATATATCGAGAGTGTCGAATTAGCTCTATTGTATATTTTATCTTAATTAGTTTTTCAGTTCTGTAAGATCAATTTACTTCTTCCAATTTCTTATTTAATTCTAAAGTCTTCCAAACAAATCTTTTTTGTATCTTTCTCTCAAAATTCATTGAATTATTTTATAATGTTATAATTATATGACAGAATGAATTCGATTTGATTTAGATAGTAAGTTTTAATTTATAAAGCAAATTGTGAATTTTTCACTGAACAGTATTCATATGCAAAAGCCAAAACAAAAGCTGTGAATTAAATGAATATGTCTAACGTTAGATAAGAAGTACAAATGTTGGCCTAATTTTCAAGAAATTCTTCGCACACTATAAGCATTTTGTGACCAATATATACAGAATTAAAGTCCAATGATTATTATATTATATATTAAAAAAACCGTAATGCCATGTATACAAAATCGATTGAAACATCGTTATAATTCCTGTAAGTTTCCACATTCCCATACAAAGATTATATATACATGTATATATTACATTAGATTTAAATGCAACACTGTGATGCGTCAATTTGTCAACTTTGAGAATTTAATAAATAACGTGATTTATACATTACGTCATTGCTTATCTATTTTGAATCAAATTTTCATTGAAAAGAGAATGATTAAACTTTTAAAATTACGATATACACAAGTATTAGTATATATCTATTATCTTATTTGACTTTCATTTATATATATTTTTGAATGCGCATTTTGACATCGTTATTCCGTTCTCCGTTTTCGTGAAAAGGCACCTATTCACCACTTTTTATATTCAAATTCTTACACACATAATCAAAGATTTTTATAAGACGGAGTATATACTGCATAATATTGTAATTATAAAACGCCGTTTACGTTAGTATTATAACAAAGTTAAAAATAATGGTGCTGAGATACTTTTTGTCTAGCGACTTCTACGGTTTTATTCCTATAAATATAAGCCAAAGATGATAATAGTTATTAAATTATTGAATTAGCTATTAATATATAATAAATATGTAATAATCTTATTCAAATGTGAATATAATACATTTGTTACATTTAAGTTTTAATAATTATTTAGCATCGCCTTCGACTTATTATAGGGATAAGTCCGTAGATTTATTAAATAAGGAGAATATGTTTCAATCTTCCTAATTTTGAGACATGTTGAAATGACCTATCAAGAAATTATTATATGGAATATTCGAGTAAGGAATGAAATCAATTTCCCAGTTGGCGGTTCTTTTAAATTCTATAAAATTATTTCTATATTTGTTCCTTGTAAAACTGCGCAAATTCTAAAGTCTCGTTCGATTTCAAATTGTATTTTGTTATAAATGTTGAACGACTCTAATACTTTTCGATATCTTGAATATCCAGAGGAAAGTTAGTTTTAATTTTCTTATAACTTTCCGGATTCTCTCAAACTTATTACCTAAATCTCGATTTTAAATCAATTAGTGTACAATACCAGTTGTACACTAATTGATAATGATAATTTTATTAATGTCGTCTTGCCATTTTTTTCTCTAACTTGCGTTGCTTTTTTTCACTTATCTCGGGCTGTTCTTGTGGCTGGGCGAAAAACCATGGAGCCAAAATTTGTTTCCAGAGCATCCAGCTTCCTCTAACTGGTACCTGTAAAATTTTTATATTGTAAAACTTTTATATCGATGAGAATTCTATGTATATGCAATTGTATATGTATATTATATACATTTTGTAATATTGAATAAATATAATAATATAAACAATTATTTTTTGTCAAAATACTTACCAGAATCCACAACAGCCAGAAGTAGTTTGAAATAAGGGACAGGATTTGTACTCCTGATGTCAGTATAATTAAATCTTTGACATGTCTAAATATCACAAAATTTTATGTAACAAATAATGAAAGAATCACAACATAAAAGCAAGCATAAAAGATTCTATTTCAACAAATACTTACTCTGCTATACCGCCTTCCATATTGAGATCAACACCAGAATCCAGGAGTTTGCCAGACTCTGAATATGTAGCACGAGCCATGTAAGACATAAACTGATAACTTCCTACATATACAATTGTAGAAAACGCCATTATTATCTGTAATGAAATAATAACACGTGCTATTTAAAAGTGAATTTCTACTGCAGTGTTTTGAGTGCCAGAAACATCGAATGTGAAACTACTTACTATCGTCAGTGTAGTTAACTCAAACATCACCATTGTTACAGCAAAGTAAATTCCCATGGCTCCTAAGGCCATGTTGGTGTAGAAGCTCAGCGTGGAATCATTCTCCTCCTTTATTTGCTTCGCACCCTTGGTCAGTGGCTTACCTTTTATAAGCTGCGCAGAATAAAAAATGAGATATTCAAAAGCAAATACATTTTTGTAATTTGCAGATCATCACTGATAACGATAACATGCAAGTGAAAAGATTTTACGTTATTTTTAAGTGAACTTATGGTACGAATATCTCAAACAAAAATGAAAATCTTCCTTATGGAAGCAACATCTAATGAAGAACAAATATTTTACTATAAGAAACATGTGTTTTAAAGACCAGCAATACTTACTACCATTTCGAATGTGCTTTCTGCTAAAAAAGTTGCTTTAAATTTTTATGGCATTTAATTTAAATTTAATAACGACAGATGACAAGCGGTTAACCTGATATCGTGCAATGTCATGTATGTATGTACACGTGAGTTATTCATGAACTTACATGATACAAGAGATGTATACTACTTGTATTTTTTTGCTAGCATATATTTTGCAATAACAACGCGCGAAAAATGATAAAATTCAAATATGTAATAATAATAAAAACTATATAGAGATATATTTATGTTACATAGAGAATTTGTATACCTATTATTTATATGCGAACTGATAAAATAATTGTCAAGCGATAAGTATATAAAAAATGCTACTTTTTATGCGTTTCTTAAATTTTATTTTAAATTTATGTATTTAATTATGTGTCATTATATTTATTATATATATAATAATTATATATAACTATATGTAATAATTATATGATAATTATAATGTATATTTTAATATAAATAATTTTATATATTTATTTATATTTGATTTATTTAATATCAAAAAGCATACTTATCTTAATTGCAATACTAATTAAGCAATGTGTTTGAATAAAAGAATAATAATAAAAATAATATTAATAAAATTCATAAAGCTTACAGCTTTAAAAAATTCCAAGAGATTTTTTTCTATATATTCTTAGATAAAAAAATCTAAATCTATAAATAGAAAAATGTATTTATTTGCTGATGTTCATTATTTGATATTATTAATTTATGTGACTTAATGATTGCGGAAGCCTAAATGATAAGAGACGTTGCGGTTTTAGTCAATGCCGGAACAAGGATTCAGATAAAGCCGCGACATCATCGGGAACCCATTGTGCGAGTATTCTCTAAAAATTTTGTTCTAATCGTCCACACGTTTATTAAATGATATTCTTCGAATCTGTGAAAAAATAGTAAATTATTTGTTGAAGAAAGCAAAAATGTTTCAGTTCGGACGATCAGAGGGTTTTCCTTCACAATATTCCGCGAATCATACTCCGGTGACGATAGACGTGACCGAGACTATATTAATTGCGATTTTCGTAATTATCTCGATTGCTTATATCAGTATTATACCAGGCTACCGGAAAAGGCAAGTGAGTACAATGAAAAGATTCCAGAGTTCTAAATAACACATTTCTCAAAAAATCTAATGCTTTAAGATCTTTCAGATGTGTTTTTTGCTTTGCATTTATGTATTATCTTCAAAGCAACAAAATTTCCTCAAAAATTATTTAACTTATACGAATAAATTCAGACAAACCACATATATATGTATATCAACGAAAAATTATGTGTATCTAAATTTCTACTTTATAATATCACAAAATAACATTTTAAAATAAACGAAAAAGTTGAATTTAACTGTATGTATACATAATATGTAATTTAATACATAACATTACTTAGAATTTTAAAACAATACACAATTACAATTCTCAAGTTTTGCATCATAAACTAATGAAATCATTATCATTATTGCTTAGAGCATCTACACAACTATAAAAATCGCGTTTAGTATTGTGATTGGATGTTTCTTAATAAGTGAGTATTTAAAAAAAAATTTTTTATACTTGCCTATATTGATTTGAATTTACACAAATTCATCGTTGGGTGTTAATTTGCAGTAGAGAACTTTGGTCAGGAATGGGAATGCGGCCAAACAAGAAGCAAGACACCCTATCGAGCTGGTGTAGGCCAGGAAATCGAGGCTCAAATGGCAATTAAGATAGGACTGAGATCGGTGAATATCACGCTGAAAGGTAATTTATGGCAATTAATTAAAAAATAGAGATACACGATTTCACACACTCGTACATCTTTCAAAAGAATTTCAAAAAATGACTTTTCTAAAGTAATTTTGTGAAAATGAAATTCTAATTTCCTTCACATATGGATCTGTTAAAAAATAATTTTTTTCAAAATAATATTACAAAATATTATTCTAAAATAATTTATACTTTCCCAGATTAAATTTTTTAACACGTTTCTTGCAAAATAGAATTGAATTGAAAAATTGTTTTAGCTAATCCGGAAGAAGGTACACTGCTCGCAAAGGAAACAATTGATTATAACGAAAGATTTCCTTGGACGTGGGATCAAGGCAGGCTCGGTTTCGGACCCTACGGTATCTATGTGTTGTAAATTATGCAATTATCTCAAAAGTTATTTATACTAAAATTTCAGCCGGACTGCTGCAAAGGTCCTTCCGCGAAGGACAAAGGAAGGGTTTGCCAATTCCCATTTTATGGATCGTCGAGTATTTCGTCATCGATGGAGAAGGCATTCGATTCGGGAGGTTTTATCGAACAGCCGGATGGTACTGTCACATCTTACTGTGGTCAGTATAAAAAAAGCATAAGACAAATATATATACATATATATATAAATAAAAAACAAAGAATTTTGTATTCCTGTTTTTCAGCTCATGCGATAAAATTTAGGTCTGTAAATTAAAATAAACTACCTCCTTTAAACAAAGACATTTCGAAAATTTTCTCGATTCTCAGGACCGCCTTCGCCTGCTGGGTCCTGGCTAACATATTCCTACAATCCGTGAGCCGATACGTCGCCTATTTAACCGGCTTGATAGGCGGCTTGCAGCTGTTAACTTGCCTCGTCTGGGTCTGCGTACACAATCCAATTCCGCTTGTAATTCCTTTCGAGGATGGCGTGATTAAGATGACATTAGGCCTGCATTTTTGGATGACTTTCGGATGCGGTAAATTTTTCGAATGCTGATTCTCGAGTTTCTGCGTTCTTCTGACATTCTAAAATTTTTTCTGAAACACACAAGTCTTATTCTTTTAATTTCTTTTCCCTGGAATTTGTATTAATAAAATAATACAATTAATTTTGATATTATTTTAAAATTTATCAGAGTTAATACTATCAAATTAAAAGATCCTGTCATTTCATTTTTTCTAACAAGACTCGCAGTACTTCTAACATTTACTTACTTTTTCCACAATATTTAGCATCATCATTTATATATTTGATTGCAGGATTACTTTGCGTTCTTTTGGCGATCATAATGATATTTATGGATTTGCGTTATCCTAATACACTGTCTACGTTTTTGGGAATAGATCCACTTAGCCAATATGATGAATGTGTAATACGTAAGTACATTAATTGTGTAATTTGTAGCAAGTTTAGAATGTCGCACTGTGCTTACAGAATGTGTGATGTTGTTGTAATCAATAGGAAGCTATCAAATGGACAATATATTGCGTAAGAGAGTACACATAGATGACTCGATGGAAATGACTTCAATCTCTGCCTTTCCGCAAGATAAAAACACAGGAATGGTAAAAGATAAAACATTCAAAATAACACTTTTAAATTATCAGAGTAATTAAACAATAAAATTGCAGATGGTGTTAAAGAGAAGATCGACCTTAAAAAACGCACAAAAGTCGCTTTTCCTCGCGTCAACTCCCATAAAAATGGAAATCTACGATGATGTAGCTATTTATGAAAACCAAGACATAGCAGGGTATGTTCGCCTACTTTGAAAAACTAACGATAATTTGCAATATATGTCCTTCAAAGAAATATGTCTTTCATATGATTAAGCATATTTGCCCTCATATTTTATTACTTATCAATTGGCTCTTGTAGTTCTGGTCAAAAGTATGAACACCTTTAATGAATAAGTCAAAACAGATAGTTTAAATACTAAAATACAATTACTAGTATAATTTCTAAAATTAATATTATTTTTAAATATTGATCGCTTTAACATAATATATGATTATCGAAAGGCGCTCTTTTTCGTGACCAAGACTGTATATTATAGAAGGATATATCATAACACACTATCATTCGCCCCTTTATTTCTTCTAGTTCATCTAAAAGCACGCCTAAAATGGAAATAATCAACAAGCCGAAAGAAGTCAAGCCGCCGCCTGTTCCGAAAAAGAAGAGGATAAAGGTCGGTCCCTGAATGTCGAAATCAATCATTCACTTCCGATCTATCCTATCAACACGAATAGATCGTCACTTTGAAAGAAGAAGATCGATGTATATAAATGCGTGTATTTCTATTATCTTGTATCAATACACGTAGCGACCAAGAAACGTAGCTTTTTCGAAATAAACCAAACGATCCGATCAAACGACACTGATTGCGTCCGTTGCCCGAGTCTTCCTCTAGCTTTCCGATTCCGCCGTCTTTTCTTTGCTGTCGTTGCTCTCCGATGCGGATCTGCCCTTCTCCTCCGATTGTTTCGATTCCGACTTGTCGCTGGATCGCTTCTCCTTGCTAGACTTCTTCTCGCTTCTGCTGCTCTCCTTTTCGGGTCTCTCCCGGTCGCTGTCACTTCTCTTGCCGTTGTCCGACTTGTCCTTGCTACGTCTCTCGCGCTCCTTGTCCTTGGATTTATCCGAATATTTGGATTTCGACGATCTCGACTTGGATTTGGAACGCGAACGTCTGGATCTGGACTTAGAGCGCTTGCTAGGCGAGCGCGAGCGGCTGCGACGACGCGGCGACCTCTTCTTGCGCTCCTTTGATCTGGAAGGCGATCGGCGTGATCTAGAAAAATCATCAATTACTTTAACATATATAATATACGCATAATAAATGATATTATTATATTTTTTTACAATATTAAGGCTCCTGGATCTTAGAGCCTCAGTAGTGTTTCGTCAAAATATTTCTTCAATTAAAAACGGCATCTAAAAATTTTCAGCGTATTTGATCTTAATTAATTTCTGATTGAATTTTGTTTGAGCGAGGCATTATATTGCATATATATTAATATATTATCAATATATGAATAATATATATTACATATAATAAATTATTAAATATTTAACATATTAAGCTTAAAACATCTCTCGCTTCTGACGTCACAATCTAATATAATCGACGAAGAGCCAGGGGCCTTAATTCCAAAAAAAACGGCTCTTCAAGATTATAAATCGAATAAATAAAAAGCTTGTAATATATATATATATATATATATATATATATATATATATATATATATATATATATATATTACAAGCTGTTTATTTAGTTTAATATATATATATATATATATATATATATATATATATTACAAGCTGTTTATTTAGTTTAATATATATATATATATATATATATATATATATATATAAGTATAATAAAATATATATAATGTAACGATTCTGAGTTGGCGAGAGTAGAAAATTTTACCTCGAGCGACGCGATCTGCTGCGCGAACGATGATGGCTGCGCGAGCTGCTGCGTCGTCGCGAGGGCGAGCTGCGTCGACGGTCTTTAGATCGTGAGCGCTTGGAGCGCGAGCGGGATCGTCGACGATGGCGAGAGCGCGAGCGCCGATGACGCGAGCGCGAACGTTTCCGCGACCTGGAGCGCCGACTGCGACCCCGTGAACGCGAGCGCGATTTGCGACTGCGCGAACCGCTCCTGCTGCGCTTGTCCTTGGACAGCATACCGATCATGGGGTCGATTGCGGCGGAGATGAGATTGTGCGCCTCCTTCACTCGCGACATCGCCTCTTCGATCTCCTTCTGCGCTGCCTCGTTGCTCTTCGCCTCCGGCTTCGCTATCGCCTGCGTCGAGTGGTAGATCTTGATCGGCCGCTCCGCCAGCTGCTTCCCGTTCAGCAACAAGGCCGCGATTACGGCCGCCTGCTCAGACAGCTCCACCAGCGCGTAATGCTCGCTGTCGGAGTCCCTGCTGCACATACGCAGGTACTTGATCTCGACGTTGTTGTTGCTGAAGAAGTCCAGCAACTGCTCGGGACTCACCAAAGAGTCTAAATTCGCCACTACAAGCGTTCGTCGCATCTCTTCGATACGCCTGCTGTCCAAGTGACCTGGCAAGTGTGGATAGGGCGGTAAACCGTTCGCCTCCAGCTTGGGATCCATCGTGGTTATTACGTGATTCGGTGGGATACCCTCGATAGCGTTCACCACATTCGGCGGCAGCTTCGGCTCTGATGGGTACAGACCTGAAAGAATCGACCAGATTACATTCAATGTTTTAGATGGCTCAACATGTTCAATATTTAATAATATATTATTATATGTAATATATTATTCATAATAATATATTAATGTATTATAATAATATATTATTAATATATTAAAATATATTATACATATGCAATCTTAATATATTATTAATATATATTAAGTCTCTCTTGATCTTTAATGAATTTTTGATTGAATTTCGTTCGAGCGAGACATTATATTGTATAAGATATATTAATATAATGTACAATATATATAAATATTGCAATATAATGACTCGTTCAAACAAAATTCAATCAGAAATTAATTGAAGATCAAGAGAAACTTAATATATTAATATATTAATTATATAATACAGCGAGACATTATATTGTATATGATATATTAATATAATGTACAATATATATTAATATTGCAATATAATGCCTCGTTCAAACAAAATTCAATCAGAAATTAATTGAAGATCAAGAGAAACTTAATATATTAATATATTAATTATATAATACAAATACTATATTAACATATTATTAATATATTAAGTCTCTCTTGATCTTCAATTAATTTCTGATCGAATTTTGTTTGAGCAAAGCATTATATTGCAATATTAATATATATTATATATTATATTAATATATTATTAATATATTATTAATATATAATTAAGTCTCTCTTAATCTTCAATTAATTTCTGATTGAATTTTGTTTGAGCGAGGCATTATATTGCAATATTGTTGCCGCAGTACAGATTCTAATAATCATAATCAAGTGAATTGTGATTTACACATTTTATCCTTACCTGGCACAACTGTGCCATTGTTGGTGAGCTCGAGGGCACGTTGCTCGTCCGGAATGTCTCCATTCTGGTAAGGGATCACTATCAATGCACGATCAATGAAGACAGTATTGGTCATGTGCTGTGCCACAGCTACGCAACCCTGATCGTGGAACTTGATGTAGCATATCCGCGACTGCACGGGCACGGCGACGTCCCTGATCGTCGGGTACAACCTGATGTCCTCTATCTTACCCAGGTAGCCGAAGAGGGTCTGCATCTGATCCTTGGTAGCCTGGGGCGCGATATTCGTCACTTGGACGACCTTCGTCGAGCCGACTGCCATCTCGGCCGCGAGCTAACTAAAATGCTTCGCACGCCCGAGGTCTTTTTTGTCCTCTCAGAGAGCGCTTTCAACCCGAAGACGAGGTTATGAAGGTTAGGCTCGCGACTCGACGCGTTGCGTCTCACGCGAACGAAATAAACCTCGCCATGCGTCGACCGACTTTGCCCTCGTCTCTGTATGCAAAAAAGTCCTCCGATGAAGAATTTTACCTTCGTATCGCGGTGAAAACACTTATCTGAAATCTCTTCGACATCAGCCCAGCTTCCTCGATCGGCGTTTCAGCGGCGAATCGAAGTTAGCCGCAAATCTGAAATATATCGATATTCTGCCGCATTGTGATTGGCTGATTCGAATCAATATCGATATCGATATCTCGTCGATCGCTCGATTTTTTTTTAAATTTCACTCTTATTACAAGTATTTATAAATGTAATAATTATAATTATTAATTATTAATTTATTATTTGTTCAGATTTATTTTAATTATTTTTATTATCAATTAGTTGGATAGAGATAAAAAGTAGCTAATAAAATATAGTATAGATATAATAATAATAAATACACAATTACACATTACAGTTATTTATAAATATAATAATTATAATTATTAATTTATTATTTATTCAGATTTATTTTTATTATTTTTATTATCAATTATTTAGATAGAGATAACAATAAAAAGTACCTAAATTATAGTACAAATATAATAATAATAAGTACTATAAAAAAAAGCTTATTTTTTGAGAAGAAGTCTGTAATAAAATTGTAAAAATTACTTTTGAAATAAATTAAATAAATATTATACATTATATATATACACAAAATGTACGCGATATGTGTACTGATATAAAACGTGAGGGTGAATATAAATTTTTTCCGTGCAGAGTGCAAAGACTTTCACTCACCTTCACCGATTTGCCTGAGCAAATTGCGTTCCTTGAATGACTGATTAATCTTTCACAAGTACAGGAGAACTTTGCGTACTTCGCATAATAGAAAATAATGAAGAAGATAGGGTTATTGCAGAAATAAGCTTCAAAGTATCGTTCATTCATACTTAATGGATTCAAAATGGCTATGAAACGTGGTATCATTTTGTCTTTGATCCGAATAAATCGTCTCGAATAAAAAATGATAATGGAATCGAGTTCGTTCCCTCGTTTGAGTCGTATTACGCAAAACTCTTCTACGAGCGCGCTTTACCAAGATTACATATCGCTGCGAAATTTTTCCTCCGTAATTTCTTTTCATGGATGCTATCGAAGGGAACCATCCTCGGAAGCAAACGACAACCAATAATGCTTTGATAGTCCGCTATCGCGTTTACAGTCGTCGCGTTCGCATGATGCTTCATCTTGGTGGTGTTTTACAAGACCGAACACATTCCGCGACCCAATCGTACATCGTTGGATTCTTGGTGATCTTTATGTGCTTGCCTCAGTGTGTCTTCTTGTTTAATTTCACTCGGCACCACGTTGGCAATTTGTTGTTGATAGTGAAGTGCTTCGGCCAGATATGCACCTTCTTCGCGCCTGTGTTAATGGTATATACAATATATTAATTTATGATTAAAATATTCGGTATATCAGAAGATCTCACTTTTGCAAAGCTTCTAGATACAGGGTGGCCCTGAACGTTTCAGCCAGACTTTGAGATTTCACAGAAAATGTAATTCTAAACAAAAAATTTCCTATAAACATGGGTCGAAAAATGCTTCCTTAAGAAGTTATTGCTCAAAAACCTTTGATAAAGGAAGAACAAAAAGTGAAAAGAAAATAAAATAAAAAGAAAATGAAACTTAAAAGGAAGAGCAAAAGATGAAAAGAAAATAAAACTTAATAAATTTCTTGAAAAAAAAAAACAATAACGATAAAAAATAAAAATGTTTTTCTTTTATAAAAATAAAATAAATTTTTTAAACTAAACTGTGGTACGTAATAGTAGAAAATTAATAAAGACGTAAAAAGCTAACTGTTCTCAAAATGTCTTCCCCTAGCTTTAATACACTTTCGGCATCGAGTATAATGACCGATCTAGTTGCTTTACAGATATGAAATAATCACGATTTCAGAGGTTTTTGAGTGATAACTTCTTAAGGAAGCATTTTTTGACTCATGTTTTTTTATAGGAAATTTTTTGTTCAGAATTAAATTTCCTATAAAATCTCAAAGTCTGGCTGGAACGTTCGGGGCCACCCTGTATAAATAAAATAAATCTTAGAGGGTTCTTGTTCTCTGGAAAAAATAATGAGGGATTTGCAAAATGTGTATTTATTGTTATTATATTTATATACTATATTTTAGATATTTTTTATCTATATTCAAATAATTAATAATAATAATAAATCTGAATACTTCCATAGAAATGTTAACATTTTTTCCCGCTAAATTTCTTAGGCAAATCTCTCATCGTGACTTTTTGTGATTTTTTTCCCAGAGAAGAAGAATCGTCCAAGATTTACACAAAGACTATAGTATATATATTTTTTAATGGAATATCAGTTGATCTACAGGAAACTTATTGTGTTCTCTTCCGCCTTTCAGTCAGCCTGCTTCCTGAAGAAACGCAAGAAATTGATCGAGCTCCACGAGACGTTGAAGGATCTATTTGAGCGGGAACTTGCGCAGGATCCGGAAGTCGCTCTCGCGAATTTATACGCATTCGACAGGCCATATTGGATGGGGTTCTGCTTTACAGGATTGACGATCCTGTTCTACGTCTGTCCATCAATGATATCCATAATCCGTCAGATCGTTCACCAGACGGAACCAAGGAGATACAGATTGCCCTTCATGGCGGAGTTTCCGTGGACCGTTCATGTCGACGGTGGTTTCCTATTTTATCTGCATTATTTGTATCATTTGATCGTCGCCTGGTACATAGTCATCACTATCAATAGCGTCGATGGCCTCTTCGGCTTCTACGCGTTTCAGATCTCCTCGGTTCTGAACGCGATGACCGTCAAATTGATAAATTGGAGATCTAGGGAGACGTTTTCGGAGATGCTGGTAACTTGTATACGGATGCATGGACAATTACTCCAATGCAGCAATATGTTGGAAGATATCTGGCAACTGATAATCGTACGACTGCTTCTTGTCAACAGCATGCTTATATGCGCACTGATCTTTGAAGCGAGCCAGGTAATTAATAATTAGCCGAATTCTCAAAAACAGGGTTGAATAATAACTAGTTAATTATAGTTAAAAATTTTAGAAATTAATTTTTAACTTTAACTAGTTATTTTTGACCTTAAACTTATTAAACTTTTTTCTTAAGTTAAATAATAATGAGTAAATAATGTAAGAAAAATAATATAATATATATAATAATTAAATATAATGTAAAATATATAAAAATAATATGATGCTATTTAATTTGCGAGAGATTATACGATTTCAGTTTACAGATATTTCGAGCACTGAGGTTTTTGGATTCGTCTTTTACATATCATTAAAGCTTTTGCAAACATTTATGTATGCTTTGTACGGCAACTTCATCACAAGCGCGGTAAGATTTGTGCGATGGTTTTTCTAAGTTTAGATATAATTGATTATTTTATCATTAATTCTCAATAGAACTAATGTATTATTTTAGAGCGAACAATTTTGCGAGGGAATTTATTTTAGCGAATGGCCGGATTCTAATTTAGATCGTCATGTAAGGGCGAATGTTATTGTGACGATGATGCAAAAGCCGATAACTATAAGAGCACTAAAAATGACATCCGTAAATGTCACTATGTTTAGTAATGTAAGCATTTAATTAACAATTTATCGAACAAATCTTAGCGGAAGATATTAAAGCAGCTTTTAAATAAAATTTAAAAATCGTAATAACCCATACAGCACAGATTATTGCAATTATATTGCAGCAAAGTTGCAATGTTGCAAGTTGCAATGCAACATTATAAAGACATTGCAGAGATATAAGTGCACAAAATTCCAGCACACTTGTAGCAACATGACATTAATATTTCGGAAATATTGCATGTAATCTAAATTCTATAATTTATATATTGTAATATATATGAATTAACTACAAACGTATTTTCATTAATGATTTATTTACATTTATATACCTGTATATGCAACATTAGTTTATGGTTGCAATAACAATGCATTATTGCAAACTCATAACATATTGCAATATTGTTGTAATATTTTGTTGCAATCTTCCAAAAAGCGGACATTTTAACATTGCTGCAATTCAACAGCAATGATGTAGCAACATTTTGCAGTGAATTTGCAATATTGCAATATTGCGGTGAAAGATTGTTGTAATGTTTTTGCAATCTTTCGGTGCTGTATGGGAATTTATTGAAATATTTTTAATGCAATTTTGTCCTGTAAATCTATAATTTCTTTTAATTGTGTAAAAATATCTTTGTAATGAACAATAACTTTTGATTCTATATATAAAATAATTTATTTATATATGTTAATCTAATCTTGTTATTTTTATTGGCAGATCGTAAATACCGCTATGTCCTACTTCTTTCTCTTACAATCTGTGAATGAAGATACATAAAGATGAAAAGCTACTATTTTATAACTAATGAACAAATCTAAAATTGTTATAAATTATATTGAAAAATATAATAAATTAAGAAATTACTGTTAAACTCACCGTAGATAAGTAAAAATTCCATCAAAATTATTATAAAATGAAAGTACAATAGATTGTTTTATTTTAAAAAAAGTTTTAATGTTATACATATATTATTTGTTTTTATATCAACATCTATGAAAAAAGTCATATTGTGTTCGAAGTCGATATATATTTATAGTTACACATAAATTGGAAAAATTATTAATAACTCATTGTCAATTTTATATTACCATAAAAAATAATTTCCATAGATATCGTTCGCGATATCTTCAATAGAAAATTGAAATCTAGGAAGGCCTTTTTTATAGTTTTTAATACGCTCGTAACTCGTAAATACGCGCTTGAATTTAAAACTTCTTTACAACATCTGTTCTCCTAATGCAAATCTCTTTGGAGTGTTGCGCAATTCATTTAAGCGAGAGATGACACGAAGAATATATCTGGCAAAGCGGTATCTATTAAGAGCCCATATTGTGCGAAGAGGTTTCAAAAACCACGTGTTTTCAAATTTAGTTGCGGTACGCTCCACCGTAGCGCTAGTGTCGCTCTTTAAAATATTGAATAGAGGTTATAATTTCGAGCTGTCTTAAAGCTGATGTTCACAAACAAATTAAAACTTAAATATTTTTGTTTATGTTACATAATTTGAAATTAATAATGATAAAGCGATAATAAAAGAGGAATGAGAATGAGCGATTACGTTTAAAATAGGTACGCTCTTTTTTTTATAACTTTCATAAGATTTAAGATAAACAATTATATATATTGTAGATATCATTTATACATGTAATTTAAATAAATATTTTTGTATATAGTATGATAATTTATCTGATTTAATAATATAATATGAAATTGCGTTTGTGCATCAAATTGACAGACTTGCTAATTGTGTAAAATGAATTTTTACCACTAGGGTATCTTCGATTCTCAAAATGTTGCATGAGATTTTATTGTCACTTTGGGGATGTTCAACCAGTGTATCGCAGATGATAGAGGCAGATGTAAGTATATATATATATCATAACTACAATATTAAAATAAAATATTAATTATAACGATCTTTTTATACATATTATTACTAATCTCTCTTATAGTCTATAGATCTTGACAAATATCTGCATCCTGGGGAACAAGCGTTACTCAAAAAAATATTAGACATTGCTAAGGAATGCAATGTCATACGAAGTTTTATACACACTGTGAACAGTGAGGATACAAAAGGTCTCAGAAATATTCAGATCAAATATTCTGTGGAAATTGCATTATTGTTCTATGCTCAATTTGACCCTTTTCTATTTTCAGAATGTATCCCTCCTGGCCTATATATACGTGCTTTATGTGATGGAATGGATCAAGCTCTTGAATCATTTCGTGAAGAAATAATTGAACTAGAGCAAACAGTCTTAAATGATAATCATACACCTTTGTCGTTAATTCTTTGCAATGTTGAAAAATACACTTGTCTATTTTCTCTTTTGCATTCCATTATTCGTGAGGTAACTATATATTTCTTTAGGAATTTCTTCAAGAATTTTGCATACAATAATTTATTTATTATTGATGTATTTCTAAGCTTAGATTAATATATTATTTATTTTTCTTATTACACTTTGTCACAATATCACAATTATTTTACAATGTTTTCATCTGCAATTTAAGAGGAAATCTAAATAATACAAAGCATACTTGTTATACTCTTAAATGAATAAAAATGAATTAATTATTATAATTTGCAAAAGATGAACAGAGAGAAGGAAGAGAAAAATTAATGTAATTTTATAAATATCTAAATTTTCTTTTTTTACTTTAGATTCGTACGCAGAAACTCCATGGTTGTAAATTGTTGCAATGTTTACATCAGCGTATGCATACCGGAATATCTGAGATCAGCTCCACTTTGGAATTGTAAGAAATTTGTAATGAAATCATTAGCATTATTACACGATTAGCATTCTTAGCATTCATAATCTTGATTTATTTTTTCTTTTTTAGACTGACCCACTCTGTACATATAGTTTTCTACAAACATCTAACAAGCTGGCTTTTGTATGGGCACCTGGAAGATGTTCACAGAGAGTTCTTCATACAGAAAGCATTGGATTGTGAGAAAACCCTTGTGCATGAGGATGTGAAGAATGACATCGAGACACGCGATCAATCAACAAATAGCAAAAATATCAGTGTTGATATGTGGGATTATAATGTTCAAATGGACATGCTTCCATCTTATATAAGACCATCATTGGCAAACAAAATCCTGACCATTGGTCAGACTGTTATAATGTTTGGAAATGATCCTAGGCAAAAGAAAGGTGATTTTATGAAAAAGATTTACAAAGGGATATATAATTATATATAAAGATAATTACCTAAAAAATATTTTAGATGTCAGCATGATGTCGAAAAGAGAAAATTCCGTATGGGGCGACAAGGAGTACGAGTATTTCAGGAAACTTCAGAATCTCCAAGCGAAATCGGTTTTCAACATCGTCGAGTTCGATCGCACAATCAACGAATTAAAACAGTGCGTGACAGAACTTCTGTGGAACGTCGCCGTCGAAGAGGCACAACTGATGCAACAACTAAGACTGGTGAAGGAATTCTTCCTGATGGGTCGCGGTGATTTGTTCTTGGAATTCATCAAGCTTACGGCGCATATCCTGAATAAGACACCGACAAGTCACACCTCCAGAGATATTAATCTCGCGTTTCAAATAGCGTTAAGAAAAATGCATTTGAACGACGAAAGCGCTATAGATAGTTTTAATTTCGCGGTGCCCGTTCTACTTCCTTCCGAAAACGAGAATGTAGATACGGATGCCACTGATCTTCCCGATAATGAAAGACAAGATCCCAACGGTGCATATTTATGACACTTTATTTTGTCGCATTTTATTTTTAAGATAGTTAAGAATAAAACAAATTTGATTTTCTTTTTTTTTAGAAAAGCGTGGATGGGGTGTTATCACACTCAAGTACAAAGTTGTTTGGCCGTTGCATCTGTTATTTAGTCCAGTCGTGTTGGATGATTATAATATTTTGTTTCGCTTCCTGTTGAGAGTTAAAAAGACTCAAATAGATTTATGGAGTCTTTGGAGCGAACACATGCATCATAAAAATATGTAAGTTACATCTATAATAATTACAGTTAAAATTAAGATCTTTTTGTTATTCGTAACTCCTGTATAACAAAATATTTGTAATTCACAGTGACATTGGTGTGATCCAGTTGAGAAATAATTTAGTTTTCATTGTCGACAATTTACAGTATTATTTACAAGTGGATGTATTGGAAAGTCAATATGCCGTGATGGAAACTAATATGAAAAGCACTCGAAATTTTGAGGACATACAAAAGGCGCATTCTATATTCCTAGCTAATGTCATGTCGCAAACTTTTTTACTGAACAATGGAACGGGAAAAAAAAATTCGGTAAGTTCTATCATAGAATGACTCGTAAAATTTACAATTATGCAGAGTATAACAGATTTACATAGTTATTCATATTTCATATATCAATTTTTGGATTAATTTGAAATCGATCTTTTCTAATCAAAAACATAAGTCATTGTGCATATTTTCAATCTTCAATATTATTTTTTAACAAAACTACATACACAAAACTTTGTTAAAATTTATTTAAAATTAATCGAAGAAGGATCTACTACCTATATTTAATTTCTGAAAAATTACTTTTATATATTTAGAACACAAAAATTATTAGTCTTGTTCTTTATTAAAATCAGTATTTGATACAAGAAGTTCACAGTTAAAAATTGACTCTGTTAATCTAAATCTAAGCCACTTCATGTGTATTGTGTTTTATTATTTGTTCTCATTTTACAAATATTTTCAGGTAAATATGTTGATAAATATTTTGTTACGACTATGCGACGATTTCATCTTACAAGCGTCCATGTGGGAAGTCGGCAATTTGCTTCCAACAGAGAAAGAGGAACTGAAAACATTATGTGAAACACTCGATAGTGTGATGGATTGGTTGACAAAGACATTGAACAGAGTGCGTGCACAACCTTGTGGAGAACACTTGGCTCGATTACTATTGAGACTCGATTTCAATAGGTGGTTTAGTAAAAAGTCTGAAAGAGATAAAAAAATCCACACAACAAATAAATGTTGATATAATACTATGAAAAAAGATAAAACATATGGCTTTCTTGATTCGTGTTATCATTATTAAATAATTAAATATTTAGACAAAAATAATAAAAGATCACACTATGTTATTAATAATTCTTAATTATTAAAAGTAAAATAAAATTAATTTATGAAAAAATAAGAACTTTATATTAAAAAAATAAGTTTAGTCTATACACATGTCCAATCCATAGATGATGGCCTTGCATATTTCTATATTTTTCCTTGAATTGACTTTTTTGTGTGAATTGTTATTTATAATTTAATTATAATTTACAATCAACAGAACAATTGTGATTATTATAGTTTGAATATAGTTGTATATATATCAAATGCTCTTTATAGATTATTGCACATTTAAATATTTATTCTGAAAAATGATGCTAATGGCAGTAACAATAAAATACTAATATAACATGTATGTGTGTCTACCATCCTTTTTATAATGTCTATAATTTTAATCAAAGAGAATTTTCATTTATTATTTCATATTGGTAAAAGAGACATTGCGAATATATATATCATATGGTATAAAAGGATGATTCTTACAGCATATGAGCATCATTTGAGATCTCTTAAACATTAATATTATTATTATTTGATATGTGATATTCTCTTTTATATTATATGTGACATGCTCACTTTTTTGTAACATGGAATTCTTATATAACTCGAAATTTCTTAATCGCTATTCTCGTCGTCGTTATAATCTTCATCGCCGTAGCCTTGTGTACTCTCATAATTGCGTTGCCGTAGTTGTATCGCGTTTCTGATGGACGCATCGGAAGATAATTCCTCTGCGGTGAAGCCGTCGTTATTCTTCAACGTTGTGTCCACATCATGTTCCAACAACAAATTTATCATATCCAAGTGTCCATGACTCGCTGCCACATGCAGTGGTGTATCACCCATTTTATTCTATAATAGAGAAGAACAAAAATTCAGAAATAAGGATCTTAGAACACATATAAAAACAGAAACAACGATATGTCTAAAGCAAAACATTATAAAAGAGTAGGCCATTTATATCTCACATTTAACACTAACTAAGCGTGTTTGTCTAATTTTTGTCTCATATCTCATGTAAAATATCGCGTTAAGTTTAATGTTACAACTAGTTCTGAAGTACACAGCTACATTTAGCATTAATATAAACTCCCAGTTCTTCAATATACAGGTTTACTCCTTACTTGAGCATTTATCACAGGATTTGACAAACTAAGAAGCTCGCTCGCACAATCCAGATGACCTGTACGTGCTGCCCAGTACAACGGCGTGTTCCCAGCTGCGTCTAAACCAGTCCCTGATATACCCTGCTTCAAGTATTCTCTTAGAAAGGAGACATTGCCGCGTCTCGCAGCATCGTGCAGGGGCAACTCGATCTCTTCTGTTTGTTCTTCGACTGAAAAAAATATATAAAAGATAATGTAAGTTACTATATAAGATAAGATAATAATATATAATATATAAGTATATATAAGTTACTCTATATAATATAATATAAGATAATATAAATTAAGAGAGATGAAAACAATTTCAGGCAATCCTCCACACCATAGGTAGCAGGTATAAGTCCCTTTTGTTCTCCGCACTTGGCTCTCCACCAGTCTGGATCGGTATCTTTCTCATAAATGTACAATAAGTCGTCTTCTTCGATTGATAATTCCTCTTCCTGCAAAACGAAATCACAGAAATATATATTCATTCTCACAAACTTATTGATCACTACACAAGTTATATACTTACACGTTGCGCATCATACTTGCACAATGCTCTGACCACTTTTACCTTACCTTGAAGATAATGCAATGTTAATATATTCATATTAAATATTATTTTATTTTAAAAATCAAAATTTTCGTTAACTAACTATGCCAAATACAAAATATATACTCTACATTTAAGTATTTAAGAAAATATTATTCTAACCTCTCTATATATAATACAAGAAAATATATGTTCATTAAAAATAAGTAAGACATTTTTTACAATAATTATAATAATTTATGCGATTTTTTTTATTATCGTTTTTTTCTTCATAATATTTCAAGCACATAATTTGTATTTTATAAAATTTTCCTTAGAATAGATTGAGATGTTAATTCAAGGTACATATGATATAACCTTAAACTTTTATTATTAAAATTTTATTAAATTTATAAGAAAAATAATAAATTTAACATAATTAATACAACAAATGCCGAACCTATGATACATATGTATAAATACATAGATTTATATATTTACATATAAATGTCTAAAGTTTTTTCTCATCATATATACATCATCATCCAGCAGCAACAAAGAATGCTTCAGTAATTTTAAGTAAATATTTCGATATCGTTATCGAATTATACATAATAAGGTAATAAGTTACATACTGCGACGCTGGACAACGTTATTAGCTCACATATCACTATTTTATGATATATTTACCAGGTTTCCAAATAGTTTTAGGTGGAACAGGTGGTTTTACAACTACACTCATGGCTGTAATTCTAACACCAGAATATCAATACATCATGACTCACATGACTGAGTTTCACAGTGATTCACAGTATTCCATGTAATTACACTCATCAAACATACAACTGATTATCTAAATCTTCTTTTTTGCCACTTTCATAAATAACACCATGTCTGTAATAAAAATGGATTAATTTGAATTACAATTTAATACAAATATAATCTAAATATAAAAATACAATAATCTAAAAATTTATATCAAACAATAAATAAAGAGGAAATTCCAACTGTATTATTGTAGAAAATATACAATTGTTATTATACTAAAATACTCACTGAAAAATACAACTAAAACAAAGGCTATCATAAGCCACACCCAGCATCTCCATGTCGAGGTAGTGTGCTCTTCTAACTTCAGAGATTCCTTCTTCAATTTAGCAACATTAAGGTCACTCAATTTGTCAGATGTTTCCAGCGCACCAATGTCCTTTTTTATAATAGCATTTGCCACTAATGCTTGTTCCTTTATACTGCTGGTCATGGAGAGCATATTCTCAGCAATCTTCTCCTGGATATTACGATTGTACTTCAGAATAGCATCTAAATCTTCATCTTGGATATTGGAATTTGATAATCTTTGTCGTACACCATCTCTATCTGTAGCTATAACACATAACAGATTCAATACAAAGTGCAAAACATAAAATTATATCAAGTTTTTATAATTATACGTTATGTACAGTAATAAAGGGACAATCACTTTTGTCACTGTGGAATAATTCCGCTCGTAATTCCCGATTATATTTCGCGATGGTCTTCTGATGTATTTGCGTTGTGATATTTGTATTGATGGAATCGTTTGTAGAAGTTGAATTTTTCGATAACAATTGTGCAGCCGCCACTCTCTCCACTGGATTTGATAATTTCATTGCACTTATTAGCCCTTTTAAGAAATCTATTCGTTTAGTGTAGCCTATCATAATATCTTTGGATGGTTTACTGAAAAGAAAATCAACTTTATAATACCAAAACATATGTAACATCCTTAACTGTAAGAATAACACTAAATATATCTAAATGTGTCTTAAAATAATATATGCTATATAAAAATATATATTATATTATAAATAATTAAAAATCTTACTTTGGTAAAGTTTGCAATTTATTTATCATGTCATCCAGAGCAAGTATATACTGAAATCAAAAATTTATAATTATCTATATGCATGTTTTATATCTGTAAGTAGATCTAATGAAGATACAGATTCTTGTATTTTTTTAAAAATAGTTATATTATGGAATAAATAGCCATAAAAGTGTATATTTAACATAAAAAATGCATACTAAAATAAGCTTTAATAATAAATATTTATAAATATAAATAAAATGTAAGATTTTATATCTAATATATAGATCTCACAGCTTTTTGCAGTTATTGTATAAATTGAAATTATTCTAATATTTCTGAAGAAATGTCAGATAAATATGCATTAATAATAAATGAAAATTCAGTAGAGATGTAAAGGTTAGAAGAAGCTCGCACACCTTTTCGAGTTTCCAGTCTTTATGCGGATCATCTTTCGCTATTAATTCGCAACGCGTTAAAAGTCGCTTGATATTAATTTCTAGCTTAGATATTTGAGCCATTTTAGCAAATTCGTCTAGTATTTTTATTCAATACAAATATATATATCATGTATCCCTCATGTTCACGTGAACCGTGAACTAGATATTAAACTGTTTTATCGTCAGTCGATATATCATCAATTATGTATAAATGATAATTTATCGACTGATACACAATTTATGGCGGTATATTTGAAATTTTTATTATATATATTTATATTCTAAAAATAATTCAAAATAAAAGATTGTTCATTTAAAAAATTTTTAAATATTGTAAAAATAAAGAGATATATATATATATATAATTCTTTTGTAATAATAAATAAATAATATATTTAATTATTAATATATTTATTAATTAAAATATATTATCAGATGTGAAAATTTGTGATAATTCAAAAAAGACAAATCATTTTGTTTCGAGCTAAAATATTCGAACTAATCGCAGAGTTCGAAAATTTAATTTAAATTGTAATTCAAAAATTGATGACGTACAGTTTACACTTTATTCATCTTATATCACAGCAAACGTGACTGTCGAGCCAAACTAACACATCTTCGCGGTTTATTTAATTTCTTATCGAAATATTCTTCCTAAAATATATATAAAATTTCCGCGATAATATATATATATGTATCACGGCAGCGCGCGCCTCCGTCCGAATTCGTCGCATTTCGCGTTTCGCGCAGAAAGCGAGAGGAGCTGTCATCTGTCATTGTTCGCGCGTTATCGCTCCTGCCGCGTCTGCAAGATCTTTTCCCGCGATATAAGGTTCTAGAGCGCGAATATTGCGTAAGCCTTCGGCGCCGAGGGGAAAGAGAAGACAGAATACGCGTATCCTATTTCGTGATCGTCATCGTGATTCGCGCGATATGGAGAGTGGGAGAGATAGCGGCGAGGCGAACGGCGAAGTGAAGGAGAGATCGTCTTCAGTCGTTAACACGTCCGAGTCGGAAGAGGTGTCCTACGAAAATCAGCAGCAGCAGGCCGACGTCGACATGGGCAAGCAAAACGCCGAGGACCTGGACGAGAGTGCTCAGGAGCGAATGCTCCAGGGGGATGACACCACCGCGAAAATCACCGAGAAGGACAACGTCGAGGTGAGGAATTTTCGTTTCTCCTCGTCGCGAATAAGACCCCGTTTCGCGAGAAATCAGCGTTCGGTAGTGATAAGAAAAGCGATAAAAATTTATTAATACGTGTCCAAGCTCGTGAACGAATTTTATTCTATTATTTCATCGCATATTTTTCGTAATAATCGATTTTGTTGATCGCAAAATTTTGGCGAATCTGTGTCTAATGTTGGTTAATTTGCATTATGTGCGGCCATTTGTGATTCGGCAAAACGCGAGACTCGACAAGCTGCTAGATTTGATGAAATATTTTTGCTCATTTTAATTTTGTTAACTGAACAAAAAATGAGGAAGGAGAAAACAGCTGTTTCTTTCCTGGATTGCTTCGTACGTTCTTGAAGAGAAAAGCATTTCTCTATAATTTGCCCTTTGTTCGTTAATAAAATATGACTCAGTTTCGAGATTGTGACAAATATGTACTTGTAGATTTGTGTATTTCAATCATTTTTGTTCTAATTTTGCTCGTTTTAATTGTGTTAACTGTACAGAAAAATGACGAAGGAGGAAACAGCTGTTTTTACTGGATTCTGTACATTCTTAAAAAGAGAAACATTTCTCTAGAATTTGCCCTTGGCTCATAAATAAAATAACACTCAGTTTCGAGATTGTCTATGATTACGATAGATATACTCGTATACTTGTATCTTTGTCCTTTATATGTTTGATGCTTTAGTGTGTATTGTAACGAACATTCTTGGCCTCGCCATTGTCCGAATTATTGATCGTTCCCGCGGTTATTTTCATTCCCACGGTTCAAAGATTCACGACCTCTTACGTATTTTTTTGACATTTTATTAAATTATAAAATTTGTAGCTTTTTTAAAGAATTTATTGGAACATGCAAAATGCACTGCATCTTCACAGTGCTATAAATAATAAAAAAAAAAAAAACTAATTAAGCTTCAAAAGATATGTAAATTTTTTCAGATGTTGCATCATGCAAGGAGGCTTTAATTTATTCTAAATATATTATAACTTATATGTGAATTTATCTGTAAAATTTGCAATGTGTAAATATTCAATTTTTATTCATAACTAGATAATAATCCTCACCAAATTAATTTAATTTTACATCTATGCATAATTATGCAATTTGTATATTTTAAAAAGAAATACTGCAAATTTATAAAAATATAAAATATTTTTATGTAACAGCAATAATAATACACATTTAATTAGTATAGACATTCTTTGAAATGACTGAATGATTATATGAGTGTATATTACTTTGAGCTTCTTTATGTGATTTTTAATTGCTCTGTGCTTTCTTAACAGGTAAAATTCATCTCTGAGAATGGTGACGTCAAAATTGATATGGAACAGACCAAAGACACTCTTGCAGGAATGAGCAAGGAAGAATTGATGAAATTTGCCAATGATCCATTCTGGGTGAAAATGCGATGGGCATTATTTATTCTTTTCTGGTTATTGTGGGCAGGCATGTTGGCAGGTGCTGTAGCTATTATTGTGATGGCACCGAAATGTTCTGCACCCGAGCTGAAAAAGTTTTGGGAGGAAAGTCCAATTATTCAATTGGATGCCTCAATTGATTCTCCTAGCAATGATTTGAAAGGCTTGGAATCTGTATTAAACGATTTGAAAGTTCAACACATCAAAGCTATATCTCTTTCATCGTTAGTGGAGGAAGGTATAGATGGTATGTATAAATTTTCAAAATATATATACATTTTTTTGCTTTGTATAAAATATTCTTAGATAATTATATCTTATAAATATATAATTATATCTTATAAATATATAATTATATCTTATAAATATATATATATATATATTGCACAATATAATATATAGTAATAAAAGTTTTATCTTTTACATTACAGGAGCAACCGAAGATTTCAAAACCATTAAAGCAAAATTAGGAAATATTAGTGACTTGGAAAGTCTTATCAAAGTTGCGACAGAAAAAGATCAACAAATCTTTTTGGAGTTGGATCCTAATCATTCTTCTGTAGAACATCCATGGTTTAAACAATCTGTAGAGAGACAAGATCCATATACGTCCTATTATGTATGGGCTGATGGAATAACTACTTCTGATGGTGAAAAAGGAAGACGAAGTCCTCCCAATAATTGGGTTAGTCATGCTCGTATAAAATTTTGTATGACAGCTAGAAAAAAAACTTGCATTTCATACATTTTACATTTAGTATATTTAAATACATATACTTTACAGCTGAGTGTATATGGTGATTCTGCCTGGGAATGGAATGAAAAAAGAGGACAATATTATCTCCATCAATTCAATAAATCACAACCTGACTTAAATTACAACAATCCAGCAGTGGTGAAAGAATTCGGAGTAAGTTTCAGTTCTCTTTATTTTTAACTAATACCCTCTTATTTTGTTTTAACATTATACAATATTTTGTGTATTATTCTAGGATATCTTAATTCACTGGTTAAAATTGGGAATTAGCGGCTTTCGCTTAGCGAGTACATCATTCTTAACAGAAGATCCAGATCTTCAGGATGAACGTGAGAGTCATCTTCCTGTAGAAATAAATAATTATCAGTCGCTGATACACGTTCGTACGCGCGATCGTCCGGAAAATGCTGCGATATTAACAAGCTGGCAAGAAATGGTTCGTAATGAGACTGATGGTAAAGGGTACGTTGGTTTTTACACTGTTACTTTGTGATTATACATGTTATCTCACCTGACTACAATGTTATATTTATCTAATTTATCAGATTATTCGCGTTACAAGATGACATTGGTGCAGATATCTTGCAAGTTTACAATGAAAAAAAGAGAGTAATTGACTTACCACAAAATTCACATTTCTTTACCACTGCCAACGCAAACATCAATGCGACTGTACTGCGTAACAGTATATTGCAGTGGCTTCAGATTACCCCGTGGCCTGCATGGAATGTGAGTATTTTAGGAAAAATAGTTTTGTAATTTTTTTCAGATATAGAAATGAAACACATTCTCTTCATTTTTCATATTAGAGTCTATAACCATTATTAAATAAAAGGAAACAATTGTTATAATTTAATTATAATAATTTTTAATTAAATTGTAGCTCAATGATAAACATCCTTTGAGACATCGTATGCCTACCGATGTCGCTGATAGCATCACGTTAATGACGATGCTGTTGCCGGGTACTCCAATTCTTCGATTAAACGATGTCATGTCCGCGAAAGACGCGTTTGAGATCTTATCAAATGCTCGAGGGGGTTTAACATTCCTTCACGGGAGTATGACGAGTAAGGTAATCAATGGAACTGTCTTCGTATACGCAAGGTAAGTTTATCCATCAATATTTATGTGCAATAATCATTAGTTTTAATGGCAGTTTAATGAGAATAAAATGAAATATTAATATAATATATATTACTTATGCTAAATAGATTAAAAACTAATCTTTTAAACATTTTTGTATTATTAATCTTTTCATTTATTATTTATAACTTAATATATACAAAATATTAAGAGTAAATACATATAAATACATACTTACAATACATGCATGAAATGAGGTTTAATTAGATAATTGAACAGATTCACATACACAGCAGACACACAGCTGAATTTTATATTGGATTGATCATGCATGTCATATTCTCACGATGCTTTTGATACATTAAGTGTGTCACATCTCCTGTTAATATAAATATATAATAATATAAATAAAAAAATATAACTACATATAATTTAATTTTAAGTGTACTGGATTTTTTTTGTTACATGTATATATTATATATGTAATGTATATGTATATAAAAGAAATCTTTTATTTTCTCTTAAAATTAATCGGTATAATTTTTTAACACCATGTGTGTATGTATTCTGAAACAATGTAATTTGATTTTTCTATTTCAGAATAGCTTCAAGAAATTTAATAAGCTGGAAATAGTCATTCTTCAAAAAAATTGATTATAAAACTGCAAGTTGTAAAATAGATGCATGCAAAAAACAATTCAAATTAAATCGGGAAATGTCTCATATGTGTATTGAGACATGTGGCCGAATGCAGATTGTACATCAAAAAGAATATAAATTGTGATAATTATGCAGAACTAATTACTATTTCCAATAGTGATTTATTTAAATATTATTATAATAATATTTACCTCTGCATTTTGAAATGAATTTAAATTAAATCTTTAAAGCCTTTTATACAATCGAATTTTTTCCTCATCGCACAGATTGCACTTCTTTTCGAATAAGTCATTATTGAAGGTAAAATAATTATTAATAAAAGTAAAATCACTGCTCATTCGAAAGATTGATATAATAATTTTCTATATAGTTTGACATAATTTTAGAAATTTTGTATATTAGTTACATTCTAGATTTACAAATACAAGTTGCCCTATCGGAAATAGAAAAATGTTCTATATAATTATCACGACTTATGTTCTGCTCAATACATAATCCACAATATCCACATGTTTCGATGTATGAGACATGTCTCGGTTTAATTTGAATAGTTTCTTACATACATCGATTCTACATATCGCAGTTTTATAATCTATTTTTGAAAATAGCTAACTTTCAACTTGTTAATAATGTGTTGGAAGTCATTCTGAAAAAGAAAAATTAAATTACAAAACCATAATAATAATAATATACATATATTATTACGATGCAGAGAAGGTTCTAATTAATTAGAGTCTATAAAAGATTTTTTTTATATACATATACATATATATAATATACACTTGGCCAAAAAAACGGTACACTTAAAAAAATTAAATCATATATATATATATATATATATATATATATATATATATATATAAATAATTATAGACACAACTTTATATTGGATAAACAAAACTTGAGTGTTTTACTTAATTAAATGTGGTATTAAATAGACTTGAAAATAGTCGATAATTAACACATTACATGGTATAATAGACTAATCAAAGATTAATTTATCTTGTTACATGCTTATATATGAACATAGAAATTGGTAAGTGTGCATATACCACTACAAATGTACTCATGTTTCGTCCTATAAAAATTTAACTGCACACAAGAGAAAATAGTATAATACATTTAATAGCATGTGTACACAGTTCCATATAATACATTCTTATCTTGTATCTTAAGGCTATGTAGACGAGTCTTTATATATATAGATTTTACATATTTCATATATACACCTTTATGCAGATCTTATATATAGTTTTTCAATATATATATATATAATTTTTTTTTTCTTGAATAAAATGCACAAATGGTTAATGAATTTTTTTTAATAGGCTAAGAAGCGGCAATCCCGGATATCTGGTGATGTACCAGACAGGAGATGAATCGGCGACTATAGATTTGTCTGCAATGCCACGAATATCAGAGGAAGTTAATGTAGTTGCGCATAGTCCCAACTACATTCGAGATACAGAAGTCGTGAGGTAAAAGATCTTTCATTAAAATTCTACATATGCTTTATATATTACATTCCATATACTTTTTACATATGTATTTAACCATTTTATTGCTTTTGTAGGACAAAGTTATATTCAAATAAAGTACCCATATCGCCGAAGAGCACATTGATCTTAACATTTGTGCCAAAGGAGTAATCGATAACAAAGATATTTTAAATGTGCAAGAATTATATACGATAGCGTTTCTTGCTTCAAAATACAAAATTTATGAATGAAGACTTATAAGATTAAAAGGTGGAATTACATCAGAAAAGAATGAAGTAACAATTTGTGTGTGATTATGATAAAAATATCTTGATTGCTTTGATGAAATAAATGCATATATAGCAAGCATCCAAATATAAAAAACTTATCAACTATTTCTATTCTCTCTTAGATTATATTATTATATAGTATTAAATCAGGTGTAGACTAAACAAATAATTATAAACGAATATCAATATATAAATGAATGTAAAACGCATCACAATTATTAATTCGTAAAAATTATTTATTTTAAATAAATTACATAACTTTGCACGTAATTTTTATAAATTAAATAACTATTAATATTTGTCTACATTCATTCACAACTTTTCATACCATTTGTTTAATCTGAATATGGCTTTATAATTATTAACAGAAAAATCTTTATCAAAAAAGAATTCTGTATACTTGCAGGCGCATGTGCGCATAAGATCTTTTGTTCTATAATAAATAACTTAAATACGTTAATTTCCGATATGCGCGATTTATATACATGGATTGCTTAGAAAAGGAATTTACTCAATATGCAGTTTGTGCGGATCGGTAAATCTTGCTGTTATGATGTAAAACAAGGCCGGTAGCACAACTAGAACCAACATCCCAGGATGAATACTGACTCCACGAAGAGTTGCGACCGCTATCAAGCCGTAACCGTGCAACAACCAATGGCCCAGAATGACTATTACATTCTTTACATTTGAGACTGAACTCAACAACAATGATTTTACAGTCTGATTCAATTTAAAAGCAAAATGCGCCGCATTTGACAGAACTGACAGAATGATGGTAATATATGGAAAAGAGTAATCTGTAACAGAAAAATATATAATGAATAAGATGATTCTCTATATTAGTATTTGTACACAAAATTATAATTAATTTAAAATTAAATAAAATTAGTGTACATACAAATTAGACCTCCACCCACGGCATGAAGTAATGCAAGAATTGGATAAAAATACAATGCAGCATAAATAGAGAACTTTCCCTGTTTTGGCAAAAATTTCTTCGCTATTATTGGCCTTATTAATAACATTAAAGCTATTCCTAGGGCATAGAAGACAAAAACCATAGTATACCTGAAATCATAAAGCAATGTATATTAAAAATATGCAACATATTATTTTAAATATATATTACTGGTAAATCATGTATAATTTTGTTGATCTTTTAAACATTAATAAACTTATAACTGTTACAGATAAATATTGCAATTACTATACAAATTTAACAGAAACTATTCCGATACTAACAAGGGGTAAACCGCCTCCTGTGTACAATGAAGAGTTGCTTCATAATTGGGACTGGGATTATGCAGCAATGTATACCAATCCGACAATTTTTTCGCCCTGCACGACTTGATGTTGAATGTTCCAATGGGATGTGTCAGCTGGAGCACTATGATAGACGACAGTACTACTTCCAGCAGAGCGGACAGGTGCAAAGCGATCACCTCCTTGGGTATGTTCCTGCGCATGGACACCATGTCGATGCAAAACCAGTGTAACACCAGAGCCAGCAGAGCCATGAAGCCCAGATAAAGCCAGTCGTAGAACATCGGTGTGTCTTCGCAGGGGATGCACGCCGACGAGACGTTGGCTCGGAAACCACGTGGACAGGCGCCGCATTCGCTCCAGTTGCCATCCAGCAGCAACTCTCTGCCGCAATACAATCCAGGGCATCGTGTAAGAGTGTTCATAATACCTACAGTGACCATATTTTCTGAGAGAAAATAAAGGAAAAGATTTTAAGGCTTTGTTTGAACATGTTCTCAAATCAGTTTGCAACAAAAATAGAGATTGACAAAAAAAATAATTCTGTGACCATTAAAAATCTATGTATTCTTATAATTTGAAACTGATTTGACTATGTTGAAACAAATCCTTGGATTTTAAATAGCTCCAGTGTTTTCGCACGACAAACTAAATAAAAAATAAAGAACAAAATTTAAAAAATGAGGACAAAATTGAGTTTTGGAAAAATCAATAAATCTAAAGGATAGCTACTTGAAATAAAGGAATGTCCTCTAAAATAAAAGACAAATGGTCACTATAATAATACCTGGAGTATATGCTTTTAGGTTAGGACAGAGTAGATCCGCAGTAAAATAAACTACATGATACGACGCTTTTCTTCTCGCTACTCTTCGATTTCTGTTAATTTTGAGCGATATAAAAACAAACGATGATTATAGTTTTATTATTCAACTTGTTATCAAACGTCAATTTGTCGAACCATATCAAATGTCAATTTTAACCCAAGTCGCGACGACAGTGACAGCTGACGTTGATTGCCAGAAGCATTTTTCAAATTCCACCGATAATGTCGTTCTCTATTGAATAATGAAAGTGCGATAAAATTGACGATGATTGACGTAAGTGAAATGACGTGAGTTATTTATAAATATATACATATACATATGTAAAATATGTATACATAGATAGACGATATCTTTGAGACTTTGATGTTATATTGCAATATATGATTAGCGTTAAAAAATATACTCTTAAAAATATATGTTGTAATCGCTATTGTGTGCATAAAAATTAACCAAAAATTTTGTATGCACATACAAAAGAATTATAATATATAGAGAAATATTATATAACACTTGCATATTTCTGACGTATTTAATTTATTCGATACATTTTACATCTTTCGCAGATTTTTGTAGCATTATTTATGCGTCTTTTTCAAACTATTTCGAGAAATTATTTTGAATAATCGTACAAAAATATCTATATTCTTCAAGCTCACATTTAATACATATATCTCTTTGAAAATTTTGAAGAATTTAAATAATTAATACAACTCTTATATATGTTGATCATATTTGCATGAGATATAAATTATATATAAGAATATTTATAATATGTAGATAAGCATATTTGCATACTGACGTATTTAATTTCGATTTATTTAAATCTTTCGCATGTTTTTGTAGCATATATATATATATTATATGAAAAGAAAATGCGTCGTATATATCTTTTTCAAACTATTTCGAGAAATCATTTTAAATCGTATAAAAAATTTACTCTCTTCAAAAATTAATTCTAGATTTTTCAAGCTCATTATTACATATTTTTTAGAAAATTTTTAAAAATTTATGATCAAAATCTACTCTCATCTCTACGTTCCAAAAATTCATTCTAGATTTTTCAAGCTTATTTTATTACATGTGTAATCTCTTTGAAAGTTTTTAAGAATTCATGAATTCAAAATACAACTAGTTGTTGTAATCAGAGTTATTGTGTGTACAAATAAAATTAATCAAAAAGTTAAGTTGTATGCACACATATAACATAATCCCAGACAGCACCAAATCCAAAATCGGCGCATAAGATATCTTTAAAATATATTTAAGATGTCTTTCGGATATCATATCATAAGATTTCTTAAAGCTATGTCTTAAAGATTTCTTAATGATATCTTATGCGCCAATTTTGGGCTTGGTGCTGTCTGGGATACTTCTGACATATTTAATTTCGACATTTTAAATCTTTCGCACGTTTTTGTAGCATATATATTATGTAAAAAGAAAATGCGTCGTGCATCTTTTTCAAACTATTTCGAGAAATCATTTTGAATCGTCCGAAAAAACGCATTCTTCAAAAATCAATTCTAGATTTTTCAAGCTCATAATACCATATATCTCTGCACATTTTTACGAATTCATGAATTCAAATAATACATTGCAGACGCTTTCCCGAGCTTCTCTCGCGGCTGAATGGATCGAAAAGTCGAGCGAGAAAAACAGAGTGAGAAAGAGAGCGCGAAATATACGCATCATCTGCGACGCGATTCGTCGGTAACGATCGCGCCGCGACCCCGTCGCGCCATCTGGCGGCCGTCCGAGGGCACGACGCGCATCGATCCGCGCGCGGCGCATGCGCGCGCGCCTCGCGTCGGGCCAATGACGTCGCTCGGCTCGCGCCGCCGCGTCATTGGCCGAGCGCGACGCGGCCGCCCGCGTATTAAAAACTCCGGCCGGCCGCTCGCGAGCGGTGGCGCCACCTGTCGCCCTTCGGCCGCCTCCGGCCACGTTCGGCCGCCTCCGGCCGATGATTGCCGAGCGCGCATTACTATTTTCAGGCACACAAGGCACCTCTCTTGACGGATTTTCAATAAGTGAAGAGGGCGGCGGTGCGCGCGCGAGATAGAGATCGGGCATTTTTTTTTTGTTGGCTTCGCGCGGATTATCCTCGGGCGACGTCGTGTCCGGTTTGTGTAACCCGCAGCCTTGCGCCCTTCGAGGAAGGTCCTCGACGACCAGAGAGATATTCGGCTGGCAGAAGAAGAGGAAGAAGTGGTGCGCGCGCGAGGAGGAGGAATCGAGAGAGAGCTAAAGCGAAGGCGACCGAGTGGAAGAAGAAGAAGAAGAGAAAGAGAAGAAGAAGAAGAGAAGCGACGAGGAAGGGCGATGTCGGGCCACGTCCGGGCGGCTCTCGGCGCCTGACGGTGTCGGTTCCGTTCTGCCGGAAGATGAGAGAGAGGCCCCCGCGTAGCAGCGAGCAGCTGATGGCGGCCGAGCGCTCCTCCTCCACTACGAGCCTCTGCTCCTAACGTGCACGTCTAACTACGTCGTCCTCTGGTCGGCGTCTGGTCCGGGTGGCGTTCTTCGGGAATTCCGGCCGCCTCGTCAACAGGAGAGAGGAGAGACACCGATCGAGTTTCGCGTCAGACATATATATATATATATATCCATATATATCTATATATATATATATCTCTATCTCTCTCGCTCTCGCGGATTATTATATATCCGCATTAAGGCTCCAGACAGACGGTCGTGTAAAACACCGCTGCGTGTGCGCGCGGCCATACTTCCTACACACGGACGTGTGCTGCTCCACCAGAGGCAGCCGCGAATCGTTCGTTCTCTATTTCGTAATAACGGTGCTTTTTCTTTCTCTCTCTCTCTCTCTATATATATATATATATATTTCTATCTCTTGATCGGCCGGCAGCACGATACGAGAGACACGCAACTACGCGGATCATCATCATCATCATCGTCATCATCATCGTCATCGGCGACGTCGTTGGAGACCTCGACCGACTACCGGCGCCGCCGTCGTCGATCGAATCCATCGTCCACCCTACGACGTCGTTTCGAGGAGAGAGACGTCGAGTCCTCCCTTTCGAGGGGGCAGCTGCCGGAAGAGGCCGGTCGTTGTCGGCGGTTTGTATATTTTACGTGCCTCCATCCTTCTGTCTCTATCCGTCTCTCTCTCTCGCTCGCGAGACGAGAGAAGATCATCGTGTAGGTGGGAGGAATAGTGTGTGTGACAACGCCTAGCCGTCTACGAGGGATCGTCGAGCCCTTAGGAAGGGAGGGGAGACAGCCGGTGTTTGGGACTTTCGTCGTCCGGGACTCTCCAGGGTGACTGGGAGGAAAGGAAGAGGAGAATACACTTGTGTGTGTATGTAGGTATATGTGTTATGCTTTGTTCCACTTCCTCGCCACCTCCGAAGAGCGGACAGGAGTGAACGAGAGTGAATAATAATAATAATAATAAGAATAAAAATTATTAATAGAGTGTATTCGAGGAAGGAGGAGAGAGAGAGGACGAATGCACATATGAGATCCGCACGTGCGTCGTGTAGCGGTGTGTTCTCTTCTTCGTGGAGTGTGTTTCATCGAGTGTGTTATTTCGTCAGGAATGCGGCCTCCTCGGGGTGAAGGTGATCTGAGTCTCTAGTTCGCTATTCTGGGATATACATATATATAATATATATATATACACCAGAAGATAATAAAGTGCGAGCTACCACCTTCACATATATACACACAGCTTACCTCGTTGAGCCTCGACACATCACCAGGATAGTCTCACAGTGCCTCCGTTAATGCCAAAATGTCGTCAGGGACTTTTGTGGACCGAATAGACCCCTTCGCCAAGCGATCCCTGAAGAAGAAGTCCAAGAAGTCCCAGGGTTCCTCCCGTTACCGCAATTCTCAGGATGTGGAGCTCCAACAGCTGCCCCTGCTTAAAGGTTGGTCCTATGTTGAGAGTTTGCCTTATGCAAGAAGTTGCTTCTTGCTCTTGCGTTACATTTCAAGACTGTATCTCAGAGTTTACATGTGTGTAAGCATTTATATAGAACTATACAAAGTATCCAAATTGCGTAATGTTTTAATATATTACATAGTATTGTACATTGCAATGTATCTTTGATGCAGAAGATGAAGCGCAAGGGCTTGAAAGAATAATATATATATGTAAGGAATTAAGCATTTATGTAGAACTGTATCTCAGAGTTTACATGTGTGTAAGCATTTATATAGAACTATACAAAGTATCCAAATTGCATAATGTTTTAATATATTACATAGTATTGTACATTGCAATGTATCTTTGATGCAGAAGATGAAGCGCAAAGGCTTGAAAGAGTAATATATATATATATATATGTAAGGAATTAAGCATTTATGTAGAACTGTACAAAGTATCTACATTGCATAATGTATTACATAGTGTTATATAGTCTGCAATGAATCTGTGACACAGAAGATGAAGCGCAAGAGCTTGAATGAACTTCCATGACATCGCAGGCAAAAGATGCAGGAATCTTATACTTTTACGCAAGATTTTCTACACTCTTATTCATTCCTGACATGAATGAACGTTTCAAGTGAATTATTCAGAATCTTGACTCACTTTCTTATACTTGAGCATTCATAAAGGATCTTTGCTTTGCGATTGTCATAAGATAATATTGAATACCGATAGAGAATGCATGTATGCAGTATCGATGAGACTGTCATCCAGTTCTACTAGGTCTATTGCATTTTCTGCGAGTGAAGGCATAGCTCAAATATAATATCCTTGAAGCCAATGAATAATTGGCAGCGAGTCTGTGGCATTTCTGACTTACTTAGGCAATTGCGGTGCTCACTACTTTGCTATGCTGATAATAAACATACACTGGTTGCTCGTTTCCTCCAACACTGTCGCGTCTACTATTAATTGACGGACCGCGTTATCGAGAAAGTATACAAGTGGAGAAGAGGTTTCAGAGGACAGGCAATTTAATATATGCGCGAGACAGTTCCATGAAAGATATACATTACCGTTAATAGCACCTATCTATTATATTATACATGTACACACATACTCGCCTACCGACGACACAATTAACACATATATACACATCGCGACATAGTTGACGGGAGACGTGAATCGAAAAAAAAAAAAATTTATCGAGACGTCACATTACGCTCGTCAGCGTGATATCGCGTCAAAGACTGAGATACGACGAAGATAACCTCGCGTAGAATAAAAGTATACATCTACGGGAACTTACGTTTATAATTTGTAGATTATTAAATAACAAATCGATATTTTTCGAGGCTTCCCCAGATTTGATTTATTTAATTTCGTGAACACGTGTGTCCGCGCGCGATGACATTTCTCCGGCGTGTCAAGGGCTGGGTGACAAGTGCAAGCTCCGCTTCTTCAGGATGTACCAGAAGGTCTTCTCGGAGAGATTCTATATCATTTCACAACATGGTTTGAGAAATTTTGAAAATTATATGTATTTTGATGCCAGCTGCTCTCGTTTGTAATTGTTTGTAGCAATCTCGATAAAAATTTATATGGACGGAAAAAGCAGATTTGAAAAATCTTTAAAATTAATCAAAAAAATTGACATTTCCAACTTTATTAATTATATATAACTTGTGATATTTCTAAGGTCATTTGTGTGTGTAAGGCCAAAATACATATGATACTTAAAATGTCTCAAACTATGTTGCGAAATTATACAGAATCTTTCAATTTTATTTTATTTTTTAAGAGATTTTCCCCTGCTAAATTATACCTATTCATATATGTCGACATATATATATATATATATATATATATATATATATATATATGATTGTTTATAAATTAATTTAATTTATTTATTGAATATAAATTAGAGAATTAATTTAATCCTTCGGTTGAGTTTGATGTACTATTTGATATACACGAAACGCATACATATGAATCCAGAAGAATTAAATTATAATTACCTACGTTAAGAGTTATTTATTTCAATACGCAGGGTGTTGTATATGTATATGTAATTGATTATAAATTAATTTAGTTTATTTATTAAATATAACTCATTTTCAATATTAGATTTTCTAAAAAAAATAAAGCCAAAAATAATATCACAGGATTGAAAGTAAAAGAACCGCAAGAAGCGATTCTCCCCATGGAGAAAAATGAAAAATGAAAGAGGAAACTATAATTAAAATTTTTACTGAAGAAATAAAGTTTATCGGGCCAAATTACGGCCACGTACTCGGCTGAATAGGAATGTAAATTAAATGTATTAAAAATTGTTTCTATTACAAATATTATATAATAATTAAATTAAATTAAATCAAATCTTGCAGGAATAATTTCGCAACATGGTTTGAGAAATTTTAAATATTATATTTATTTTAGCCTTACACACAAATGGCCTTAGAATCATCATGAGTTATATAATTTATGTAGTTGGAAATGTCGATGTTACGTTTAAGACACGTTTGACAATCGGTTATGTGTTCAGACATATGGGAAGTATCCCGATTCAACATAAAACATTTACCGCAATCATTTATGCGGCAACTCGCAGACTCGTAATTAATTTTCTGGAAGTAAGGCCATTCTGAAAAAAAAAAATCAAATTACAAGACCATCAATAGATATATATTCTTATGATGGAGAGAAGGTTCTAATTAATTAGAGTCTTCTCTACACCGTAATAATATATGTATATTATTACGGTCTTGAAATTTGATTCTTCTTTTTTAGAACAACATCCTACACGTTTATAAGCTGGAAAATTAATTATGAGATCGCTAGTTGCCGCATAAATGATAGACGGTATACGTTTTTTTATATTGAATCGGAATACTTCCCACATATCTAGACACGCCGATTGTCAAACGTGTCTTGAACGTAAAATTGACATTTCCAACTTCATTAATTATATAACTTATGATAATTCTAAAGCCATTTGCGTGTAAGGCCAAGATATATAATATTTAAAATTTCTTAAATCATGTTGCGAAATATTATACAAAATTTCTCAATTTTATTACATTTTCTAGTAGATTTTCTCCCTGCAAAATTAAATTTATTTAATTCTCATAAAATATTTGTAATAAAAAATTTCAATACATTTAATTTATATGCCTATTCAGCCGAGTACTTGCTCGTAATTTGGCCTGATAAACTTCATTTCTTTCAGTAAAAATTTTAATTTTAATTTCATCTATATATTTATTTTTCTCGATGGGCAGAACCGCTTCTTGCAGTGCTCTTATTTTCAATCCTTTAATATTATCTTCGGCCTTATTTTTTTTAGAAATCTCATATTGAAAATGCGTTATATTCAATAAATAAATTAAATTAATTTATAATCAATCACATTAATTCTCGTGCACCGATTTCCAGTCAATTTGACTTCTACAGAACTTGGTATATAACTAAACGAAATTTTTTTAAATAAAAGAGAAGATCAGAAAAATAGAGGACGAAATTGAATTTTAAAAAATGAATAAATTTAATAAAGGACTGTCCTTTAAATTAAAGAATGGTTAGCGTAGTTCTAATTGTAAGCGATGTTTGACTGGATGTCTGATGGGGATCTTCGGCTTCCGGATGAATCCACGTGAATGAAATTCTTTGCGTCGAACTCGCACAATCCGTGGCTTAGTCCAAGGGTGCCTTGAGAAAGGATGCGTTCTGCTCCTTTCTCTACGACATTTCAAGGACACCGATACGTTTCCCTGCAAATCGCGCACATTAGAACGGAGAAAAAAATCTTACGAATTTAAGGATCGTTTAATTCAACAGATTTCAGTGTTTGTGAATGAATCGTGAATAGGAATGTAAATTAAATTTATTAAATATTTTTTGTATTATTACAAATATAATAAATAAATTAAATTAAATCCAGGAATAAATCTGAGAAAATGAAATAAAATTGAGAGATTCTGTATAATTTCGCAACAATAGTTTGAGAAATTTTTAATATTATATCTATTTACAATTAGTCTGATATGTATATCGACGATAAAGTCAGAGGAAGGAGCAAAGGATATAAATTAAATATTTTTTATTTTAATTGAGAAAATATTAGAAATAAATATTAAATATTAGGGAATAAGAATTATTATAAAATAATAAAGGCTCTGATATAAAAATACAAATTCGAATGTAAAGGGACTTAAGGTAAGGGCTAATAAATTAGCAAGAGTATACTTACTTGAATTTATATATCAGAGTTTTTGTTCAATTTTATTTTAAAAATTTCCCAATATTTAATATATTTATTCCTAATATTTCTTCTATTGTGCGCAGGGCTTACTTAGCAGAATATTTTAACGCGTTAATTGTAAATCTAGTCTCTTCTATATATTTAATTACGTATCAGACACTTGTGGATGTTGAAGCACTTGTTACCTTCGACTTTAGAATTCTGTTTACGAAACACATTGTATTAAATCATTGGTTTTTATTAATCTCAAAACTACAGACGCTACATTGAAAATAAAAAATTATTAACGTGACAAAATCTCTCAATTAAATTACAATTTTGTTAATTGAACATATATTAGTATTTAAGTCCAAATATGTTATATAGATTTTATGTTATATTTAATTTAAATATTTTTACATATTCAATTAACAAAATATTTAGTTGAAAGGTTTAATCAAATTAACAAACAATTTTTTTTTCAGTGTACGCAGAATATTTTAACGCGTTAATTAAAGAATTAAAAGTTTGCGATGATAGCACTTAAACTGTGCAATTAATTATTTCAAAATATTACAATTTAGAAATTAATTTATTAATTTATTATTACTGTTATAGTAAAAGTAATTCTCTGATATAGCGTGCGTGTATTTGATTACTTACACATATACAAATCAATTAGAATGTATCTTCTATTAAGTTACATCTTAATTAATTTAAAAAGAAACAAGTGTTTTATTAATTTAAAAATTAAT